TTGACAATAGTGACGAGCGAGTTTTTTCCATCGCGTCTGATGGTTATCCCAATGTCTTCATAAGGGGAGCAGTTTACTTGTTCCAATGTTTTAATGTGTTAAAGACTTAAGCATGTTTTGTGAAGACACCTGAGAAGAACTTAACCCTTTCAGAAATCTCCCCATTCCTCCATTGCTACGTGGTTATTACGATCGCTGAAACACCGTTTGCGCATTATTCTTCATCCGCAACGAATTTTCTAAACGGCTGCATGGTTACGCGGGTTGTTGAGCTCATGACGTCATCATCAGCTGTCATACCTAAGGGATTTCGACATGTGCGCTGTGTAGGCTATTGGCCGCATTCACGATCACCACCGGGCCGTTCCGGTTTGGTTCTTGGGTGTCGGGGCTAGTTGAGGTGAAAGTGCGGGCCATCTGACTGTCGGAATACTGGTTTTTAATTTACAACACGGCTGAGGGGAGTGAAATTCCTTGACTGACTTCGCGTGGTGCCGTTGCACAGCGTGTCTCGCGCGGATTTTCTGTCACTTTGCATTGAAAAGGTATGATTGGTGCCTTATATCTCAGTGTTTACAATACCTTCCAGCTTACTGGGTAAGTACATTCCTAGCGACTTGCTTCGGTTTAAATGTCTGATAGGTCCTTGGGCAGGTGCGCCAGCCTGGAGATGAGTTCAGCTGGTTCTTCTAAATGTCATTTGTACCATTTCGCAGTATGGAATCCCTGCACATCACTTCACTGTTATGTTACAGCAGCCATTAACTTGATGATCCCCAGTCTGCAGACTATTTGCCAGACATCCAAAAGCTGTCACTACACTTTCCCAGACATCTATGGTTTATCAGTATATCAAACATCGTGCTTGTGTGCACCAGACTCAGCCCAGGCTATGGGTGTGACCAGGGCAGCAAGCATGCTCTAAAGCCTGTGTCATCATCATCAGCCCAGGTCAAATTGAATCAAATTTTCATGTGATCTGTGTATGAAAAATATTTTTTCAGATTGTTTGCTTAAGCTTAAATTTGCACAATCATGTTAATTTGAAACAGTGGCTGGTCATGGGCCAATTTGTAGTACCAGCATGTAAAGCCCTAGAGCCTTCATTTTCAGCATTAATGCTTTTAAACTGTTGATACATTGTTGCTACATTACCAGACATATTGGCATAGCATGCATTTTGGTGTGGGTGTACATTGCTACCAAACATTAGAAAAAATTGTACATCATTTGTTGTGTTTGAGGCGGAATGTATTGTAAATAATTTTAAAACAGGTAGATTTATGCTCCTACCTTCAAATTTTAATATTTACAATGGTGAGCGCCGCACGCACAGCACCGCCTAGACTCCCCAGCGCCGTTTTTGCATTGCCGTTGCGTAATTACAATATTTCTGATTATCAAGAACCATAAAAAATGTATGGGACCAAGGTAACAATAATAATGCAATGAAAAACGTTTCTTATCACGTCTAGGTATGTTTATGAAACGGACAGGGCAGAATAGTCCAGAACATAGCCTAAACTAAACTAGCCTAGCCTAGCCTAGCCTAGCCTAGCCTAGCCTAACCTAACCCAGCATAACCTAACCTAACCTAGCCTGGCCTAACAACCTAACCTAACCTAACCTAACCTAACCCCCACCTTATCCCCTTCAACCCAGATTCCCATTGGCATCCATGTTCCACGCCATATATATGTACCGTATTAAGAAGTTTTGTTTAGCCGCCATATTCTCATTTTGCTTTTCATTCCCACGCAAAAACGTCATATTTCCCCACCATGTTGACCAATCTGCAAACAATATGGAAGACTGCTTGGATATGCAAGAAATACATTTTATTGAATTCTTGTTACCTTGGCCTCGTACATTTTTATGGTTCGTGATACGCAGTAGTGTTGTGATCACGCAGTAATGTTGCGATCACGCTTAGAAATGGCGCCGGGATCGTGGTTGCTGCGTGTTTGCGCCCGGATGTTCGCTATCGTAGTTATTTAAGTTTCAAGGTAAGAGCTTAGATGACCTGTTTTACGATTAATTACGATACGTTCTGCCTTAAAAATGACGATTGATGTACAATGCTCTTTCTTAACATGAGGTAGCAATGTATGCCCTGACCTGCATTTTTGCAGTGTGAAATGAAGCTCTTGTATTTCTGTAGCTCCAAATGATGCCCAGGCTGCATATCCCTACATCCATGCCATCTATCTGCCACACCTGGCCTGTTTATCAGCACAGCCATCTATGTGGTGGCAATGTGAAAAATAATCACTTTCTGTAACTTTGTTTCCAGATGATTATTACTGCTGATGATAGCTTCTCACTTTCTTGTGCCATGCTAATACAAAATCAACATATTGAAAATGTGTGTGCCCTCTACACAGCATCCTTGCAGCATGCATCATGCCCATGCCTTGTTTTCATATGTAGCTATATGGCTTTTCCTTCTGGCTGTTTAGTTTCATAGTTTTGAGCCTTTTATTCTGTCAGCAAAGTGGCCACCATCACAGGCAATCTGATGAAACAAATTGTGTCTTTTCTCCTCTCTATCTAGGTGGGCTTACTTATTTTTCCTGACATGGTCCCACATACTAGAAGAACGCTCTCTTGAAGGACTGTGGGAGAGGACTGAATTGCCCCTTAAGCTGTTTCAGACTGCAATGATGATAGAGGTAAGTGATGTTATCAACCAAATTATTGGAGAAGAGGAACAGTAGTAAGATAGCTTCTTTGCTGTTTGGTCAAGAGGATGTTTATAACAATATGCTTTGCCTATTGTTACCAATATAACAGTTGCCTCTTTATCTTATAACCAATTAGTTACTACCTGTTGTAAGTTATGGACAGCATTTTATGTAGACTATGGCAGTCAGAACATGCCCAAGGCTCACACCACATGTAGTGGTCAGGTTCCTCTCTAGGACCTTAAAATGCATAGCTGGGCACCTTTCCATTGAGCCCCTCCACCAGCCTGCCACAGTCACCGCGGCTGCGTTGGTGCAGCAGCGGCGGCACCGCCGCGCGCGCGCAAGGCCACGGCCCGTTGACTGAGGGCGGCACCACCGCCGACAGGTGTGCCACTGCCTGGTGGGCCTGGTCCGCTCCAGCCCCGTGACCACGGCCATGCAGATCGTCTCGCGCGTGTTCATCGTCTGGCTGATGCTGGACCAGGTGCCGGACACGCGCACCGGGCCAGGTCAGTCGGGCCGCGCCGGTCGCCAGCCGGTGCCGCCGCCGGGCCGCTCTCCGCGCCCGGCCGGCCGGCCGAGCGTCACGTGTCCACTTCGATCCGGCTCTCGTCGGGCTCATTGTCGTGATAAAGGGCCCTGTTAGATCTTTCTTTAGGTCTTTTGGCACAAGGCGCTCGTGGTGTGTGAGATCGACTTGAATTCCCGGGTTCGCTGGGTAATAATGGGTCCCCCTCGGTGCCGAAAACAGCGTCAGCGTTACGCTCAGTAAACAACATACCTTGCCCGCCCACCTTTTGCGCCTGTCGTGCGGCGCAAGACTCGCCACATCATTTGACGCTCGTGTCTCCGACCGCTGCTGAGCGGCGACGTCATCTGCGATATCCCGTGCACGCCAGGTATCCTGTTCTGCCTGGCCGCCTGGCCCCTGGCCGAAATGGTTCGCTACCTGTACTACCTGGCCAACGCTGTCGGCTGGGTGCCGTACGTGCTGACGTGGGCGAGGTAAGCGTGCCGGCGCTGTTCAGGCCGCGCACCGGTCAAGGCACCGAAGTCTGCGTGCGACCCACGGCCAGTTGTGTTCCGTAGAAGACGAAGGTGGGGTACCGAGTGCCGACCATCGGGGCATGCCATGAATTCGTATGGTACTGCGCAATTCTCGACATTCCCATCACAGATGCAGATCCGGTACTGATTTTGCTCTCCACCGATGCCACTATGCGTAAATCTTGCGTCCCTTGTAGTGTGTATCACCATCAGCACATGTGATCGCTTCTGGCGGGGCTCCAGCCCACGGTGAGCAGCGCCGCCACCCGACGGCCGAGCGCTCCGTCCGCACCGCGGCCGGGGCGTGGCGGCAGCCGTGCCGTCGGCAGCGGGCCTGATGGCGACCGGCACTCGTGGCGGCAGGTACAGCTTCTTCCTGGTGCTGTACCCGGTCGGCGTCCTGGGCGAGACCCTGAGCTGTTACTACGCGCTGCCCTACTGCCGGGAGAAGCGGCCACTGGACGTGACGCTGCCCAACGTGGTGAACTTCACCTTCAACACGTACTATGTGCTAATCGGCATAATGCTGCTTTATGTTCCAGGTGGGTGTAATGAGCTATGAGCCGGTCGGCAAAAATTGGTCGAACATTGTTTAAAATGCGATTTAAAGATAGTAACAGGTTCTTAAATGAAAACAAAATGCAACCATTATTTGCGTATCGCCTAGAACATGTGCCGCACTATACCACATCAGCAGGCGAGCTCTCGTACGTCGTTTCATGGTTTCCATCCATTGCCTTCGTCTTGTGCACACCACGATTGATGAGCAGTCCGTGGTTTCACGTCCTGCACTCCAAAGTTAGCGGGAACACGGACCCTGATGGACGCATGGAGGGCATGCGAGCGTGCCACCATGCCATGCCCCCCCCCCCCCCGTGGTGCTGCGGCGCGGGCAGGCCGCGCGCTGAGCCTCGCCGACTCTGCTCTCCCTCGCCAGGCCTGCCCGTCATGTACCGCTACATGCTCAGCCAGCGGCGCAAGGTGCTCGGCGCCGCCGCCAAGGCCAAGAGCGAGTAGAGGGCGTGGCCGGCGCCGGCCGGGCTCGGAGAGGCGCCGCCTTCAGCCAGCGGACGCGGAGCTTACTGACGCGTGGTTGTGGGCCGTGCCGCGTGGTGTCTGGTGCTGTAGCGGAATGGTAGGCGGCACGGGGGTGTTCGGGCGGTACGCTGTTGTTTGCGGGAGGCGCTAGCGAAATATACATATCATCGATGGTTGGTAGATAGTTGACGCGTGTCCTTCGGTGGCGTTGGGAAACGTGACGCAGACCATTATCAGACCCCGTCGGAGTTTATAATGCAGAGAAGCTCAACTGAACAAACCGCACGCGCCACTACGGCACTGCAGGCCCGCTGCGCGTCCGTGGGTTTCGCGAAGCTCCTTGCTAGTTTAAAACAATTCAGAATTCTAGTTTCCGTGCAGGGCATCTGTGGCCTGACCACAATTCATCACTCAAATGGTGTTCAGCACGTCACGCTGCTGCCAATAGTAGCTGCTCATCGGACGTAAGACAATAAAACACCGGCGGCACCCGCGCGGCTCGAAGCTCTCGTACTGCGCCGCAGCGCCTCTGGTGGGTGGACATCGCACCAGCGCCTTGCCGCCATCCCGCCAGTCAGCGCGCGCGCGCGCGGAAACTCCGCCCGCCCGCGCTGCCCCCGCGAACCGCACACCAACACACGCGCGACTGGAATGTCGAATGGACGAAATCGTACTGGGCGGAACGAAGGCTGGTGTCGGCACCAGGTGGACGCGCGCGCGCAACACATGGTCACTAGACGGCGGGCGGCACAACGGGCGGCCCGAGCGGCCTCGCACGCGCGCTACCAAGCAGCGAATATAAATTATTAGCTCTAAAGAACGGTCAGACGCGCCGACAGTCTAGAATATCACGGTGGGGGCGCAGGCCGGCGAGGCGATGCCGACGTCCGGCGAGCTGACGGGTCGCGCTGCCCGGGCGCCTACTGCCCCTCCTACACGGGTTCACGGCCACCCTAGTCTAGTCGCCACGTGTCTATCTAGTTGCCAACGGAGCGGTGTTTGGCACACAAATCTAACAAGCTCAATCGGTTACCGCTAGGAGGGAGACAACGCCGGCCGGGCCCTATTTCCTATTGCTAAGGCCTTCGCTTTTGCTCTTCGAGCTGGACAGCCCTGCCGAAAGCGGAGAGGACTCGCCTGAAACGAAGGCCGTCGACTTACAATGACGCCGACCCATTTGCGCATCATAAAACGTGCTGATCGCTGGTCACAAGGGTGCTCATTGATTTCGTCTGTGTTGTATTGTTATTCCAGCACCACCAGTTCCAGGAGCATCTCAGGTGTCCCTCCACAAGTAGCGAGGGCCCCGCCCCGTTCCCCATCCTCAGTAACTTTCAGGATGCACATTGGTGAGTTTGTGTCCAACAGCATTCTGCACACAGATACGCGGCTGCGAACAACGTGTGCTATGTTCCAACGACAGTTTCGTCAACGACATTGCGTTGCCCGCTTAAGCAAAGCATTTGAGGTGTTCTGTACAGGATGATGTTTCCGGACACCCCTGGGAGGTTTTCAGGAACCATGATGCATTTTCTGACACCGTCGGCGTGGCCCGGACGAGGAAGCAAAACTGCCACCTAAATGACACATTCACTCATGCGTGGGCGCGGGAACACGGGACGGGACCTGGAGACCACGCCCCCACACTTTTTGAATTATTTACATCAACCCTAAGATCTACTACGGAACCATCATCCCCCCCCCCCTCCAGAACACACTTTTTGAAACGTTCCTATGCCAATTCAAGCATGCCGTCCGACAACCCGGCGGCACACAGCTTATACACGTCAGCGTCCAGACCCTGCGCTCGCCAACGCTCCGAGATCATCCACAGCCGTGAACACTGCCAACCAGCCCCGCTGTCCGCACTGCGAGGCGAGCGCCCCGGCGCGACCGGCCGGGCCTCACCTCTGGTCGACGCCCGCCGGGAGGAGCCGGCCGCGGCGGCCGCCGGGCTCGGGCGCGCCCGCTGCGCCCGACTGCGCCGATGGTCCCAGATCAGCTTGTCGACGCGCACGAAGATGCCGTGCCTCGGCTGGCAGTGGAAGTACTGCACGTCCTTCACGCTGCCGTCGTTCTTCCCTGCGACCGCGGGCGGGTTACATACCGTCCGGCGGCCTGGGCTCAGGTGAACGTGTTCAACTGTGCTAGCAAACAGGGCTACTACGGCCGTTGGCGCACCATGAAGGTCAGGTGGTTCATTAAAAACCGCAGCACCTTGCAGCTTATGCACCATAAAAGGCTTCGCGGTCCCTTAAAAAATGTGACACCACGTGGGCGCCAAATACAAGCTCCGGGCAAGCCACCAAGCTCGTGTCACTAAATAAATAACAATATTTCATGCTTAACTAAAAAATTATATGCCATGACGAGGTTAAGTGACGGCTGACAGCCAGTCTGTGCGCGGGTGCCGGCTCTACTGGACCACCGGCGCGGCTGCAGCTCCGCGGCTAGGACCCGGGCGGCACGCACCTTGGGGCAGGTCGAGGTCGACGCCCACCCAGCAGCCGGGCGCGAACCGGACGGGGCCGACAAAGCGGATGTGGCCGGAGAGCGACTGGGGCCGCACCAGCACCGCCTCGCCGGGCGTCACCCACTCGGCCAGGCCGGCTGTCGGCGGGCGGCCGGCCGTCAGGCATCGTATCACCTAGGCTCAGTGGGGCGGCCGGCGCGGGGGACACAGCAGCTGGCGGCTCGGCACGGATGTACCGGCGAGTCGCGGACGCACGCATCACTGCCACGACGCCGATGGAACACGAGGTGATGTGGCGGGGTGGAATGTGAAGCTCACCTTCACTAACAAGACGCGCCAGCCCACATGGCCAGCACCGGAATCCCTCACCCCAAGTGGAGGAGACAGACGCACACTAGCGGGTCTTCCCAGCCTCGATCTGGCTGGTCTGAGCTAGGACAGCGCAGTAGGTGGCGTGTAGCTATTAAAATGACGTACGTTATGCAGCACGGACCGGGGAGGAATAGCACGACACGGCCGCGGACACTGCACTCGACGCTTTTCAAGGGGCCAGTGTAGACTGCCTAACTCACCGATACAGTTGTCAGTCTGCGGCTTGCCCGCCTCATGGTCCTCCCAGTCCTGGCCGTTGGAATCCAGCTGCGTGTCATGGTTAGGCTCCTGCTGCAGAGGCTCCCCTTGCTCCTCACTAGGCTCCTGCTGGTGTTCAAGCTGCGGGGGGTTCTGTTCCGGCTCCTGCTGGATTTGCTGCGGCGGATCCTGGAGCCCTTCTAACGATGATCCCTGCTCCGCCTCGAACTCCTGACGCATTTGCCGCTGAATCTCCTGCTCTCGCTCTGGTTGAGTTTTCTCCTGAGGTTGCGGCTGGGACTCCCGTCGAATCTCCTGAGGTTGGAGCTCCAGCTCCTGGTGATTCTCGGGAGCCTGTCCCGCAGGCTCCTGCTGACTCTCCCCGGGCCGCGGCTCCCCCTTATTCTCCTGAGTCTGCCCCTCCTCCCGCTGCCCCTCCGCCGGCTCCGGCTGCGGCTCCGGCTGCGGCTCCGGCTGCGGCTCCGGCTGCGCGCCGGGCGGCGCCGGCTCGGGCCGGCCGGCGCGGCGGCCGTAGGGCTGCGGCTCGGCGGCGGCCGACGCCGGCGGCCGTTCCGACTCCCGCCGGCTGGTGTCGGCCGGCCGGCGCGCCGCCACCACGCTCGCCTCCGAGTCGGGCGTCTCGTCGATGCTCTGCAGCGACACCGAGTCCTCGCTGGACAGGTTCGACGAGCTGACCGCCTGCGAGCCGTAGCCGCTGCAACAGGGGACGTGCGCGCGCGCGCGAGCTCACTCGCCCGTCCGACCGCAGCCAGCGCCAGCGATCGTCGTCACTGCACGCGCAGCCCGCACGCGGGCATGACGTCACGCACTGCGCATTCGCCGCCTTTTCAGCGACCACAAGTCGATCAGAACGAGTATAAAATGGCATGTGTCTGGCTCTTGCAATTTCACATGCGGCTTTTTGATATGGATTTGCTATAAGACCAGATCTTAGCCCCGACACATCGGATTTGAACTATCGGTAGACACACCGCTTTCCTCTCAATAACGTTTTCGCTGGCGCGACATTGCCTGCAACGGAAGAGGTTGGAGATGACTGACCTGGAGGTAACGCTGGGCGAGTTGGTCTTGGCCGGGGCCGGGATCTCCACTAGGGAGTCAAACGTTCGCGAGCTGCGCATGCGCCCGGAGAGCCGCGTCCGAGCAGCCGCGCCGCGTCCCTGAAACATCACACGGACGGCGCGTCACGACATGACCGCTGTTCCCCGCCGCTGACGGCAGCGCGCAGAGGCTGTAAAGGCGGCGTGTAGAGGCATCCGGCGTCATGGTGGCGCCGCTGACAGGACGGGCGGCAGATTCACCGGGACCGGCTGGGCAGGGCCAGCGGCATAACTCACCGGGGCCGGCTGGGCGGAGCCAGCGGCAGCACTCACCGGAGCCGGCTGGGCGGGGCCGGCGGCAGCACTCACCGGGGCCGGTTGGGCGGAGCCGGCGGCAGCACTCACCGGGGCCGGCTGGGTGGAGCCGGCGGCAGCACTCACCGGGGCCGGCTGGGCGGAGCCGGCGGCAGCACTCACCGGAGCCGGTTGGGCGGAGCCGGCGGCAGCACCCACCGGGGCCGGCTGGGCGGAGCCGACGGCAGCACACACCGGGGCCGGCTGGGCGGAGCCGGCGGCAGCACTCACCGGGGCCAGCTGGGCGGAGCCGGCGGCAGCACTCACTGGAGCCGGCTGGGCGGAGCCGGCGGCAGCACCCACCGGCGCCGGCTGAGCGAGCCGGCGGCAGCACTCACCGGAGCCGGCCGGGCGGAGCCGGCAGCAGCACTCACCGGGGCCGGCTGGGCGGAGCCGGCGGCGTCTGCGCGCTCCGGCGATCCCTCGCGGTCGTGGTCCTCGTGCAGCGTGCTCATCCTCGAGGCCAGCTTCAGCGAGCCCGGGCTGGGAGTGGCTGCGAACGGGCGTCGCGTCAGCACGCGGACTGGCCCGGCGTCCAGAGCACGCCAAAGGGGGCAGGAAAGCCTCACCGTCAGCTAACATGTTAGATCAGAATACTAACGAGCGTGATTTATCTGTCAACAGCCACAGAGTTATTTAACACCTTGAGATCATGGCCAATATCAGGTGACGGCATGTGGGGTAGTCTGCCCACGTGACAGCATACACACGTAATCGAAATTTCAATAATAACAACCCACAAATGCAGCTGCAAGGCCAACAAATTAAAAAGAAGTCTGAACGCATTCGCCAAATGAAAACAGCAAGCCAACCTCATCGCGTTCTACTTGCCATGCAAAAACCCCGCCAAACAAGGTGCCAGTGAGGCAACACACTGACCGGAACACACACACACACACAGAACCGAACGGGGCTACGGGATCGCAAGCCCTGCTCCGGGTCACGTGACACCCTGCGGGCATTGGAGAAGGCAGCCCGCCGTGATATGCGGCACCCAGGCGGTCGAGAGGAGCTCTATACCATGCTCACACGGCCCCGTCCTGACCGGAGGCAGGACATTGTCATACCGGACACCTGGCAGCGCTTAGAACGGACTCACCGCGGCGGAGCTGTACAGGCTCTGCCCTGCTGCCAAGGCCTGCTGGTTACTCGCGTAATAATGGATGGAGATGAGATGAGATTGTGAATAGCCATGTCGCTTCATCATTTTAGCCCTTGCAGGAATAATTTGACCGGTTTTGATCATACCTGTCGAGTCAGAGTATGGACTCAACAGTCTTTTTTATGATCGGAGAATTTGCAGCACAATACCGGCGTCGCTCTTAAACCCTTTAGACCCTTCTGGCCACTTGCCAATCAACCGCCAGCACCTAACGATAGAAGCACGGTTTTGAGGTCTCGAACAAACGCGACCGAACACAGCGGTCGCTTCTCTGGAGTTCCACGAGCCGAGAACCATGGCGAAGACCAACATTGCCATGGCCCTGGAAACCATTGGCCAGGGCAATTCACTAGGCTTGCTTCGCGAAAAGCCATTATGAACACTACCTAACAGTTCACTCACGTCATGTCTATCCATGTCTGATCGACAAAGCCATGGGTGATGCTTTGCCTCGTTTTCGTTCCAGCGAACCAACGGAACCGCACATGTTTCTCCACGCTGGATGATTCCACGCACTGTGGCTCATAACGCCCGCTTTCATGCTGAAACCGACACGCCTGCGCTGAGGCATTAGCCTGGTGTTGGCCAGGCCCGCAGTGTGGACGTGGCCCCAGCTCGGCACCCCGCCCCTGACGTCATCACGGACGGGGGTGGCTGAGGCCCGAGCGGCAGCTAGCGTACGTGCAGCATGCGGCGGCAGCAGCGGCGGCAGCGACAGCGGCGGCGGCGGCGGCGGCGGCGGCTCGGCGCCCGCCTCCTCATGCAGCGCCATCAGTGAGCCGCTGAGGCCAGACAGCATCGACCTACACTTGGACATGGCGCCCTGCAGGCGGCCGCCGGCCGTCAGGTTCAGGAACGTGGGCCGATCTGCGGAGCACGCGCACCGGCACGCGGTCAGACAGAGCCGGCGCGCACGCGTGGCGAACGGCACAGGTCGCGCTCATGGAGCGGCCGGTGAGACCAGAGCGGAGGCGGGCCCTCTGGTCGCGCACGAGTTTCGGTCCGCGCGCAAAGGGGAGTGATGGAGAGGGCCGGACTATAGCGAGGTCATGAAACACAGCAACACGGGCCGCAGGTCTCCGCCATCCGCTGCGGTGACCACAAACAGGGCTGTGGCGAACACGCCGCCGACTGAAGCTCGACCACCAGCGGCAGAAGCCGCGCTGAGGACCTCCGGCCATAGCACGGGGAGACGACCGCGGGCCCGCAGCCGGCCATCTGTCGCATTGGGATCAGCATACCTGCTCGCCTAGCCGTTACAGCTACCTCCCCCCCCCCCCCCCCTCTCTCCCGTCAAACCAGTCCCCTCGGCGTCAGCCGGCGCGTGGCCGGGTGGCGAGCGCCGGCCGGCCGACGGCCCACTCACTGGCGGTGCGGCCGGAGCTGTCTGCCTTATGGCCGCCGAGTGAGAGCCGGTGGTGCGGAGGGTCGGCGGAGTCGCCGGCCGCCGGCAGCCCGCTCAACTCCAGGAAACTCTCGGACCGGTTCACGCCGTCCGGCCGGTGGAACTGGCGCACCGGGCGTCAAGTCAGGTCAGGTCAGCAGGGCTAAACGGCCGGCGACGGGTACCGCACGGGCCGAGACACGTCGGCGGGCTGGCAACGCGTGCTACTTCCCGAAGCGGCAGGCGACAGGCTGAACGACACCAGAACACTACACACTGTGGGACTGCCTCATCTAATCTGACGTTTGTTTCAGCTGGGCACTTGCGAAACAACAAGATATTCAGGTAATCACTTTCGGGTAGGCGACCCATTAACATCCCGCAACAGCAGCCAACACCATCGCGCAAATAACTAAGGCTGGCCCGCGGTCACGGGCGCACCGACAACGAAAAACTAGCGGCTCGCATTAACGTGGATGACGCCCGTGCGTTGAGAATGCCGGTGATCCCGTCCAACGTTGACCCGCAGTCCGCCCGAGCCATCAGTGACGCAGGGTGGCCCGCAGCCGCGCGGCCACACGCCCGACTCGTCGTCACGCCCGTCACGGTACTGACGTAGCTGATGTTGGGCACGCTGGCCGTCTTGCGCATGCTGCCGGTGCCGGAGAGGGGGCCGGCGCCGTCCTGGATCAGCTCCTTGACGGCCACGCTCTGGCGCAGCCGGTCCAGTCGCAGGATGCTGTCCACGGCGCTCACGCCCTGCAGGTACTTCTCTGCGGAGCGGGGCCGATAGGCTGCGTCACACGACCGGAAGGAGGCAGCGGCACCGCCCGACTGCAGACGACGCACCGGTCGACACCGGACCGGGTCCCGCCATGCTCCGCAACGCCGGAGTAGGTCCCGCCAGACTCCATAACACACAACACTGGTCCGAGTCGGACTGTGAGCCGGCCTGTGTCGGGCCATACAGACTTACTGGAGCACAAACCGAGCTCAGCCCAACTGCCGACCCAGCACAGCTCTCCCATCATGCCTCAGGCCTAGCCCAGTCCTTGCTTGCAACACTGGCCCCGTCTTAGCTCGCGAGAATAGCCCCGTCCTAGCTCGCGACACTAGCCACGTCCCAGCTCGCGACACTAGCCGTCCTAGCTCGCGACACTAGCCACGTCCTAGCTTGCGACACTAACCACGTCCTAGCTCGCGAAACTAGCCGTCCTAGCTCGCGACACTAGCCGTCCTAGCTCGCGACACTAACCACGTCCAAGCTCGCGACACTAGCCCCGCCACAGCTCAGACGCCCACTACGCCTGCACTCGTCCGGCTGCTGACCGCGCCCCGCCACGCGTCTCAGCAGTCCGCCCGCGCGCCGACACGCGCCGCGCCCTCACCGATGTACGTCTCGCCGTCCGGGTCGCTGGCCTCCTGTCCGGAGGCGGCGATCTGCGCTAGCGACTCGCGGTCCTCCAGCTCCTCGCTCGCCTGGGGGGACGGCGGGGCTGAGCACCACCACTGGGGGGGGGGGGGGGGGGGGGGGGGCTGGTCGACTCAATCCTACCCCGCCCCCTCTCCAAAGCGTACAGGTTCAAAATGGGGGACACTCACTGGAACGGCCGCATCCTGGGTTTGCTTCGGTGGACAGAGTGGTTATATACGGCGTACATCCGCCTCGCATATCTCCATATTCGACCACATTTCAACGTAAAAGATTCTAGAATGCCAAAAGATCATTCGGCAAACTTTGTCACTGACCAAGTATCCACGGAGTTGCGTTTCAAACCACTGCCAAAAGGCGGGATCCCGGGCTCGCCAGCCCCTCACCTTCGGGATGTTGGAGACGACCTCGTAGACGACGCCGGTGGCCTCCACCTGGTCCGTGCGACGAAGCGAGATGCTGCGCATCAGCTTGTTGGTGAAGGTCGGCTTGTAGATGTTGACGGCGAGTCGCTTGCGCAGTACGATGTCCATGGGCAGCGGCTGGCAGAGCCGCACGCGCACCAGCAGCACCAGGTACACCCGCTCGTTGGCTGCAGACCGGGGGAGAGCGGCCGCATGAGGCGGGGCCGGGGGGAGAGCGGCCGTCTGAGGTGGAGCCGGGGGGAGAGCGACCATGCGAGGTGGGGCCGGGGGGAGAGCGAGCATGTGAGGCGGAGCCGAGGGGAGAGCAGCTCCGGAAACGATCTGTTTCTAAAAACAACTTCGCCACGCATGGACATCAGCCGTCCTCCACCGGCCAGTGACGCGACAGTGTCGGAGACTCCAGCCCACCGGCGCTGTCTGCCGGCCAAGACCGCGTCTATGCGCTCGCACTGGGCGCCACAACCGAGTGTGATTCTGTTGAGGTTCACCGGGTGTGATTCTGTTGACGTAAACCGCGACTCACCAGGTGTGATTCTGTTGACGTAGGCCGCGACTCACCAAGTATGAGCCTGTTGAGGTAAACCGAGACTCACCGGGTGTGATTCTGTTGAGGTAGACCGAGTCGTGCACGCTCGAGTCCCACTGGGCCACGGCGGCCACGCACGGCCCGTCGGCGGCGCGCACCGGGTGCAGCGCCACCATGTGCTCGCCGTGCTCCTTGGGCAGGTGGGAGCTGACCCCGGCGCACGCCAGCTCGCCCGCCAGAGAGCCCGAGCTCAGGTCATCCGCTGCAGGACAAAACACCGCCTGGTCGGGGGTCCAGTCGGGGGGTACAGGGGCAGGCTGGTCTCGTCAGAGGGGGGGGGGGGGGGGGGTCGGCCGATGCGGGCGCCGGCCGGCCTCCCCACGGCGCTGGCGAAGCATCGAGGCGCAGCTGATGTTTGGGCGTGCTAGCGGCCTGCGTCAACAGCACGGCGGGAAACACCCCCGCTGATCGGGCACAGCTAAGTCATCGGAGAACCGCTGGGTAGCGAACACACACACACACACACACACACGCACCGTCACAGCACCGCTGACGTCACCCGTCAGCGGTGCTGTGACGAGTGACGGAGCGGTCACAATCAGCGCGTGCCCGCCCCAGGCGCGCGATCTGAGGTCAGGACTAATCCGTGTGCGACGAGGACAGGCCAGGCCGACACGCCCCGTCTCGAGGCGGAGAGGTCGGACCGGGCCGCTTCCGCCCGGCGGGTGCCGTACCGTTCAGGTTGAGGAAGAGCACGGGCACGTGCCGCTCGAGGCCGGCGCGCTGCTGCACGTGCGCCGAGAGCGGCGAGCCAGGGATGCCGCTGCCGGCCGCCGGCACCAGCACGGCGTTACGCTCCTCGTTCAGCTGGATCCACTGGTCCAGCAGCGACTTCTCGCGCTCGTTGTCCGCCTCGGTTTTGTCTGCAGCAGAGCGGCGCCGCGCCCGGCCGTTAGCGGGGAGCGGGACGGCGCGGCAGCGGGGAGCGGGACGGTGCAACAGCAGACGGCAGCCGTCAGCGGGGAGCGAGACGGCGTGGCAGCGGGGAGTGGGACGGCGTGGCAGCGAAGAGCGGGACGGAGTGGTAGTGGAGAGCGGAACAGCCGGGAACAGGACGGCGTGACAGCGGGGAGCGGGATGACTTGGCAGCGGAGAACGGGACAGCGAGGAGCGGGACGGCGAGGAAGCGGGGAGCGGGACGGCGTGGCAGCGGAAAGCGGGACAGCGGGGAGCGGGACGGAGTGGCCGCGGAGAGCGGGACAGCGGGGAGCAGGACGGCGTGGCAGCGGAGAGCGGGACAGCGGGGAGCGGGACGGCGCGACAGCAGAGGGCAGCCGGCAATCGCTGACGCTATGGCGGCCGGCGCCGGAGAGCCTTTTCCCGCGGTAGGCTTGAGACAGACTCTAGCAAAATGCACTGCGATATCTTGTGACGCGTCAGCCAGTAACATATATTTCAGAAAATTGGGCCTACCACCAGAAGCGTTTGAATTTCATCCTGCCAGAACAAGAATAAGACCGCGATCCGAAAACATTAGTTCCCAACAAACACCGATCGGCAAAAAATTGCCGCTTCTGCGTTTTATCTCTGGCCGTAACGCTACATACCAAACAATGCAATGGAAGTAGCACTATCGAAGCATAATAAGAATACGTATTACACTCGTCTCTCATAGCGCCCACACTTAGCCAAATCTTTACCCAACCATTTCGACGTAAAGACAACATCCCTGTCAGAAAACTAACGCCGCGTAAATCGGGCAAGCATGAAGCAACCATGTCTTACCCCGCCAATGCGATGAGCCCGATCCCTGTACCAGAAACCATGCGATTGCTGTTACAGGCGAAGGTTACAATCGCAGCCCTCCAACCCCGACACGTGAACGCCCTCCTCAGGGCCGGACCTGACCTTGTTTCTTGATGATCTTCTGCAGGTGCGAGTCGAGGTACTGGCGGCGGCGGACCAGCGCGCTGGACCAGCGCTCGCGCAGCTGGTTCAGGTCCGCCTCCTGGTACGAGTCGAGCGGCTTCTGCATGCGGTACCTGCGCGCGGAGGGGGCGCCCGCTCAGCCGACAACGGCGCCGCGTTCACCGCGGCTCGGCCGACGCCCGCTCAGAGCCGGGCTTTCAGAAACCGTCCAGAAAACGTAACTTATACCGATCTCATCTACATTGACATTGATCCGGAGGATGGCAATAGACGTCTATTTTCACTCACGGCGGTTAATTGCGCCACGCTAACAATACGGTTTATTTTGTGGCTGAGCGCGTGCCTGTGCGCCGCTTGCTGGAACCGAGCGACTGCACTGCGCACTCAGCACGCTTCGCAACAATGCAAGGAGGCCACCTGATTTGACAGCCATTTAGAACAATATGCATTCGCGCCAAGACAGAAACAATCAAGACAAAGACAAACTGCAAAGGATAACAACCCCCGCGACCGACATGCGCTGCATTCGCTGAAGTGCGCTCGCAGTGACTTAACAGCTCCACTGCTCGGGCACACGAAGACGGTCTGTGTCGGCACCGCGCCAGGTCTGCGAGCCCCGGCCGGCTCGGCGACTCGACCGGCCGCCACTCACCGGCACGTCACGCTGCCGATGCTGATGGCCGAGATGGCGTCACAGACCAGCGGCAGCGTGCCGGAGTTGAGCACGGGCAGCACGCGCACGGCCAGCCGGCGCTGTTGGCCCTGACGCAGTTGATACACGCCGCCCGAGGCCACGTCCGTGCGCGCGCACACCTCCACCGGCTGGTACTCGCCTGCGGGGGAACGCGAGTGGCGGCGCCGGTCAGCGGCACCGCCCGGTGGCGCCACAGGGAGCGGCGACACGCGACGGTGCGCCAACGCCGGGCGCGCCATAAAACACGACGCCGAACATAGGGCTCGAGAACAAAAGAACGTCAGTCGACTCCACGTACTCCGGCAAAGAAACGGCAGCTATCTAGTCAAGCACACCTTGACAAAAGACAGACCGGAGGTCGTTACGACGAATGTCCCAGGGCATCCTCTCACCGTGGTCGTTGAGCTCCTGCAGCTCCACCCAGAGCTCGAGCTTGCGCGTGAGCTCGGCCCAGCGGTCGGCCAGGGAGCGCGCCTTGGCCAGCTGGCTGTCAACCACGTCCAGCGTGGTGGGGACGGACGAACTGAAGCCGGCTGAGCGATGACCCCATACCTCCACCGACAGCGCGCCCTCTGCCGCACGGACGATGGTCAAGCAAGGCGAGAGCCGCACAAGGCGGGCCCCACACCTCCACCGACAGCGCGCCCTCTGCCGCACGGACGATGGTCACGCAAGGCGAGAGCCGCACAAGGCGGGCCCCACACCTCCACCGACAGCGCGCCCTCTGCCGCACGGACGGTGGTCACGCAAGGTGAGGGCCGCACAAGGCGAGGGCCGCACGAGGCGAGGGCGACACAAGAAAGCCTGTCCTTGATGCCAGGGTCACATGAGGGGTGTGTCGCACGAGCCGTGGGTTACACCCGGACATCAAGGACGAAGTGTCACAGGACGCTACACAGTCACAAGAGGTGCGGGTCGCAGGTGAGCGTCACGCGGCCGGCAGGCTCGAGAGGCCACACGGTCGGTGGGCCCCGCCGTCGGTGACAGCGCCCCCACGTGGCACACATCGCTCTAGGGCAGACCCGCAGCCGGGGATCGCGCCCGGTCGCCGGCTTAGGTAGCTAGTTGGTGACGAGTTCGGGCTCAGGGGCGAGTCGACGGCGGCGGTGATGGTGCGCCCCTGTCTCGCATAGTGACGGTATATAGGGGTGTCGTCGGACGTACCGGCGCAGTTCTCGATGAACTCCTCGCAGACGGGGATGACGAAGTCGCGGCAGTGGTCGAACTGCACCACCACCCGGTCGTTGGCGCACGAGGACGCGCTGTTGCTGATGATGGGTGGACAGACCTGCGGAGCCGGTGGACGGCTTCACACGAGCCCAAGATGGCCACGGCCAGCGCGTCGGTGGTTACAGGGCGTGGCAACAGCAGCGAGTCACACGCATCGCCCCGCCCCCTCCCCTCCCCCCCCCCCCCACCATCGATGCGTGCAGAAAAGGCAAACGGAGAGTAGAGGTATGAGACGGCTTGGCCTCATGTCTCTCGCAGAGACATAACTATCGCACTGACGGGCGAGATACAGCGCCTCGTTGTTTGGGCCAGCAGCGACAGAGCGCATGACTCGGAGGTCGGAGGTCGGAGGTCGGAGGACTCCCAGCCACTCACCTGAGTCTGAGAGCAGCCCCAGAAGTTGTATTGGCAGAAGACGAAGTGCGACAGGGACAGCGGCAGTCCGGTGGCTTGCTTGATCGTCACCTGGACCCGACAACAGATGGCGTTACAAGTCGGTCAGATCTCACCCCGCCGGTCGCCGTGCCATATCAGGCCATCATAACGGTCCGGCTCTGCGGTCGCTTTCTAAGGTCATCCTTCTCGCTTCCCGAGTAAAATGCCCTGGCCACGGTATTAGCTAAAGTTTCAGCAGGGTGCGGGCAATATCGCGCGACGGATCAACTTCCGCATTGATCAGATTTTTAAAGGCAATATGATTCAATCTGAGCTTTTGAGAACAAAACCTTCCAGGTCTTCAGCGCTTGAAAGCACCCTAAAGTTTGACCTAGCCGTCCGTTTTTACCGTCGATAACCATGACAAGACAAGAGGCGCCTGGCATGACGACAGAAGGCCAGCACTACCGTGGCGGCTCACATAGGCGGCCACGCTACCCGCACCCGCGCGCGCCTGTCCAGAGCGGCCGGCCGAGCCCGGCCGGGCCGCGGCTCTCGCTACCCCGCTCACGCCCTCCGAGAGAGGTGGGAACTGACCCGGCAGGTGACGGTGTTGGTCAGCAGGTCCTCGTCGCTGCGGCTGCTGTCGCCCGAGTGGTTCGAGGTGGAGTCGGCCATGCGGTCCTGGAAGCAGCCCGCCACGCGCTCCAGCTCCATCTGGCGGCAGCGCGGCTCGGTCAGGTCAGGTCAGGTCAGGTCAAGTCCGGGCTCGGGTCACCACCAGCATACACAACGGGGCGGCGGAAAGCTGCGGAGCACAGGAAACAGCACCATCCGCGCGACGAGTCCGGCGAGTCTACCCCGCCCACGCACCGAACATCACAGCGTGCGCCAATTCGTGAAGCCTCTGCGCTCGTCAATGATATGACGTTTGCACCGATGAACACAGCACAAGCACAAGCGCTCCACAGCGCACATTGAGCCCCGCTATGCTTTCGTCCCGTGCCGCCGGACCAGGGCCCGGGGGCCGCTCCGGAGCCGCGTCCGGACGGCGCCGGGTGGCCCGCCCACTCACGTGCAGCCGGCCGGCCACGTCGCCCTGCTGGCTGATGATGGGGACCTGGTAGGAGAGACACACGTCGTGCAGCACCGCCTCCAGGAAGAGGCTAGCCACGCCGATCAGGTGGTGATTCTCCTGCGTCTCGAAGAACGGGTCTCCGAGCGTGTCCTGCGCGGCGCGGCGCCGGAGAGGTCAGGTCAGGTCAGGTCAGGTCAGGTCAGGTCCGGTCAGGTGAACTGGAGTGTGACTGCTCGTCCTAACCAGCCTGTAGCTGGTACCGATACACGTAACACGGGGGCAATACCCAGTCAGCGGTACTCGTAAGGCGAGACATCGTTCTACGCAGGAATTACGGCGACTGTGATTACGGTGATTTATTGCAAGTGCTCAAAAGTCAGACCGATAACCTGGGCCGAGGCCAACGCACCAGTATCGTGGTGAAACAGAGCAGTCTGGTGTGGGCAGTCTGGAAGCACCAACCTGCGTGAGCGATCCACTCTGGATTTCATTGAAGAGCTCCCTCATGTCCACCAGCTTGTTGTCCAGCTTCTCCAGACTCCAGATCTGGTTGGGATGGCCGCGGCGCTTCACGCAAATCGCCGGCTCGCACACGAACAGGCCCCGCTGCCGAACCGTGAAGCAGAGCTCACTTGGCAGAAGGGTCAGCCAAACAGGCGCCCTCATGAACCACGTGAGCGTCTTTCCAAGGTCAGCACGTTGTTGAAGGTTTCACGCAAGATTGTAGTACTTCGCAACAACGCAAGATTTAATTACTTTCCGACAACGCAAGATTCAATTACTTTCCGACAACGCAAGATTCAATTATTTCCAATAACGCAGGATTCAATTCCTTTCTAGCGATTCCCCGTATCTAAGTACGTATCGTACCTAAGCACATTACGAAGACATGCGTCAAGGCACGAGCGTGCACCAAACCACTGCACTGTTTCCCCACGGACTTATGCCCGGCTTTGAGCCCCTCTGCCACAGCCGCGAGGGCGGCTCTGCCCAGAGCGGCGCCCAGTGCCCGGCGCACCGCCGGCGGTCGTACCCGCCGGTTGGGGCCCAGGTTCTCCGGCGGGATCTGCAGCGTCACCGAGTAGCTGGTGCTGCGGCGCAGCTCGGCTGCCATCGAGCTCGCCTCGCGCGCCAGCGAGTTGGCGCGCACGATCTCTTGACGCAGGGTGGCCACGCTGCGGCGGAACTGCTCCTCCCTGGCGGCGGCGGCGCCCGTCAGAGGCCGTCCGCGCGCGCCGCGGCACGCGGTCCGCTGGCCAGAGGTCGTCAGCGGTATTCTCACGGGGAGTGACGTGAATTTAACATGGGGTGCCACTACGAGCGCAAAGCGACGGCTCGAAATGTCCGTTCTATGACAAGATTGGAGAATGATTGGAGGGCTGTATGCCATTCGCTGGGGAGATTTCAGAGCGATATTCGATATCCCAGAAGTCAAAATGGAAATAACAATATCACCCTCCAATTGTTTTTCCGTCAGCATTATCTTCTTTCACGCGGGTTGAAGTTTTTGAAGACAAGCGCACAAGGCACAAACGAAAGGTCTAGCGTCGAAGACCTGATCCACCACATTTGTGTTTCATACCGCTTCCACGCCAGCACAGATCACGCTTTGAGAAAATTCAAGACGTCTGCGGCTTAGCAGCTGCGGCTATCTGCCGTAAGTACACCAAAATGTCAACGAATCCTCGCCTCCCCTCTCCTCCCTGTCTACCAGACAATGAACTTAACACCCCAGCGTTTCCAACAAACACCCGTTGGCCTCCAATCATCACGAGCGAGCTTAGTTAATTTACATCAGCACCAGTTAATTTACTCCCGGCCAAAGTAAACAAAGTATGCTTATGGGAAGCTAACTTACAGTCCACACGTCGGCCAGGCAAGGCCGGCCTGCGCGCCGCCACCGCCGCCGCCGCCGGGTGCCGCTCACCTGTCGCGCGCCCACTGCTCGAGCCGGGACTGCGCCAGTGGGCTGCAGAGCGTCGCGCCGCGCCGCAGCCCGTCCAGCGGGCCGAACTGGCCCGGCGCCGAGGGCGACATGGCGCTCCGCAGCCGCTCAAACTGGCGCTCGTACTCCAGCCGCTGCTGCTCCAGCGCCACTGGCGGCACGAGCGGACGCGTTCGCGTGACGGGCGGCCGCCAACGCGGGGGAGCACACCGCGGCAGCGCATCCGGAGGACGCTCTCAGGACGTGTGAGATATACCGACCACACAGCGCACAAATATGCCCTGGCGTTAGCAACGGCACCAACATCTCACAAGGATGCCTTGGTACAAGTAACGGCATTAAGCACGCTTAAGGCTTTTGCAGCGACCGTGTGAGTGCTCTGCTAGCCCGGCACGCCAGCCCGGTGGTGTGCGCGCGGCCCCACGCCCTCCACCAGTGTGGCCCACACCCTGCAACGGTGGGGCCCACGCCCTGCACCAGCCGGGCTCACGCCCTACACCAGTCGGGCCCACGCCCCGCACCAGCCGGCCCCATGCCCTGCAGCAGTCGGGCCGCTTACTCTGCTTGTCCTGCTGGTGGTGGTGCTCCAGGCGCTCGATGGCCGCCTGGATGGGGTTGTCGCCCAGTTCCTTCATCACCAGCTCCTCCCGGGCGAAGTTGTAGTCGAAGTTCTGCGCCGGCGTCTGAGCCTCCTGGCCGCCGGCGCCCCCTGACCATCGCAACATGCAGGATTTGCATCAGACACAGCATGCATACATGCACCGAAGGGGCACGTACTGAACTGGTTACAAGGTAACAACCATATCAACCAGCAACCATCGGAAAACAACAAGGTGGTTAGAGACACGTAATTAACTCATCTGAGTGTGAGCTGGTATTCAGCAGGGTCAACTTATGCGAGTGGGACGCGCAAATCGAAGAAAGCCATTTGCCAGTGGAAGCAGCATACGGAATCCGAGCAGGCCACTGCCCAGCCGTGCGGCACGTCGATCTGCCGTTAACAGCACGCTGCACCGACCGCCGCCAGCCCGGCGCCACTGACCGCTGCTCCTGGGGCAGTTGACGCGGAAGAAGTGGTTGTTGCCCCAGAGGAGGCGGTCGCCGTGGCGCAGCTGGGTGCGCTCGGTGACCTGGGAGCCGTTGACGCAGCAGCGCGCGCCCTCGATGGGCAGCATGTGCAGCGCGCCGCCCTCCACCACCAGCCGGCAGTGCTCCGGCTGAATGCCGAGGCCCGACAGCTGGATGTCGGTGCCGCCAGGCGCGTCCGGCAGGCCGACCACCGTGTGCTCCTGGCGCAGGTGGCGGAGGCCGTCAGACCGCGCCCCGGCCCTGCTCCCGCAAGCCGCCGGCGTGGGGGGGGGGGGCGACGCTGGCCCAGAGCCCCCCCCCCCCCCCACACACACACACCACAGAACTACAGCAGGTATGGGGTGCAGAAATAAGACTGACCGACTGATTAACGGAAGCAAAAGAGGTGGGAGAGGAATACTGTGGATGGCAGTCTGCATGAATGACTGACATCATGTCAGTTAGTGTCAGTGTCAGTAAACCATACCCTGATCCTTCACCATCACAGAAGTTGCAACCTGCATCCACCATTTCACCCTAGACTCCATCTCGGCCACCAACGCTATTTGGAGAAGCAGCCGCAAGGTAACGAGTTTCATACCATCGTCGGTAATTGCAAAAAATAAGCAGATAGATAATTACATAAAACATAATTTATCACACGAACGACCCGCCCATTACACGTTGAGAGGTTCCGTGGCCCGCCGGGTACAAGACAGCTACATGGGACTACCCGGTTAATAAAACCTACTTGTGACTGATTACAAACGTGATTTCCTTTTGGCGGCGTTCTAGCGTCACAACGGACGCCAGACGCCTGGTCAACATTTAGACTGAGGTAGGGCAGGGCATCATGGTAACTGCCTTCCTTGCCCCGGCACGTTAGTGCTTCAGTGCCTGATCTCTCCACGCCTTCGGCTCGATGGACAAGACAGCACTTACCTTGAGATAATACACCAGCATCTCATTCAGAGACGGATCGGCATTCAAATTCACTAGGTAAAACTTGTTCTTCTGCACCGATATCCCGACCGATTGCACACTGATGCCCATCTTCTCAAGCGCCTGCTGCCTCTCCTGCTGCACACGACCTGCAACAGCGTCAGCCACGTCAGCGCCAGCCTCTCCTCGCCTGCTGCCTCTCCTGCTGCACACGGCCTGCAGCAGCGTCAGCTACGTCAGCGTCAGCCTCTCCAAGCCTGCTGCCTCTCCTGCTGCACACGGCCTGCAACAGCGTCAGCCATGTCAGCGTCAGCCTCTCCTCGGCTGCTGCCTCTCCTGCTGCACACGGCCTGCAGCAGCGTCAGCTACGTCAGCGTCAGCCACGTCAACGTCAGCCTCTCCTCGGCTGCTGCCTCTCCTGCTGCACACGGCCTGCAGCAGCGTCAGCGACGTCATCGTACGGCCGTCACCGTCGGGAACGCCGTCAGTCACTGACCAGGCCCGGCTCTCCCGGACCACTAACGATCACCTCTCCCCCACAACAGCCAACGCCCCGGCGTTTGTCGCCGGAGAGCTGTATATAATCAGGCGGCTAGGTTGCCGCGGAGCCGTGAGAGTCACCACCGGCCACGGCCGCTACTGGCCGTCAGTGGTGCGGTCGGGATGGCTGGGTGCGGTGCGAGCGGCGCGAGGACGCACCTGTCTTTTGCAGCTTCTCCTCCCAGGTCTCGGACATTTGGCGCATGATCTTCTCGTTTTCACTGAGCTTTTCTCGCAGGTCGAGGTCGCCCGACGCCTCCAAGTCCTCGATGGTTTCTCCAGACTTCAGACGCTGCAAACCACACACGCTCATGTGGCAGATCAATGCTGCTTAGGATTTCACGGATTACATACTGATGCAACATGTCCACAGAGTCTATGTTTCGGTCGCACACGTTTCGGTTCATGTATAACTACCTGGTTTCCTTGAGGTAAGTTCTAGCAAGCTTCCTCTAGCCCATGGCCTCTAAGATCACGTGATCTCGTGGTGTCATCTCGCGGCGGCCGCCAAACTTTCAGCACACGAACCCAACGCAGATCGCTTTACTCGGCTTCCACAAACGCGTTGTTTCACATGAAATCTGACACTCATTGCACCCACTAGCCTGTGATCAGTGCAGCGCCTGCCCGTCTGCACGCGCGCCGGGACCGCCAGGGAGTGGGGGACGCGGGGCCGGCCCACTCACCGTCAGCTGGTCCCGCAGCCGCTCCACCTCGTCGCGCAGCTCGCGGATGATGCGCGCGTTCGGGTCCTCGTTGACGACGGCGTGGTTGACGATGCGCTTGGCCCGGTCGGCGTACCTGTCGGGCGCGGCGCGGTCCGTCACCACACCAGCGCGGCGGCCTCGCGGCGTCAGCGTCCATCAGCCAACGACAGCAGCGCGTCACAGCAGAGCCACCGCGTCGCGGCGTCACGCCGGAGCAACAGCGTCGCACCAGCGGCGGGCCGACGACCGCCGGCAGGGGAACCGCCGCCGCTCGTGCCCCGCCGCGTGACGCGATCGCTGAGGGCCCACGCTTCCGAGCGGGCTCGCACCGCTGTCGGGTGTGTCCACGCTTCGGGCGGTTGGAGGGACGCGCGCGGCGGTGCGGCAGCCTACCTCAGCGTGGACAGCGTCTCCTCGTAGTTGTCGCTGGCCGGAGAAATGGTGGCTACCATGACCGTTTTGCTGTTTCCACCCAGGTTGTCCTGTGAGGCGCGCAGGCGAACACAGGCCGGTTAGAAAGGCGCCGCTCTCCGCTGCCGCTCTGCGCCGGCCAACGGCACGCCGAAGGTGTGAGCTAGATGCGCGAGCATTCAATGGCAAAACGGCCAGTGATGCACGCTTATGCAGGCAACAGAACTCATTGAGTCAACTCTAGACAGGCCAAATATGTTCACGTACAAACACCGTGTGAGCCAATGATTATTTGCCATCGGCACGTGCACCCCAAAATGGGCCAATGTCTGGCGCGTCGAAAACAGCAAATGCATGCGGAAAGCGAGTGGAAGCGAAACATGAAATTCAAATTACTCACACTAGCGGGGCACGAAATAGATAGTTATCACATCACGTAGGCCACAATGTACATGGTGAACGCCGAGGACGGCCCGTACTTTGAGAAGCCAGGTGAGAACCGAGTCCCTGTACGGGACAAAGTTGTCTTTGGTGCGCGTCTTGCCGGCGGAGGCGTCCGCCAGTTTGGAGATGACTAGTCCCAGCGTGGTGAGCGACCTGCGCGGGCGCCACAGGTCAGAGCGGGCACGGTCGCCAGGCCAACGAACGCCCTCAGGTTAGCAACAGGCCCGCAGCCACTGACGATGTGAGGCTGAAATCACTGGGTGGCGAGCCGTCGCTTAACAAAAACAACTGGCAACGTAACCCAGAGCCAATTTTGCAGGTGGTGGTAGTCGCAGTGTCGCAGAAACTGGCGGATTGGTCGCTCCGCGCAATTACGTCATCATGTATCGATCTTCCCTAAGTTACATAAGCACATACTCGCAAAGCGCCTGTGCATTTCGGGTAAGCATATGTGGAAAAGCAACTGACCACATTTTGACACGTAATCCATTCACATCAGGTTTGAGTTAGCAAAACACCATGACTGCCACGCCAGTGCTTGCGTCCTTCCGATTCCGCCCGCAACGACAGCCGACGAGGCGCCACCGGACCGCGGCTGCCTCCTCGGCGTGGGGCTCCACCCACTTGTTGATGTTGCTGCCCTCCTTGAGCCGGTCGCCGGCGGCCCCAGTCTTGACGGCACGCTCCGAGCCGGCCAGGTCCACCAGCGAGATGCGGCTGACCTTCTCCCCGGTCACGCCCGACTGTACGTCCGTCAGGGTCTGCCGAGAGGGGCCAGCCGTCACACAACAGAGACCTTCTCCCCGGTCACCCCCGCCTGTACGTCCGTCAGGGTCTGTCGAGAGGCGCCAGCCGTCACACCACAGGGACCTTCTCCCCGGTCAGATCCAGCTGCACGTCCGTCGGGGTCCGTCGAGAAGCGCCAGCCGTCATACAGAGGGCGACAGGCACGACTGATCGCCCACCGGCCGTCACATACAGCGAAACGCACCACAGCCGGCCGCAAACTAGTCTCGGGGCCCGGAGCCTCACCTGGGTCAGGATGACCGTGAACACGGCGTGCGAACGCGACGACTCGGAGTTCATGTTGGTGGCCGCCACCGTCCGTGACTTATTCCCCTCGACGATCAGCCTCTCGATGTCCTGCCAGCAGTCGGCATGACGATCAGTCGGCATGACGGCGCTGCTCTTCACCTCTCCACCCTCGCACGCGCCGACAGCGCGCAGCGCGAGAGAGAACGGCAGAGCGAGAACGAGAGGAACGGCAGAGCAGCGCCCCGCAGTAGGCGCCCGAATGATACCTGTCACGTGAGAAATAAAGCGGGAGACAGCGGAGCGAGGCCAGCTCGCGATCATCGCGTCCGCTTGAGGATTGATGAGTGACGGGCGGGTGCGCCCCTTCCCCCTCCCCCCCCCATCCCCGTCCACCACAACTGACCTGGCCTCCGGAGACGGCCAGCACAGACAGGCCGTCCACGTACGGCCCCAGCAGGTTGTGCTCGCGGACCTTCAGCGACTGCTTGCCGCCACGCGGGTCCAGCAGGTCGTGCACCTGTCCCCATACAGAAGGTCAGGTCGCCGCCGCACAGTCAGCCATGGTAATCAGCAGACTGAACAGACCCGTAAGCTCGTCCGGAGCACCACACCGGACACAGACAGCATCACGGCCGGAGGCATCACGTCAACCGCGTCATCACGTCAGTGACGTCATCACCAGGCCGGAGGCATCACGTCAGCCGCGTCGGCAGCGTCCGCCCGGCACCGGTGCAGTCGCCATCGGCGGCTGCATACACAACACACGCCCGGCTCATCCCACATTGGCCATGACAGCGGCCCAGCCTCGACTGTCGACCTGATCACGCCGCGATTTGCATGCATGACGCCGCCGAGCATCTGCGGCGCGGCGATCGATGGCCGCGGGAGTGTCGCCGCCGCCGCCGCCGCTGCTCGCGACCCGACGACCCGGCAGCGCGGCCGCCGCCGGGCCCCGCTTGAGCGGCGTCGCCGGCGCCGCGGCCAGCGCTGGTGACGCGGCTCAGCACGAGCCGCGGCCCGCGAGCAGCCGCAGGATGGATGCGCGCGCGTGGTGTGTGGCACACCTCGGGGCTTTGTTATGGGTCATCTGATCCCGCGCCAAACGAAGGATCCGTTTGCACTGTCCTGGACGTTGAGAGGGCTTTGGAGGTGTTGATACAGACACGCGACGGCCTTCCCACGACTGATCATTAGCGCGATCGATCTTCCGCGCCAGAAGGCCTCGGGCGGTAATGAGCTCCCTCGCCCTCCCCTCCCGTCCGGGCGAACAGGGACCCGGAACCTAGCAGCCTTTCCGCCAGTATAATGTCCGCTGAATATGGCTACTCCGATGACTCCCCCCGCCTTCATTCCCCCCATACACACAGGAAGCGCCTTACATCCGAAGACCGACCAAAGCCACGTTAGTGGCAATAAGGCTGTGCTTTTGTAGAGACGTATGTCATGGCGACTGTCGCGCTCTATTCGCCAGGGCATAAGCAGGATCGTCCGCCACGTAAGACAACGGCGTCCAGCGATGGGGAACGGGTCCGGCACTCTCCCTCCATCCGGGTCACCAAGCGAGCGTCACTTGCCACAGCACGCGGTGAAAAACGCATTGATCACATGCGGTTTGACCTTGCCACACAAAGCGCCTGTTTACAACAGGGCGCGGCACCACGCACCTTCTCGTTGTAGATCTCCATGTAGCTGACCTCGACCTTGCAGCTGAGGCCGGGGTCGGTGCAGCCGGCCACGCGGTCGAACAGGGTGTCGCAGAGGCGCGGGATGAGGCCACGCGAGTCGTGACTGCCCATCATGGTGTAGGACTTGCCCGAGCCTGCCGACGCCGGCGGCTGCGGTCACGACGGAGCCGGGGGGGGGGGGGGGGGGGGGGCGACGTCGCCGCGGGCGGCCGCGGAACGCCACAGCGCGAGCTGACGGCTCGCGGTGATCCCACCAGGTGAACGGAAAAGACGCCCAGGAGCGGCAGTGATCGACCGGCCCGGTGGGAGGCGCGCGATCCCCCGCCGGACGCTGAGAAATGCTTTTAATCGACCCAACCGACGCGTGTGACGGCACGCTTGTCTGACGGTGTCAGACAGGTCCGACTTGAAGCAGCTGGACAGCAGGCAAGCAGTCAACCGAGAGGCGGTAACAAAGTCTCGATCAATACAGCTCTGTGGGACGCGGCCGTGCCGCTGGACAGTGAACGCGGGGTCCCAGCGACTGTGACCTGACCTCGGCCGGCCCGGGCACAAATGGTCGCGACGCCGGAAATGTGTTTGACGTGGACCCCAAAAGCGTCAGGTTACGCGTGAAAGCCAAGAGAATACTGTAATCAAGATTTTGTCCGGTGGCAGCCGAGACCCATGATAGGGGTCTGGTACCCGAATGGCCCGTTAAAACACTTTCTGGGAGACGTCGCGGAAGCAACAGCCGCCTGTTCGCACCCAGGTGTGTTCCCAGCCACGGCACGCTCAGCAACGAACTACACAAACCATATGCGTTCAAAACAACTAAACATCACGATCTTAGCTATCCTAGTGTGTTACTGAACGCCGGCCCGGGCACGATAGCTTAGCCCCCGAGACGGCGATGCTGGCCGCTCTTCACGCGCGTGCGAGTCCGCCGGCGTCGAGCGCGGGCGGCGCGCGCGCCCGATCACGGCCGCGATAGCCAACTGGGCCGCGCGCGTCTCGGGTGTAACCGGACCGGACCGCGCCGACCGCAGAGGGAGCGGCGGCCCGGCCGGCGGCGGGACGGGCGGGCCCGCCTGAGACCGCCGCCGCCGGCCACCGGGTGGACGGCGGCGGCGGCGGCGGCCCGCCCAGCCGCCCGCGGCCACAGACGGGCGGGTCCAACCGGTCCACTTCCCGGGGGGCAAGCCTCGGCTAAGCGTTTAAATGAGCCCTGCCCGTGGCGTGCACTGTATTTACGGCTGTTGCTTGCCGCGGATGTGGGGCTGTTTTCGCCCACGCTGACGGGCTGACGAATGTGCTTTCGCTGTGCGCTGCGTCGCCTTACAGCGTATCAACGTTACCCTAATGTGAGCTGCGAAGGATGCATACCCGTTCTAAACTTCACGACAAATGCAAGGAAACTTCCCTGGAAAAATGACGGCGAAGAAGGACACCCTGCACTGCCCACGCTACGGTACAAACATGGAGCAAAGCACGCCATGACGATTATACCGAAAACCTCGCCTTGAAACATTCTGGCGAAGGAGGCGTTTCACAGAACCTTTGGCTCACTGGAGATTGCCGGAACGTCGCAGCATACCCGCCAGGCAGGTCATCACCTGGTAGCCCGCCTGCCACGAGCTATCTCCACACAAACCTGTTTGGCCGTACGCGAAGATGCAGGCGTTGTAGCCGGTGAAGGCGTTGTCCAGAATGTCCTTGCCCAGCGAGCTGAAGACGGTCTCCTGGCTAGCGAAGCGGGCGCTGCCGGGCTCGGACGAGTCAAAGCAGTGATCGAACGCGAACGTCTTCTGGCCGCGCCGGCCCGGGCTGAAACGCGGCCGCCGGTGGTCACGCCACGTGCAACAAGGTAGTAGTGACGGCCACCACTCGACGGTCAGGACGTCTGTGACCAGACGACGATCACGTGATTAGGCACCGGAAGATTGTCCATGGCACTCGCCCCACAAACGTCGGGGGGGGGGGGGGCATCGATCCGACCCAGGACGGTCATACCGCCGCTCGCTCGCCACCTCCCACGCTCACTTTGGCGGGACACGCCCCAGACATCCATCGAGGCAGGTGCGAGAGCACGGTGCGGCGTCACTGCTTGGTCATGGTCATCGCTATTGGGGCTTTACAACCCACTCAGCTGCTGAGGTTATGTGGCGACGCCTGCCTCTCACCCTCGCAGGAAGGATGGGCGCCGCAGAGAATTAAACCCTTGGCCTCTGGTTTCCCAGAATCGCGGACGCGTTAACCACACTATCGACACCCTGCGTCACCGCCTCAGCCCAACATCGAAGGTGAGGGCGGTCGTGGCAGCACGCGCTGAGTATCCATCGTCAGGAGGAAGCCGGCATCGTCCATGTGTGAGCGCTTCAGCCGGAGAGAGTGTGCCCGTGCGACAGCAGCTGCTGCAGGCGTCATGGTCCGATGGTGTTGCCTCCGACAGCTGCGCCAGACCGCCTTCAACTCATCGGAGCCTCACTCCTGCGTGTCATCAGCACGAGGCATGCGAGCCGAGTGCTCCCGACGAAGCAGGAAACTGACCAGCGTCGTGTCTCCTCAGCTCTGGTGACTGAGGTGATAGACGGAAATACAGGCCCACATGACCCCTATCTAATCCGTCTAAAACCACCGAGAAAGTAGTGCCTGGATTTCTTTGAGGTGATAGCAGGAAATACAGGCCGATATGACCCCTATCTAATCCGTCTAAAACCACCGAGAAAATAGTGCCGGGATTTCTGACATAACTCCGTACGTCTTCTGTTTGTCCAAATTTAAACACCAGCACGACAAGCTCGTCCGACCCAAACGCACAGCTGAACGCAGCTCGACGGATTACACAAATACCGACATCCTTGATAGTCTATTCTTCTCAACAATCCCTGTTGCCAGCGCCGATACCGACGCTGAGCCGGAGCAATGTTCGACGGTGTCCAGTGCATCACCCTGGTCCTCGTCACGAAACTACAACGGCCTAGTACAGCACTCGGCCGGGGCAGCAGCTATTTGAAGAGTGGGTCACACGACGTCGTGGGTACGGAGCACTTGATTCTCCCAGTGACGCAAGGACCGTCACAGGGACTGATTGCTGAGCCACGCTAATCGCGGCCAGCCTCAACATCACCGATAGTGTGTCACAGCTGCAACGAACCCCTGCTAACCAAGACCAAATGCTTATAACATGATACGATATGCTACGATATATATATATATATATATATATATATATATATATATATATATATATATAATGGCGCCGGCGACGATGACCTGTCTTCGCTAACGCCTCAGCACGACAACATGCTGCTCGGGTGCTCTAATTCTGGTTCCGTGCCAAATGCGCCAGCCGACGAGCGAACCGTGATGCCGCAAAAACAGCCTTTATCGTGCCGGAATCAAGCCGCTCAGCTCGCCCCCTCAGAGCCCGACCGTTAAGATCTCTGGAGAGCGGGTGCGGCCTTCGAAAACCGACTAATTTGGGGGGTGATTCTTGATGGAGCGTCATCGCCAGCGCGCCGCGCGTCCGCGATGGTGACGAGATGTGACGCCGGTCCCCTGGTCCTCCGTCACTGACACTGACAGTCACAGCAGAAACCCTTCAGCTCCTCCGTTTCGCCACGTTTCTCTCCGCGGCATATCATCGTCGGTGGGGCGGACTTCCCAACACTTCTCTGAAGACCTTCGTCCAACCACGGACATCTTCAGTCATCGCCGGCTTAAACTAGTGGCTCCTAATGATGTTCTAGCTGGCCGAGTACGTGTCGTGGGCAAGCCATGATGAATCTGCTGCTTTCATTCATAGATGTCTGAATCAACCGACGTCCTTAGGACAAAACTACGTACACCGACACCGACACCCAAGACACACAAACACCAACCAGACACACGACACACCATGCCTCGTCAAGATCTATTCCTTCACGGTGTTGCATGAGAACCACAACACACAAGACCTATTCCAGCACAACACACGGAATGACAAACACATGGACATTCAACAATGTGCATGGAATTGAAATGTCAATATGAATAACACGCAATCATAATACACAAAAACACCAAAACGAATAGCACGCCGAGCCGTCCGTGGCAGTGACCCCTAGAGCGCCGTCTGGCGCACTGGCCGCCACCCACCGCGGCCGCCTCTCCGACCGCCCCACATCGCAGACCGGACATCATCGCCGCCCGGCCAGATCGAGCCCGCCGGCGCGCGGCCGCGCCGGAACCGACGCCCGGAAGCGGGTCGACCGGGGGCGGCGCGCTGCGCGCGTGGAGGTCGGCCGTCGGCGGAGGACGCCGCCACGCGCTCCCCTATCTAATCAGAGGCGGCCGGCCGTTTGGCACGCCCGCCTATCGGGCCGCGCGGCGTAAGCGCCGCGCCCTGACGTCCGCCGGCCGACGGTGGACGCCAGCTGCAGGCCTGCTCTATTCGCCAGCTCCCGTGCGACCGCACGACCGTCGAACGGCTAGCGAAACCACAGCGGCAGCGGTGGGCGGCGTCGCAGCAGGTCGGACGGTATTCCGCGGTGCACGGGGTTACATGGGAAACACGGTACACGACGGCGGGCACGATTTCGTGGTCGCACACGTTTGAAATCGAGCTGGTGCTTGAAAGACGGAGGTACGGTAGAAGCAGCGCGCGCTTCGGGAGTATGCGATGCTTTCCCTTTTATCCAGCCTTAACAAAGTTTTCGGGCCTCTGCCACTAATGAAGGCCGTGTGGGTAATCCAATTCCGCCATTCCAGCTTCCCATTATAGGTATAAATTGCGCGGGAGAGCTGGCTAAGCATTACAGCATGCTCTCTAGTGCCCCATTAGTGCCACAACACGAACGTCTGGTGGGAAAGGTCTGCCTCCTTGAAGCACGAACGCTGCTGGTGGAACACGAGCCATGTGCGCCACCAGATCCCGCACGCGACCAGAGCTCTACAACGCCGCCGCCGCCGGGGCTTGTTACAAGACACGCAGGCGCGTGTCCCATCGATTCTCGGAACAAGATCGGTGGCACACGCCTGAGAGCCATCACCGCTCATTATAAAAACGCACGCAAAAGCGGGCGTGGCAAAAAACAACGACCGAGGGCAGTACACAACAAGCAGAGAAGCCGGGCACTGGGAGCAGCACGACTGCGGCTGAGTCATCGCACCTGAAAACACTAATAGCTAGGAGCCGCGCGCCGAGACGCTTTCCAGAGTAAACTCGACCGAGTCCTCGTCGCCAGACGCCCAACTGGGTGGTACCCAGTCACCTTTAGCGGTCCACGCCAGCCACGACACGACCATTCCGTCAACCGGTTCGCCTTTTTCCGTGTGCGCCCATCTGCGCGGAGAAAGCCTATCGCGATACATGAGTCCCACCATATCGCGGCGGTGCGATCCGGCGCAGCCGACACCAAACCGCTTCCACACACGGCGCTGCAGTGGCCTTGGGCGCCCGTTTGAGGTCGCACGGCAGTACAACACCTGCACAGCTGATACGCACAGCTTACGAACGCTTTCGGACGGTACGACGGCCTGCAAATCAATGGTAGCTGCGTGCTTGGCTAGACGGTGGCACTGATGACTGGGGTACGTTGTTGAGGTGGTTTCTACATATTTTGTTTACGCGCGCATAGTGTCACAGCCCCCCCCCCCCCCTCTCACGAGAATATACGGGCGAAACAGCCCGTCAAGAACACATGGGTCCCAGCGTACACATGAAACCAAGCGCTTAAGAGGCTGGTTTTACGCCCCCCCCCCCCCCCCCCCCCCGGAATATACGGGTGAAACAGACCGTCAAGAACACACGGACCCCAGACCACACATGAAACCAAGCGCTCACGAGGCTATGAAACTGACGACTTGCAACCTCTAAGGAAACGTCGTGGAACACACTGCAGGCAGCTGCTCACATATATTAGCATCCAAATCACCCGTACAGAGCAAAGAGCACGGTCACCTTAAGAGCGGAGCGACGAAATTCACCCTCAAGCATGCAGCACGAGACAACGCTGCCCATGATCTGGCAGTGCACAAAGGCCAGCTGAAACCGGAGCCCTACTTACTGTTGGGTTTTATCCAAGCTGGACGGACTCTGCAGGATTGTCTGGTTGTCTGCCATTTCAATGACACTTTGTGTGTCCAGGTCAATCTCTGCAAAACAAAGCACATATCGTTAAGGGTCGTGCCTCAGATCGTAAGCACAATGGCTACCGGTTGCTCTAAGCTGCATAACACATAAAGCGTCGACCCAATATATGGCAGCCAGCTCCTCACATTTGATGAGGAAAACCTGACCGAGTCTTCTAGGACTGGCTTTGAGATACGGGTTTCTACTAAGCATTATTTATCGCAGACATCTTGATCTCACGACTCCAATACAGACATCATTGATCAACGGAAGACTTTTGCGGATGAACTTAAACGCGCCACGAAGTCTGACACTTTCGCGCCGCCGTCGATTTTTGACCTGTCTGGGGTGCAAACCAACACAACTTTTCAGCCCCCCTGTGGTGCGCACCCATACACCTCTTCAGCTCGTGTGGGGCGCAAGCCCACACAGTTGTCACACATGTATGAAATAACGGACGCTCTGCCAGCAGAGGTACAGGAACGGCAGAATCGCAACATAAAAAGCACCGTCTCTCGATTAAGGCATTGCTGGTTCAGAATCAGCTCCCCACACACCAGCAATACTTCTGCGAACCGGTCATCAGATCCCACTGAGACTCCCGAGTCTCCGTTATTCGACGGAACCTGGTGGGCCTTTCCAAGTAGTCCGGGAGCACCACCAAGCATTTCGCTGAACCACCCGTTCACGCGGTTTCGCCGTCGCGTGACGGATCAGGCCCGCTGAGCGCCGAGGTGATCTCCCTTCATACCTACGATGTATGCCATCCAGGCTGACACCCTGCGTGATTCTACTGCCTCCATGTTTGATGTAAGCATATGACACAAACAAATCATGTCTATGGTACATTGTATTACATGCGTAAAAGCATATGAAAAGTCGACGGATGCTGTTTGGACTTTTGGACTCCAAGGCATCTGTGATTGTGACAATGTGTACTTTCTGTTCAAAATATTAAAGAATGAATCAATGACTAGGTAGTTTGAAATTCATTTCTCCAGATTAAATCATTGAATTATGCATTCCAAGCTGGTGGTTAACAATCAAACATGTTTCATGTCACAAATAACAATTTTTTATACCTGGACCTAGTTCCATAAGTGAAACAACAGACCTATACACTTTGAATTCAGTAGCTTCAATGCCCAAATCTGAAAAGGCTTCATCTAATGGACATCCTCCATCCCATTTATCAAAGCCATTTACCTAATAAGATAAAGTGTAATTGGCTAGTTCCTGACTTAAGTGCTGCCTGCCATTCCTCACAGCTCATTTTGTTTTCCAACACTGTAAGAAGCCCTCTGTAACCAGACAGCAAAACTAAACTTCAATTCCATGGAATTACCTGCCACACAGTTTAAGGGTCTGATCTGATGTGCACCATGTTTGTTATGGTCTAGGTGATATAGCAGATAAAGCATTACAATCACAGCACTCAATGCCACTCTGGAAAATTTTAAAAAACTAAGGGTGTGTCTGGAACCTGGGAACCAAGGTACCTCCCACTTTGGTTTGGCTTCATGAGACCAAAGCTTTTCCTTAATTATTTTGGAATCAGCATTGGCCTTGGGCCATTTTTCATGGCCGGCTTCAGCTTCCAACTGGCTTTGAAATATGACACAGGCTTGGGATTCATAGATCTTGAGCTGCTGTGCTTGGCCTTGTCATGTTGATTCTTCAATGATATTGTGGCTAAGCTTTGCAAGAACAGTCTTACCTGTACTGTCACCCTAATATGCCACACAAATTTTCTATATATACATCCATCAAGCCCAGACTAACACAGCTATTCTCATTCTCAGGACCAACTAACACCTAACTATGGACAGAGAACTCCTCACATTTAGGCAGGCCTGTGCAGTTTAAGCAGAACCAAAATGGCTTGTTTTTCTACATCAACATGTTGTTGTGCAGTGTTGTGTTTACCACAACTCATGATTTTGAACTTATGGGTTTGACTTTGGCCTCACGTCTAATAACTTTGAAGCCACTGGCAATGGCTTTGGCACTGAATTAAACGGTTGGCTTCAGAATCAAATTCTGCTTTCAAAGCCATTGGCTTCAGATTTGACTGCATTCTGGACTACAAAGCCACTAGCATTGACTTCAGCTTTGCAGCATATAACTTTGAAATCAAAGGCTTTGGCTTCAGCATTACATCACTCCCTAGCTTCAGAATCAGTAAGTGAAGCCCACTGCATTACTTTGCCCCCATGGCTATCTGCAACATACCTTGGAAGTTGGTACTTATGCTTATAGCCTTTAATATATAGCTCATTTGCCTCTTTTAGTTAAGTTTTTACAGACATTGTAGAGACCACTGAGCAAAAACTGCAAACACTGACTGCTTAGGGGTATGGACAGGGAGGTGATAATAAATACAACATAATCTGATGATTAATGTGGAGCCTTGAATATGCTGATTTGCAGGGTTGCTGTGTGCCAAGTCATGAACTAGAACTACTCTTAGAGAATTATCACAATACAATCAATATTTGACTACTGCCACAAGCCATCAGATTATTTATTGAAACCAACTCTTCAACTCTGGCATACAGGAAAAGCACATTCATATTTGTATAGATAATCAGAGTTGGCTTTCATTCAGCATCCCATATTGGAAATTATGTTGCAGTTCCAAATATATGAATGTTAAAAAGCACGCAAACAAGTTAAAAGACAACTGAAAGGCATTCAACTTACAGCAACATTCATAACTGTCAGATATCACAATTACTAGGCATCTGGCACAACACAGCAGTTTGCAACTTAGCATCATGTAACAGGTCACACCAGTATAAATGTGCAATCCTGGGGAAGGAAGTGGGTACAGTCATGTTTTTCTGAATAAGCTCTGGGTAGAAGTCATGATCCAATTACCATGATGGCTGCTGGTCCACAAAGAATGTTTTTGGATTAGTAAACAGATACACTGGTGAAATGCTGACTCACCTCTTTTGCTGAAAGGTCGCACCCGGACAGCAACCCTAACTTTGTGTGCAGACATTTTACAGTATTTGACTTGATCAAAGTTGAAAAATCGAATTCTTTTCTATCACAGGCTATTGGGCCGATATATGGGGAGCTTGGCTTGCACACCATTTTTATGGTAATCCAACACGAGTGTCCACATATCCGTTTGCATCTGTCAGAAGTTGTCAGCCTAAAACTTGAGCGTATACTATCCTCCCGCAGTCAGGACACACACAGGAGCTGATGGAGCACCTCACACACTTGTAAATCTTTCGCACACTCCTCGCCTTCTCATTAAAAAAAGAATGCGGCTCACATCGATAGATAAAGAGCAGAAAACACACGGTCCAATACGCGCACAAGGGTGCGACTGGCGAACTAATCCGGAGACATTGCGCGGATGAGTCATTTCATGCGCAGACCAGAAACATTACCTTTGTCCGAACACGACTCCTGTACAGTGAACGCCGAGTTTGGGCAGAAAAACATGACGTCATTTTCATATCATTCGTGTAGACATGCATTTTTGGCATCCAAGTTCGAACCAGAATAAAAGGGAAACAGAGACTTGCAAAGCCTTGCATTATGGCGTGCTACAGACATGAGTGACGCAAGGTTAACACTACCACAGTTAGTACTACCAAACAAAGCTTCATCAAAAACTTTCCATCCGCCATTCGTCCAATGTGACCCAAGGGTATAAGTTAACGATTCGTTTAGCTCTCATATAACTTTGTTTAACAGAGCCATTTAGAACTTGTCTTATCCTGGGTAGCTAAAAGTATTATGCTATCAAATGAACCCCAAAAGGTCTCATATAAAGTTTTGACAAATTATGGGACCTTAATGGCTCAAGCCCTTAATATTTGTGCCTGATAGGTTGAGAATGTGAACCATTTTCACCTGCATGCCTTAATGCACAGTTAAAACCTTTGTTACAGTAATTTTGGTGATTTTAAATGTGACTAAGTGAATGGAATATAGGACAGTAGCAAGTTTGTAATTGTGAGTGGTGGGTTGTGGTTCAGCTCATCATTACAACTCACAAATGCACCAATTTTTGCTTGCAGCTTATCAACTGGCATAGACAGCAAAAGGTGGTAGTCAGGGTACTCATATATGCAACCAATAGGATGATGATAAACAACTTTCCATGGCTCTTTGCAGCCTGAACAATCAAGATTGTATAATTGAACAATTCTGCATCAAATCAGTAAATTTTAAGCTCTCTTTTACTAGATGATGTCAGTGAGGATAGTGTCATTTATAAGGATATATTTTATTCACAGCATATTTATTTCTTTGGACCTAAGTGCCAGTTTAATATGCAAAATTTCATGCAATATGCCAGATTTGTATGCTCCTTAAATTGGTATGAGATTTGACTGCAAATTTGTCACTAGTGGCATTCTATGCTGTCAGCATTACCTCATTGATGGCATGGGAAAGATAACAGGTGATAGCATCCATAGTCCACAGGTGGTAGGTGATAAGCATTCACAGCTTCCATTATGAATGTCTAAATATTTGAATATCACAGCTTCCCTTGGCTTATGTATAATGAACAGCCAACAAACCTAAGTGGTTTTATTTCTCTCCACTATTATTATTTACACATTTGGCTCTGGTCTATATGTTTTATCCACTATTTATATACATCTTATCTGAGATGTTGTGTCACACATGTTGTCTGTGATGCATGTTTTCATTATTTGCAGGATTGTGTTGAGCATGAATACCAGGAGCACCAGCATCATTGACATCATCGGCAGGAGAGAATGGGATGTAAGTAGCATGTGAAGGTGGATTGTTCTTGACTTACCATTGGCTGTGTGTGATAATTACATATGAAATCTGTACCAAACATTGCCATTTTGTTTCTTTGTATGCTGCACCATGCAATGTTATATAAACCAGCATAGTTACAAGGAAATAGGGTATCATTGCAATGCTAAAGAAATACAACTTAAGTTCCAAAATGGTTCAAAAAGCCTTTTATGGATTGCAAGGTTATCTCAAATTGGTTTGATGTATAATCCAGCATGTCCATTCATTTCTGCATATTTACAAACCATTTCCATATTTTCATGCTCAATGATGTATGATGTGTTGCATTACTCTTACTCTTTGCTGTTCCCTCTCCAAGTTTATGATGCCCATGTCTGCTTTTTCCTTGCCCCCCTTTTCCTCCCCTCCATGTCCTTCTTTATTGTCTTGTCTGTTTTTTTCTCTTACTCCCATGTCCTTAACTTTTTGGCAATCTATTATCCCCTGGCCCACATGCTCTCTCTCTCTCTCTCTCTCTCTCTCTCTCTCTCTTGTCTGTCGTTTTTTTCGCTATCCAAGGTCCTTAGACTTCCCTCTATAGATCTCGGGGCCAATGCTCTTATTCCCCTGGCCCCTACAGGCTCCTCTTCTCTCCTTTTCTCTCCTTCTCTCTCTCATCTCTCTCCTCTCTCTCTCTCCTCTCTCTCTCTCTCTCTATCTCTCCGCTCTCTCTCCTCTCTCTCTCCTCTCCTCTCTCGATCTCTCCTCTCCTCTCTCTCTCTCTCGCCTCTCTCTCGTCTCTCCTCTCTCTCTCTCTCTCTCTCTATCTCTCTCTCTCTCTCTCTCTCTCTCTCTCTCTCCTCTCTCTTCTTCTTCCTCTCTCTCTCTCTCTCTCTCTCTCTCTCTCTCTCTCTCTCTTCTCTCTCTCTCTCTACTCTCTCTCTCTCTCTCTCTCTTCTCTATCTTATCTCCTTCTCTCTAGCCTCTCTCTCTCTCTCTCTCTCTCTCTCTCTCTCGTCTCTCCTCTCTCTCTCTCTCTCCTCTCTCTCTCTCTCTCCTCTCTTCTCTCTCTCTCTCTTCTCTCTCTCTCTCTCTCTCTCTCTCTATCTCTCTTCTGTCTCTCTCTCTCTCTCTCTCTCTCTCTCTCTCTCTCTCTCTCTCTCTCTCTCTCTCTCTCTCTCTTCTCTCTCTCTCGTCTCTCTTCTCTCTCTCTCTCTACTCTCTCTCTCTCTCTCTCTCTCTCTCTCTCTCTCTCTCTCTCTCTCTCGCTCCCTGCTCTCCTGCTCTCTCGCAGTACTCTCTCTCGCTCCCTTGCTCTCCTGCTCTCTCTCGCTCCCTTGCTCTCCTGCTCTCTCGCAGTACTATTGGAGTTTACCATCTTGCTCCCCTTCCCTCCTGTGGCCTTAAGGGAGTTTTCAACCTAGTTGCATCTACCACATGATAGCAAGCTATCTCCCTAAGTCTTGAGTACTCTTCAAAAGTTCGACCTCAAAATCCAAAGCAGTTGAAAAAAAGAAGCAAGAAAGTCGTGCTCGTATTCACGTGGAAACAAGCGTGATCAATTAGTTAGGATTTCATCCGCGCGGCTATCTGAGTGTTAGCTCAGTCGGCTACGGCGGCTCCGATCGGCCTGAGTCACGGCTCCTGGTCAGTCTGAGTCGCGGCTCCCGGTCAGTCTGAGTCGCGGCACTCGGTCAGTCTGAGTCGCGGCACCCGGTCAGTCTGGGTCGCGGCTCCCGGTCAGTCTGAGTTGCGGCTCCCGGCTGGCCTAAGTCGCGGGCCCCGGCCGACCTGAGTCACGGCTCCCGGCCGGCCAGCTGGCTGATCCGTCCGCTTCGCCGCCAGCTGGGCCACGGCGCCGTGTCGGAGCGGGCTCTGCACGTTACCGAGTCGCTGATCCAGCGGCTCGGCCTGCTGAAGGAGCTGGACGGACACACGGGCTGTGTCAACTGCCTCGAGTGGAACCGCGACGGCTCGTGAGTGCTCCCTCGCGTGGTGGCCGGGCTGAACCAGGCCGAGGTGCGGCCCTGACCTTGGGCAGGTGCACATGATGTGCGACAAGCCCCACAAAATGTCGGCAGTTTTGCGTAGCCCGCATGTGTGATGTAAAAATCAGCACTGTATTGTCCTCGATGTGTCATCACACTTGCCCAATCGTGTCCGCAAGGTGGGTATCTTGGCCGTAGTTGTGAATCTGAATGGAAGCTCTCCACGTAAGACGGAGGATCCGTGGTGATTAATCGATGATGGGCTGGTACTATGCTTGTTTATCATCGACCGTAACCACGGCTTAAAATATAGAATATTGACATTGCAATCATTCTTGACAATTTAATATGCTTATTTTCTTGGGCGGCATTTGGATCACAGTACTCGATGAGCAGAGCCTGTAGGCGGCAGTCAAGCCCAGGTGATAATTGGCCTCGAATCCATTGGGTCTGCCTCTCTTTTCACACGAGTCCGGCACGTCTGTAGCGCTGGGGCACCGAGACAGCCAACTGCGTTGTATGACGTCGTATATGACGCTGATAGCCACTGTATTTGTCGTCAGGCTGCTGGTTTCCGGCTCTGATGACTCCCAGGTGATCCTGTGGGAACCTTATCACCAGAAACTGTTGCAGACAATACCAACTGGTCACAATGGCAACATATTTTCAGTCAAGGTATGGTTATTTGTGTTGTTATGTGTATGCTATTCAAACTATATGCCATGGGTGAATTATTATCATGGTAATCCGAGATGGCGGTATTAGCAAGCTTATTTCAGTTTACGTATAAATGAGATGTCCCACATTTGGAGATATTGAAGCAAGCATCAGATATGATAAAACGAGCTCACTTATAACTATCGGTATACTTTTGAAGTGGAAAAGACTGCTTTAGACATCACGATTCCCTTTTTAGCAAATATGCTCCTCATGGAGTCATGGTTTGATTATGTCATCGTACCTTACACAACATTCATTGAGAGCCAATTGATGGTCGTTATATATGGAAATCGCGCTCACGAACGCCAGATATGAACGCCTCGACAATTATATTCTTCTTGGCCCTGATCACTGCATGACCATTGGATTGACAGGATATGAATGACGTTATTTTGACGTCATGAATGTCAAGGTAACTCTGAAATACTCCCCGTTATGCCTTTTCCCATTTTCGCGGCCGTGGAGCTAGAAAACCGGAGGGGCTTAGGTCTTAAGAAGGGCAGGATTGTGAACAGTACCGGAAGGTCTTCCGATATCGCCGTTTCAGTTCCAGACCTCATATAAATGTGGAACACTCCCTTTAACTGCCGCGAGCAGTTACACGAATGAAAGGAAATACATGATATGGAGCCGAAAAGACGTGGGGGTAAATTAAGGAAGTTGCCATTCTATTTGTGGTGAGAAAAGTTGCACTGTCAACGAAATAAATAGAAAAGGTTGTTCCACGAAAATATTTTTCGTTAAAAAGATTGACATCAGAGGCTTTCTCTCACATTACATGTTTGGGATAAAAAAGCAAACGGAATATGCCGCTTGTGATTGGATCTTACCTGTGAGCGGAACAGAGTCAGAACAAAGGGAACAGAACTGAGATGCCAATTGGAGCAGATGAGCTTGTTAGGGGATGTTCTACTGAACGCTAATTGGGCAAACCTTGAATCGGTCCGGCGTACAAACAGCGGACTGGTGAAATGCTGGCCAAGGTAACACTGCACTTCGCGATAACCCATACAATCGGTGCTAGAAAGGAAATAGGATGAGTGAACAGCCAAGGCGTTTCAGCAGGCGCTGGGGCTAAAAACCAACGATATCAGAAGCAGGAGTGAGACGCTTGACTTGAGTATCGCATGTCTGCTTGTATGAAGTTTGAAGTGCGATACCTTGTGGCAGTCGAGTATTCCAGCTTTGCAGTACACCAGGGGCTGTAACAGCAGCGTCGTGGCAGTCGCGGTACGCTGGTGTTGGCTGTGATGAACAGCCGTGAGTTCGTAGTTTTGACACCGTGCCGGGAGAGCGGGTTCCGCGGCTGCGGCCATAGTGCTGCAGTGACGGCTGTGGTGCTGTGCTGCTAGTCTTCATGTGGTGGAGGCCGTGCTGTCCGGCGGCTTTGTACCCACACCTGTTTCCACGGGTTTGAACCCACGCCCGGTGACGCCGCCCCGCCGGCACGCGCGCGTGACGTGCCGCCGCCCCGTCCGCCAGCTGCTGCCGGCCTCCGAGGATCGCGTGCTGGCCACGTGCGCCGCCGACTGTCAGATCAAGGTGCTGGACGTGCCGTTCGGCGAGGTGACGCACCAGTGCAGCTGCCACCAGGGCCGCGTCAAGCGGCTGGCCGTCTCATCCCACCTGCCCTACCTCGTCTGGTCGGCCGGCGAGGACGGACTAGTCATGTGAGAGCCGCGCCGCGCGCGCGCGCGCCACCGGCCGCCCGGCGCGACGCCAGCCCCGCAACCCGATGGTCCCACCGTGTAGTGTAGCCGTCGTTTGTGGGGTCTCACGGCGCGTCCGTCCGTCCTGAGCATGTGGTGTGTCCTGGATGTTGACGACATTCCAGCTCTCATTCTGGTTTCCTTGAACGACATGATGGCTGAATAACCTGCATTCTCAGGCTCAAAAGTGTAGGCTATGATGTGCTGTGCGAATTAAGTATGGCATGTCTGCATGTCATACTCATAATGTGAGTTCATAGTTCACCGAGTTCACTGTGACTTCACTCATAATGTGAGTATGGCACGCTTGATCACTTTTCGGTGTAATGTGGACATGCCAATCGATCTTTGTCCGCCGCGTTCACGATATTGCATTTCCAGTGTGCACTGTCCTTCGTACTCGGCCGGCGCGCGGCCAATATGCACATAAACTGCTTTCATCCGGGGATGTTTCAGCCCCTCTTGACACCTCCCCCCCCCCCCCCCCCGCGAGCGTCTAACGCCGCGCTGCTGGGCCACAGGCAGCTGGACCTGCGCGTGAAGCACCAGTGCCGGCCGGCCGGCGGCGGCGGCAGCGTGCTGGTGAACCTGCAGGCGACGGCCGGGCCGGCCAGCGAGGCCAAGTGTGTGGCCGTCAGCCCGGCGCGGCCCGACCTGCTGGCCGTCGGCGCCAACGACCCGTTCGTGCGCGTCTACGACCGGCGCATGGTGCGCCTGAGCGGCGTGCCCGGGCAGCGGCCGGCCGGCGGCGCCGACCAGAGCCCGCCGGCCGGCGCCGTCCAGTACTTCTGCCCCGGTCAGTCAGGGTCAGGAGCTCGGTCGCGGTCAGTCAGGGTCCGTTACTAGTTCCCGATTAGTCTGGGTACGACACTTGACACTAGTTAGTGCACATTCAGCGTTCATTCTTCAGTGAAACTTCAAAACGCATGACCGGTACATTTCGTTCGGGACATAGATGATAAACAAGCGAATTCTTTCTTTTTTGTTCGATCAAGAGCGACATGCTTTTCAGCCTCCCTTGTAATTCTGTTTCCCACGAACAGTAATAATTTTGTCGGCTTGCTCCCTGGAATCAGGTACCCTTGGGACGACGTGCTGATCAAGCCAACTTACCGATTTCCTGTGGAGGCCATTTCTATGAACCCCACACAAGACCCAGATGTGCGAACTGTGATTCCCAATTCAGTCATTTCGATAGAATAAAGGCGGCGCTACGACGTGCCTTGGCCATGTGCACCTGATGAAATCCATAAAATGAAACCCGATCGATCTCTGTCTGGAAAAAAGGTGACTTATCCATCGATTACGCTGCCCACAAAAATGGTCTGCAGCAGCTTGACTGCATGGGGCGCTGTCTCCTTATGTGAAGGCGGAAGGGCACGCCCCGCCGGACCGTACCTCCGCAAGGGGCGCCGCCGTCTGACCCCCTCCTTGCCGGGTCTCCCCATGGGCGCAGCCGTCTGACCCCCGCCTCGCTGCCGGCAGGGCACCTGGCGCGGCCGGGCTCGGAGGGCGCCGCCCGCCGCCGCCGCCACCGCTCACTGGCCGTCACGTATGTGGCGTACAGCGCCGACGGCTCGCAGCTGCTGGCCAACCTGGGCGGCGAGCAGGTCTACCTGTTCGACGCCAGCCACCCGCGCGCCGAGAACGTGCTGGACCCGGCCGTGCTCAGCAGGCCGGCCGCGACAGGTGCGTACCGCCCCCCACCCTCCCCACGTGGGGCCGCTCCCTCCCCGGCGGGACCGCCCCCTCTCCGGCAGTGGGACCGCTCCCTCCCGCCGGGGCCGCTCCCTCTCCGGCGGTGGGACCGCTCCCCCCGCCGGGACCGCCCGCTCTCCGGCGGGACCGCTCCCTCCCGCCGGGACCGTTCTCTCTCCGGCGGTGGGACCGCTCCCCCCGCCGGGACCGCCCGCTCTCCGGCAGGACCGCTCCCAGGCTCAGCCGACCGCGCGCCGCTCAGCTGTGACCCGATCTCTGGCGGATAGTATGGTGCCCGTTTGGTTTCCGCTGTAGCCTTTGCGACTTGTAACTTGTATGTGGCGTATTTGGCGCTAATCCTCGTAACTTTTGTAATTTGCTCGCGAAAAACTAAACGGCATGGATTAGTGGTTACACTGCATCGCGTTATATTACAGTGTCTTAAAGGGAATGTGTTTTAACAATGGCCTACCTTGGTCTGCACTCATTCATGTCTATCGGTGACTTTAAATCCTAAGATCACCTGGACGTATGCGACGGGCTGGACCGTCTGGGCTGTACCCCTACACCAGACTGTCCGGGCTGTCTCCCAACATTAGACCCCGATTCAGGACATCCCCTGTGCCACCGGAGCTCCATCCGTGTGATGCCGGCGGCTGGCGGAGCGCGCGCGCGCGGGCGCCACTCCCGCCGTGTGACGCGCCTGCCCCCACAGAGGAGCCGCGGCCGGCCACGCCCGCGCTGCCGGCGCGGCTGGACGAGCTGCGCCAGGAGGCGAACCGATGTCACCAGCAGCAGCACTTCTCCCAGGCCATCCAGCTCAACAGTCGCGCCATCCGCCTACGCGACAACGTGCCCAACTTCTACTCCAACCGGGCGGCGGCCTTCATGAAGCGCGCCTGGTGAGCCAGGCAAAGCCAGCGCGACGTCGCGGGCCAGCCAGGCATTGAGCAAAGCATTTATGCTTAGCAAGGTGTCGTGCGATGCGAACTGTATAGTGCTAGGCTATGAATAAGGAGTCTGTATGCTATGTGCGCCCCCACCCAGTCGTGGCCAGTGTCGGCATCTGAGAGCCGGATTGGAGAGACGGAGGCGGAAGCCGCCGACCGCCCCTCAGCCCTTACGTCCGCGTGCCGACAGGAACGGCGACATCTACGCGGCGCTGCGCGACTGCCAGCGCACGCTGGCGCTGCAGCCGGGCCACATGAAGGCCGGCTTCCGACTCTGCTGGTGCCTGCTGGAGCTGGGCCACCTGCGCGAGGCGGCGCAGGCGGTGACCGCCTTCCGGCGCCGCCACCCGCAGCAGGCGGCCAGCCACGCCGTGCGCATACTGGAGCGCGACCTCAAGGAGGCGCAGTTTCACCACGCCATCGGTGGGTGCGGCTGCCAGCCCGGGGGCAGCCCCAGCGGGCTGTGCCCCCCCCCCCCCCCCGCAGAATGGCCCGGCGGGGCAGCGGCGGAGACGAGTATGCTGGCGGAGACGAGTCGCGGCGCGCGGCGCGTGGATGATAGTACCAGTCTGTCTGCCTGAGACTGGCCTGACGATAAGTGCCTTTGCCGAAACCAGCGCACCTGTTGCTACAGTTTACTGTTGTGCATCCCCGGGAACTAATCGATATGTGTAAACGCGCGTCACAACGGTGCCGCAAACTACATTAGCAGCGGCGTGGTTTCGCAAAATGAGTTGCGGGAGGTTGGGGTTTGGAGACCCCTGAACAGTGTAGGAAACGACAGCCTGGCATTGAGGTACATTCACGCCAACCCGGTGGTTTATGGGTTAACACGCAGGTGCTACTTTGGTCGGAAATCAAAACGGCGGCTCGAATTCCACTTGGGTTGTCCTATTCCCCGACAATGGGAATATTGCAGGGACGTCTGTCGCATGATGTTGCATGGAAGTCAACACCTCGTCACCATTTGGCTTAAAAGCTGGAGCAGAATTATCCAATAGTTTGCGCCGCTTGCGCGACTGCGTCCACGCGGCCATCAAAGCGGACGAGGATTGATTGCAACGCCGCACAAGCAGAGTAAATGTGAATGCATGCTTCTTTAAAGGAAGGGTCTCAATGCAAGCGGCATCGTTTGCGTTATCAATTACACAGCTGCGTTCGGATAAGTTTGCCATCTGATCATCGTCCGAGTGGTGCCCCTGTTGCGTCAGCGTGGGGGGGGGGGGGGGGCGGTCGCTGGAGCGTCGCAGTCCGGCTGACGCGGTCCTGGCTGACGCGGTCCCGGCTGACGCGGTCCCGGCTGACGTGGTCCTGGCTGACGCGGTCCCGGCTGACGCGGTCCCGGCTGACGTGGTCCTGGCTGACGCGGTCCCGGCTGACGCGGTCCCGTCCGCCAGACGTCGGCCCGACGGCCGAGCCGCTGCTGAAGCTGGAGTCGGCGCTGGACTCGCCGGCGCTGTCCGAGCAGGAGCGCTGCTGGCGCCGGCTGTCGGCCGACTACCAGTCCCGCTACTGCGGCCACTGCAACACCACCACCGACATCAAGGAGGCCAACTTCTTCGGCAGGTGGGGCGGCCGGCGGCCGGCTCGCCGCCAGGCGGGGCCCCGGCGGACACCTTGTCGCTGGACGCCGCGCGGGCCCCCATCCTGCGGATCACGCGTTGTTGGGTGTCGGTGCATTGGGTGGCCGCACCCTTTCATCTGGGATTTCCGATGTATCCGTGGGTGTTTCGTTGCGATTTGAAGCTGTTCTTATTGGCGTCACCCCGATGGCTCTTGTCGGGGTGTGATGATGTGATGCATTTTAACCACCAAATTATAGTCATCGTTGAACTATCGAGGAAGTTCTGGAAGCGTTGATGCGAGAGGGGTTTTCGTAAGCTTCGTGGTTACTTTTACGTCACATCAGAACGGACCACACAGAACACATGGCAGACAGGTGTGCTCGCCGCCGCGCAGGGACGGCCAGTTCATCCTGGCCGGCTCCGACGACGGCACCTTCTTCATCTGGGAGCGGCAGACGGCGGCCATCGTGCGCGTGCTGCGCGGCGACGCCACTATCGTCAACTGCGTGCAGCCGCACCCGCGCCTCTGCCTACTCGCCTCCAGCGGCATCGACAGCTGCGTGCGGCTCTGGGGCCCGCTGCCGGAGGGCGCGCCGCAGGAGCGGTGCGTGGCCGACGCCGAGCACGCGGCGCAGGCCAACCAGCAGCGCATGAACGCCGACCCGATGGACATGATGCTGCTCAACTTCGGCAGCCGCGTGGCCGGGGGGGACGAGGCGCCCGGCCAGGGCATCCCGTGCCGGACCAGCTAGGCGCGGCTGGCGGCCGGCGTCCGCGCGCCGCGGTCTTTCAGCGCCGGCGCCGCCGCAGCCCGGGCCGACGCTGAGCGCCGCGGGACCGCCGCGGGCGGAGGCGCCGCCGGGCTGCGGCCGCCAGTCGCGCGCGGCGTGGGGCGGACGGCCGGGCGGGTCAGGCGTCCCCCGCGCGGTAGACGGCCGAGGTGCGGGCCGACGCCTCGCGGGATGAACACTGGATGCGCGAGTCCGCGCGTCGCCGCCGGCCATGAGGCTGCATGCTGTGATGAGCCGTTGTGCTGCATAGATCTATAATCAACTTATTGTTTTGTTCCGGAATTGTTAGATGGCATAGTTTGACTGAAACCACGAGGGAGCAGTTCGTTGCGGGCAGCACATTATGCGTTCACTTGCCATATATGCTTCCACCAGTCAGTCGTGCATAGAAGTGATGGATTTGTAGTCATGCATGACTACCTACCTACACGACAAAATGCGGAATCTGAGAACGATTTGGTAAAACTGGCGTCAAGCAGGCTGGAGGGCCGACCCTCAGCAACAAGGCGTTACTCCAAATACAGCTTCCTTTGTCATATGCATGCGTGTTGGTTATTTTGTCCCACCAGACGCCGTCTGGTCTAGGAAATCCCCCGACACAACGGACCACTGGCGCTGGCACGTGCAGTACCAAACATTGCAGAACATCGCAAACATTGCCTGTCCTCCCAAAACAAGGAACGATGTATCAGCACGCATCAGAGATTCACTCGGTCTCCAACGGTCTCAGCTACCCGCGTGACCTGCTGTCTCAGCCGGATACACACCCATGAAGCTGGGTCGGACCGTGACCCGCGTGTGCTGGGCTTGTGAGACCGCCACGGGCACGCTGTGCTGTGCCTCGCCGTTGTGCACGCTGTGCTGTGGTGACCAGGACGGCTCAGCCGAGCGGCGGCCGACCGTGTCACGGAATAGCACGTCACTCCAAAATGTTTTGAAAATCGTCCGTTTAGCAGAAATTTCTCTACTGGGTTGGTAAATCCGGGTCGATTCGGAATGGGTTTTTCTCACGGAGATTCTGAACGATGATATAAAAAACGAAAAGAGCCGACGGATTTCTGAAGAAGTAGCAACAAGTCGATCTGCTGGGGTCTGTTGTGTGTGTCGCAAACCACCGAGTGACCATTTTAGAATGCATCGTGCTATCTCAACAACATTGGCTTCTAAACGGTCCGGCCGGGGACGTCCTGACCGATTATAATAAAAGAATATTCCTGCAAGTCAGGCATAAACTCCCATGGTTCATTACAACGGCAGGATATAACATGCTGTATCAACAACGCTAATGCGCGCGCACTCGCTCCGTCTGAGCGTAAAAGTTTTCAGCCGTCACCTCGCAAAACAATGTTTGTAAATAGCCCCGTTACAGCATAAAATCATCTTCACGTTTGTGTTAACCTTTCTGCAGCATACGTTTATCCCCCGAACTGCACTCAAAAACACGCAAACCCGTTACAGCACAAATGGTCAACATGGCACTGGGCCTGTTTTCAGCACACAGTTATGTACATATCGGCGGAAATATTGTCGATGTTCGGAGCGCCATAGCACTATTCGTTATGCCGGGGAAATATCACAACATCCCGTGCACGACGTCTAGATGAAGGCGGCAAACGGATACCGATGAGTAACATTTACACGGCCAGCTTCAGTCATCAACACAACACACATCGTCACAAGCTGGGGATGGCCAGCTTACAATTTCTACCTGAACCTCACAGCAATCCAGCTGATTTAGCCACGAGCACGTCCCATCCAGGATGCCGGCACAGTGCCAGCAGCTTGGCGCCCACCCTTCCCGTCCCCGCCCCGCGTCGGCAGTGTGATCCTTGCAAAGGCCGCGGGCGTCGGCAAGCCGCGACGCGACCCTCCCCGGCTCACTCGTCCTTCTTGGCGCTGCCCTCCCGCCGCTTGTTGGTGAGATCCTGGCGCATCACCTGGCTGAGCGCGCCGTTCGTGCGCCACAGCCAGTTACACTGCGGACAGGGCGGCCCGGGTCAGGCCGGGCGGGTCCAGGGTGCTTGCTGCACCAGGAGTACACAGCGAACTAGCCGTGGGGGCGAACACACATTCTGCTACGACTTTTCGGCGCAAGTTCCGTCGCTCGCTGCAATCAGCATGATTTCAAGGCGACATTCCAAGCGGAAGAAAACGTGTAATTAATTGTGTTATGTTTATTACGTTTATAGTTGTTATAATGTTCATTATGCTTATGTGATCATGCTTCTGCTATTTTGTGTGTGTCATGGGGACTTTCCGACACACCCAGCTGCTGAGGCTTTATGGCGTCGCCCGCCTCACACCCTGGCAGGAGGGGCGGGCGCCGCGGGGAATCGAACCCCGTACTTCTGGTTTCCCAGGCGCGCAATGATTAACGCAGATGCGCTAACCACCACACTACCGGCACCGCTACTTTTGTTATGTTCATGTTAGGTATGTTCACGTGCGTCCACCTCACCACAGCCATGCAGAGTACACGAGTCATCAATTTGGACGCTTGTCATGGTGTGAAGATGTAAGCTGCTGTGATGACTGTTTCCCCACGCACCAGTCTGCCTGGTGTTTGATGTGCGCTTGTGTAGTGCAATATCACTACGATGTTTCTCGTACAGCCTCCGTCATCACAGCAAAATGTGCAATGTATCTCAGTTATTCAACGTGGAAACGGGCCACATCCTCACGTTTCCAAACATCGCCCATGTACAAAGTTGGGTCGGAAAACCTGGGCAGTGGTGACAAGGAAACACAACTTCACTGACGATAGACCCGATCATGACATTTCTGCAGGTCCCATTGTTGGCGTGCGATAGGCCGCCCACGCTACAATGCAAACCGTAGATTTACAGATGTGAGGCCTTGCTAATAATTGGTGTCAGATTTCGGTAGCTAGATCAGGCACGGCTATGAAGTCAGCTGCGTACTGAAGCAGTCTGATTCGAAAATGAATCATGTGGGAAAATGAATTAAAAATGACAAGGTGGGGAGAACTCTGTCCTACAGCAGGACGAGGAGGTTGCTTATTGTCAAGCACAAAACGGTCCTAATGTGCCCACTTTTCCAATGACGCCGAACGCGGAGCGACGGACGGCCGATAACAAAGTGATTCGAGTGGCCTGCCCATCGCCCGGACACAAAAAAAATGCCGCCAGCATGTTGATAACATCTTCGGTCTGAACAACACGCGCAGCGCAGAAATTTACTGCACAGTGTGGAATGAGTGCTTCCAGGGTATGACACCCGGCATTAATTTTCAGGCGCAATAATAAATCATTGGCTCCGTTGCATGCGTGCCCAGATGAACTGGATAACAACGTCCGGTCATCCACAGTATATGAGCTGGTACCCAATGCACTTTCGCCCGGTTTTCGTTATCGCTGCCATCCTGGCCAAAGAAGGAAACGATATTCGATAATGGAAACCCTTTCAAATGCGGCAAGCAGTGGCATGTGTCGAAACGAAATCGCTTTCATTTCTGTAAACAGAGCAGGCGAGCAACCGCATCGTAGAGAAACCAGTAGCGGCGCTATTAGGCGTCGGCGTGAGGCAAATTTGGTCCAAAACGACAACCAAGTAGAAGACTGAGTTTGACTGGAGTGGGAAACAGCCACTTTTGCACACAACGCACGTAAGTACTGAGCAAAATATCATCAGCAACAAAACAATTTTCGCGTCGCGCAAATATCGCTTTTAATATTCTTTAAAAGGTGTCAGTTAAAAAACGGAAGCCACCGCGCAGTAAGCGGCCGAAGCTTTGTAAAGCCGACCACGATTTGAAACGTCTGAAATCTCAAACTTACCACGATAAGCAGGCAGTTGAGAAGTATGGGCATAGAAAATACGATAGATACAAACATTCCCTGGCTGTCAAAATACTGCTGATTTGAGAACGCCCTGGAACGAAACGAGAACAACAGTCACCACGAATCCTTGTTAGGCTGGTAGCGCAAATATGCACAGATCGAATGACATAAACCACTTGACTTTAGTAGTCAGACGGCCACTGACATGGTGCGCAGACACTCAATAACACCCGCGCCGTAGCGGACAGCTGTCGGCACCGTCGCCTTGTCATTCCGCCGGCAACATAGAGCATACAGCTGGCATGAACAGCATCACTGGACACGCTGAATTGCCGTCAAATGAAGCCTGGCCCCAGAGAGCGAAATCCCATCGTATTTTGCGCATTGCACGCTGTGGAGCTGTCGACTCAGACATTTCTGAGAAAGCGGTCACAAACTATGCTGTCAGAAGATATGTTGCCAACCGCTTTTTGGAATGCTAAAACCAAGGTACGCACAGGGGCTCGGGACACACAACAGAACGTTCCACACAACGCAAATTAAGATGGCTTTGCTACATGGTTGGACAGTGAGCCGCATGCGGTGCCGAACGTTAGCCTAGTCAGACTTGTGCCTGGTCAGCACTTACAACATTCAATCCTTTCCTATTTTAATCTGGTGTGCTGAACATTTGTCAAACATCAACAAACTTTGTGTCACGTACTTTTATGTACGTCCCAACACGACATTGTTTAGAATAAAACTGAAACTAAATTTGAGGTATATATCAGTTACGCAAATGCCTATTCAAGACTTCATAAGAATTCGCCCTCATTGTGCCGCTCAACAACCCCTCGTTCCTCATTTCTCACCTCCAATTTTGGGCAGCAAAAGTGTTGATATCTTCTGAGAAGTACACCAAGGACACTGGAAACAAAATTTTAAAGTGACGACAAATGTAAAGAGATCTAAGGACAATACACTATCTAACCAACAATACACTCCCGAGCTTCCATCAACGATATGTGCCATAGAACACAATAGATCCAAGTCAAACTGCCATGGTGCCATACCATCCTGATCACGAGCCAACTTAATGACAATAAATGACCAGTTTGAGGACAAGGAGCATATTAATGACTGAAGCGCCCCATAATGCATGACTAGCTTGCATACATGAACAGAAGAAATAATGCAGAGCCACCTGAATGTGAGCACGCGGTAATGAACGGGATACAGTTCTCCCTAGCTCAGAAGTCCACCACTCACATAGGATTACGAAGATGGCAAACTGCATGTTCAGCCTCCGCCTTGCCAGTACTGCGACCGCGAACATGGTCACATGGAATACTAACAGGGCCACGATCCACCGCTCCGTCCAGTCGACCTGCAGACAAACCGAGGCACCTCTTCACCGAGCTCCAGGGTCATGCGATGTAGCCCCTGTCAGACCCATGGCGGTGGTCTGCTGTCAGCAGCCTGCCAGACCGCCAAACCAAACCCATTGTCAGCCGCTGCTTCGGAAACTTCAGCAATGTGTTCCACGCCAAAGGCTCTCTCAGGGGCAACCAGAAAATAAGCTAACACACCAGTGGCGAATCAATGACATTGTCACTGTGGTCAGAAGGCTAAAGTGTCCAATTGATCACTGGTGAATATGGCACAGATATCCTGAGTTCAACCATGCATGATCCTATCTCCCCCACAAGCAGATTGGTCTTTGAAATCCTAGCCCCAGTGGACGGCGTATTTAACGACACGTCACGTCATATCAAGAGGGCTGCCAAGTCCACCTGGTCCAGTAGATTGCAGACTCACAAAGGAATCAGTTTCTTTGAACACCTGCTGTGCTGCAATCAAAGCTGCTGCGCATCCAAATCCCCAATAAGGGATTTCAGATGGAATTACAGAAAACATAATATATTCATTGAGTGTCTCGGTGATGCCCGGAGATGCCAGCGACCCGCCATCCCGGATCACGGCGGGCCGCTGCGCACCCCGGCCAGTCACGTGGACACCGCCGCCAGTTGAGATGGCCCATGGCTGGCTGGCCGAGACTGGTGCTTAACACGCTGCTGTGCGCGCGCGCCCACACCCACTGACAAGGCTTTGTAGTTTTTAGTTTTGACCAATGCTCATGTTAAATATATATCTCAGATATGCATAGAATGTTGTAAGACCAGGCAGTCACAGGCTGCAGCACAACAACAAATGAGCACCAAATGACAACACCAATATGCATTAATCCTGTTTTGTTTCTAACCATGCATCCTATGTGCACTTGGGTAAAACCATGCAGGATCTGGCAAAATATTTGATTCCAGCCATGCATTACCAATAATATTCACCTCAGTGCCTTCTTACCCCTTGAGCACAGAACTGAGATGGTGCTGCTCCTGGGTGCATGTCCCAACCAGAAGTAGGACCAAGAACTCACTCCAGGTCAAACTCTGCCTCCAGGGAAACATTGTTCAGCAGTGCATATCCATGAAAGTATAGCTTGAAACCAATGGTGAAACAATTTTGGGATTCACAAAGCAGCTGTTGGTGTGATGCATGCTTGCAGTCCCAGTGAGTCTGCTGGGCTGGAGGGAGTGTCTGTCACCAGTGTTAATGTTGAGCATGTATGGACAAAATTCTGGACTGAAGATGGCACTACATCTTCAGTGAAGTCAGGCAGACTTAAAAAAAGCTCTATCAGCAAGGGTTAAACCAAGAAGAATACAAGATGACAAAATCAGTTGACATACCAGGATTGGACCATTCTCAGGATGGTTGGACTACTCAGCCCCAAACCAGCCAGATTGATATAAAGTTTAAATTTGGCAAGCAGATAGTGTTGCTGGCAACTAATCCAGTTCAGGTCACAGGGGTGTCTGGCAACCAGACCACAAAAAAACACATGTCACACTGGCGAAGACCACCCAGTGTAGCACCCATATCACAACAAAAATTATCCTATTTACACTGTAAATACAAGTACTCAGGGTTTGGCATACTCGACATCAAATCCAGTGCACAAAAGAACAATATTTCAGGGAATTGTTGTGCTGTTGAGTTAGTCTGAGGCAAAAAGACTAAGCACATTTTAGTTCACATAAAATAATTTGAAAATTGACCTATGCTGCCAGTAGAAACTGTTTGTCAGACACTCAAATAAATGACAGCGAAAGAGGTAGCATGACAAACAAGAGGTCCAAATAGGTTTGGGACCAAATAGGACCAACTGACTTTCAAAGTTTCAGCAAATGCTACTTTGATGCCACGTGAATCTGAATTCTGACTGAGAGTGCTTTGAAAACCCTTGAGGACCCTGTAAAAGCAAGCAAGCATTGCAATCCAGTGGGGTTTACCTAGCAATGTCAATGAAATGATCCTCATGTTGTAATTATAATCAAAACATGTACCCAACAAAAATATTATAAGCTAGTTTTCCATCACCTGCATTATAACCAAAGCTGAAAATGTTGGAAATGAATAAATTGGTAGAGCAGCAACTTATACTACACATAAAATACTTTTGTATAGATGTGCATATATGGTCAGGGTGTACTTTCCTACCTAACGTTAGAAAAAATCATTGTACACCATTCGTCGTGTTTAAGGCAGGACATATCGTAAATAATCTCAAAACAGGTAGAATCATGCTCCTACCTTCGAATTTCAATAACTTCGATGGCGGGCTCCCGAGCGCCGCGCGCACCGCACCGCCTGGGCTCCCTAGCGCCGTTTCTGCGTTGCCGTTGCGTAAATACAATATTTCTGCTTACCAAGGACTCTACAAAATGTACGGGACCAAGGTAAACCATTCGTCGTGTTTAAGGCAGGACATATCGTAAATAATCACAAAACAGGTAGATTCATGATCTTACCTTCAATTTTTTATAATTACGATGGCGAGCTCCCGAGCGCCGCACACACACAGCACCCGCGACACCGGCGCCATTACTGTGCGGGTCACAACATTACTGCGCATCAAGCAGCATCAAGAACCATAAAAATGTACCGGGCCAAGGCAACAAGAATCCATGAAATTTGATCCTCGACGCCAACGAGACCATGGGTTGCAGGGGGATTGGGTGGGGAATATAAAGCAAAATGAGAACATGGCAGCTAAATAAAAGCTCACTACATGACACCTATATATGGCATGGAACATGGACGCCAATGGGATGCTGGGTTGAAGGGGATATAGGGTGGGGAGGTTAGGTTAGGTTAGGTTAGGTTAGGTTAGGTTAGGTTAGGTTAGGTTAGGTCAGGTTAGCTTAGCTTAGCTTAGGTTCTGGTCTATTCTCTATTAGGTTAGGTTAGGTTAGGTTAGGTTAGGTTAGGTTAGGTTAGGTTAGGTTAGGTTAGGTTAGGTTAGTTAGGTTAGGTTAGGGTAGGTTAGCTTAGCTAAGCTTAGGTTCTGGTCTATTCTCAGGTTAGGTTAGGTTAGGTTAGCTAAGCTTAGGTTCTGGTCTATTCTCAGGTTAGGTTAGGTTAGGTTAGGTTAGGTTAGGTTAGGTTAGTTTAGGTTAGGTTAGCTTAGGTTAGGTTAGGCTAGCTCAGGATATGTTCTGGACTATTCTGGCCTGTGTGTTTCATAAATGTACCTGAACTCAATAAGAAACGATTTAAAAGCTCACTACATGGCACCTATATATGACATGGAACATGGACGCCAATGGGATGCTGGGTTGAAGGGGATATAGGGTGGGGAGGTTAGGTTAGGTTAGGTTAGGTTAGGTTAGGTTAGGTTAGGTTAGGTTAGGTTAGGTTAGGTTAGGTTAGGTCAGGTCAGGTTAGCTTAGCTTAGCTTAGGTTCTGGTCTGTTCTCTATTAGGTTAGGTTAGGTTAGGTTAGGTTAGGTTAGGTTAGGTTAGTTAAGTTAGGTTAGGTTAGGGTAGGTTAGCTTAGCTAAGCTTAGGTTCTGGTCTATTCTCAGGTTAGGTTAGGTTAGGTTAGCTAACCTTAGGTTCTGGTCTATTCTCAGGTTAGGTTGTTAGGTTAGCTTAGCTTAGGTTAGGTTAGGCTAGCTTAGGATATGTTCTGCACTATTCTGGCCTGCGTGTTTCATAAATGTACCTAAACTCGATAAGAAACGATGTTGGTTGCTTTATTATTGTTACCTTGGTCCCATACATGTTTTATGGTTCTTGATAAGCAGAAATATTGTGCTTTCGCAACAGTGCAGAAACGGCGCTTGGGAGTCGAGTCAAGGCGGTGCGGTGCGGTGCGGTGCGTGCGGCGCTCGGGAGCTCGCTATCGTATTTATTAAAATTCGAGGGTAGGAGCATGATTCTATCTGTTTTGAAATTATTTACGATATGTTCCGCCTTAAACACGACAAACGGTTTACCTTGGTCCCGTACATTTTGTAGAGTTCTTGGTAAGCAGAAATATTGTATTTACGCAACGGCAATGCAGAAACGGCGCTGGGGAGTCCAGGCGGTGCGGTGCGCGGCGCTCGGGGGCCCACCATCGAAGTTATTGAAATTCGAAGGTAGGAGCATGATTCTACCTGTATTGAGATTATTTACGATATGTCCTGCCTTAAACATGACGAATGGTGTGCAATGATTTTTTCTAATGTTAGGTAGGAAAGTACACCTACACCACATATATTATATCATACCACATATATTATAACTAGAGATAATTGTTTCTGATTTTTTCATGACAAGAGTCAAAAACCTCCTTGATGAAAGAGGGAAGAATACAAAGCAAGCAGTGAGGGTCATGGAATCTCAATTGGAACCTAGATGGGGCTGGCAGCACCAGAGGGGCAAAAATGTTGCAGAGCCCTGATCAAATCAATCAATTTCCAAAATGTAGCAAGTTGCTGACAGCCTTGGCAGGTATCCTAGGCTAGTACACTCATGCATCATGCAAAGGTGCAACAAAATGTACATGTCACAACTGATAACAGCTTTCTATCAAGACAAAATCTGATATAGACCCATGCCATGTTAATCGCGTACGCTGACACTGTATTACGGCCCTTCCTACCTCCGAAACGAAGCTCCATAGTCGTAGAGCTTCTCTCTCATTGTACACACGTTTAGATGCATCATCTGAAGTCATCCTGACAAACCGCTAGTGTGCTTGGACACTATTTTATACCACAACCATACTAGGACATGGTCTGCTGATACCGCGCCACATCCGCGGAAAGCTTACGCTGCAATGCCCGTGAGACGGCCAATGGAGCCCGCGAAGAGCCTTGTGCTTCGAAACAAAATAGCACGGTTCTTCTTGCTGCACAGATTGCGACAATGCTCACGCACGTGTTACAAAAGAAGTACCTAAAGTAGTGCCATTCCATATGCAAGTTTTGCTCTCAACCCTTTTGTGATGCTACTTTTCTGGTGCTTTTTCACATGAAAAATTCAATGTATGAAAAATGGTCATAAATTTAATGTGTCTTTGATAATGGTTGATGGCGCCCACGTATTTTTACGATTAAGTCGAAGTACACGAAAGTCCATCAGCAAACTCTACCGCCAGTTGTGGTAAAACAAAGATGCAAAAATCCCCAAATACCACGAATAAATCGGTGGCATAAAGCATGCTGAACTATCATCCTAATAGGCATTTCAGTATATTTGTCTTACTGAGCTCCAAATGCACTAAAAATGCTGTTAATGATCTATCGCAACTTAAAGACAGAGTTTTAGTGCCGTCATAACCTCCGACCTCGAACGTTCCGTGCAAAAAGCAATCCCCAGCAAAAGCATAACATCCGGGCAGTCAGCGTGACTGTCGGAGGTGTGGTGGGTTACATTTCTGCCTGGTGGAACCCAGCGTGCGAATTGTGGCGGGGCTGTTGACAGGTTGCTTGGGAAAGCCAGAATCTTCCCTTCAATGAGGCGACAAGCTACCCATTGAGGCCAACCACTGCCAACATATCATACCCCACGATATGCTTTCGCACCAGATTTAGGGGTTTTAGGATGTATCCATAGTTGCCCAAGGGTGTGCCCATAGGTAACATGAGGTGTCCCGCTGTAGGGGTGTTTGCCTAATGTTCCTAACAGCCGCTCCAAATGTCATGTCTTGCACCAACCTGGCTCCATGAAAGTATGTGGATCTGGTGTTGTGCATTCTGGGACAAGGGTTGAGATTGATTGATGCTTATTTGTTGGTTTTTTTCTGAGTGACACTAATCATAGGCTTAAGTTCACACAAATGCAAGATTTTGTTCCACTGCACAAGCTGTTAACAAACAGTCAATAGTAAGCGAGCTGTTGAAAACACTACATAGTGTGATATGTTGCCCTCTCCTTAATCGTCATCCTCCCAGTGGTATAATTTCTTTTGTTACCAAAGCTTGCACAAATGCAAGCCTTTCAATTTTTAATTGTTGCAACTACTGGAATGGAGAGGTGGAGAGCATGTCAACTGTAGTTGTACAGGAACAATTTGTATCCATAATTTTGGGTGTAAATTACATTCTGTATTTTCCCTAAAGACATGATCATAGTTTTCCATCTATATTCTGATTGGATCCTACAATCTGTGAAGCAAAGTTATGTCATCGCTTATACCCATAATCAACATTGACTTCACTTGTTATGGAGGAAATTGGTGGTGTAACTTCCAAGGAAGTAGTTAATTTCAGCACATTTTCTCAAATGGTGGCAAACAATTGTTTTTAGTCAAAGCTGACAGGAGTATAGGCAGGGGCACAGGGTTCACCAGTCACCAGTAAACATGCAAGGTGGCACCAGTTAGCTAGTATCCCCTCCTGTATTTCCTGATGGGACTATAACCAATGATTGGGGTCTGATCAGAGGACCAAATGGCTGGTCAGGGGTTACATAAAAGGGCTCCAGACCCTAGCAGCAGGCCTTGAAGTGTCAGATAGAAGGTCTCTTGCACAAATCAGGGGCTCCCCAGAAAAAGGTGGGTCTCTATGTTGGCCAGAGACCACCAACAATACAGTGCTGGCTTGATGCCAATCCTGACTCTGGAGGCCTTGTTGGTCAGGGACAAGGCTCAGGCCAGCAATTTACAGTGGTTAGGGCCCCTGAAACATTGAGGGGCCCCAGCATCAGCCAGGGGCTTGCACTCAACAGGTGTCTCTGCTCTGTGCCAGTTATTGGACCTCTTGCGTCAATAAGATATATTTTTGTGTCAATGAGGGTTCCTGTATCCATCTGGGGCAAACTGCTGTGGTCAGAGGGCCTGCCACATCAGGCTAAGTAGCCCCAGCTTCTGTGTGGTCAGAATGACAGCCAGTATTTATGTGGGCTGGTCTGAAAGTGGAATTAATGAGCTAAAGACTATATAAAATAGATCCTAGCATGTGCTCTTCCAGTCCTGAAAAGCAAGAACACCAACATCTGGCATTCCAGTTTGCATCAAATTTACTATTTGAATCATGAGAAGCGATACATAAAGCATTCAGAGGTACTTTGTTCTCATGCCCAATTGTGTCCGCTCATTGGATATCACTATGTTAGCGGTGGGGCCGATGCCTTATGGTCCATGGAGACTGCAACGCCATGCGTCGGTGCTTTTGCTTCTACCCTGAACAGTTACAGGGGCATGCTGAAAGTGACTTTTGGCTAATTTTCTGCTAATGAATTCTGAAGATATGTGGAACATCCTGAAGTAGATATGGTTTGACAATATCAATGAAAATGTAGGCGGATTTTGATGTGATCTATGTTCAATCCAGCGGGCCCCTCAATATCTGCAGGGATGTGGAAAATGGATGACTCTCCTGGCTTTTATCAGTTTTAAAAGAGTTTACTGGAATGTTATAAAATGAGTCACACTGGCAGTTATGTGATGCAGTCATTTTTCTGATTTCTAGACTCAGCCAAAGCACATGTTATGGTAGTTCTGGATACTGGTTCAGTAAAGTGAGAAAACGAAAAGAAAGCAAAGTGAATAGACTTTCTAAAATCAAGTGTGCCAAATCCAGCATCAGCCTTCCTCAAATCAAATGAGCCAAAATGTCTTCCATCAGCAGGGGGTGTTTGTGATCATGGTGCCCCCCCCCCCCCCCCCCACCCCAGCTCTGCTTACCAAGGTTCTGGCTGTGCTCCTGAAAGCTCACCAGGAAATTAATGGACTTCAAGGAAGGGAATAATGTGCATAGGTGTCAATGGCATTTGTTGTGAAATCTAGCATTTGCATGTTTGATTATACAGACTGATTGAATGGTGATTGTTAGTACACAGGTTAGTGACCATCTGCTCACAAACATGTGTTGGTTCCCAGATTTACAGGCCCAAAAAATGCCCAAAAAATTTGTGGGAGAGAATGCTAAATCTGCTGCTGCACGTGCCAAAAAAGCATCAGCCAAAGCAGAAGCTGAGGAGAGGAAGCAGAAGGCTGCAGATGATGAGTACTGGAAGGATGATGCTAAACATGTTGTAAAAAAGCAAACTAAAAAGGTGAGTATGAATGCATTGATCTTTTAATATTACTTGGTCATGGATTGTTAATATCCTGATGTGTTGCAAAATTTAAGAGAACTAATTTTAATCATTCAGTACTTCCCAATCTCTACCTCTCATTGCGTGACGCATCATCACACAAGTCAGCTCAATGGTGTCATCAGCACCGCAATCTGTCAACCCCACGTGTCCGCCCCAGGAGGACGCAGAGCGCAAGAAGGCAGAGCAGCAGCAGAAGAAGCAGGAGGCGGCGCTGCTGCTGCAGCAGGAGGAGGCAGCGCTGCAGCAGCAGGTGGCGGCGAAGCGGCCGGCCGTCAAGGTGACGCGTAGCCAGGTGCAGGCGGAGCAGGAGCGGCGTGCGGCCGCCTCGCGCCCCGCCGCCCAGAAGGACGCAGCCACGCCCGTCCTCCAGACGCCCGCCGCGCTCGAGGAGAACGTCAACCGGCTGGTGACCGAGGGCGTGGAGGCCCGCACAGTCGAGGAGGCGATCGCCGCTCTCAGGTGGGTGGTGCCCCGGCCGTCGGCTCTCCCACCCAGCACGCACGCCGTCTGCAGGCGAACGTGCTCGCCGGAGCCGGTGCGGTTGAGCTGCTTTCTCCCGAACTTTGTGTCAAATATCTCGTGAATGGCGAGATGCGGACGTGCTAAATGTCATATAATCAATAATGTAAGATGCCAAGTAGAATCAAATCCTGAAAGCCGGGGCGTAGTTTTGCAAAGGGGTTGAGGGGGACGACTGAGCCCAAAAAATGACGGAATCTGCCCTTAAAAGGCGCCAACAAGCGGGTTTCTCCCCAGATTTTGCCCATATTTTTCTCAAAGTTGTGGGTTAGGACGAGGGGCTTGACCCCTCGCCTTCCCAACTGAATAGAAATCGATGTCTTAATTTGATAAATGTTCTCTTTCATGGTTTTGCCGTCTCCTGCTGAGCACCCGATTTTCGAAAGATCACGCTTAGGCCTTTGTGCCTCTGGACGACAGAATTACGTCCCGTCTAAGTTCAGCCCATCATTTCACACTACGTGGCTTCACATTAACGCCCATGGTGTTCAAGCGCGCAGACGGCTTCGCCAGTACACGTGGCACCTATCATTGAGTTAGTTATTTCTCGCCCCTGTTATCGTTGCTGATGAAACTCCGAACGAACTGTGCCACAAAATGTCTTAAGAGTTCGGGACTGAGATGTCTAATCAGTTCTTGGGACGCGGCCTAGAATGTATCATAATTAGACTTTGAAACTTTGTAAGGTAAAATGATTTGAAGTGTACATATAATGTCTCTACTCAATATAATAATCCACAAATGCAAGGATAGCATCTTATCGATCAACAGTACACCAATCCCGGTCTAAGATTACGAGTTCCACCATAAAGGCCGAATTTTCCCTCCAACACTCGGTGTACGGACGTGCTATCTCCGTTGGTAGCGGGAAAGGGCTGCCACTAGGCTTTGACGCCGGAGAGGTCAGTAATAAAACTTAGTAAACAATGCACTTTAGCCCCTTAGAATGTATATTCTTCAAAGCGGGCGTGATCTAGCGACTGTACGCATATCCCGACTAATAAAATGTCGACAAAAAGACGAGACTCCTCGTTCGCCAAATCGCATTGCCCTGCAGTTTGTGCGCAAAATGTATTAAAAAGCTATTGTTACTACTTAATTGCGGCATAATGCCTAAGACGTTTGGGCGTGCCCCACATGCCCTCAGGCCCCGCTCCTCCGGCGAGTCATAAATGCGGCCGCATGGGTGTCGTGCAAAATATAAAAATATAAAAACGTAAAATCATCATGTCTCATATTGATTACTCGCCACTTTGTGTAAATTATGGTTAATCGGAGATTGACATACCCCGATTGAAATGTGTCGTTGGGGTCTAATGATTGATCCCACCATCCCCACTGTGTCCGTGTGTTCAGTGTTGGCGGTGGGGACGACGCCGACCGACACCCGGAGCGGCGAATGAAGGCGGCGTTCAAGGCGTACGAGGAGGAGGCGCTGCCTCGACTCAAGCAAGAAAACCCGGGCATGCGGCTATCGCAGCTGAAGCACCTCCTGTCCAAGGAATGGAATAAGTCTCCCCAAAACCCGCTGAACCAAGCGCACCAGGCATACAACACCCGATCGGGCAGCTGATGCACGTACGGCCCGACACGTGACTCCGTTCTAGGTGTTTGTTTCACGGCAAACGAAATACATGAGATGGCTTGGCATTATGGTTAAGATACTAATACTTGTGTGAGCTACGCGCTGCAGCTGCGCTCACTGACGTCTTCAAACGACGCAGGGTGATATGCTCTTGATCTGCGAGGCTGGCATCGGGAGTCGCCGCAGCCTGTTTTATCCCCTTCGTCCGTTTCGTTGCTGAGCAAGTGAGTTGTCATTTGGGGTGTCGCACGATCGTTTGGTTAAGCTCTTTGGTAAGCAATACATTATCTTTTGAGCGTGGGATATTTGTGGTGTTGAATGGGCCACGCCGTCTCGCTGCATCCATCTGTCAGTTGAGGCGGGATGGGAAGAAAACCCGGATGGATCATTCGGCAATCGACATGAATGCAAAGCGAGTTCAGATCCCGGACCCTTGAGCTTAATTCTGAAAGGCATCTTGCATCCCAAGATTGAATCAATCTTGGGTACAGAAAACCGTATGTTGGATATAAGATTGGGATTTTGACATTTAGTGCGGATTCCGCGTAAGTCTGAAACGAAGTGTGCTATCGATGGGTGCTATTTGTCTTTGAGATGACCGTAAGATGTTCTGTGCTGTCGTTCGAGGTTTCCCGCATTGGTTTGCTTGTAATGAATTCTATGGCAGCAGTCATGAGGTGCTTTATCGCACGTAGCTCGTAGATGTTTGAATTCCAGATGTTTGCACGCGAGTTAAAAATGCAAGAGCTCGTATTCTTGCAAACTGCAATTCACATTTTAATACATACAGACACAAGTGCACTGGTCTTCACAATGGCTTAGCCATAACCTGGATCAGAAGAATCTCCTCATCTGATCTTCTGATCATTCTGCTCGTACTTATCCTGCGCCTGGGTCCTAACACACATCAATCGTCCGGTTTTCATTACTGATGGTACAGTTGTCTAAGCTCGTAATGAAGCCTTCCATGACTCCAGCGCTTTGGAGAGAGTACGCAGGTCACCCCGGTGTTTCATAAGAAAAGCGCCATTGAAATGAAACACCGGTATATCGTAGCGGTAAAGCTTGTGCCATTGTTTGTTCTCTGGGAGTGTGATGTCCACCTTGCGAAGAGATACCTAGCAGGAGGAGAGAACGACATGAGTTGGTAATCAGCACCGTCAACCAGTGATGCTTTCAATGGTGATCACGATCGCTAAAACTCAGTCGCTAGTGGGAAGAGTTCGAGGGGATCGGATAGTCGTGATCGGTGATGAGTTACACTCCACGCAAACAAGACAAAACATTTCCCAGTGAATATCCTGTTCCGATGCCGGAGCAGTTACACAGACAGTATAACTCTGGCTTCTCGCAGGGCCACGAGCGACGCATTTCAGCACATACCTTGGTTTATGGAGGTTGCAGTGCAAACCACGTCATTTCTGCACTCGTCTAACCCATGTGGCAGCATCAAAGGCATTGCCTCTCAAAGCTTAGACTCATGACCACTAAACATATGGAGCAGTTGAGCCCAATATATCTGCACACACTGGCAAGGAGCCACCATTGCACCTGACAAGAACAATGTCATTACAAACAAACCTCATTGAGGGCTGGAGCCAGAGCCTGCAGGGCCTCATCACAAAGAGGACATGGCGTCTTAGTGAACAAGGTCAGCTCGGGCAGAGCTGCGAAACTTGATCTGGGAAAACATGAGCACATGTAACCAGTTGCAGGTAATGGGTGCCTTGAACCTTGTGCAACCAAATTGTAATATACATTGTTTTAAAGTTGTGCTGTGTAAGAAGGGTGACTGTGAATGATGTGAATGAAAGACCAAGTTTCTGATGGTATCTAGGTTATGGTCCTCTTATATCCAGACATGACATACCTAATGCTACAGTCACCATACTCACCATTCAACTACATTGTCAATATGAGGGTCAAAGTGAAAGATATTGATTACTGCCAGAGCCACTGAAAATTATGAGCACCTCCCAATTTTCAACTAAAAGCAACTTGTTTTTGTTTAAATACACATATTATGCATGATTTATCAGCTACAAGCTTGATGTGTGGTCAAAACTGAGTAAAGATCAGGCAGCATGGTTGTATGTGTGTGATTGCAATTACGGTTTGAGGGTACACTCAGCTAATGACCTACTGAGGCTGCATGGCATTGCCCACACCTTACTCTGGCAGGGAGGTGGACATTATAGGCAATTAAGGTGTTGGATACATGTGCCTGAATCTATCAGGAGTACATGCAAATTTAACATTTGCATTTTGACTGCAAGAGGTTTCTTGTCATGGTCTTATTACCATTTCAGGTGATTTATTTCTATTAAAATGCCTTCAACAGCTAACATACTGACTATATTCATGCTGAAGTAAATCATGTTGAAATTGTCCTGCCTTAAGCATACAGCACAGTTTCTTTGAGGGCAAAACAGCAAGAAACAAAGACTTAAGAGACCTACAGCCACACAGACAATTCACATAAGATAACATACTTAGTTTTCAATTGTCCACCGAAGCCACCATCTCTACAAATGGACTCCATACCCCACGGCCTCCTCCATGGATGCAAGAAGATAAGTTTTCCTGTCCTGCTGATCATTTCCTTAACCCACACACTGAAAACAAGGGGAATCGTTTGCCATGAATCCCTAAAACCACAGTGCAGGCCAAAAGTGAAGCATATATCTAGTTAATCATTGTAACAACTCGAAAGCTAGACACCTCTTACGCGAAGCTAACCATCCATTATGAGTTTTAAAGTGAATGCCCAGAGCCAAAACATGTCTCTACTGCGCCGTTAACGTATGCATAGATATCGTAAAATACAGCCTCCAGTACTTGGCTAAAGAAGCTTAACCCTAAGGTTTGCCAAAAATCGTAATTTTGGGTATAGCGCCCACTTTGTGTCAACAAGGTATCTTGATGCCGTTTTGTTAGAAGGGAGCATCATTCTTGTAAATTTCATCACAGTCTATCGTTGTCATGAGCCGTGACCCGCGTCTTTCTCAGCTTGGGCAGGAAGGGTAAGAGGTCAACTGTCATGCCCTGTAGGCTTCCGAGCAATTGCAGTTTGACACCTGAGCATTATTTAAGAGAAAAATGGTTTGAAATGTTTGGGAAAAGGTGGGTTTTGCGCCCCATGGTTTTGGAGAGAATTCACTTCATATCAAAGCTTTCCTCAGAGGTTGTCAGCCACGCCTCAGAGGAAGTGCCTAGCAAAGTCGACTCAAATACAGGCAGGGGTGCATGATCGGCCGGACACTTAGGTACACACACATTACATAAGGGCTGTTTCCATACACGCAACCGAAAGAGTAATTGTGGATTGCTTTATATATATATATATATATATATATAATTTTTATATATATTAAATAATATATATATATATATATATATATACATATCTGTATTTGCTTCGTTTTAGGGATGCCTCGCGCAAGCTGTCAAGCAAGCAGGCAAGCAAGGAGAAATTATGCATGCAGGGTGGCTGGCTTGCGCGATGTGCCGTATTTTTGGCCAATAATAAGCCAGGCTTTTAAGTTTTGACCAATCATATCCTAACAGCCAAGACGTTGCCTTGAAATTATCAGTGAGTTCGAACACTACGTTAATCAAGGTCGTGGCTAATCATTTTGGTGACGATGCGGCAATGATGCGGAAGCTTCGGAGCGGAGTGTGCTCTGTTTCGGGTTCTATACTTCCCTTGTTCATGAAATAAATTGGGGGACGCAGCGTATGGTGTGGCTTGAGAGATAGTTTTGACCGTTTGAATATGAAGATCCTGTTCGCCTGACTTTTGTGAATTTGAGACATGATTGAATTGTGCTCTAGAAGGCGCATGCTTGCTGTGGTCGTTCTGCTCGTGTGGTGAGTGCCCTCTCGCCTACCTTGCATGGAGATTTGGTCACAATGCATGCGTCAGCAGTGGATTCCTTGAAGGGTTATATGTTCCCTTTATTCAACTCCATGTACCTGGAATACTTTCGTGGTTAAGATTTTCCGTTCTGTTTTCACCAGCATCAAATGCAGGCCAGTCTGCAAAACAAATCCATTAAGTGTGATGGATGCCTACTCCTCACTGATATGGTGAACCCCAGACTTGTGGTCTGAACTCAGACCAGACCAAAGGTGTTAAATTGAACCTTTGCACCATGCTGTGAGCATTTTGCATAGCATTATGCTGGCCACTGTAATTCCCAGACAAATTAGTTCTTTGGGCACAGCACTTGAGTGTGGTTATGTGCCAGAATTTGAGCAAAGCAAAATTATACTTAGTGCACACACACTTAAGTGTTATCAGTTGTGTTATTTTGTTGTTAGACAGATAAGAGCAATGTGTGAACAAGTCTGGTAATAGGACTGCAGGTGACACTGAATGAGTTTTTAATTAGTTGTCCTATAAACATCCTCAGGGTATGGATATGTCATGCCATGGCTTCCACACACCACATGAGCTTTCTCACCATTATTTCTTTTGGTTGGTTGTAAGCAAACCAGAACATAACTTTACCCACTTTGGCATGTGGTCAGAAAACATGTCATAAAAGCACTCCTCATTAAACATTTTGTCAATGCTCACTGGTGAAAAACTCAGGCTGAAAATCTGTTTTACCACACAGAAATGCTTTTGGGATTATTCAAGCTCACTAGCCATAGAATTACCATGAATGAAACTGGCAGGGAAATGAACTCTGCATGTGGGAAGGCCTTCTCATGTCTGAATATTGAGTTTGTACTGGTTTTGTAATTTGGTGCTTTGATTAGTGGTAAGATATAATAATCCTCATTTTTATATTGGATCTTCTGGGCATTGGGTTATATTTTGTTGCTATCTGTCCCTAGGCTCACACATGTGCCCTGGTAAGAAGGGCCAATGAGGATGCCTAGAGACTTCTACCTTATATGTTGTTTCAATGTCTGGCACAGTTAGATGGAGGGTTTTTATTATAGAAAACAATGAAACCAACTAATTGGAATTGTTTTGTGATCAGGAGATGCCCTCCTGGTTGCCTGCTCATGGTTGACAGAAAGACAAAGACAGAAAATACATAGCTGTTCTGCCCATGTGACACAAATTTGTAATTACTGTGGCCTCTTTAAGCCTGAAATAAGAAGTTTAACACCATGTTTTCTCCCCCATATCCACAGTGTGAGTATCGTCATTGTGCTACTGGAGAACATCTTGACACCAAGCATTGGGAGGAGCAGAAGGTTGCCAGCTGTTTCTGCTGCACCCCTCTTGACAAGCAACAGTTCATCGCCACCTCCAGCACCCTGCTGGCAGCGGGAGACATTCTCTATCACTGAACAGTGTCGCCTTTGCTCAGGTTCGACCCTCATCTCAATGTGGACCTATTCTCATGTTTGCCTGTCACTTAGTGTTTCTGACAGGGATGAATGTGCACTGCTGCTGCTGGGGGCATGGTAGCTGGGACAAGGGTACCAAACAGTGTGGTCAAAACTGACATCCCTCTGCATGACTGACTGACTGACTGACTCCCACGGACATCTCTGTTGTGAAACCAGCTTGACATTGCCTTGGTTATCCAAAGCATAACAGGGTTGCAACTTGATCATAAATGCATTAGTGGATAATGGTGGCCGCAACCATGATAATTAATGAAGCGCATCATATGACCAGCCCATGGTTTCTATCTCAACCTCTTTTCACAGATTTTGAAAAAGCCAGTGCAATCATACCAGAGTGTGCAAATAACTTGCACATAGAAGTTCTCAAGTGTGAGAGGTCTGGGAAAGCTGTCCGCGGGTAAGTGCGAAACCTGCAGACTTGTTTCATCAGTCATTGTTAGAACACAGTCATTCCATTGTTTGATGTGGTGAGCAGTGTGGGTTGCTGGCACCCAGACACCGAAGACATCGCTCCTGTGCGTCAGTACTGTTCTGGCTGTGCATTCCTGGTTCTAGCCATTCGTCACCCTGTCTGCTCACTGGGACCCATCAGTTGCCTGTGGAGCGGCGTCTGTCGTCACCCTGTCCGCTCACAGGCTCACAGGGACCCGTCAGTCGCCTGTGGAGCGGCATCTGTTGCCACGCTGTCCACTCACACGGACCCGTCAGTCGCCTGTGGAGTGGTGTCCGTCGTCATCCTGTCCGCTCACATGGACCCGTCAATCGCCTGTGGAGCGGCGTCCGTCGTCACCCTGTCCGCTCACATGGACCCGTCAGTTGCCTGTGGAGCGGCGTCCCGTCGTCACCCTGTCCACTCATATGGACCCGTCAGTTGCCTGTGGAGCGGCGTCCGTCGTCATCCTGTCCGCTCACATGGACCCGTCAGTCGCCTGTGGAGCGGCGTCCGTCGTCACCCTGTCCGCTCACATGCACCCGTCAGTTGCCTGTGGAGCGGCGTCCGTCGTCACCCTGTCCGCTCACATGGACCCGTCAGTCGCCTGTGGAGCGGCGTCCGTCGTCACCCGGTCCTCTCACAGGGACCCGTCAGTCGCCTGTGTAGCGGCGTCCGTCGTCACCCGGTCCTCTCACAGGGACCCGTCAGTCGCCTGTGTAGCGGCGTCCGTCGTCACCCTGTTCGTGCTCAGGCCGGCATCGCCCGGGCGTCACGTCGGTCCGTCCCTCACCCGCTCCGTGCCCCGGGCCTGTAACGTGCGGTCCTGCCGCCAGGTGTGCTGAGATCGGGCGGCTCGGGGAACGCCAGTTCTGGCTGCTGGAGGCGGCCGCGCTCGGCTCGGCGCTGCTCTCTGGCGCGGTGGTGATCGTGCGCCAGCACCAGCTGGAGCGCGGCGCGCTCAGCAAGATACAGCGCCAGCTCGCCTCACAAGTATAGCGCGACATGACGACCAGGTAGGCTAAACTTTGCTGATAGTAAACAGCTGGCCTGTTGACCTAACAGTGTGTGAAATGGTGCTTTCGTTACTTGCGGATCCTGAATCAGGCTTTCCACCTTGCACCCTCGGAGCATGGCAGTATTGAGAGCAAAAAGGTCGCAATTGTACCGGAATTTGTATGTTATAGTAATGAACAGGCGTGATATAAGTATGCGAGAGAAGAATAAAGACTCATTTCAGATATTGTGCATATTCTGGCACCATTTTCTCCATGTGACGCGCAAGTATTTTATATTGAATAGACGTTTAATTGATGCACCAGGGAAGGATGCATGGCTCGATGAAATCGGTGCCACGGAATCGTTGGACGCAGATATGCTGCGAGTGGCTCGACAGTGGCTATGTTGACGGGTCTCCAATCTCGCGTGTAGGAGGGTGTGTCACTAAGGTTTTAGTATTTTCACACATTCTAGATGTTCTGGTGTGGAAATATGCTTAAGGTTTTGAAAGATAGTGTCTGACATTGGATGCAGCCATTTGTCTAGAAAGCCGCGTCGTAACTTTGATCAGACTTTTTCTGGCGACGGCCCGACAACTTCCATCTGTTCCCACGACGGCGAATCGGGTTTCTGCCCCGCCTACCTGCGGTCTGCGCTCCTGACCCGCACGCCTGTGACGCCGCTGACAGGCTGGGGCCGCTGGAGGAGGACGGCGAGGTGCTGTCGGCGTACGACGGGCTACAGATCTACCTGCCGTGTCTGGACGATAGCGGCCTGGTGCCGGTGGAGACGGCCGCCGGACTCTTCACACTGCTGGCCGCTGGTGTACCGGCCGGCTGGCTACGGCCGGTGGTGTGGCGCCAGCCGCCGGACGGCGCCGGCCCGGCCGTGCGCGTGCGCCTGCCGGGCCCGGCTGTGACCGAGGCTCGGCTGCCGGCCGCCGTGGCCGCCTGCCGCCTGCCGGCCGCCCATGTGCCGGCCGAGCGGCTGTGCGTGGCCGGCCTGTGCGCCGTGGTGCGGCGCGCCGTGCGCACCGTCGACCGGCTGCGACGGCCCGGCGACACGCACTACTGCCGCCGCGACGACAGCCTGCTTGGCTTCCGGCGCGGCACGCTGGCGCCGCCCGCCGACGCCTCGCTGTGGACGAGGTTCTGCGAGCGCGACGTGCCGGCCGCCGTGCGCCGCGTGCTGGTGGCCGTCGCTCCGGAGGCGGGCGTCGCAGGTCCGGTCGGAGACGGTCCTGAGAGCGACGCCGACCGTGTTGACTCGGAAGAAGTCGTTCCTCCGGCTGCCATCGGTCCCCAGACGGCCCTCGTCCATGCTGACCCGATCTCAGCCAATGCTGAGCCGGCCTCAGCCAAAAGTGAATTGGTATTAGCCAATGCTGACCCAGCCTCAGTCAGTACTGCCCCAGCACCAGCTAATACTGACTCGGCCTTACCCAGTATCAAATCAGCTTCAGCCAGTACTGACACAGCCTCAGCCAATACTGCCCCAGCGTCAGCCAATACTCACTCGGCCTTAGCCAATACCGACCCAGCTTCAGCCAATACTGGCCCCGCTTCAGCCAATACTGACCCAACCTCAGTCATTGCTGACCTGGCCTCACTCGGCACCGATCCGAGCGGCGCCCAGCCGTTTACGGTGCCGCCCGAGCTGCTGCAGTTCGAGCACCACATGCAGCAGCCGCTGCGCGTGCACAACGTCTGGAAGCAGGAGCAGGCGTTCGGAGGCCGGGCACGGAATTGGAAGAGCGGCGACCACCGCACGTCGTTACAGTGCGTGCGGCACACGTACGCGGAGGGCCACGTGCTGACCATCAGCGACCTGCTGCTGTACCCGTGCGTGCGCGTCGTGCAGGAGGCGCTGGAGCCGCACGGTCTGCGTCTGGAGGAGGCGGCGCCGGCCACGCTCGGCTGGCTGCGGGCGGTGGCGGCCGTGGCCGGCCTGCCGGACGTCTGGGACGCGACGTTCCCGGCGGGGAGCGCGCGGCCGCCCGGCCCGCCACTCCGGCTGCTGCTGCCGCGCGTGCCGCCGCAGAGCCTGTACAAGAAGGATCCGGCGCGCTACAAGCCCAAGAGCCGCCTGTTCACCGTGCAGTCTGACGTGTCGGCGGCGCTGGACCGGCTGGAAGCGGCGCAGTTCGGCAGCCGCGTGGCGGCGCACCCGGGCCACGGCCGGCTCCGGCTCGACTGGGACGCGCTGCCGGCGGCCGCCAGCCCGGCCGAGGGCGGCCTTCCTGCCACCCGCCTCCACCGCAAGCAGCACCAGCTGGAGAACCTGGCCTGGCTGGCAGTGCGCGCCGCGCGGCCCGGCGACACGCTCGTGGACTTCTGCTGCGGCGGCGGCCATCTGGGCCTGCTGCTGGCCGTCCTGCTGCCCGCCTGCAGCGTTGTGCTGGTCGAAAACAAGGAGGAGTCGCTGCAGCGGGCCCAGCACCGCATCGCCGCGCTCGGTCTCACCAATGTCAGCCTGTACCAGTGCAACATGGAGTTCTACCGCGGCGCCTTCCAGCTGGGCGTGGCGCTGCACGCGTGCGGGGTGGCCACCGACCTGGTGGTGGAGCACTGCCTGGCGGCCGGCGCGGCGCTGCTCTGCTGCCCCTGCTGCTACGGCGCCGTGCACGACTTCGGCCCGGTGCGCTACCCGCGCAGCGCGGCCGGCCGGCGCACGGGCGCCGCGCCACGCGACTGGCTCGTGCTAGGCCACGCCGCCGACCAGACGCACGCCGACGACTCGGCCAAGTCGCAGCAGGGCCGCGTCTGCATGGCGCTGGTCGACTCGGACCGCGCCGCGCACCTGGCCGAGGCCGGCTACCGCGTGCTGCTCACCGTCGCCGAGCCGGCCGACTGCAGCAACAAGAACCATCTGCTGGTGGCCGTGCCGCCCGGCTGGGACGGCGACGCCAGCTTCCTGGCCGGCGCGGCGCCGCCCGTTGGCTGCCAATTAGGCGGCGACAACTGAGACGCGCCGCGACGGGCGGCGCTGGTGACGATGGCGACGCTGGCGCGTGTTGTTTTTGTGTTCAGCGGATGTGTAGGATGAAGAGGCCGTGGGATAAGCGGGCGTTGATTTATCATGAACGTGTAACTATTGGTTTTAAAATATACATGCCAAAAGCTTGTGTTCTTAAGTAATCTTCGTTTCAAACACGGTCTCAACTGACAGCACTTATAAATTGTCGGCTGCTGGCACTTCGATGTACTATTTTGCGTTAGCGAATGGTAACCCGCCGCCTTTATCCGTGCATCCTCAGCTCAGATTGTATCAAATGCATACGGACTTAGGATCACTATGCGTGTTCCGCTTTTTTTTTTACTGTTTCACGCTCTGGTAGGGGCTTCATTGCTGCACCGAAGTTCAAAAGCTGGGGGGGGGAGGGGTCATTGGACATTCCAGACGTTTCTTTCCACGCAACGCCTATCTGCCGATACAGCTGGCGACGGACGATGCAGGCTGCTGGATGTCTAGCTTGCAGTCGACAATAATTTCCGAATGCAAAAAAGTGTGTGAATCCTGCGCACGCGGTTAAAGTTTGCTTTGAGGGCCGTCAAGACAGCTGATGACGTCACTTTCAGACCACATGAATAATAATGCGAGCCTTGCTTCAGATCATGTCGTTGGAAACACCATACAGCAGAATTTAGGCCGGAGTACGTTTTGCCCACTGCTTATGATGACCCCCCCCCCCCCCGCCCCCTCCATGAGGCACCACTTTCCGTGGTGGGAGATTGAGCGCTCCATTGATCCGACAATTTATTGGGAAGGCTTCACAAGCATTCCCAATCGCGCCTTCCGGGCAAAGGCAGGGGGCCACGCTAAGCGTGTTTCTCGTAAGATACCTGACTGTGACCATGGTAGGGATAAATAACCCCTCAGACACAGTTTAGAGTTATATCACGGCTGTCGTGCCCCGCTACACCTCACAGGAGTGATGAAAGGATCTGGGTGTTGAAGTGGCTGCGGTGTCCGCCTGGTGTTTCAGCTGAGGGGCCGCACCTAGACTCACATCAAGGAAATACTTCTCAGTTTTGCGTGCGTTTCGGGCCCAGGCTCCCGCCGACTCGTATCCGGCGTCTCTTCAGCGGCACTTTTTGGCCGCTGCAGAGGCGTGGCCAAAACCTTCCGGCTTGCGTAGAGCGCGTCTGTAGCCCTGGCAGCACGGCAGCCGCCTATTGTGCCGTCCCCTTGTTGGGCTCGTTGGGTGGGGAGCGAGCGCACTGAAGCCTCTATACCCCGCCGAACCCTGATTTGACCACCACGGGTCCCACCTGGGGGGATAGGGGGGGCATATCTCCGCACGATGGGCATGGAAACAGCTAGGACACATTTGCGAACGACGATGAGCAGAGCACAGACATGTCACTGCCTGAGTACTGATGGTGCAGTGCAAGAAGTAGACTCTTGACATATACGCAATATGACACTAATGGGATGGGCTTAGGTACCCACTGCCTAGCATGCCCGCAAACGTATAATAATTGTCCTGTCAAATTTAATTTGGCCAGTACGCCCGCTTTGCTCATATCCATTCGGGGGGGGGGGACTCAATGGGGCCGGGGAGCTCAGGCCGTCATTGGGAGGGGCCCCGAACCGTCACTGAGATAGGGCTCAGGTCTCCCGACAGCCTCCCCCGAGCTTCCTGAGATCAGACTAATAGGAAATCCAGTGATGACGTGCCTCTGGTGCCAACGTTGTGAAACAGGCACCAAAACAGCCTTGACGATTGACCTTGAGAGTCAGCAGTCTCCACTACTATCATGGGGAAGAGGGCTAGCGCCACTAACTGGCAAAGCTGCCCAGTGGTTTACGCTGATCGTGAACTAGTGCATTCTTCTGACACCAAGGCGGGATAGGAGCATCCATGGATCGTATGGTAATTTCATTTTTATTAACCGCGTATGGAGGAAGAATGGTATTCTAACTGCGCCATAATCGTCTTGTGCGCAGTATGTCTGATAAGTGTAGGGTTATCAGTTGTGCGTGTCATTTTATTTGGACGCATTGGCCTGGTTTTGGATTATTTCAATGCATTTCTGCTAGAATAATATAATTTGTTCTTGTTGAAGTAATACATTGGGAATATTATTTGGTATTCATGAGATGGTGCACTTTCAGCTTAGCCTGAAGTAGATGTGTGGCCAATGTTATGGCATTGCCGTCATGGGGTTTACTTCCTGAAACTGACTAAGTGAACAAACTTAACTTTGGCTTCATTCAGTTCCAACTTGTCATCCTGTCCTATCCTGTTCCATATGGTTCCATGTGGAACCATAACAGTATTCTTCAAGTGCTTCACCTTTTTTAGAAGAAGAAAAATATCCACCACGAGCATTTTATGCGCAGTACGACAAGGGCACAGCCAGCTCACGTTAGCAGAATTGGCCAACTTGGAAATCATACAACCCAAACAACATCTTTAGCACCAAAATGATGAGCAGGCAATTAGCATTATTCATTCTGTTGTTTCGACCATTGCTACCCACAGTGCTCGCATGAGCGCCTATCATCTTCAAGAAATTGCCATCTGACAATATTATAATTTTGGCAACAAACCAGTAATGTGATTTTTAACACGCAGACAGCAGAGCAGGCAGCAGACGATTTATAACACATACTAAAAGATCAACCTAAGCACAAATCACGCACATACAAGAAACCAAGAATAGTGCTGAGCCTTCATACATAACATAATTCTGATCATTATTTTCAAATATTTGATAACTTACGGCACATCGCGTGCAGACCAGAAAGGCGCCTACACTCTTACCTTATCATTGCACTTCTTTCGACTTCTTACTTTATTATTGCACTCCCAATTTATTTCCAGTTGTGAAGCTTAAATTGATATTTCCAAACAGACAATACAGAGCAAGACCCAACAATATCGGCTGAACTGAAGCATTTCCAGCAACCTTAAAAAACAACCAAGCCACGGGAACCCAACACCGAAGCCAAGCCAACGTTTTCGGTGCGCACATTAACGTCTATTAGTGCACCTCATACACGAGTCTGGATAATGCGATTCGCACTTATTGGAACCAAACGCATCGTGACGACAATGTCGCTTAAGCTACAACACTTGGGTTCAATTAATATGAATACTTCATTGCCATGAGATCCTGCCATCATGTCGTGCGGAGGGACTGTCGTAGCACCCTCTTAAAGAAGTGCACCTCTTGTACAATTCCTACGAGCGAGGCTTGAAATCGCTCTGACATCCAGAGACATACTCTGCCGAGATAATTGCCAACAGCAATCCAAAGGAAACGGACCAAGCCCCGGAAAATAAGACTGAAGCAAGACCAGCGTTTTCGGTACGGTACATATACGTCTATCAGCGTAGTGCACCTCACACACGAGTCCGGTTAATGCGATTCACACTTATTAGAACTTAACACATCGTGCTGACAATGTCGGTGGAACTGCAAGACTTCGGTCCGATAAATAAGACTCATGCATTGCGTGAGATGTTGCCATCATGTGCGGGCGGACTGCAGTAGCACCCTCTTCAAGTAGTACACCTCTTGTATAATTCCAATGGGCGAGACCTAAAAACCGCTCTGACATCCAAAGACATCCTCTACCACCGAGATAATATGCAAATATCAATCCTAAGGAAACGGACCAAGCCCCGGAAATCGGAAGATAGAAGTGAATCTGACGTTTGCAGTACGGTACATATGCTTTAACTGGCGCAGAACACCTCATACATGGGCCGGATAATGCAATTCACACTTGCTAAAATAAATACTTCGTTCGGACGATGTCCGTTCAGTTACAACACTTCGGTTCAATGAATAAGACCCATGCATTGTCGTGAGATGTTGCCATCATGTGCGGACGGACGGCAGTAGCACCCTCTTAAAGTAGTGCACCTCTTGTATAATTCCGATTGGCGAGACCTAAAAACCACTCTGATGTGCAAAGACATACCCTGCGGAGATAATATGCCGACATGAACCCCAAGGAAAGAAGCCAAGCCTCGGAAACCGAGGACCGAAGCAAAGGCAACGCTTTCGGTACGGTACATATACGTTTATTTGTACGGGGCACCTGAAACTAGAGTCCTTATAATGCGATTCACACCAAGTAGAAATAAACGCATTGTGCCGACAACGTCAGTTGAGCTTTAATACTTTGGTTCAAGGAATAAGACTCGTGCGCTGTCGTGAAATGTGACCAGTATGTGCGGATGGACTGTGGTAGCGTGTTCTTAAAGTAGTGCACCTCTTGTATAATTCCAATGGGAGACCTAAAAACCGCTTTGACATCCAAAGGCATCCTCTACCGAGATAATGTGCCAACAGCAACTCTAAGGGGGCCGACCAAGCCCCGGAAACCGAAGACCGAAGCGAGGCCAACGCTTTCGGTACGGTGCATACATGTTTATAAGCGCAGCGCACCTTATACACGACAGTACTATCTCGGTAGAGAATGTTCTTGGATGCCAGAGGCGTTTTCAGGTCTCGCTAACTGGAATAATGCAAGAGGTGCACTACTTTAAAGGGGTTGCTTGTACGGTCAGTCCCGCAACATGATGGTGATATCTCACGGCAATGCACGAGTCTTGTTCATTGAACCGAAGTACGACATTGTCGTTACGACGTGTTTACCTCTAGTAAGTGTGAATCGAACTATAAGGACTGGTGTTTCAAGTGCCCCGCGCCAATAAACCTATATGTGCCGTGCCGAAAACGTTGGCTTTGCTTCGGTCTTCGGTTTGCGGGGCTTGGCCTATTTCCTTGGGGCTGCTGTCGGCATATTATCTCGGTAGAGCATGTATCTGGATGTCAGAGCGGTTTTTAGGTCTCGCCAATCGGAATTATACAAGAGGTGCACTACTTTAAGAGGGTGCTACTGCAGTCCGTCCGCACATGATGGCAACATCTCACGACAATGCATGGGTCTTATTCATTGAACCGAAGTGTTGTAACTGAACCGACAATGTCCGCACGACATATTCATTTCTAGCAAGTGTGAATTGCGTTATCCGGACCCGTGTATGAGGTGCAACGCGCCAATTAAAGCATATGTACCGTACTGAAAACGTGGGATTTACTTCGGTCTTCGGTTTCCGGGGCTTGGCTTATTACGTTGGCATTGTTGTTAGCATATTCTCTCGGTAGAGCATGTCTTTGAATGTCAGTTTGGTACGGTTTGGATGTTCCGGTACGGCATATATACGGTAATAGACGTATATGTACCGTACCCGGCTTTGCTTCATTTCTTCGATTTCCGGGGCTAGGTCCGTTTCCTTCGAGTTGCTGTTGGCACATTATCTCGTTAGAGGATGTCTTTGGATGTCAGAGCGATTTCAGGCCTCGCTCGTTGGAATTGTACAAGAGGTGCACTACTTTAAGAGGGTACTACGACAGTCCCTCCGCACGACATGATGGCAGGATCTCACGGCAACGGAGTAGCCATATTAATTGAACCCAAGTGTTGTAGCTTGAGCGACATTGTCGTCACGATGTGCTTCGTTCTAATAAGTGTGAGTTTGTTGGCTCAGCGCACCAACAGATAATTCGAGACACGAATGTGCAGAACTGTGTGAGTAGTTTGGCTGTAATGTCTGCTACTCGAATCACCTGAAAGCGGCAGCCCTGACTCACTTCTGTAGCTGTGGCATTTCTAAAACGCTCGCGGTGGAGATTTTTCTTCTAAAAAAGGTGAAGTACTTGAAGAATCCCACCATAACCAGGTTGGGTGTGAGTTTTTGGCTTTGTGGTATCAATATGATCACCTGAAAGATTGTGAGCAGGTACCTGAGCATAAACTTTTGTTAGTGTCATTTCTTCACCAGTTGGCATCAGCGTGTGTGGCACATAATAAATTAATGGTGTTTAGAAACAGGGTGTTATGTGAAATAAACCAATTAAAACAATTGTGTAAATGTATTGTATTGTATTGTATATACAGTATTGACCAGCCATGCCATTGATCCACCAGGGAAGCAGTGGCAACTGCCGAGCCGCAAGCTCAGGTGGAGCTGGCTCTGGCCAAGGACTTGCCTCAGACCGGTCTGGGGGTGCTGGTGATGACAGCGGTGGCGAGGAGCCGGACTCCTCCTCCTTGAGCCCCCTGTCACCTGAGCAACCACAGTCACAACAGCAGGTAGCTACAGTCGGTAGCAAGGTCTGGGTGGAGTCAATAGCAGGCTGGCCAATCTGCATGAATTGCTATGTATGTAGGATAGAGCACAGTTTTTGTTGCTTAACCAGCACACAATGTGTGGCATATTTTGTCATACTGCAACTTGTTAAATGTCATATTTGCATTCCTTCACCAGTGTAAAGAAGGGCCGGGTGATTGTGTTGCTCAAGGGTGGACAACAAAATTTATCTATCTAGTAAACATGCTCCATAATATGTCATAGTTTGGCTGTGTCATGGAACATTCATAGGATATCAGATTGTGTGCCAAACTGTTTGTGCCATTTTTTGCTATGTCTTGTGGTGTTCTTGCTTATTTGTTTGCGATTTTATACTATTGGCTTATGTTCACATTCTGGGTTATGGTACTATTCTTAGGTCATTTGATCCCCAGTGTACATCCTTCATAATTGGCGCCATTGGCTGACTTTCTATATCATGTAACACAAAAGAAGGTTCTTATTTTCACCTTGCACTGAAAGCAGAATGTTTATTGGACACCAGTTGGAGTCTGTTGATGCCAGAAATTGTATTGACAAATGCTAGAGATGAATAACTCAGTGACAATATTTTGCATGGCCTTGGGCACCACCCAGCCAAGGAGGTGACAGCATTAGTGTGACATTTCTATGGTGTCATGGAGCAGCCTGCATGAAGGATGTTAGGCTCACAAACAAGGGGATTGTAAGTCTCGAAGCAATAGCTATGAACTGCAATGAATGATCTTAAAAACAGCTATGTCAGTTCAAACCCTATGCAAATGTGCAGTGCTCCTTTACAACCAACCAGTCCATTGATAATGCCATGCTTGTCCATGTGCAGGCTCTCGAGGGCGACCTGGAGCAGTTCCGCCAGGAATGGCGGCAAGACCTGTGCCGGTCTTCTACCAACCCAGCACAGACCACCCCTGGGGAACAGAAGACAACCACCACTGAGGTCACTTCCAAAACAGACAAGGTATAGTGGCGCATTCGTCAGCGTGACATGTCTTGCCCTTCTGTGGATCCAGCTCACTGGTGGTGCGGTAATACCAAGTATGAAACGCGATCTCTGCTCACATGATAAACGCAAAATAGTGCATGGCCGGGCCTTCACCGGAGTACCTGGTAGTCGGCGGCCGCTCCCTCGCTCCCTCCCCGTCGCTCGGCTGGCCGCACGGCAGCCGCCGCCGCTGCTGACCCGGCTGCCGCCGCCGCTGCTGACGTGGCCGCCGGCGCCGGCCGCGCCCGCAGGCGGTGGAGCTGTACGTAGCCGCCATGAAGCTGGAACAGCGGGGCCAGCTGTACGAGGCGACCCAGAAGTACCGGCGCGCCGTGCAGCTGGAGCCGACCGTCGACGAGGCCGTTCGGCGGCTGCTGGTCAGCCGACAGCGCCAGTTGGCCGGTGAGTGCGCCGCGCCGCCGGTAGGGCCGCCGGCGTGGCGTGGCCCTAAGGCCACCGATTAGCCTGTGACGGTGACCCGCTGCCGTTGGCGTTCACACAGGGCGCGGGGACGTTGCCTGTGGTGGCGGCCCGCTGCCGTTGGCGCTCACACAGGGCGCGGGGACGTCGTCTGATGGTGGCCTGCTACCGCTGGCGTTACACAGGTCGTGGGGTTTGTGATGGTGGCCTGCTACTGCTGGCGTTACACAGGTCGTGGGGTCTGTGATGGTGACCCGCTGCCGCTGGCGTTCACACAGGGCTCGGGGGACGTGGTCTGTGATGGTGACCCGCTGCCGCTGGCGTTACACAGGTAGTGGGGTCGGTGGTGGTGGCCCGCTGCCGCTGGCGTTCACGCAGAGCGTGGGGTCGGTGGTGGTGGCCGCTGGTGACCGGCGCCGCTGACCCTAGCCCCTCGACTCCCACAGTGCAACCGGACGGGAACGGTAACCTGGACCAGGCGCCGCCACAGGAGGGGGAGAAGGAAGAGCCGGACGCGGCGGACGGGGCGGACGTGGCGGCCGACGAGGGGGAAGATGAGGAGCCGGAAGCCGTGCTGGCCCGGCTTCAGCAGATGACGCTGGAGGACGGCCGCTGTTGTCAGCCGGCGGTGCCGCAGACGGTCAGTGATCCGGCGGACCAGCGCCAGGGCGGCGGCGCCGGTGTCGTGTGTCGTGAGCTGTTCTGTGGCTCTGGACCGGCCTGCTGGTCACACGGCAGGTGTTCAGACATTTTGGCGCCTGGTCTGGCGCCGAACTGACGAGCCTGCTGCCGATGCACAGCGGCATTTACGCGGGAGAAAGTTCTGCAATATTCGGCCACGTCGGTGGTGGGGATGCCCCAGCTCGTCCCGAGCTTGAAATTCGTTGTCTGCTGCTCCTCCCCGCTTAAGATGGGCCGATGAGTAGCGAGCCGAACGGAGATTAGCCCAGCATTTAGGCTCTTCCAGCATGACAAATGGGTTGGTTAGGTGTCAGCGTCGAGAGTGAAAGGGCAACGGATTAGCAGCCACCGAAACATGCGTGCGGAGGCCGCCGGGAAGCCGTAAGTTTGATAGCTTGCATTAAGTTGTTTTTTTTTTCATTCAGGCACGTCCCCTAGCCGAAGAATGGTGGAAGGCTCCCAACGAACGTAACATGCCAACGGAGTGCGAAGTGACTGTGTACTTCCTTCTCACGCACACGCCGTGTGCAACGGCATGTGGTGTCAGCGCCGACGGCACGCGCCGTGTAACCTGAGCTGTCGGCCGATTGTTGGCAGGACGTCCACATCTCGTGCCTGCCCACCGAGGTCATCCAGCTGATCCTGCGCTGGGTGGTGTCGGCCGACCTGGACATGCGATCGCTGGACAGGCTGTCACTCGTGTGCCGCGGCCTCTATCGGCTCTGCCGGGACCCAGCCCTCTGGAAGCGCATCTGCCGCAGGTACAGACGGACGACTCGCCCCTTCCCGCCCCCCTTTACGGGGTAGTGACCGCCCGGGTGCTGGTGGTCGACCATCAGGAGTGTGTACGCTGTGATGCTCTGTCTTCGCTCACGTGCGGTTCACGTCCATGCTCTGCTTGTCGTGCAGCAACCGGCCCGCGGCCTCCGCTCTCTCCAATCCGCGCTTGTTTGGAGCACCTTCTCGCGTTGAAAGTTCGGTGGCTTACGTCATTGCACGAGCGACGTGGATGCTGGTATTGCTTCTCTCATCACACGATCGTGTCGCGGCTGGTGTCCCGCCAGAAGCGACGAGCGCCAGTCCTGCCGTCCCCCGCAGCCTATCCCATTGGCTGCTCGTTCCGCCTCTCAGTTCCTCCCAAAGCAGTCTGGGTGTGCCTGACCAGCCTTTCCGCCGGAAGGTTCAGCATGCGGGCCAGGTGTTCCGTGTCCCTCGGCGGCCGGTGCAACCGGGCACTGACAACCTCCCGGCGCGCCGCCGGCAGGGTGCTGGGCGCCGGCTGCGCCGAGGCCGGCCTGCAGACACCGTGGCGCGAGCTGTACTTGTCGCGGCCGCACCTGCACTTCCCCGGCTGCTACGTCGGGCGCGCCTCCTACATCCGCAGCGGCGAGAACAACGGCTACCAGGACTCGAGCTACCGGCCCTGGCACATCGTGCACTACCAGCGCTACCTGCGCTTCTTCCCGGACGGCGTGGTGCTGATGCTGACGTCTGCTGACGAGCCGGTGCTGTCCATGCCGCAGCTGATCAGGCGGCCGCCGCGCTCCGGGCCGACCATCAGCGGAAACTTCTGGATCAAGGTGGGCGCTCGGCCGGCGCGGCAGCGGGCGCGCTGTCTGGTCGCGCGCGGGCGCTGTCTGCTCCACAACGGCGCCCCGCGGGAACATGGGCTCGGAGGGGCCGAACGGTTTGGAGCGGCAACTACGCTCCCGGTCCGTGTCCGAATTGTGCCGTCAGTGTCCGCACCATCCGTCATGAGCGGACACTATCGGCTTGCTATGTCCGTACTGTCCCCCACCCACTTCGGGTCATCATCATTACTGGCGGCCGTTCATATCGGTCAGAGGCTTTTTCTTTGCTGCGCCGTATTGTGAACGTACACTGCTGGCTCAAAGTCGGTTCGGACATTTCCGGTTCGGGGAAGGGAGGGGCACTAGGACACGTGCCCCCCCCCCCCCCTCCAGTTGTCTCCAAGTTTAGCGTTGCGCTTATGTCACTGCATGGAATAAACGAACGTGAACCGTCATTTGCTCATCCTTTATGGGTGTCATCATTGCCAGTGACCATATGTTGTGCTGTCACGCCTGTGGATAGCATGACTGGTCAAAGGTCCCTGACGTTGTGAATGTGTCATTAGCAGCGAACTTCTGTAAGGGTTAGCGACCTTACTGCCCCACTTTTGGTATTCAGTGTAGTGTCAAAGCAGCAGACATGAGCCAAGATGTGAGAAAGTTGATTACTGCTGAACGCAGGGGGCCCAAATCACTGGTGTAAAGCGTTCTGCATGTTAAGACAAAGTACAGAGGACCCGCTCGTTCTTGACGGTACCATGCGTGTGGGTACAAGCAGCCAGTACGCGGCTGCTGCCCAGTCGCCGCGAGCAGACGGTAACGGCGCGGGCGTTCGGCAGGGCGACCTGCTGGTGGCGGTGCTGATGTTGCCGCGCGACAACGGCCGGCGCAAGGCGACGCGCGCCAGGCGACGCGAGAACCTGCAGTACGACCCCGGCGAGTCGATGATGCACATGGTGGGTGGCCGGCGGCGCTTGGCGACGCGCGACCGACGCACGCGCCTCGGCCGGTCACGCGGACCCGGCCAGCACGTGGCGGCCGCGCCGCGTGCTGCCCGCGTGACGCCGGCGTGCGGTGCGTCACACCGCGACCGGATGTTAGACCCTCCGCATGGGCAGGATGTCGAACCGGATGTTAGACCCTCCGCATGCGGGATCGAGCAGAGCAGAGCAGAGCTTGTAAAACTGGAACAGCATTGGTGAATCTGTGGAGCGGTTTTGGAGGGAGGTGTCATCGCTGTTGTTGAACGCGTTTGCAGATGTTTGCTGGGATTAAGACCCATGTTTCCAGTGTTTTTTTTTTGGCCAAAGCATGTGCTTTGGCATCATGCACTCGGCATTTTGCCACAAACGGCTCACATTTTCAACGACGCTATTACTGCAGAATGCATGTGTGAGCCTTTGACAGCTGTCTTGCATTTGGGCTGGGTTCAGTCGGTTCTGTGAAATGGCAGGCACGACGACGAACAGAGACGCTGGCAGGCAGTCGCGCTATGCGAGGACAAACGCCTTGCATACATAGTGACCATTGGTGGTGATACGTGACACGGAACGGAATGTGCCGTCGCTAGTGGCCCGTCCGCCCCCCCCCCCCCCTTCCCTCGCTTCGGCGAGAGCCTGGCATGAGGTGCGCCGCGTCTGACCTGGCCTTCACCTCCGGCAGGAGCTGAAGATGCTACCCTTCCGGCTGAAGTGGCAGTCGTACCGGATCATCACGCGCTACACCAACGGCCGGGAGACGATCAACACCATGGACCTGGGTGACCAGTTCCCGCCGCTGGTGTTCTGTCCGGTGCGCAGTTACGCGGCCGTCAGCGAGGCGCCGCTCTGCTAGAGCAGCGCGCCGGCCAGCGAGGCGGGACCGACCCGCGGCAGCGAGGCGACGGGGACAGCCCCGCCAGGGGACCTGGTGGTGGGCGAGCGCTCGGCGGCGCGTTCCCCGGCGTGGAGCTCGCGGAGCGCGGCGCGCTGCTCCGTCTCTGAAGCGCTACGTCGGTGGTTGTCAGCTGTGGACATGGCCCGACTCCGGCCGGGTAATAAGCCGGTTCAGATTCAGGATTAAGGTCGGATGATCTGTGGCAGTGCGCAGCGAACCGACGGAGGGGCGGAAGGCTGTGGTTTTCGAAATTTGATTTACTAGGTTGATCTTGGTTCAGGGAATGCATCTGACGTCTTAGTGCGGTTGTTGGAGTGCGTAGTTACTTGGGTGTTAGTAGCTTTATTTCTGTTAAGTCGATATGAATGCAATGAATGTTTGCCACGACTTTCGCGTGCTGTAGCGAGCGGACACAAATACAACCTCTAACTGTTTCTTGGTGTTCGGTTGGCAGTTTCGTGCGTGGACTTCACCTCGTATGCACAAGCAATAGATATTATCAGGCCACATCGTGTTCAAACGTACATTTGCTGGTACTTTCTGTGTGGCTCTTGTGTGCGTGCCTTTCCAAACATAGGCAGAGCAGCCCGCGGGTGTGCGTCCTCACGGCGCGGTTGTGGCGTTGGATGGCGCCGAAACGGCATCGAGGACCACAGCATCTACTTGGCTTCCACTAAAAATCTGAGAAAAAAGAAGAATTGGTTGCCCAACTGCTGCAATTTCCCTGCGTTTTACAGTGAAGGCGCTTTGGTTTCCGCGAACTATCGTGATGGGTCAGCACGCGCCCGGGTGGCCGGGTGAATACCCTTTGCTTGGGTGGGGGTCAGTTTGACTCCCCCGTGATCTCTAAAACTAAGATAACTAGACGCCGAGTTCACGCGATGGGTTGGCCTGTACACAAACTTGTCTAAATTTGAGGTTGCTAGGTCATTATCCTGGTGTCAAAGGCGACACACAAGGACAAACTTGGGAGTTGTGTTTTAAATGCTCCCAAACCTCATGCAACCGCTGTAGAGATATGCACCTGTTCTAGGCAAAATTTGAATGAGGTCAGTGACCTTTCTTGGTCTGTACAAGGTCGGGGTGACCAAATAACTAGGAGATTGCTTCTATTTTGCAATTCGAATAAGCGGCAGGGGTTAGGCTTGGCGGTGTGTCTATAAACAGGATGTTGACATGGGTGATTTTTGGTCGGTGACGTACTCTGACCTTACTTAGGCCCATGGAATATATATATATATATATATATATATATATATATATATATATATATATATATATATATGTGTGTGTGTGTGTGTGTGTGTGTGTGTGTGTGTGTGTGTTACGGTCCCTATAATTAATAAAATCGACATAAGAACCAGAAACTACCATACAAAACCAAGCTCTGGTACGAAAAAAGGTTGGTTTTGACCTCGGTCTGACCTTGATAGTTCATACATGACCTTAGGTCAATGGAACTCATTGAAGTTTTAATTGAATCGGTTGATTGCTTAAGGAACTATCTCCGATAGGTATAGCTTCGTCTAACACTTCGTTGATCAGGTACCGATATCACAATCTTCTTATGGGTGCCGGTAGGGTAGTGGTTAACGCGTTTGCGTTAGCCGCTGCGCGTCTGGGAAATCAGAGGTACGGGGTTCGATTCCCCGCGGTGCCCGCCCTTCCTGCCATGGTAAGAAGCAGTCGACGCCATTTAGCCTCAGCAGCTGAGTATGTCGTAAAGCCCCAATGACACCACACGCAATCTGCTTATGGTTATGGTGGATGATCGAATGTGCTCCTGGGTCTTATAATTATCATACGATGGAAAAAGCAGAGGTAAAGGGCATGCATACTAGACCCATTTACATGTCACGAACGCTACACCATGTCACAAGCCACAGGTCAGACCTTTCACGCACGCACACACGTGCGTATATATATATATATATATATATATATATATATATATATATATATATATTAGAATTGGGATTCGAACTATTTCAGAACCGAAACGAATTGTTCACCTCCATTCGGCGAATCTTTGATCGTTTTCAATGAAATAATCTTTTACGCCCTCATACGCATTGAAGAATGGCACATTATTGAAACGCACCATCCTCAGCTCCAATGTAGAAGACAGCCGTATGCAGGAAAAATTCAGCGCCATGACTGAACAGCTCGCGGGACGAGCTTTCTGCTTGATTCAGAGGCGAGTACCGCATTGTCACGCCCACACATTAAGACAATAATGTATAGTATCAGGGCTATTAGAGCTGACACATTTACGGACATGGCGAGACTTGCTGCCCGTTATTGCTGTCTCTGTACCACCCATTGGCCGCGGGACCCGCGGGTTCGCAGAATCGACCACCAGCATTATGTCACTACGTATCTTCAAAGTAATTCCTGCGGCAGGCCACTTGGATTTTACCTGGGGGCTGATACATAATTCCCCAACCTGTGTATTCAAAATTCAGTTAAGAGGTGCTGAACCTATTTCCAGCGATGCCAGAGTCCACCAGCCACATCCCGCAGTATGTTCGTAGTCTAGGTGCTGGACAAGTCCGAGAGGAAGCCTGTTGGTGAGAACGTTGGCTTGCCGTTGGCTTCGGATGAGACGGGTTTGATTGATCAGGCGTTGAGCAGCGCCTCAGCTCTGCAGAACACCGTCGAGAACGCAGAACGCTGATCTGCGCTCCTTCCATATCACTAGGCGCACGATTCTCAGCGCTGCATCATGCGCCCCCTACCACGCCCGGGGCACTTCGGGTCTGATTAGAGTCGGAGCTTTATCGATCGTGTCCCAAATGATACCACCGGAACGCGTTGAGCTCGTCGGCGAGGTCAACGTGCACCAATGTTCTCTTCGGTTCCCTTTTGGCACGCTTCATCATTGCTCCACGTGGACCGTTGGAGTGGGATGGGGGGGGGGGGGGGGTCTCCTTGTGGAGTAAAGCACCACTTGATGTAACGTTCTGTCGACTTCTTTCTGATCATGCTTGCGTTGTAGTCTCCTGGCAAGCTTCTTGATTTCCTGGGCTCTGATGACGTTGAGACCGTTATCTGACCGGATCTCAGACGGTCTCCCTTTTCGGAACATAAATCTCATAACGATCCGAACGGAGCTGTTTGCCTCACAGCCATGGGCAGACCCGAAATGAAAAGCTCTCGTCTGCAGACAGCTGAACAGACACACAGATGTTCATCTTATGCATTTACCCGCCCCTGTCGCGTTTCAAACGGTCCTACATAAATAACAGCCCGTTTGTCAACTACGCGAACCAATGAGAATGCCTTACCGCTAATCTAAGCGGTCATAACACGTGTCTCTGGTTTCTTATTGCTTTTTGACAAACCACGCAGTTTCGTATGCGTGAATTGATGATTTCGCAGGCACCAGTTATTCAGAATCGCCTTCTGATCTCTGCCAGAGTGTGCCCGGTTCGAATTTCATGGTCGGTGCTCTGTGATGCTGCCGAATGAGCAGTGCTTTTACACAATTTAGGCTTTTAATATGCTTTAATTATGGCTCTTTACGTAAGTGATGACAATTTTCGACCATCGACATGTAGCATGCTGACGCATTTGTGAGGTTGCACCTACATTCACTCTCTTTAAGGCTCGTCACTAGGCTAGTTACCTTGTCAGAGAACTTCTCCAAATGTCCGGACTCATCCGGTTGAATTGACCACGCGCATCGTATCGAATCCAGCTCGTTTCGGATTTTTCGTACACCGCCACCAGCCATCCTCTCAGATTCTTCCCTTTCCTTCGTATGCCCTATTTTGGTCAGATGTAACCCTCAGCGACTCACAGTGGTTCTCTGGCCAGGTAGTACGTTGTCCTAGACTTCCACCCCCATCCCTTGTTATGCTTCTGTTGCGCTCCATCGCATCCCTCTCCTATCAACCTCCATGCATAACGTATTGTAGGAATATGGACGGCCCTCACGCTCCCGTCCTTGCTTGTTGAGAGCGACGCTAACCATGTGGTGGTGCATGGAAAGAATTGTTTCGAATTTGGCGTTAATCCACCGGCCCTCATGCCCCCTAGGCACCCCACACTTCCCAATGCGTTTCTACGCCTATATACGATCATCAAAGGCATCGGGTTGAATGGCACGGGCATTATAACACATCTGCTATCCAACTCAGTGCTTCTGGCTAGGGGTTTGAATAAACTGAGACATTGAGCTTAGATAAGCTTAACTTGAGAAATGCACACGTGAGATCACTTGTGTCAACCTCTTATTGACCTGGTGACAGTTAGAGCTATGACACTTCAAGAGCCGTTGTTGCTTAGTTGTAATACCCCAGCGGCGCCTGTAATCATTGACCACCGGGTCTCCTGCTAAGAGATCTGCCGTGGACCTTACTCTGGGCTGGGCTTCTCACATGCCTCGGTCGATTACCTTTCGACAACGGACATTCGTGGCAGATACCCCAGCAGCGCCTGTATTCATTGACCACCGGGTCTCCTGCTAAGAGATCTGCCGTGGACCTTACTCTGGGCTGGGCTTCTCACATGCCTCGGTTGATTACCTTTCGTCAACGGACTCTCGTGGCAGATCACGTATCTCAGTCAGCGTATCGCTCGACTGTTGATATTAGCCCGGATCGAGGCACCTGTGTGTGGCCTGGTAAGCCGCCAGGCAGGTGAAGGAGGTGTACTAGGGGTCAAGAAGCGCTATCGGCCACTACGCTTGTGGTTGTCATCTGCGATGTAGTAGATGGAACTTTACAAAGTACTTTGGCGGACTGGACTCTAACTCAGCTGATTTTGTGGGTCCAGGTTTCCGTGCCCGCAGACTTTTGACGTGAGGCCTATGATGAGGCATGACAAGAACGGTCTTTACCGCGGTCCAGAATTAATGTTGGAGCACCCACCCCAAATATTTTTAGATGGTTTCACCCCACGTTGAGCTTATTTCAACGAGGGTCCATCTTTGCAACAGCCATTCGAAATATCTCGTCCCAAAGAAGAGCCCGCCAGAAGTAAGCATGTTGCGAAGGGCGCCGTCAGCAGACAAGCGTCACTGACCGACGTCATTCAGAGCAGCTCTCTACAGTCTTCGCATCTTTCACAGTTTGCCTGAACCCTTTAAATAAACACAGCTGTGATTAGGCATCTGCGCAAAGTCGTCGTTGCGGCCCTAAGACGCACTCAGCTGTGCTGAAGTGAACATATTTCGCCTGCCTCCTCTCCTGACAGGAAGGGGGGGGGGAGGCATCGAGGGGAATCGGGCCCCGCACCTCAGGCTTAACCACAAGCCTGTGTAAGCAGCCGTACACCGCAGAGGAGGGGAGGACCTTACAATGACTTCTGTGTTCCCGATTCTCGCAAGATGTCACATAGTCGACAGTCGTCGGTAACTGACCCTAGGTCACGGTCACGGAGAACATGTGACATCGTCGAGGTTTGACCGGGGAAGGGATGGGTGGGGTGGGTGGGGGCAATGCGCGCGCAGAGCTAGCGGTTAGAAATGGAAAGAACCAATCCCCGCCAGTTCCGGGAATTCGCTACCGCATGTTTGGTTGCATGCTCCAGTGAAGCTTGTTTCTATTTGGATGGATTTATCCACCGCATCCACACCTCCAATGGTATTCATCGAGCTCCGGGTACTACTATATTATTACAATGGTATTATATATACGCCAGGTACTAATAAAGAGCTCGGTAGGCAGGTACCGTCTGGTACAGCAGTGTACGTATTCTCCATTTGTTTTTTTCGAGAATGATGCACAAAATGTCGGCTAGATAGGTGTCGCAAAGGAGGCCCGGGCGAAACACCACACAGCGTCGAGGTAGGATCTATCGGTGTTGTCAGTGTTACATGTACTGTTTGTTAGCGTGTCCTATTTCCTCAAAATCGCTCGAACAAAAACCTCAACTGCAGGATCAACTAGCCACTGGATCCGGAAACGCGACAGACTCCTCAGACGGGGCGGTTAGACCTCGGGTTCCTCGATTAGGCGTGAGAGAACGCATTCGCTGTGAGAAATTCGCAACACTGAGAAAATCGCCTTGAGCCAGTACGTCAGTCCCAGGTTCCTTTCAAAGCGTCAAGGTCCCTTCATGCATTCCTCCCTGGGTACTCAGCGGCGTGAGGATGCCCTCCATCCACGGCGACGCCCGGCCCCCCCCCCCCCCCCCTCCGTGCTGCGTGGCCCCTGACGGTCTGCATGGAATTACCACGAATTGCTGCACCGGCTGCGGGAGAGGCAATCTCAGCGGTCCGGCGCCGCCGACGTCTGATAAGCCACCTCCAATCACGGCGAACTAGCACGGTGCTATCTCGTCAGAACCAATCGTCGGTCAATATTTGCCAATCGATCGATGACGGCTGGTGCTGTCCTCTCAGACGGACCGACTGACACACTTCACCGTCTCACGCTCCCACTGCAGCCGCCGCCACATCAGTGACGGCTGGCGCTGCCCTCTCAGACGGACCAGCTGACACACTTAACCGTCTCACGCTCCCACCGCAGCCGCCACCGCATCAGTGACGGCTGGTGCTGTCCTCTCAGACGGACCAGCTGACACACTTAACCGTCTCACGCTCCCACCGCAGCCGCCGCCACATCGGTGACGGCTGGTGCTGTCCTCTCAGACAGACTGACTGCCACACTTAACCGTCTCACGCTCCCACCGCAGCCGCCACCACATCAGTGACGGCTGGTGCTGTCCTCCCAGACAGACCAGCTGACACACTTAACCGTCTCACGCTCCCACCGCAGCCGCCGCCACATCGGTGACGGCTGGTGCTGTCCTCTCAGACGGACTGACTGCCACACTTAACCGTCTCACGCTCCCACCGCAGCCGCCACCACATCAGTGACGGCTGGTGCTGTCCTCCCAGACAGACCAGCTGACACCCTTCGCTGCCACACGCTCCCACCGCGGCTGCCGCCACATACAAGTCATCGTAACCGGAGGTGAGGAGCAGGGCACGGGTGCACCGTGTCACTCCTCCTCCAACGTTTACGTGGTTATGGTAACCCCCGTTGCGTCGAACGAAAAGGGAGGCATACAACTCGATACTTTCCCAGTTCCTGGTCTGCGACGGAGCCACTAGATGCGTCCATCACGCTGTCCGAGATTGATACCACACACAGATTATACAAGGTATACATATTCCACAAATGGCTACAGAGCGGAGCTGCAACAATAATTGTGGATTGCCTTGTGCATAGCACCAAGTTCAGAGGATGCTGGAGGATCAGACCGGCACAAGTGTAAAGCCCCTGTCTGTCCGTCCGTCTCACGTACATCCGGAAGAGAGGACGAATTCTTCCCAAAGGTATGTGATGCTATGAACTCATACCGTTTGGGATTGGAGAGGTTTACGCTAGCGATATGGTAATACGCGCAGATAATCGGATAAAGCACGAATTCGGCAAGGGGCGGCCCTGTACTTCGGTTTGAGGGGGAGAGTCAAACCGTTCTTGCAGAATGAAATTTAAGACACCTAGTTGCCCTCATACCCACACCTAGCCATATATATATATATATATATATATATATATATATATATATATATATATATATATATATATATACAGGACAGGTCCACAGGGTGGTAGGTTGGACGCACGTCCCAATGTCGCTCGTGGAACGACTGTGTGCGGGGAGCAGGACAACCTGTGACCGATAGGCTGGATATGATGATCAAGTCAACGGGTCACTGGGTTACCCAGTCAACAGAACACCGGTTTAAGTCATTTCTCGAGCGAGTCTACCTTTCTGGAGGTGTAGCGGCTTGCCACGGAATATCGCGGGCGTGAAATGGCAAGCGAGACACATTGACCACGCTGCCATAGCAACCTGCGCCTCCGCAAGGCAGACTGCGCCCTCACGGCACGGTGGATTGAACTCTTTTTAGCGAATCATCTACAACGGTAAAGAGAAGTGACGAAACCCGCCTCCGCAAATAGCCGACAAACGTTGGGGGGCTGGAGCCCGACTTGAGCGGTCTGGAGCTCCTCCGACATCAGCTGAAAAGGAAACTACATCCCTGTTTCCAACTATCAACGGAAAACCAATTTGGCATGCCTGCAAAAGGGCGTGTAGGCAAATTGCCGTTCAACTCCTAACATCTTACTGTATTGACATGGCGGTAAAAGCAGACATGATGAAATTCAGCAAAAAGGCATTCGCCTACATGCTTTTCGGTTATTTTCCCAAACGCCTTAGCCCACAATCCCTCGGTTTCCCCGTCGGTTCCCATAAGCACACCAACGTTTTTGAAAATCGCTGTTTATCACGTTTTAAGAGAAGACCTCACAGTTTTCCCGGCAAACGGACAAATTCATGTTTGACGGATGCTCGCAGGCAAGTACACGTACGCAGATGTTCGTTGACGCAAATGTCCGTAAGTGCAAATGTTCGCGTCGCTATCGTTCGTCCATGCTAATGTACGTTTAACGATAACTCGAACCACAAATGTTAATATGGCAAATGTTCGTAGACGCAATGTGTTCACACGTACAGACAGTCAGGTATATGCACGCTCTTCATTTGGCGGTTAAAATTCGCCTTTGCCAACGCTGTTGACATACCGAGTGCAGCACATGCGAACGATTGCGATTTGGTCGAACATGTGCACTTACCAAACATCTGTTATTTTACGAACATTCGCGATCGTGAACATCTGTGATACGGACATTTGTAATGCAAACATTTGCAATACGCGCAGCAGCGCTTGCGAGCACATGCGTTAGAAATACTTGCAATGAGAAATATTCACAAATGCGAACATCGCTTGCCAATATTTGTGCATGAACATCTTCGTACGTATGTATGCGATGCGTTCATTTTCCTTACATACATTGTCATGTAACTGTTTTACTCACAAGTGCCGCCCCTCCCCCTGCCTGGGCCCGTCCGCCTTGTACGTCCCTGTACGCCAACAGACTGCCTGCAATAAAACGAAATAAATACTTGGCCCACCATGGCCATGACCCACGCCCACTGATCTTGTTTACGAAATTTTGTTTTTGAAAAGGATATTGCCATCAAGATGGGCCTTAGCCGACCCAATCTAAGCGGGTCTCATCGTCCTTGCCTTTGCCCATCAATATTTTCATTGGGCAATCGATCTTAGTCAGGTGAGCCACATGAATAAATCGGTGTGAATGCTGCAGCTAAAACGATAATACACTCCGAGAAGGACTCATACGCGTCATAACTGTCTCCAGTTCTCACGCAAGCCGGCGCCTGGGGCGCCGCGCGCTGCAGATGTTTACTGAGCGCATTCGAGTGCGCGTGCAGTCTCGTGCTGGACGGGGAGGTGGAGGGGCGTGCTGAGCGCGATCGTGGCCCGTAAGAGCTGTGTAAGTGGAAAGACTGCAGGCGAAGAGCTGCTGTGGGCCGTGGTATATTGGACGGAGATAACTGAGGTTTTCGACGGGAGAGATATACGCAGTATCGGTGCTGAGTGCTTTGACAAGCTATCGTTGTGCTGTGATTCCGCAATCTCAGCCTATGAACTTACATCTTCATATCTTATCGTTTCAAGCGTTTTTTCACGCTGACCTGGCTTAAAATCGTGGCAAAGCTGAGAAACACTTCAGTGGCTGGTAGTTGTCAGTGGAAGGCTCTTGAGTAGGGTCCCCAAGCATCGAAGATGCCCAAAGGTGTGGAAATGAATCAGTTAGATCCAGATGTTGGAGCGAGCAGATTTCAAGTTGCCAGAGCAAGTGTTGATTTCCGGGAGCCTCCCACGGAAGGCGGCCTCTCACCAGACTACCAGCCAGGCAGCAACTCCAACTCTCAGGGACGTCCCTCAGTAGCAAATTATGAAACCAAGTATTTGCGAAGTTTGCGACACTACTTGACCCGAGATGCCCTACCTCGGGAGACCCATTACAGGAACCTTGGGTCAATAGCTGAAGGTCAACTGAGACCTACCATCGATGAACTACGGGACCAGAACTATGTCAAGGTAAGCATCCAGACCTAGCATGAAAATGCATTAGTGTCTAGTGTGATGTCTGTGTGGCTCATGCTGTTCCACTTTGAAATTTATGTAGTTTTGTGTGGTGTTATCCCCATATTCAATTTAAACCATGGTTATTAAGGCTGAGGAAATGTAATTATTTATCTGCTTGCACTGATTTCATGAAATGCAGAAAAAAGAGTTCAGTTCAAAGGTTGATGTTGCAGCCTTGCAGGGACCAACAGGGACAACAGAAAGCCATCCTAAGTTTGAGTTGATGGTTATTTTTTCATTATTTTTCCATACAACATCCATAGGACAAGATTAAATTGATGCAGCCCCCCTGGTCCTTGCTAGTTCCTGCGGCCTGGTCATCAACATGTTGTTTTTGCATGTAATTAGAACAGATACATTATAAGTTACTTAGCTTTTTAAATGGACATTTACTGGTATATTCATCTTATGTTTAAATGAAACTGGATTAGGTATGTTGGTACACATGCATACTAAGTGTGTTTCTATGCTTTGTTTATCTAGAAAACATGTTATTTTAGCATATTTTGATGCCATTATTATCAGCCATGATGGTCTGCTCCTGATTTCATTGGCACTCATATGTTGTAACAGGTAGAGATGCATTCCATGCAGAAGCAGCAACCATGCTTCATCCTCACTCTACCACCATTTTTCATTGTTGCCCTTGCCGTGACAGGCCAGATCAGTTTATGGATGTCAAATTAACACTTTATGGGTCTTACTCATTGTCTCAAGAACTAAGCATGTTACCACAAAGAGTAAAATGTTGTCTTCAACCCTGGGCAAACTACGAGATGGCACTTGTAGAGACTGCAGGTCACAGGAGGTTAAAGGAGTAGTGACTGCTGCATTGGACCATCCAGCTATATCAAGAACTTCAGAAAGCCATGTGAATGAGGAAAACAGCATGGCAAGTGTCATAGAACAGTTAGGTATGTGCCAATCAGGTTTAAATTGCATGACTTTCAAAAGGTCAGTTGTGCTCGTACATGTTGGAGCTTGACCTCGCCTGACCTGGGATAGCCTGGCCTTCCAAAATACCACCAGCAAGATAGCAATGCACTTCAAAGTGATGACACTAAGAGCATCTGTCCAGAAAACTTGGTTGAGCTGCTTTCCCTGCGGAGAATGAATGGTAAACGTCCCTTTTCGGAAAAATGTCAGTGGCACGATGTGAAGAAAAAGGTTGTAGATCATCAATTGTCTAGTTCGGAAAGTTCAAATCTGGGTTGTTTTGTAAGTTTTTTTTTGTAAAACTTTGAACTTCCACGCCATAAAGTTAACTCAGGTAGCCAAAATTGCAGCACCGTGCTCTAAACTGGCCGAAAGATTTTCCCGGAAAATAACCCGAACAAGGGTCACTAAGTCGCGCTTTCTTTTACGGCGGTGATTAACATGTATTCTTTGTGTATTCATAGCACTATGTTAGGTGTAAAGATGAAATACAGCCATTTTCTTTATGCAAACCCCACGAGCTCTGTGGTCTGATTGATGTAAGCAGTTCTTAAGCTGCCCCCATATCGTAACGTCTGGTGTGCAGAAAGCAAGCTGTGCATTTCATTGGCGTCACCTCAAATGACCCGTAGGTTTGGTTTAATGAGTACAAACCCAAGACACATGGAGCTGTTGAAGACCGTCCATCAGCAACGTTGCACATTTTTGCTTTCCCCTATTATGTACTGGCTACGCTGGACGAGACCCCTCCTTTGCTTACACACTGGCCATGCTCGGTGAGGCTGCCCTCCCCTGGTTATGATGTTGAGACATTGAAAAACACGTTATCATCTGCACCTGCGCGTGACGTTGCGTTGTACCAGGCCCCTCCTCTTGTTATGGTTTGGTTCAGTTAGTATGGCCTGTGCACTCTATCGGTGCACAGAGCTTGGCTCCATCAAAGATCCACCTACGTGCGTCCCGTGGGCTGTGGACGGCACCGTACCAGGTGGGTACCGCCCAAACTGCCCAGCATCAACGTGAAACGCATGCAGCTTGTCATCAGGTCACATCATTTCGACGTGACCTGGGAACCTGTGTTCTGGCACGTGATGAGCTCGTAGCTAAGTATCCTTTATCATCAGCTAATTTGTTTGTGTCACCAGCTCGCTATTCATTAACTCACTCATAAGCCAGGTACGATCAAACATAGCCTCCACAACAAAAAATAGAACTAATTTTTGTGAGAGGTCATTGTGGGATGCGATGCCATTCGGACGTGACCTTCGCTGACCTGGTCATTGCAATACACCATCGTGACTCATTGGCACGTGCGAGCATTAGTCAGCTCCGGTTCCAGCCCTGAAGCCATACCCGCAGGTCGGCATATATATATATATATATATATATATATATATATATATATATATATCAAACGCTGGTCAAGTATATGACGTCATTTAAACATGATCATCATTAACCAAACACGTATTTTTCAAGCTGAAGGGGTGGGGGTGGGGGGTGGGGATATTAACGGCCGTTAACCCGTCAGTGGTGGATGAAGGACCCTAGCGAGACATTAATTCCAATGCTATAATCGCATTGCGCCGACACGACAACCTGGGATAATTCTTCAAGAATGTGACCATTATATGCCGCAACCACATAACCTAGCTAATCAGGAGGCTCTAAATGTGATTGGTAAACCGAATCATTGTTCATTGTTTACCGTGTCATCATCCCAGCCCCGTCGCTCGCGATAAAAAGGCTGTTATTCGTCAGATATTGGTGTTGGCTAATTGGTGATGGCGTTGCTTCAGTTGCACCATCGAAACGATTGGTAGCGTCGTTGGCTGGGCGGTATTCCTCCGTTAGCTCGCCGTGGGCAATATTCCTTCGTCATCGCGCACCGTAAAGGACATCTCCACCATTACGGGTGGCGCCGTGCTCCGAGACACTCGAGGCGTGTAGGTTTGCCGTGATTCGTGCGGCCCGCACCGCCCGGCGGGGGTGCCGCGAGCGTACCGTCTGCCGGCGGTGCTGCCAACGACACTAACGAACGGGGGTCGCTGCCAACATCGTCGGCGGCCAGTAACCGGGTCAGATGACGGGAGCCAACACAGGGTCCAGCCGGCTCCGGCTGGGCCGGCTGACTCTTGATCCAGCCGGCACTGGCGAATGTGGTGCCGGCTGGGCTGGCTGGTGTTGGGGACTGCTGCATTCAGCCATCCCCTGCCTAAGCCCCACTGGTCCCTGACGATTCGGATCAGGACCGGATCCAGCTGGATTCAGTCAACTGTGGTTAAAGATGATTCTCCACATTTGTAGATCGTGAGGCAAGCAGCACAAATCATAGGAAAGGCCCACTTGTAACTATTGGTGTGCTCTTCAGCTGGGAAACTTCCCGAAATAACCGAATTTCACTAATCAGTGAATATGCTCCACCTTACGTCATTGTCTGATTACGTCATCCTATCTTGCACGACATTGATTGAGAGCCAGTTGGCGGCCGTTATATCTGGAAACCGTGCTCACGAAGGCTAGCTATGAACGACTCAACAGTTTTGTTTTTCTTGGCCTTAATCGCCGCATGGCCGATGGAATGACGGGATTTGAATGACGTTATAGTGGCGTCATGGTCGCTTGGGTTACCTTGAAATATCTCCCGGGGAATAATCACATCTTCGCGGGCGTGTAGCTTAGAAATTCGAGGGACTTTGATCTTAAGAAGGGCACAACGGTGAACTGCACGGAATGATCTTCAAGTGACCATTTCAGTTCAAAACCCCATGAAGATGTGGAGTGCTCCCTTGTCAGTGACCGACGCTGGGTACAGCCGGCTCTAGATGAACTGAGCGCGAGAGATCTGGCCGGCTGTAGACTGAATCACGTGGGAACCAGGCTACTCTCATCATACCGGCGCACGATGCAGCCATTGGCGGCTGCTTGGTTGGTTTCCTTTTGATGCAGTATATCTGGTTAGACGTGATCAGCCGGTTTGGGTCAGTGCAGAATCCAGCCAGTTTGGTCGGCGGCGCATTCAGCCATCTTTTCGCAGCATTAGCGTGGGTCGACATTAATCAGCACTAGATCCTGCACAGTCCGGTCTCACCGGATTGAACCGGATCTGGCGAACACTAGATCCAGTCAGATCCCACATTGCTCAACGCGGGATGCAGGCCACGCCGGCCATCCTCGCCAACATTAGCTCGACCCGGCTGGTGAAATTGCTGGTACTGTGTCTAGCTTAAGGTTCCATAACTGTTGAAAAGCAATGTACTTCCACACTGAGTAATACCGGATCCACATGGCTATGAGCGTCACGAAATAAAATGGCCCACGTGACTCATCGTCTTAACATTCGCCGAATCGGGTGTCAGTAACAGCATTAAATAACCGGTCCCCGTGACGTCACAGGCGCCACTAAATCAATCCCGTCCTTTATGTCGTCGCTCTGACGTCCGAGTTTCTCCGAAGTGAATTGTCTGCCTGATGCCGCTTATCTGGTTTGCGTGGGTGATTTGACGCGTTGATGTGAAGTGGGCCGTTCACGGCACTCCCAACAACGCCAGGAATGCCGCCCGTCAAGAGAACTTGTCGGCGGCCGTCACCAGTGCTTCGGGGTACGTGGAGCAGGTCCTGTTGGATCAAAGAATTCGACGGGCTAGACCTATTTGAAATTCTGAGAGGGTTGCGTCGGGCGCCCACGCTCAGACGTCGTTTTGCGTCATAGTTGTAACGGTTTGTGCCGCTCCGGCTCAACACAACGAAAATCCCAAAACGCATCCCGACTGATGTTGACTTACTGATATTGACCGACGGATATGGACCGACTGGTACTGACCGACTTATTGACTATTGGCCATACCGGCCAAGATGTCATCGAATAGTGGTCCTGCCTGCGTTCACAAACACCCCGAAATAATCCTTTGTCTGAAACCTGGGCGAGGTTATTTCTTGTTGTTTGGCTCCCTGGCTAAACGTACCTGATCCGTGACGTATATGAGAAAGAACATGTTTCCACCTAGCATCCGGTGCTCCATCCGCGTCACATCGTCATTGAGAACCTGGTGTTTGTTTCCCATTTTTAGAACATCATTGACGTCACGCAATCTGGCAGTAGCGTGTGCGGGTGCCTGCCGTGCGCGGCGGCGGGCGGCGACCGCACGCGCCGCGCGCGCGCGCCGGCCATCACCAGGTCAATAGCTTCGGCGTATTAAGTACCGGCTCACCTTCCCCGACGGGGCTGAGCTCGCCTTGGCGGCGCCATCCGGCGCGGCCCTTCCGCAATTACCCGGGCGCCGGGGCCGGGCGGCGGCGGCGGCGGCGGCGGCGGCGGCGCCGGCGGGCTGGCGCGCCAGACGTGAGGCTGCCGCCGGACGGAGCGGCGCTGGCCGGCCGCGCCGCCGCGTCCGCCAGACGGGCGGGGGTCGCTCCAGTGAAGGAGGAGGGGGTTGCCAAGGCTGGTTATAAGCGGTCTCAATTTTGTTTCTGTGCTGCTCAATGGCGTAATTATACGATACCGTGGGATCGAGATACCGGAGTAGCGTGCAGCGGAAAACGGTGCGAGATATTTGCAGAAAGGCTAAGCCTTACATGATTTTGGCGCATTTTATAAAAAAAATGCGCGTAATCGCAGAGTCGCAAAGAAGCGAGAGCAATCAACTTGCATAGTCCAGGCCAGCTCAGAAAACCTCGTGGATCAAGGAAAGCTTCAGAATATGGTAGCATTAGGCGCCTCCAGCTTGCTTTTTCCGCTTGCGCTGCCTCTTCAGCTGCTTTCTGTTAACGATTTGCAACCGTCTAGCTATAAGAAACGAAAATTGTCAGTTTTGTGCACGTGCGTATGAAATGTTCAGTGCAGTAGTTCGTTTGTAAAACAAATGGGTGCTTCCTAATTTGCGAGATATTTTAACAAATTAAATTGCATTACCTGGTAATATACTTGGTGACTCGTCAGCCTGACTCGTCGCGTGTTGAGTCGAGTAGCCAAGGAAGCGGCCTGACGTGCGTCACGAGGATGACAAAATTGCAGGCTGGCGGAGAGTTCAAGGCCCGGCGTCGTCGTTTTTGCGAATTTTTGGCAACATTTCTACACCGGCGCTCGTACAGATGGCTTTCAAGCCAGCCAAGACCAACTCGAGCCGCCTGGGGGGGGGGGGGGGGGGAGGAAGGGGGAGCTCGTGCCAAGCCCTTTATTAGAAAATGGCGTGATTTTGCCTGCTCTGTTTCCTTGCGTGTTTTGCTGTGAGTTGTCTCGAAAGACAAGTGGAAAGGAACTGACGAGTGAAGTGACGTAGCGCGGAGATCAACATATCACGTCATGTTTTCACCAGGATGCAGTCAAGGGGCGTGCCCTTGTGATCATAGCGTGACATTATCCCGTGTTGATGTGAAGCGTCTGGGCGTCCTGGGTGGTTGCCGCATTCTGTGGGCACCAGGCTTTCTTCCGTTCGAAAAACACATGGTGTATGAAGCGAGTTGACGGACTTACTCGGTAATTTTGACAGTCAATCGACAGCCATCCGTCATTCGTCATTCGTCATTCGTCATTCGTCATTCGTCATTCGTCGTGACTAATCGGAGGTGTTAGGATGTTTCGTGGAACAGCTGAAATCTAATATGTGAAGCACCATCTATTAGCATGCTGATTGAACAGCCTTCAGCGTCGCTTATTGCACTGCTGCAAACACGCTTAACACTTATTTCTGGTTAGGTAATGGTTGGCGAACGCTGTTGATGTAATGTTTTCGTGCGATAGCGCACTAACTCATTCTCTGGCGTGTGCGATAGCCTGCTAAGGAAGACCGGTTGCCCAATGGCCTATTCGAAGGGGAGGACACGACTGGCACTTGTCCTCCACTTCTTCATCAGGTTAACGCATGGATTGGTATGCGCATGCATGTGGGCACTAAGGAAGCGAGACAGGTGCGTAAAACAAGTAGTTTAGAACATACGCCATGTAAGTCGTTTTGCACACCGACGGCGCGCTAAAAAATCAGCGAAAAGTTAAGAGTTGCCTGGCCCGTAACTGCGAAATCCCGCATACGCCTTGAGAAGGGCAACCTACGTCTGGAGACCCCAGTTCGAGCCACCGGCGCCAGAATCCACCGTTCGGTGCCTGATAGCCTGTGGCTCCGTCATCGCTTATCTTCCGCGCGTGACGAGGGTTGCAGCGTCCTCGTCACGGCGGAGCGCGCCGTGACGGCGTCGCGTGACGCCCCGGTCCGCCGGCGCCCGCGATCTCGGACCGGACGGCGGGCTACCGTCCGCATTCCGTGCCTGGCGGCTCCGTCCGGCCCTGGAAACGAGCCGGCCCTGCATACCAGCCGGCTCGCGCGCACGCTCCCGGCACGCCGTCGCCGGTTTTTACGCGGTGTCTGACCGGCCTCTAGCGCGGACCTTTCGACGAACGGCCCGGCTTTTCTCTAAATTAGGGCCGGGGCGAACGGAGATTCCGAGGGCGCTTGGGAAGGCGGCGGGCGTGGCTTCGAGGCCGCGCGCTGAGTTACTGGATCTGCATGACTTCCAGCTCTCCTTGGATGGATTGTCTGTCATGCGCGAGGGTCGATTTTGGTTATGAGAACCTGCGATTCCGTATGAAGCGCTGTCGGCTGTCAGTACCGTAACGCTCTCATAGCATCGTAATGCCAGACACCGAGACCCTGGGAGTACACGGAAAGTAACGTTCCTGATGTGCTAGGCACGCAGCGGGTAATGCGCAAAACGCCTTGACGTAGCAGCGACTTGAATGCATTCCCTTCCACGTCATGAAAAATGGTTTCACGTGCTAGTTGCCGCGCCCGCCGAAATCACATGGCGTAATCAGGCGGCGTTATAAGTTGTATGAGCGGCCACAAAAATGTCGTTTGTTTACTGCGTCAGAAGCAAGGTACCGCGAGCGTGATGGTGGTCGTATCATGTAACGCTTTGCCACCAGCTGGAACGTTCAGCTATTTTCTTTAGTAGCTAATCTGCAGTTGCAGAAATGACGGTCACCATCCGTTTGCTTGCGGCCTCATTGTGCTGCAAAGTTATTTGCGACCTTTTCATTCGACAAAGCAGTTGTGACAAACAGTAGGCGAAGTCATTTGTTACGGTTTTTGGAGCCACAAAGTGACTGTCCTCAAGATGGATCACACATGTGACCCTTACCTTGCTGATAAAAGACCATGCGTCATATTCTCTCTTTTGGCCGACGCAACACACTGCATTCGTCGATTTGATACGGGTGTGGAGAAAGGGCGACAGGGCAAGGATATATGATAGGATGTGAGGCTGCAAACCTGCTAACAGAGTTGAAAATGAGATGCACGTCGCAGTGAACATCTTCCCAACATCCGATGAAATATCTTCCTCGGGAGGAATGTTTGTGTACCAAGTAGCGACGTCTGCCTCAGGAGGTCGCCTGCCAATCCGGGACAAAACACTTTAAACACATCTCCCTCCGACCCGCCGCTGACTGGAAGCTGCAACTGCATGTTACACTACTCGTTGTCCTCGTTACGTGGTAGCGACTTGCACACAATCTTTGGTTCAGACGGGCGCAACAGATGTGAAATGTTGTATGGCGTGCTCACTTTGCCTCGTTTGCAGGACATCGGCGATGTGGAAGCCAAGCCGGAGTCGGCTCAAAAGGGAAAAGCCATCAAATTCGGCTGGATCGAGGGCGTATATGTAAGTACTAACGGGCGGTAGCAGTTGCGTTTTCATTACGGCGCAATTACGTTAAAACCGTGCATAACTGTTACTAAACCAAAGTGATTCAGTGTCAGTTCCATAAGACTTTATTGCGTTTGTTCTTTTCTTCATAAGGCCTCCTGATGTTTGTTATCATCGAAGCCCTTCAACTGTTCATATTTGACCATCCGCTTACGGAATAATCTGATCGCTGTGAGGGGAGATCGCTTATTCGCGTCCGCCACCGCCGACTGCTGGCAGTGAAGGGCTTCCAGCCGGTCAGCCGGCTTGCGGCAACAGCTACTCCTGCCCCTGATGCCGAGCGTCAGCTCCCCACGTCCCATTTGTGGCAGGGCAAACCATCGTCGTGGTCACATTTCCAGATAGTTAACACAACGCGGATCTCGTGCTCAACCGTTGATTTTTCTGCCTGACTCATGTTATCTACAGCGCATTCCGTTTTGCTGTCTGGCTGACCGGCGGCGGCTCCCGTCCCCAGATGCGATGTCTGCTGAATATTTGGGGCGTGATGCTGTTCCTGCGCCTGACCTGGGTGGTGGGTCAGGCCGGCCTGGGTGAGTACCGCCGGTCGGACCGGACCGCGGCCGGCTCCCGGCCACCGGACTGTGTCCCAGGATTTCGTCGAAATGAAACCGGCTGGGGCTGCCTGCCGGGAACTCTCCTGAATCACATTGAGTCATGCCAACATGACGGGCTGCAACGCCGACGGGCTTGGCTGAGGTCATTTCTCGCCCTCCCCTGCTGGATCTTTCTCGTACATGTGCTCTGCAAGCGATCAAACAAAAAGGGCCCTGCGCGACCTATTTCGTACATGTGTTCTGAAGGCGATAAAAAACGATCTCGGCAGTCTGAAAGCAGTTCTGGGCCCGAGCATCTCGTTATATAGCGTCACATGACTCATGCACACAACACTGCGGCGTCGCGCCCTCCGTAGCAGCGCGACACGCCAAGTAAGGTGGTGATCCCGCTGGGCAGACCCATTCCTTGCGTGGCCTGCGTGGTGACGCATCGCCGCAGGCCGTGACACACGACCTCAGTACACCCGCCGGACGTGCCGCTCTCCCCTGTCCGGCTCCCGCCCGCCACTCCCGCCCGGCCCCTCTGCCCGTTCCCCGCCTCCCCCTGTCTGACTGCGGTGCTGCTGGCGGGAGGCGAGCCGCTCAGTCGCGCCCAGATGCGGCCCAGGTGGTCGGGAGGCGGGGCCCAGGAGCGGCAGGGCTCGGCGGCGTCCCTCACCCAGGGTGCTGACAGGGCGCAGGCGGACATCCGCCACGTGCCGCGGGCTCGCACGGCGGCTGTGTTGACCGCGAGACCCAACTGGAACGGACAGGGCATCATTCAGCGATAGGGTAGCGCCGAGTTAATACCTCACTTAGCCTCCTCCGCGCCCGTCCGTTTAGCGATTCCGAACTTGGCCACACCGTTGCGGTATGGCTATGCATGCAATGGCCGTGTGCGGGGTTGATAGCCGAGTTGATACCCCCTGGGAGTTTTAGCATTTCGCCCCGCCGGCTCGGTATGTAATCACTTCGTTGCACTTTGACCGTCTCCCGTCCGAGGCCTCGAATGCTACGGCTCCCGCCCCGCCCTCCTCCCCCTCAGCACTTGTCGGATTAATTCGAGCTTAAGTGGTGCATCCTCTTCCTCGCGCCGCGTGAGCGATTATGAGGAGCCAGGGCGTAAGGGGTCGTGGGGATGCCAACTTCCTCACATCGATGGACGGGTGTGAACTTGGAGCTAACCATTGCGTCGCACGGCTTCTGATGGCCGGCTTTGGTTCGCGTGAATTCTGAAATTGAAGGCATTATCAACTGGATTGGCTGAGGCACCCAGACACACCGTTCCTGGGCGTGGAGGAAGGTGGTGAGGAATTTGATCACTTTTGCTCGCTCTGGGACCAATTTGTATTTCACGTCAGAAAAACGCCCTTGCTGATGACGTCAGGGCCACTGATGACGTCGCAGGTCAAGTCAAGCTGCACGCGTCCTCAACGGTCTTACAGAAAAGCCAAACCTGGAGGGGGAGGGGGTGTTGTAGGCTGCCTCCCCTCCGGCCAGCTTTTCTCCCTGTAGTACTAGAACCAGACCATTTTCTGATAATAATGTCCGAGTGACGATCCTGGAACGCCAGGTCATGATAGACATGGGTTAAGTACTTAAAGGTCAAACGAGGTCACCTATGGAGTATGTATATCGGTGGGTAATTGCGGTCGAAACTGTTTTAGACATGGGTTAAGTGCTTAAGGGTCAAACGAGGTCACCTATGGAGGATGTGTATCGGTGGGTAATTGCGGTCGAAACTGTTTTAGACATGAGTTAAGTACTTAAGGGTCAAACGAGGTCACCTATGGAGTATGTATATCGGTGGGTAATTGCGGTCGAAGCTGTTTTAGACATGGGTTAAGTACTTAATGGTCAAACGAGGTCACCTTTGGAGTACGTATATCGGTGGGCAATTACGGTCGAAATTGTGTTACATCAAAAACATCGGTCTATTTGCGCGGGCGAACAAGTCATGGTGATCTAAGCGGCGCATGCAATATGGGAACAGAAGTCCTTGCATCCAAATCAGCATTTTTAGTGATCAACAGCGAATAATTCTTCAATAGTTTTCTCCCTTGCCCACTGTTATTGACATTTGGATTTTCCGATGGGATGGATTTTCCGGCCTGCTCTTGTTGACAGCCGTTGGACCAATTACTTAAAAGGTTCGGTGCGTCTACGGAGTATCATTAAATGGGCCGCCGTTAAATTCCAGCTGACCGGGTTAGCCGCTCGGCCGCTGTGGTGTCGAACGCTTGGAACAGAGGAACGCGACGACTGTGTTACGGTGTTCCTTGACGCGCTGAAATCGTTTGGCAGATGCCCTCCGTTGCGCTCGAATTCCTCACTGGGCTGGTGCAGTCAGGCATTTCGCAACAAGCTGTGCTTGGCAACGACCGTGATCCCTAATTTATCCCTTCAAAACATCCTAGCATGTATCTGTAAAATATCGGAAACAGTTGACTGCTGCGTGACCGTGTTACGTTGTTTCGGTCGCGGGGTCGGCTGTGAATGGGTTCGTTCATTCCCGGGCGGCTGGTTGACACCACCTGGCTGACGGCCACGGCAGCCGGGCCGCTCAGCACTGCTGACGGCCACTGCAGCTGACCCGCTCAGCGCTGCTGGCGGCCACTGCAGCTGACCCGCTCAGCGCTGCTGGCGGCCACGGCAGCTGACCCGCTCAGCGCTGCTGGCGGCCACGTGAGCCGGGCCACTCAGCGCTGGTGGGGGTTGGCACCGCTGTCCAACACCGCCGGAGCATAGCGAGGCTATGTGCTGCCTCCAGCACCGCCCAGTCCCCTGCACGCCTGTGTGGGCTGACTCGCGTTTGAAGTGTTTCATTTTCTTTCAGTGGAAGCCCTGCTGCTGATCACAGCTGCCAATTTGGTCACCGTCATCACAACGATATCCATGTCGGCTGTGGCCACGAATGGGCAGATCAAAGGAGGTAAGGCACGCTCGTTGCAACCCACGCCCCGGTAAGCTCGCTGCAACGGAGATGACATCTGCTGCGTAACGAAGTGGGGTCCAGCTGTCCTGACGACGCGAGACGTCATGTTTTTTTAGCACCTGGGGCGTGGCGAAATGGCTTCCGTGGAAAGAGTCTCACATTTCAGTGTGCTTATTTGATCATCTCGTTGTCAACCTTCGGCGAAAAGATGACAGACCGGTGCGGTTGGCGGCACTTCGTTCGGCCGCTCTGAACTATGTCCAGGGTGTCCACCATATTTCCCGATGTTGTTGCCTCCGATCTGTGTCGAGACCAGGTCGCGTAGAGCCGAAATTAGCTCTTATATTCTTGGTTATTTCTTAATACTTTTGACATGCTTAGTCACTGCTTCGTCGAGCCACATATTACATTCCAGGTTAAGCCTTGCGTTCATGTTCAAACTGCGCGTGCTGTTGAGGACGCGATGTCCGTTGTCACCGTGTACGGGTGTTCTGGTCATTGACGCCCGTCATCGCTATGATGGCGATCTCTACCGTCACTGCTGGTGGGGACGGAGAAACACCAGTCCGGTATGGAGGGGCGGACCCGCCACAGCCAGGCACGCGGCCATGGTCGCCCGCACCGCCCGCTAAGAGGTGGTCACGCCGCTCATGAGCGTCGACTAACCCTGCCCGCCGCCGGCAGGTGGCATTTACTACATGATATCACGGTCGCTGGGCCCCGAGTTCGGCGCCTCCATCGGCCTCCTGTTCACCGTCTCCAACTCGGTGGCCGTGGCCATGTACGTGGTCGGCTTCTGCTCCTCCTTCAGTGACATGCTCAAGGTCAGTCGCGGAACCGTCCGAGGTCAGTCGCGGGACCGCCCGAGGTCAGGCGCGGAACCCTCTAATGAAAGAGTTTTCAGGTGGCATCTTTCCTGGTTCGAGAAGAAATTTATTATTTTAGTACCCGCTTCGTGGTCGGAGTAGTGCCCGTTTGCATCGGAAGTTATTGTTCCGAGATGGCGTGCGCCGTTTCGTAATTACCACGTCATCGCCTCCAGCATCTCAAGTTGCAGGTGTTAGGCCAGAACTAGTTGCGAACTGCCGATTCATTGAGTAATTAAAGAGAAACGCTGCAGGCTTTCGGTTATGGGGCAGCTACTTTGCATCTGGCTCAGTTGCTGCCCTCGTGATGTGGGTAACAACTAGGCCCTCATTGTATAATGCGCGCCTTGTATAGGCCGTTAACTGCGCTCGGGTGTGAGTGCCGCGCCGCCAACGGTAGCCGCGTATGGGAGCCGCGTTTCGGGAGTGCCACTGAACGCCGCGCGACCCTGGCGGATATGCGGCCACCGGAGCCGGGCGTCGGGCGGGACCAGTGGCACGCGCCGGCCGGCCGCGACCCCCACCACCCGTCGGTTGGGCACGGTCGGGTTCTGAGCCGCCGCCGTCTGCCGGCGCGGCGCCCGGACATCTGTCGGAGATCGGATACACGGCGCAGGGGGCCGCCCCCGTAACGGCACGCTGGCTCCGGCGGTGGGCAGCGCTCCAGCACCGCCGCCGAGCGCAAACAATGCGCCACCGGAGACGAGCTGTGTACTCGCGCAGTTGTTCGGCCCGCGGTGTGTGGTGGCAACTCTTCGCAGAACGGCGACAGTAGGGTAAGGTCGATATTGTTATGGACGCCGTGCTCGAAGCAGCGCAGTCAGCATGCTCACAGCGCCGTTAAAACGCGCGTCGGTGACGTCATGACTGGTTTGGTTTCGACGATAACCATGGCCGCCACCGGCGTGGCGGCGGCTCCGTGACACCCGTGACACTGACACCGGGCGCTCTTGCCTGCAGGAGTACGCGGACGGGTACGTGATCGTCGACGGCGGCGTGAACGACGCTCGCATCATCGGCTCCGCCGCCATGGTCCTGATCCTGCTGTTGGCCATCGTCGGCATGGACTGGGTCACGCGGGTAAGGAAGGCCGACAGCGGGTCACACGGGTCACCCGGCTAAGGAGAGCCCACAGCGGGTCACACGGGTCACCCGGGTAAGGAGAGGTGACAACGGGTCACACAGGGTCACCTGAGTAAGGAGAGCTGACAACGGGTCACCCAGGTCACCCGGGTAAGGAGAGCCGACATTGGGTCACTACGGGTCACCCGGGTAAGGAGAACCGACAGCGGGTCACACGGGCTCAGGCAATCGTGTATTCTTGTAGCCTCCACTATGAGGCTATTCTGTCCATGCACCAAGCTTTACAGGCGTAATCACACGGACGCACACTCGCAAATGCTCATACGGCTCATGGCAATAAAAAGCCATGATGTACTGTCACATGTCAATATGTTGGAGCGATCACCGAACTCGCCGAGTAAAGGCACGCGAGCCCGCCTGTTCCCGGGCCGCCGTAGAAAACCTGTCCCATGTGGAAGCAGCCCAGAAGGGCAAAGCGCCGGCGGGCTTTCTCCGTGCGCACCCTCAGCAGCTCTGAAAGGTGATCGGTTACCCGGGTGAGGAGAACCACCAGCGGGCCACACGTGTCCGGCCGGGGTCGGGCCGCCCGCCGCGTCTACGCCAGGCCGGCCGCCGCCCGCAGCCGCACCTGTGCCGGTTTTAGCCGGCTCTGAACGGCCGTGAGCCACGGCCGCTGTCGTAAGCTACCTGCCCCCGGACCGGCATTAAAGCGAGCGTGGGGCCTGGTGGGGCCGCCCCGGGCCGTGTTTCCTCGAACGAGCGGCACAGTCTGACCACGCCCAATCGGGACCCACTCGCGGGACTCGCGCTGAGGGTCACGACCAGCGGCGTGCGGAAGTCTTCTGGCCGTTTGAAGTCCTCTGACCACCGGAACGCGGTGCGGTGTTGCCGAAATCGGCGCGCGAGACCGCCCTCGCCGCGTGCCTCGCAGGGGCTCGGGGCCCGGGTGGCAACCGTCGTCACCGTGCCCGGCACGCCGCTGCGGCCGGCCCGCGGCCGACGACAGCCCGTGCGGGGCGGCATGTGTTGTTCGATCGCGCCCGGCAGCGGCGGCGGCGGCGGCGGCGGCGGCCCCACGCCTCGCCCCGTTCGTCAGGCCGAGCCTGCGTGACGCGGCGGCGACAGGCGCGGCGCGTGACGCCGCCGCGTGCCTATCACCGTCATTAGGCGCTTCCTGGGAGGCGGCGGGTAGGGTGCGGACGCCTATCTAATCAGCAGCGGGACACTTCCCAGCGGCGGCCAGCGCTGGGTGTCCACCGAGTAAACACCCCCCGCCGCTGTGTGGCCGCCCTCCGCGTGGCGCGGGCGAGATAGGAGCGCGGACGCGGCCGCCTCACCGGGCGCCCTATCACCGGCGGCGCCGGCACCGCGCCCGACGCCTGCCAGCTGGCTCAAACCGGCCGGGACCGGCGACTGGCGGACGCGCAGTGCCGTCGGCGGCGGCGGCGGCGGGCTTCCCCGGAGGCGGCGACCGGGCCGGCCGGCGGAGCGGGGTTCGCTGACCGTGAAATGATCCGGGTCAGACATGGACTGTCGCGAGGCTTGCGGGCGCGAGTGTGCGCGTGTGACTGGTTGTAAATGACTATGGTCACGTGTTTAACGCGGCTTAGTTATGAGCCGACGCAAGGCGGAGGCGTGCAACAGTTGAAAAGGGCGTGCACGGAAATTCGGCTTGCCGCATAGCGACTTACATGCTTGGAGGCGCTCAAGCCAGTAGCTTTGTCACCTGTCGCCTTGCGTATGTGGAAAACAAGGAGACGGATGCTGCTTTTGGTTTGTTTCCGTCACCCGATGAGCTTGAAAATTCCAAGTCAGACCCTGACATCCACATCAAGGGTGGTCCTTTTATGGTCATGCAGTCCTCCCCAGGACAGACAAAACACTCATGCATTTTCGGTGCAACATATCCAGCAGATACAGAAACGGGCGCCGGGGTCCCGTCGTCGGGCGAAATCCTCGCGGAGCCAGGTGTCAAAACATTACGTCGACCGTCTGTCGGCGTCGCTCTGTTGCCTCGGTCAATATCGGCAGTTTCAATCGCTTGCGACGAATCGATACACGAAGCTGGCCGTGAACGGGCCGGGCCGAGTGCAACCGGCGGTTCGGCGCGAATGGACTCGGCCCGACGCACGGTATGCAAGACGAGGAGTTGGAGACGCCGATAATCGATACCGCGTCGTCGGCATCAGGTGCAGCCGAGGCGACTGCTGTCAAGCGGAAGGGGAAGGGGGGAGGGGGAAGGACCGGGTTAACGGGCGCCACACGACTGCCGACGTCAGCACGGACGTGGAATTATCGCTGTACTAGGTGCGCAGTATGATGTACGACGCGGAACGCGGCTGGTCAAATGCAGGCACTGAATGGGTAACAGGCTTTAGCGTAAGGATCAGGTGAAGTCAGCCATCCTGTGCGGCATCGGGAACAGAGCTGTATCCTACCAGCCCGTAACAGGCTTTAGCGTGACGACCAGGTGAAGTCGGCCATCCTGTGCGGCATCGGCAATAGGGCTGTGTCCTACCAGCCCGTATCCTGCTGGCCAGAGCTAAATCGAGTTGTCCGCTTTTGTGTATCGATTCGCCGCAGTCGATCAGTAGATTTCGTAATGCCGGTCACGGAAGCGGGCGGACGCTGGCAGACGCCAGAAGCAGCTACTCTAGCGCACAGTCGTCCGTTTGTCTTGAGATAATATAGAGTAATCACGTGATGCAGCGTCCGTCTTTTTGGAAACAATGCACGTGGTAAATGCCGATAACAAGCATGCCATTTCGCCTAGCTGCTCATGTCTGCTAGCATCACTATGCAGCGTCACAGTGATGACCGGATCATGACGAGCGTCCGTGGGGCGGGCGGGAGGTACGCTCGTACCACCGCGGTGGCGTGTTGATCGAGACGAGCACGTGGGCTCCGAGTGGACCGTGCCCCGTCTGGCGCGAGCTGGTGGTCCGGGCTCGACCGGCGTGAGGTCGCCCCGGGCGAGCGCTGTGCTAAGCTCGCGGGTCGGTCAAGAGACCACTTGACGGCGCGGCGGCGTGCTTGACCGATATTGGGCAGCCTGGCGGACCGGTGTTGGAGGACGGCCGGCCGGCGGCTCAGCACGGGCGTGCGGCGTGTCGCCGGGCCCGTAACGTAGGTGTTGCCACCTACAGCCGTGTGAAAACAAAGCGTGCAGCTTGCGTTCCTGACGCGAAAACTGTAGGCGATTTTTCCCTTTGCTGCATTTTATCGTTCATTTTGTCAGTACAGTTTGTTTCTCGGTACGCAAATCTGAGTTGTTTTTAGGTCGAGTGGATAGAAGCAAGCGGGACTCAGGGAAAAATGCGCGCAAACACTCGAAATGCGTACTTACGCAGAAATGCGATTTCCAGGGCACGTGGTTTGAATCATCGGCACCACACTAAATGACGTCAAGGTAGGGACGTATCAAAGGGGTGGCCACGGGCGATGCGCTCCCCCTCCCTGAGCCGAGAGCTTTGCACGATAAACTGGTCAATGACGCAGGAATTCGGAGAAAATTGATTTTCATTGAACAACATTCGGGCTACGCTTCTGCACCGAGCTGCTGTTGAATCGCCGTTTAAAAGCCGATCAGCAGACGCTGTCTCTGGTGGTCTAAAGTCCGCCGCTGCTGCCGTGAAACGGGCGTCAATTTATCCTTATCCGCGCTTGAGGAGTACTACCCTTTGGGTAGGTGAACATGCCGCTGGTTTGCGTTAACATGCTGTGACGTGGTTTTAGAACTGCGTTAACTACAAGGACAGCCTTTCCTTTTTTATGAATGGACATGTCCGCATGCCGCGTAACCATGGTGATGCCCCGCGACGGCTGAAGAGCGAACGCTTTTCAACCGCGCCCTGTATGCACCACTGTGTGCGCACCTCAAGGGATGTACACATCACTGAGACACGTGCACGGCTGAGTCAGAGGCGGCCCGCTACGTGACCGATGGCCCGCGGCCGGGTGACGAGCAGAGTCCCGCACGTGTTGGCTCGCGCGCTCGAGCGGGCTGCCGGCCGGCCGGCGGGGTCACGGGCGCGGCGGCGAGAGTGGGGTGAGCGCCCGGCACCTGGTAGGCGTGCAGCTGCTAATCAGGTCAGCCGATAGGGCGCCGCGATCGTCTGATCTGTGCGGAGTGTGCCCCCCCCCCCCCCCCCTCCCACTGATCGTCAGATAGCCGGCTCGAGCACGGCAGCGTCCCTCAAGTGTGCACACAGAAGAGCCGTCCGGGGTGTGCCGCTGCACCTGAAAGAAAGGTGCCCTGTGTGGCTATCGGTGTTTGGTGTCTTGATACGCGCGCCGATGATCGTGTTTGCCGTTTAATTCGTTGCGTAAATGGATGGTGCACTCGGGCTGTTGCATGAAGAGCTCTCATGATGAGTGCGTTCACATAGGTACGACGCAATTTCTTTATCAAATATTGATGGAGCCATTGTCAGTCACGCACTGTTTGCTTAGTCAAGACTACAGATCATGCCTGAAGTGTTCCCTCAGGGATTTCGTTCCAACGGTTTATTTACGGTGCCGGTGCCATATCATCACGTCATACACTGCACTGGTCGCCCAACCTGGCCAGGTCCCTTGACACCGGCACGTTCGTCATGCCGTCATGCTGGGTACTGGGGAGGGGGCCAAGTCCCGCCGTGCCCGTCCGTCTGACACAGAGTCTCGCCGCGCCTGACACGGTCTCGCCGCACCTGATACAGAGTCTCGCCGCGCCTGACACGCAATCTCTCTGAGCTTGACACGGAGTCTCGCCGCGCCTGACACGCAATCTCTCTGAGCTTGACACGGAGTCTCGCCGCGCCTGACACGCAATCTCTCTGAGCTTGATACAGATTCTCGCCGCGCCTGACGCGGAATCTCTCTGAGTCTGACACAGAGTTTCGCCGGACCTGATACGGAGTCTCTCTGAGCTCTCTGTCTCTCTGAGCCTGTCACATAATCCGGCCGCGCCTTGCACCGCTGCTGACGCCGTGCCCGATTGGTGCAGGTCCAGCTGCTGCTGCTGTTCCTGCTGATCGCCTCGCAGGTGGACTTCGTGGTGGGCTGCTTCATGGGGCCGCAGTCGGACACGGAGCGCGCGCAGGGCTTCGTCGGACTGAGCAGTGAGTGCCGGCGGTGTCGGCCGCTGACGGGCGCGGCGACGGCAATGCCGCACCTCGAGCCCACGCCTCGTGTCGGCGTCGGTGACGGGTTAGCGTCGTGCCGACCCCGCCCAGATCGTGGAGGCACGCGCGGCTGTGGAGGCCGAGGTTAACGCAGCTGAGGTTCGGGTTGTAGAGGGAATCAGAAGCGGGAGTATCACCAAGTCGTGTGGACTTCCTCTTGGAAGCCCGTTGGGTTAGCTGTGCGATCATTCGCGGCTTTGCCGGAACCTTGTCTGGTTACGGCAGCAGGTACTCGGCATTGGCACAGCATTGCGTTGCCTCGGCGCGTGCCACGCTTTGCCCTCTCGCCCCTGCGTCGGCTGCACTCTCCGTCCTTCGCTTACGCACGGTCTCCAGCAGCTACGTGGTTGCGTTGCAGTGGATCTCCTGAAGGAGAATTCTTGGAACGACTACCGGCCGTTCGGCGGCCAAGACTACGACTTCTTCGGCGTGTTCGGCGTGTTCTTCCCGGCCGTGACCGGCATTGTGGCCGGTGCCAACCTCTCCGGAGATCTCAAGGTGAATGCAAGGATACCCTCGATGCGCGGCCCGTTCCGTAAGCTTCGGATATCCTTTGTGTATGAATCTATATCAAACCACTCAAAGCGTAAATCAAGTTATTGCTTACATGAAATCAATTTTTTCGTTACCGCTATCCAAGGACAGATAACCAGGAGTGCCTCTCCCTCTTCTCCAAAAATGAAGTTATTTTTTAAGAAACGTATCGTCATGAATGGTTTGCTCGAATGGCCTCGGGATTAACATCCTAGCTGACCATGGATTGCCACGCGAGCTCCGTGAACCAAGCGACTCGACCTCCTACCGACCGGCGGCGGCGCCGCCAGCCGGGTCGGCGCCTGTGACGCTGTCTCTGGCCGCAGGACCCGGCCGACGCCATACCCAAGGGTACGCTGCTGGCCATCTTCACCACCTTCATCACGTACGTGGCTTACCCGATCATGATCGCAGCCAGCGCTCACCGCTACGCGTCAGGTGAGTGGGGGCCGACGTCGGCCGGTGGGCGGAGGCGCCGCCGATCGCACCGCACGCGCGCCGCCGGGGCCCACTTGTAGGTGAGCCGCCCCGGAAAGCTACCGTGATAGGGCGTCGCGTGTTGCGATCGTCCTTATCTAAACAAATGTTGACGGAGCGCGGAAAAGAATCGGGTCAGCCGCATCTGGAGAGGCACGTCTGAGAGTGGGGGTCGGGCTGGGCGTGGCGAGCGTGGGCGGTGTATCAGCTGGGCACTGGTGCCCATCGGAAGGGGACGGGGCCGTCGTCGGGAGGGGAGAGGCTTCCTGCAGTGATATTGACGGCCGTCATCCTGACTCTGTGAGACTCGAGATGTTGTCGACTGTTGCCTGGGTCCCGTGGCGGGTGTTGTTCTCCGGCCCGGGTCACTTCGGCGGACCTATTGCGCCGAGGCGGTGGCCCATCACGAGCCCCCGGAGTGAGAGATAAGCCCGCCGGAAATCCTGCCGCCGTGCTGCGGCCGGCAGCGGAGCGCCCCCTGACTTCCGTCACGGACCGGCGGAGGAGCTGACGGTGCATCACCACGCGTGCCGTGCGCTCGACCGTCATGTGACGCGCCCCCTCCCCCATCGGCAGGCAACGTGCTCGAGCTGAACATCACCAACCCGAACGGCACCGTTGACCCCAACACCAACGCCACGCTCTACCCGGTGTTCGACTGCAGCATGCGGATGGGCGATGGCGCCGACGACTGCAAATACGGCACGCAGATTAGCAGCCAGGTGGGGGCCGGGGCGCGGCGCGCGTCGCAGCGCCGGGTTTGTCGGCCGTGCCGCCGCCGGCGTCGGCCGACGGCCGGGGAAAACCAGCCGGCGGTCCGGATCCGCGTACTGTTTTTAGATGTGACCGGCTAGCTTGCCTCAGGTTCCGTTTTTATAGCAAATGGCTAAGAATGCACGCGTGTTTTGCTGGCGCGTTCGAAGCCGGCACATTTATGACGGCTCCGTTGTGCAATATAAGTTGCTGTAATCCTGTTGTATCTTTTGTTTATGCACCGAGGGAGATAATTGACGTTAGTTATGGTCTGTGATCGCCCATCGTAATAGCCGTGCGTGCCGGTGGAATGTGTGTTGCTGCCAAGATGGCGGCGGCCGAGGGGTGCTCACGTGAGTGCGTGCGTGCGGCCGCCAGGTGATGGCGCTGGTGTCGGCCTGGGCGCCGCTCATCTACGCCGGATGTTTCGCCGCCACCCTGTCGTCGGCCATCGCGTCGCTGGTCGGAGCACCGCGCGTGCTGCAGGTACGGTTGGCGGCGCGTGCGGCCCGGTCTGGGAGGCGGTCGTGATCGCGGCGGATGTCGGCCGGCGGACTGACGAGGCGAGGCACGGCGGCGAGGTATCCCCGCTCGTCAGCAGACGGCGGCGGTGCACGGAGTTGGCTGCGGTGGGGGATAGACGGGGGAGTCTGGCACGTTCCGACGATCGGCCGGAGAAAAAGTATTCCGGTAGCTGGAACAACTTAATGACATTGGTTCATCCTTGCAAAATCGCGGGACGATTTTTGTGTGGTTTACGGCGGTGGTCCGTGACTGAAATGGCGAAATGTCATCTGTCAGCCCTCTCGTTTTCGCAATGGCTTATGTGAACGCCGTGCGTTAATCCCTCAATTCCCGGGGAAGGTTTTATAGACAGGATTTAGGTCCTGCTCCTGTCATTCTTTTGCGGTCAATTAACATCAGTACTAAGTTGGAGTTTATTGGTACCGAAGCATTCCGAACAGCAGAGGCGTGTGACCACTCCCTTGCATTCACTTCTGCGAAGTGGTCGGCGACGTGGGGACCGCACCCCCGCTGACAGTAAGCCCCGGGACGGTGTCCTGCGGGGTAACAGGAGCCGAGGGTGCGGCACGTCTGGCCCGCCTGACACCGGTGCACTGCGGCACAGCCTACTGAGTACTCTGGCCGTGAGGCCGGCCGCGCGGCGGAATACCGGAGCTCACGCGCTATAGCCCGCCTGCGCCGATCTAGCATGGGAACTGGCTCTTGATCTTTTACTTTCTTTGTTCTATTTCATTTTTTTTCGTTTTCGTTGCGAGAAATGTTTTGCCTTGATAATTTTTACGATGTCACTAGCATGATGCCATTGTTTTGGCCGGCATTTGAAACGATTTCGAACGCTACAATCAATGCACTGGAAAGGCAGCAACCTTTCCAGGCTGGCCAAAGTATAATCTGCGCTGCCATTGCAACCCAGGTATAGTGTAGAGGTCACAGTTCAGTTTTTGTGATTGGTTCCGTGGTCATGATCCAATTTGACCTTCTGACTGTCACAGGCGGTGTTTGATTTACTGTAGATTTTTGAACGGTTCAATGTCAAGACCGGTTTCTGTGGAAAGTTGGAGGCTATCGACCTTGGTTGGCTCATTACTGGGGACATAGATTATCTGCAAAACAAGTTTCGCTGCCCCCCCCCCCCCCCCCGACACTGGGCAGCCTCGCTGTGTAATGCTCGCTACCTCTAACGGTTCTCCGATGTCCGCGCTAATGGCCTGCGTGTTTCAGGCTCTGGCCAAGGACAAGCTGTACCCGTACATCTACTACTTCGCCAAGGGCTACGGCGGCAACAATGACCCGTTCCGGGGCTATGTGATTGTGTTCATCGTGGCGGAGGCTTGCGTGCTTATTGGTGAGTGCCGCTTCAGCAGCATCTGATGCCTCTTCTGTGATGTCTCGTGCTCCTTCATTGGCGTTTGATGACACTGGCCTGGCGCGGGATGCTGCCAAGAAATGTTTGATGCCGGTTCAGCGCGTTCTGTACCATTACAGTAATATTTTGTAAAATGTGAGTGGCATTTGACGTCTACTTCAAAAGTTCCCACACTGCCGTCGTGATTGGTACCTCTTTTTTGTGTCCGATGCAAAATGCGTAGCATCGGACTCCAGTAAAGTAACGTATGGCGTATGTTAATAGTAGCTGAAGCTACTTCACCAGAATCAGATGCTCTGTGTAGGGGTACGACGCGTTCTCTGTGTGCTGTCACTGACATCATCACCTTTCATTAAGGTGGTGTCACGTCTCACTGCACATTTTTCCTCGGCCAATCTGCTAATTACTCCCATTTCCTCTTGTTGATTTGTTTTTGTCATCACATCCTCTTGGAAATTTCACCGTGACGTCATTCCTGGAGTGTTGCCTTATTGCTGGTGGACGCTGTCGTCAGCGGCTGTGCTGACGGACATGGCTGTCGGGGGCTGTGCTAACAGACGTGGCTGTCGGCGGCTGTGCTAACAGACGTGGCTGTCGGCGGCTGTGCTAACGGACGTGGTTGTCGGGGGCTGTGCTAATGGACGTGGCTGTCGGCGGCTGTGCTAACAGACGTGGCTGTCGGCGGCTGTGCTAACAGACGTGGCTGTCGGCGGCTGTGCTTACAGACGTGGCTGTCGGCGGCTGTGCTAACGGACGTGGTTGTCGGGGGCTGTGCTGACGGACATGGCTGTCGGACGCTGCCGTCGACAGCTGTGCTGGCGGACCCTGATGTCAGTTGCTGTGCCCACGGGCGCTGTTGTCGACAGCTGTGCTGACGGATGCTGTTGCCGGCTGCTGTGCCAATAGACGCTGTTGTCGGAGTCTGTGCTGACAGACGCTGTTGTCAGCTGCTGCGCTGACGGGCACTGTTGTTGGCTGCTGTGCTGACGGACGCTCTCTGACCGGCAGGCGAGCTGAACCCCATCGCCAACCTCAGCTCGGAGGTGTTCCTGGCCGCCTACGCGCTCATCAACCTCTCCTGCTTCCACGCGTCGCTGCTCAAAAGTCCCGGCTGGCGGCCGGTGTTCAAGGTGACACAAATGGCGTCGTTATCGGCCAGATTGGCTCTAATGATCAAGCTCAGTATCACACGGCAGGGTCCGTGACACTCGATGCATGTCTCATCGGTGTATGTCGGGTGTATGTGTCGAGTTGGTAACGCGCTCCGCCGGCGGCTGCCGGTGAGGTGCTGCACGGCCGGCCTCCCCTCCGGCTGTTGATGCCAGCGTCTCTCCACAGTTCTACAACGCCTGGGTCAGCCTGCTTGGCGCCATCACCTGCATGGTGGTGATGTTCCTCTGCGACACCGTCGTCGGCACCATCGTGCTCGTCATCACCCTGCTGCTGTATATCTTCGTGTCGTACCGCAAACTCGGCAAGTCACATCCGCCCCTCTGATCTGTCGCACAGGACTGTTGCCGCTTTACTCTGCGGTGCATTTGTCCCGAGTAGTCGATTTTCGTGCGGTTTTTGTGTTGACTCTCTCTCTCTCTCTCTCTCTCTCTCTCTCTCTCTCTCTCTCTCTCTCTCTCTCTCTCTCTCTCTCTCTCTCTCTCTCTCTCTCTCTCTCTCTCTCTCTCTCTCTCTCTCTCTCTCTCTCTCTCCTCTCTCTCTCCTCTCTCTCTCTCTCTCTCTCTCTCTCTCTCTCTCTCTTCTCTCTTCTCTCTCTTCTCTCTCTTCTCTCTCGTCTCTCTCTCTCTCTCTCTTCTCCTCTCTCTCCTCTCTCTCTCTCTTCTCTCTTCTCTCTCTCTCTCTCTCTCTCTCTCTCTCTCTCTCTCTCTCTCTCTCTCTCTCTCTCTCTCTCTCTCTCTCTCTCTCTCTCTCTCTCTCTCTCTCTCTCTCGCTCTCGCCATCCGGTGCCCTGGTCATGATTTTGTTTGAGCCGGCATTGGGCTGGGCTTGATGCATTTTGCGATGTGCATGCGTGGAGATTGCCCTGTCCCTGTTTGTACCCGTTTTAGATGCCCTGCAGCACGCGAACGGCCCTCGGCCCTGTAAACCCTTACTGGCGGTAACTCACACCACCCTCGCTGGTGGTGGTCCTAAGCCATGGCTCTAAGCTCCCACAAGCCCCCTTACCATGGCTTGTATTTCCCTTCTATAACGATTTGAAATATGCTACGCCCAGTCCCGGCATGCTGAACCCATCCCGCAAAAGCTAGTGGTTGGCATGCAAGGAGTCAGGCGAGGGGCGCCGCCAACACGCAGGTGACGCGCCAGTTTCGGGTCGACGGAGGCCCTCCCATGAGGGCGGCCCGCTGACGGCGTACGCCCCCGCCGCAGACGTCAACTGGGGCTCGACCACGCAGGCGCAGACGTACGTGACGGCGCTCGGCTTCATGCAGCGGCTCAACCAGGTGCGCGACCACGTGAAGAACTACCGGCCGCAGGTGCTGGTGCTGACGGGCATGCCCAGCAGCCGGCCGCCGCTGGTCGACTTCGCCAACGCGCTCACCAAGAACCTGTCGCTGCTCATCTGCGGTCACGTCATCAAGGTAAGCGGCCGGCGCGGCGCCGCCGCACGTGCCGGCCAGGGGAGCTCACGGGCTGGGGAAACTCAGGGGTATCCGTGCAGGGTGGGGACGGGTTGGAGTGGTGCAGGTCTAGGGGAAATTTGCGGGCATGGGCAAAATGTTTAAATATGCCGAGGAGATACTTCAAGAAGACCATATAATGTTGTCATAATGGTCTTCATTCAAACTGCTTCTGCAAGAGTCAACACAAGAGGAAGTTTGGGTATAAACGTTCCGTAAGACTTCCCCGTAGTTTTTAAATAAAATGTTGGAAAAACGCAAAGGGGTGGGTAGCGGGTGGATATGGCCAGAACCTCGTGCCTAGCGGGCGGCGGGCTGAGTTTCTGAACTCTGACCGGTGCGGGGCCTCTGGCGCCGGCCGCCCGCGGCGCGGGATGGCGACAGACCCGCTCGTCCCATCCGGGTCCGCCAGCGGCACGGCTGCGGTCGTGCGGAGATCCGCCGGTGACCACCGGTGGCCGGGCTGCGGTGGCGGCGGCGGCCGGACGCCACCCGTCCCCGGGCCGGCGCGGAGGCCGGCTGCACGAGCGCTACAGCGGGGGCGGTCCGTGCCGTAGGGTCCGACGTCGCCGCGCACCAAGAGCGCCATTCAGATGCAGGCGAACGCGTGGCTGATGCGGCACAAGGTGCGCGCCTTCTACAGCCTGGTGGAGGACGGCACGTTCGAGCACGGCGCCGTGGCGCTGATGCAGCTGGCCGGCCTGGGCAACCTCAAGCCCAACATGACCCTCATGGGCTACAAGAACGACTGGCGCAAGTGCGACCGCGAGGAACTGCATCAGTACTTCCTCTGCATCAAGTGAGTATCGCGCCCAGCCCTGGTGGATGAGCACCTGCTGCTGCCCGTGTTTGGGCGGGCTGGGCTCTCCCTCACGTGCTCGGCACCGGTGTGCTGCCCGCTGTGTTTGCGGGGGCCGTGACGTATGCACGTCTCCGGGTCTAATCGTGGGAGCGTCTCTCGTGGCCGGGGAGCCGCGCCATTCCCTGCAACATCATGGCTTTGAAATGCGGCAATTCTCGGGCGGCGGTCTAAATGCGGGACTGTTGGTGTGACGTAAAGGAGCCATTCCAGCTCGGAATCGGCCGCTGCCATATCCGTGTTGGGACGACGGCGTCGTGAATCTATCTAGCCTTTAGCTTGCGTCTCAGAATGTGCGCCACGTTTAGGCTTAGGGACGGGAGGGAGGGCCGTGGGTGCCATTCCACACCCACTTTCTGGGAATCCTGAGTATTAAGCGTACGACAGCGCATGGAGAGAATCGATTCATTGATCCGAGCACTCTGACTTTCCGAGACGCTTCCTTCGTTTATAGACGAATAAATGGGCCACACATGTACAGATGTGCATATAATCCTGCGGAACTATGTAAATATCCGCTGGAATCCGCTGAAGAGGGCTCACTGGACGCTGCATTGCCGCTACGGCTTTTCCGCATTAGCTTCACAGTTTACAACATGCAACAGACACCGTGCGTGATCCGTGAGACGATGCGGGCAGGATTAGGAGCATTAACTGCAAAACCGGAATTATGTGGGGTGGCTCTTGGGTTCAGGTAGCACGCCCGAGGGCTTCGTGTTTGATCTGGGCCACACCATCCGGGGATCATGCGGATCATGTTAATTTTACTAAGTGCCGCAGGTTTTTCATGTCGGTTTAGATGTATATGGCTGTTTGCTGATATAATGCGCAGGACCGTGCAGTTACGTTTTCAACAGCGCTGGAGTTTTGTCCTGAAATGCCCGACTGCGCTTCGCTAAACAGTTAGCAGCATATCTCACATGATGTTCGCTTTTTCATTTCATCTTTAAAGATGTAGTTGCCAAATACGGTCACTCATGACTTCCCTGTTCCGTTCCGAGGGATGCAGCGACCGTAAAATGATTTCTTTCCCCCGAATAGAGGTGCTCATCTTCTTTAACGCAACTGATTTGCAAAGGAGCCTGCCACGCCCACCATGGTCACAGTGTCCGGTAGAAAAGAACCCACTTCACTTTTATATACTTAGAAACATGAGTACGGAGAGGAGTCAGTGCGCTGCACATTCTATATAGCTTCTTTATCGCTGATATTTTAGATTCATATTATTTTCGATTTACATTATTGGGAGGCAGGAGAACAAGCTGCCACGACGCCGCGAAGCTTGGGACTCTGACGTGGCATGCGTATCAGAGATACGGTGCGCACGAATAGCGGTTATGTCAACGACAGACGCGTGTTTTCCTGGGCTATCCGATAGGTCGCTGGGATCAATGACCGCGTCTGTGGTCCACGCGTTTTCACCGGATAAAAACCACGTGGCTCGCCGCCAGTCATGCTTTCGCGAAATGCACCGCATGCCGGCTGCGGTTGGGTATTAAGTCGACGGTGGTGGCGAGATTTCGGCCCGGCTTTCGTGCGCCGCCGCTGGTGTTGACAGCACAGTTGGCTGGTTCCTTCCGCTGCCCGCTGCAGAACGCTGGGTCACACCTGCCGTGTCCCACAGCGAGGCGCTCGATAACTACCTGTCGGTGGCGATACTGCGTGTGAAGAACGGCATGGACTACAGCGCCCTGACTGACGAGGACTCGTTCTCGACGATGCACAAATCGGCCACGAGCGAGTCGCTGAAGAGGAACCAGTCGGCGGGGCAACTGAGCCAAGGTACCGCCGCCGCCGCCGCCGCCGCCGCCGCCGCCGCCGTCGCAGCCGTGCTGCAGCGGCCAACACTCGCGAGCGCACCCAGTCCCTCGTTCGAACGTGCGGTTGCTGGTGTTCAATGATGCATACGTGTGGCGATTGCACGTCAGATAAGAGACGGGAGCTTGTCACGCATGGCTTCCAAGTGGGGTTTTAAGCACTCGGGGCCGTTTTAACGCGTGTGACACCTTGGTGTGCTGTGGTATATATTATTATATTTATGTTCTCGGACTTTTCTGGTAACCGGGCCTCGTTGCTGGGTGTCTACTTTGATGAATGAAGGGAAGGGCATGAGTCGTGCGCGGTAGCTGTTCATCACGCAGTCAGTGCGTGATATCGCTGACGTCGACGGTCGACGCTGTGCGTTGGTGAACTAGGACATTGTGGTCATTTTTGCCTACTGGGTCTGTTTTTATTACTCCAAACTCCAAAGTAGGTGAAATGGATCAGTTCGAACAGTGCGATCCGAGGCACGGGTCTATGATGGTGTTACCGCGCAAAGTCTATCTACTAAATGCGTTGCGAAAAACCGTCGCGGCATCTCGTAAACCGCGGCCATTGATAATGGATGAAGAATTTTTGCTTAAGATAGATAGACGGATAGATCCTTGCTAGGTAGGTTTTTCCAAGGATCTTTGCTAGGAAGATTCCAGTTTGCATGGCATTGAACGCTTGCGTCGCACGTTCATGGAGTGTCAGTAGCTGTCCATAACCCGCTGGCGGTCGGTGTCGGGCAGACGGCAACGGCAGCGAGGAGAGCTCGCCCAACACGCCGCAGCTGGGCCGCTCGGCCGTCTCCGACGAGCCGCGGCCCGACGCGGCCGTCACCGGTAACGGCAAGAAGAAGAACAAGGAGGTGAGCCTCGCCCAGCAGGCACCCGCCGACCGAGCCGGGGTCGCCGCCAGCGCCATCGGCGGGGGTCCGCTGGACGGTCGGAGCCCGACCATCAGGCGGCGTCGTTAGATCTGAAATGGCCGTGCAGTCGGGTGATTGGGGGCTTCCTATTTTCGGATGATGATAAATAGGCCGACAGCTGACGCCCAGGGAATGGCTCCCGAAGCAGCGGTGTCGTCCAGCGACTACAAATCACATTCACGAGTTGGCCTGTCTGTAGCTTCGCGCGGCAGACCGCTCGCCGCGTGTCTGCCGCGCCTCCGTGACGCCGCGTGGCTGGGTGGTGGCGCTCCTCCCCTCCCCCCCCCCCCCTCCGCCGCCGGCGGGCGGGCGTGCGACCTCTGACGGCTGGACACGGCCGCAGGAGCCCTACCTGAGCCCGTCCGGCGAGCCGCTGCCGCCCCACGTGGTCGACGGCCTCACCCAGTTCCGGCGCAAGCAGAAAGGCTTTCATCGACGTCTGGTGGCTGTACGACGACGGCGGTACGTGCACCGGTGGCGCAGCTGCGGCTGCCGTGCGACGGCTGCTACTTAACGATGGTGGTCGTGGACTACTTTCGTTCTCAGCGATTGCACGCGATAGGTCGTCTGCATTGGAATACTTAACGCGGCGTCATCAATATTCATGAGCATGAATCATGTGTATGAGTTTCCCTAGGGCAGACGGCACATTTGAGAATTGGCTAGTGTGGCGTATGTACTTTAATCGTAGCTGCACGCGCCGGTATATTCTTGCGATCGTATTCATTCACAGTTGGGTGCGAATAACACGAAGTCATTGACGCCTCTGATAAGCTGCGGACATCGCGTCCGAGTTCGCAACGACTGTTACGTAACCGAGAGTGCATGCGGACGACTTCTGTGGAGTGCACCTCGATGCGGTCGGATGCCATGACCTAAACACGGGCGTATTGGGGCCGGTCTGGCCGTTGCTCCCTGCCGTGCCGTGCTGTGCCGTGCCGTGCCGCGCCATGCCGTGGTGATGACGTGCCGTGTCGTGCCGTGCCATGCCGTGCCGTCCCGTGCCGTGTCGTGTCGTGATGTGACGATGTGCCGTGCCGTGCCGTGCCGTGCCGTGCCGTGCCGTGCCATGTCGTGGTCATGACGTGCCATGCCGTGCCGTGCCATGCCGTGATGTGACGTGACATGCCGTGCCATGTCGTGATGTGACGTGCCGCGCCGTGCCGTGCGGCGCCATGACGTGCCGTGCCGTGTCGTGCCGTGCCGTGTCGTGCCGTGCGTGTCGTGCCGTGCCGTGTCGTGTCGTGATGTGACGACGTGCCGTGCCGTGCCGTGTCGTGCCGTGTCGTGTCGTGTCGTGTCGTGTCGGTCGTGTCGTGATGTGACGTGACGTGCCGTGACGTGGCGGCAGGCCTGACGCTGCTGCTGCCGTACATCCTGACGTCGCGCTCGCAGTGGTCCGAGTGCAAGCTGCGCGTATTCGCGCTGGCCAACAAGCGCGAGGAGCTGGATATGGAGAAGAGGAGGTAAGAGGGCGCCGTCTGGCCGGGTCCGCTCGCTATCGGCCGCGCCGGTATCGGCCCCGCTGACCGAGACGCCGTTTTTCTGATGGTAGTTTGATACGCTCACGGAGTATCGGCCATCGGGAGGTTCCCGTGTGATAATGTGGGCGTGTACGTCCGTTTGGAACTGCTGACGCTGAGAAGTGCGGACTTCCCAGTCACGTTTCCTTCCAATTTCTACCGTCAGTCTCGGAAAGCCCCCGGCAAACGCTAGGGCTGTCTGCACTCGTAGTGGCGCTGCAGGCTACCAGCTCGCTTGCGGAGTGCGGCTCACATGTTGTCATCATGCATGGCAAACTAACATTGATTATATGTTAATGCAGGTTCATGCAGTTGGACAGCGTTTACGAATTCCTTTATGACCTCAACCGCCTTCAGTTTATGAGAATGGGCGTTGCACGCAAAAAGCGTTCGCGCTCAGTTTTGCCCCGCGGTTGAGCTCGAAGTGTCATTGTAATAGTGGCCGGGCGTCCTGTCTTCACCGCGTCTTTTCACAGCATGGCCGCGCTCCTGTCCAAGTTCCGAATCGACTACAGCGACGTCATCGTCATAGACGACGTGACCAAGAAGGCGCAGGATAGCACGAGGACCGCCTTCGATGAAATGTTGGCCGATTTCAAGAAGGATGACGAAGACGGCATTCCAGGTATGCTGTCAAGACAGGTGGTTGGCACTTGTACTAGATTTGGTCTCTGCTTTCCTATGAGTGACATTTGTAATTTTCTCGCAAGTTTTATCTCCACGTATGATTGGCACGTAGTCTGCTTAGAGTAACCTCGCAATAGATGGTTTTTCCTCTTGCACTTTTCAATACCCAATGCAAAGTGTTTAAGGCCTTCGATGTACTTTTCCCTCATGATTGTGGAGGGGGCTGAAGCCCCCTCACTTCACAACTGAATAGGAGACTATCCTCCTGGGCTGAAAAAAGGTTGTTCAGAAATGTCATTGTACTGGTGCCTGCCTGACATATCGCGTGAGCGCGGACGAGCTCATCCGCAGTGTAAGGTGACCTTAATGTCGCATTCGCCGTCGGTGGTGTTGGCTCTGATGAGATGTGACATGTACGCCATTGGCGTGAACTGGAAGCAGGCAGTCATTTGCCTTCAGTCTGACCAGCAGCAGTGGTGAACAATGCTGCCCGACCCGCTTATTTCGGTGACTCCTGATAAGTAAAACTGTAGCAATTATGTTTAATGTTGCTAGTCTCGGTACACCGAATGACCGTCGGAAATTGGTGCCGCCTCTTGACGGGCCCGACAACGATTCCGTGCGGCTGCTGGGCGCCTCGCTGAAGGCGATAACGCCTGCGTAACATGGTTGTTGCCGACCCCGCAGAGGAGTACAGCGTCACGTCCAGCGAGCTGCTGGCCAACAAAGACAAGACGAACCGGCACTTGCGCCTGCACGAGCTGGTGCAGGAGCACAGCAAGGAGTCGTCCCTGGTCGTCATGTGAGTGACGCGGCGCCGCGCCGCCTGATCCGGGTGTCACCCGTGTGAGCGATTGGCGGGGGGGGGGGGGGGGGGGGGGGCTGCTGTGGACATTGCTGCGCTGGCCGTGGTGCCTGTCTCGCTTTCCGATTTTCGCTGCTCCTCTGGTTTGCCCCTGCGATGATGAATATGTTTGTACACCTTTTGCCCAGAACGAGTTGGAGGTGTTATAAACAAAGGCATGTCGGCCCGGGATGGAGGCAATATGGTGGAAATATTATAGCCTTTGCGTTGCTTTTTATCGCTGTAACGGTTTAAGGTTGCATCGCAACTTTTAAATTTTCGTCGCATGTGGGCCAACGTCGCAGTCGCCAGCGACCAGCGGTACGCCTCCCTAAGTGTAGTCGTTTCTCATTGAGCATTTTTGGCGATATCATTGTGTATGCGTCTCTCCTCATCTTGTTGTTCCCTGAAGCTGTTGACAGCCTTAGGATGCGTCAAAGTTTTTTCTTAAACACGTGTTTGCTTGTGCACACAGAATGTGAGCATGCATGGATCAATGGCCTTTGGTTATCCCTGCGCATTGTCACGCGGTATGAGGCAGTAACGCCTTGCCGAGAACTTGGTTTTTGGCACACTATCATATATGTGATGCACTTATGAGGACGGCATGCGGTGTCTAAATTTGCTGCCTGCTTTAAGACATCTAAGAAAATAGGCATGATACGACTGAGAGATTTGTGAGAGGCTGAGAATAAGACATCGGAAGGTTAATCAGACTGACCATTTGCCTTTGTCACGTATCGATTACGACACGGTCATATAGCGTCCGTCGTAACTGGTGCACCCCTCGGCCAAGTGAAGATGCTGGTCTGGCTGGCGGCCTGTGCTGATCGGACGCCTGGTATACGGCTGACGCCTCGCCACCGTGCCGCAGGACCCTGCCAATGACCAGGAAAGGCACCGTCCACGCCCCGCTCTACATGGCGTGGTTGGAGATGATGACGAAAGACATGCCGCCCTTCCTGATGATCCGGGGGAACCAGACGTCGGTGCTGACCTTCTACTCGTAGGCGCGACGCCGGCCGCGCGGCGCGCCCGGTGGCGGGCCCGCGGCGTCCAGGGACCAGCGGACTGCGTGTGGAGCGTGTGCGGCCCGGCGGTGGCTGGGTGGGTGAAGGCGCGGCGACGCGGCGGCGGCGGCGCTCCGTGGCGGCCGACGGTGGCCGCGCCGAGGACCTCAGGAGCACACCCGGCCCCGGAGCGGCCGTGGGGGTCATTTCTTTGCTCAAATTGGACACCGTGTGCCTTCGGAGTGCGCGAGTATTTCACCATGACATCGAACTGCCCGGTACTTGTGAGCTGTATCATGATTTATGCGAGGTTTCCTATGATCTATTTAGAAGTATTGTCAAGAATATCTTGTAAATGGTTTTCACTCGTGTGTGTGCCAGTGATGGAATCTTGTCATATTTGCGTGAACTCTAAGTTTATTTTTCGTGTGTCGCATTTTGTGCCATATTTTAACAAGTATTGGGTTAAATTATTTGGAAGTGATCATGGGTTGATTGCTGGTGTCCGTTGTCTTCCAATCGCCCCCCAAAATGAGTACCTGTAGCAGCGAAATGCCGGACACAATACAAAAGTTTTACCAAGGCTGCGTTCGCTTAAGTGACATTTCGAACAATCACGGACGAAGTCGTCTGAATGCATTTCTTATGGGAAGGAAATGGCATCAACGACGTTGTCGTCGGTCGTCATTACGTGAACGATCATATGGGTACTGCTAAGCGCTGACCCGATGGCACGCACCCATTCATTCAAATCTACATCAAACCGAACCCAGTTAGACCCAACCGAGCCCGACCCCCCCCCCCCCCTTCAGAAAAAGGATTCAGATAAACCCATCGGTCGCACCCTGACCTCAGCACTTGGAAAGTAAAATTATTCAGGTATGTCTTTTGGGTTTCCTACAGGATCACTAACTAGTGTGCGGTATTAGTGCAGGATTCCTGTAGGGCTGTTCTACAGACTCGAGGATTTATGTAAGATCCTTGTAGGACTCAAAGCAATTTTTAGGCCTCCTGTAGAAAATTAATGTCTCTATTCCTTTTCCTATAGGACTGAACTAAATAAATGCCTGTAGGATTCTTATAGGGCTCAAAGAAATCCTTAATACTAAAGGGAACTTGTGGGAAAGGACACCTTACCCATGAACGCCCGGACCATAGAAATACCCATTTCTCACCAGTGATTTTTTGTATCCTGCGTTCTAGGTACATGAATAAGTGATCCTGAAAAACTAGGTCAAAATACCAGTAACTTTTTGAGATACGACACCGTCCAAAAATGACCCACCGTGCGCACACTCAGAGGTGCCTCGCCGTCTCTGCCGCCTGCTGCGCCGGCCGGCCCGCCGCTCCGCCGCGCTGGTCGGTTTCACCTCTCTCTCCCCTGCCCCTCCCCCTCTATCCCGTCTAGCCGGCGCAGTAAAACAATAATTATGACATCGATTTTAGGGTTATATTGTTTCAAATGTGCTGAACCATGCTATCACCATTATAGACAAAGTACAGAACATGTAAAAGCATACAAGATATCTGCAAGGTCATTCAAGACAAAGTAGGTGCGTAACAACACGTTACGCTAAAATAGAAACAGAAACACGGTAATAACGTCTAGGGATCAACTCTGTTGGTATAGGTATGTGCCAAACCAGTCACGTCCTAACACTGTGCATCAGTATTTTACATTCAGCCAAAGCAATACGCTGTATGAAGTACTGTAATGTTTCGCCAGTCAAAACATCTGGGTAAGCAACGGTTGGATCGAAACCACCCGCCATTCCTAGCCTCCTCGCATCTTGTACATGGTACATTTACTTACACTGACCGCTGGTGGTACTTAGCGAAGCACTTGAAGCAGATAGCGACGTCACACTTGGCGCAGCGTTTGGTGGAGCGCAGCGTGCAGCTCTCCAGCTGGCAGCGGCGGCGGGAGTTCAGCGGTGCCATCATGTGGCCGACTTCGCCATACCGCAGGCTGACGGGTATGTGAGGTGGCAGCGGCCGGGCTGTGTCTCAGCCACAGGCTGCCAGTCTCAGGTGCGTCGTGGCGATGTCACGGCGGAAGTTGATGAGTGACAGATGTTCGCCACCGGCTGCCGTCTTGTGCAAGAAATGACTGTTCACGACGACCATTCCTAGCATCCTTGTGATGAGTCACCAGTGCCATTTTTTGCTCCTAATCGCCACTTCATACGCTCCCAGTAGCTGGTCATGCAGGTCGACTCCGCCCATGCCCATGTTGTAGCTTTTCAGAACCTTGGGCTGCGGTATTGGGAGACGTTTTCTGGCCGAACGATCGTAGCGGGTCGTTGAAGTGGGCGGGTCGGCTGAGTCGTAGTTTGTCATGGCGTTGACCACCTTGTTGTCATGCCATCTGACCAGCAGCACTTCCCATGCCCGATCGAACTTTTGTTCGTAGCTGCCACGCGTTGACTTAGCCATGTCCTTCTTCGGGGTCACGGGGCTTTTATCGAGCCTATTGTCTCGAACGGTGCCTGTCACACGGATGCCGCGGTCTTTGGGCTGCGCGAGGAGACTTCTTGAGGTGAAAAAATTATCGAAAAACACCTCATGACCGCTGAGGTCCGACAACGCGCTCAACATGTCCATCACCACCCTTGTGCCCAGCGACTGGTCGCGTAGTTCAGGACGCTCCTCTTTGCCACAGTAGAGGTCAAATGTGTGACAGTATCCGCCACTGCCACAAATCGCCCAGAGCTTGTAGCCGAACGTATCGGCTTTTCACGAATGAATTGTTTTAAGCTGTTGTGACCGTAGTACCTTACGATCATCTCGTCTATGGCTAGTTTGGACTGAAAGATGCCGAACTGCTGAAAGGACTCGATAATTTCCATGAGTGAACGGACCTTAAAGCCGCGATCTTTGGTATGGTTCTGCTTGTTGTTGTCTTTGACGTGCAGGCATGCCTTTATTTTCAGATATTCAGGTCTCGTCATCGCTTGACGGACGATGGGACGTGGGAGGTCATCATCCTTCGACCAGTACATCCGTTCAGATGGTAGGGGATTGTACCCAGGGTAGAGTAGTATACCGATGAACGCTTTCAGTTCGAGGCCAGACAGAGAGAATAGCTGGCCGTTATTCACATCTCTCTCTGCAGTGTTTCCAGCTGAATTAGGTGAAACACTTCAGGTATGAACACTTTCTCAAAAATATCCACAGCTGTACTACCACCCAGCTCATTGGCTATTATTTACCGCGCCTCTTGTGGTGTGTCTGATGTTCCTTGCCAACCAGTGTACTGCGGTTGCGTGTCACGCCACGTCGGTGCGGTTTTTTCCGAGCGTCGTTTTTTGGCCGGCTGCGACAGGGTGTCCTCAGTTACCGGCTCCTGGTAATGTACCTCCACCACGCCTGGACATGTGCTGTACCCAGGTGTTCATCGTCACCTTCATCCTCGTCGCTGCCGTCGGGCGGAATATTTACGATATCGTTATCACCATCAACCGAATCGAGATCGTTCATCACCGTGACCACTGCTTCCTCCACTGTTAAATATCGCACCCGCGGCACAGCGATTGAGCTAAGTCTATGCAGTTGGACGTATAAATTACCGGCTCACTTATCACACAATCGCACTCTGAGACCTGCCAAGAAACTAACCGGCACCAATCCGTCTGGAGTCGCCGCCGGGCGCCGGGTCTCCCCCTCGGCCGGCCGCCCGCAGCTGGCGGGGGCGCGTAGGAGCTGACCACACTTCCGGCGAGTCAAAATTGGTCGATCAAAATTTCACGCCGGCTGCACGCTACCGATGTCGAATAAGAGTAATTTTTCAACGGGGTTAGTGAAAATGTACATTTGACTACTCTGAATTGTGATTCCTATCTCGGTATGTTGACACATAGCAAAAATAATGTTCCTTCATTGTACGCAAGACATGCCATCAAAAACTCGCCAAATTTAAAGCCCAGACGACTAATGAGACGACACCGTTAGCCGCCCACACCCATCTGCTTATATTTACCCAACCCTTCTCATCCATCGGGAGGGGTAACAGACCCTCTCGGGTGAAACTAGCCAACCGTGGAGCCCTCCAAAGCCATCGTCCATTGTTGACTCGCCGGGCGGTAATGGGTTAATCCCATGTCAGTATTATGGGATGGGCTTACGGAGCTTCCATGCAAAGATCCTATGGGTTTTATACGATTTCTAAATTTTGCACAATAGGATTTGCCGACGCCACCCCCTGCTGTTTCCAAACTAAGAAAGATGTTTCCAGCAGAAAAACAACCACTGGATTGGTCCCAACGAGATCTCGAGATTGGTAATAGGTTTGTGGTTGTGCGTCAATACGTGACCCCAATCTGCCGGGACAATGGTAAAATTTTCCCCAAAATCGGGCTTTTTCAGTTTTACATGCTCACGTGTACGATACCATGCCTTGTAGCCAATGCAACCTAACCAGGCGTGTTCCTTGTTAAGAAGTTCCGGGTACAATGGTGTAAAATAGTTAATATATTTTAAGCATATATCTATAATGCATGGTTCTGCCCGCCGAGCCATACATCCATGTTGGCCCACCGCGAGCGTTCCGGGGCATCGTCGGTTGCCGTCCGCCGCCCCGCACAGGCCATAAATCGCCGTGCGGTGTTCCTCGAAAGCTCCCGCTCCTCCGAAACCAGAAATGCTGACGGTTTTTTGTGTGAAACATATTCGATGGCTGCCCCACAGGCTACTAAAAATTTGGGCGCGATTACATGACGTGCCAGAGAGGTGTCAGAGTGGGTCTAGGCGTAGGAACGTTTCAAAAAGTGGGGGGGGGGGCATGCTCAGGGTGTATTCAGGAACTTTTTCCGGGAAGCGAGTCCGATGACCGGGGGGGGGGAGGGGGGAGGTAGAGATGGAGGTTGTTATCGCTCTTTATTCATCTGGATTAGGCTGGTGTAATTTTGAAAGTGGATCCATGGCACACTGCGACAATCTGTCATGCGTCTTCATTTCGTTGGCTGCTTTTCAAGAGATACAACTTTTCGCAGCATTTCAGGCGGAAACAAATTCGGACTAGTGCTACAAGTGCTACAAACAACATGACAAAAGCCACGAAACTGGAAATTCTCTTTTAAGAATCAAGCCACATAATAAGGCCAATCTGTCATATGTTCCTTATCTGGGCCCTGCTCCTGTCCGCCGTCGATGGCCACTGCCTTTGCCCGGATATACCCCGCATAACTGACTGCGAACTGATCGTATGGATGCTTTGTTGAATATTTTTGGACCAGCGTTGCTACTACATGGTGTATGAAACACGTCTTGGACACCTGCAACAGTATCTTTTTCCGAATTATCTTCCCTCACACCACACTATCGCAAGAAAATAGCCTCCGGGAAGCCGTCTGCCTTAGGTAGGAATTGGCCCAACGTACGCTTCGTTGCCCATCATGCAACGCATACGATTTGATCTGCTTTTGTGTGTAGGCAGGGGTGCAGTCAGAGCCTTGCCAGGGGGGAACGCAGGGTTGACAAAAGCCCATCTTATGATGATCCCCCCCCAAAAAATATTCCCGGATGTGGCTTAGCTGTTAACAGGTGACACGGTTTTCTTCGTTTTATTGTTATTTTTACTTTGTAACCAGGACAGAAGCCAGGAGCTACCGTGAGTTCAGTTCTGTCCTGTATTTTGAGGTCAGTCCAGTGCAGAAATCAAGCGTTCAACGACTGCATGGAAGAAATCACCGGCACTGTTTCTAAACTGATAAAATTCAGAAAGCTTTGTCAATTTTTTAAACTGGGTTCTACAGACATTGAGGACATCGCAAAGGTAGATTGCAGATCGATATGTGTGATCCAAACTTGAAAATGGAAATTTCATTACAGAATCGAGTGGTCAACAAAATGTCTTAACATGGCCAAGCCACGTTTGTCCGAATATTTTCACCAGCCAGAATCGATTAGTAGATACAATTTATGTCACGTGTTACGCCGGCTCCCATAGTCCGCGGTACGTCAGCCCAGTAGCCAATATCTAGGTCGTGGTCCACCAGGTGAACGAAAATAATGACGCTTCTGAAATGATTATTTTTAAACGCGTAAGTCGACTAGCAACGCAGTTACGTGATGCAATTTTTAGCATGCGCACTCGAAATTTTAGGAAACACAAGCCTCGACCCCACGCATTGCAGTCTTCGTGGGTCGCACAGCGTCGGCCTAGCAGCTAGTATTAAGTTGCGGTCAACGGGTGTACGAATTGACGACGTTTCTGAAAATATCCTCGGACGCAGCATGACATCAGATGTTACATTTATAAGGCAGTCTGAGCGCATATTTCACGTGCGCAATTCTTAGACCGATGAACAGAACGGATTGGCCCTTAATACGCGCTCGGGTGGCCGGCTAGATACCCTTCGCTCGGGTGGGCGTCAATTTGACCTCCCCTGAGGTCTCGGGAACTAAGAAGGCTAGAGACACTAAGTTTACAGGGTGTGTTGAGCTGTACGCGAACTATCTTGGGTCAAAGTTTCAGGTTCCTAGGTCAAAGGTTCCTAGGTCAGGTTCCTAGGTCACCTTCGAGTCAAAAAAGGTCAACAAGGTTCAAGTCCCAGGTTGGTCTCTAAAGTGCCCCCAGAACCTAGGAAACCGTTTCTAAGCAAAAGGTCACTTGCTCATTCAAGGCCAGTAACGTTTGACCTTTTGAAGATCAAGGTGACTTAGAGCATGCGAGATTGCTTTGAGTTTTGCACTTTGACTGAGCGATAAAAATTACGCTAGGCAGTATGTTCCTTAAAACAAAATGTTGACCGGCGTCATTTAAGGTCAATGACCTATTATGACCTCTAAGAAGTCCATGGAAGATGTGTAATGCTGTTCCTGCTATCAATGAATTCGAAATGTGCACCAGAAACTATCCCATACAGCAAGCCCTAGAGTAACAAAATAGGTTGGCTTTCACCTTGGTGTCCCCTTTATACCTGACCTTAGGTCAATGTTATTTGCTCATTTAACTGTTGTGTTGCCTAAGAAAGCATCTTAGAGATGTATGGCTTCGTCTAACACCCCGTTGTTAGATTAGGTTGAAGAATCCCTTAGAAATTGCCTTCGCTGAAACCATCGCCTGACTTTAACCTGCCGTAGGTCAGTGGCCTTTCAAACCTAAATTTTTGGTGCCAAACGATCTACTATTCAATTGTCTACAGCTATGCAAAATTTGGCGCGGCTACGCCGCGCCGTTCGGAAACCATTCTGGAAAAACTTTGGGGGGGGGGGTCAATTTGACCCCACCCGAGCGCGTGTTAAAGCACCGCAAAGTGGGGCTGGGATCTGTCGGTTGAACTGGAAGAATGGACGTAAAATCTCTATTTTTCGCGTTTTCGCAGCTAGCTATCTGTCCAGAAGATAGATAAACACGGCGCCCGCCGTCTGGTGGCAGTTACAGTGGCCGAAACTTTTCGGTTTTACGGAGGTTGCAACCCAGACCATCCTTGTCCCTGCTCTCGCAGTTGCGGGCGGGCATGTTCAAGCCTTTTGATGTAATTTGTTTCAACAATACATTCTGAAAAAAATGAACGTTCTTAGGCAAACATGATGAGAGCTCCACTCTACTCAACAATAATGAGATTCCTCATTTCCCTCCGGGCAAGGGCTCTTGAATAGAACACCAGGGGTACATTACCGTCTCCAGTCAAGGGCTGAAGGACCATTCCGTCCCATCGCGAAGCGTCTCCTGGTCGATCCGGAGGCCATTAGAAGGATATATCATCACATTGCTCTCACCCCTGACACCGGAGGCCTTCTGACCCGCGCGGTTAGCCCCGAATCAGCACAGGAACCCTCACTGACACAATAACATCCCTGATCACCGCAGGTAGTCCGGTAGTGGTCACATAGACTCCAGTTCCGTGTTTTTCTGTGTTCTTCAGAGATATTGGGTTCTCCCTGAATGTAGATTGTAGATGAAATGGTGTTTATAATTTGTATAAACATGGCTAACCCATGTTCGTCTTAAAATGCTCAAGATCCTGTCAGAGCTGATTACTGATAAGAAACTGTGTAATATCGTGTTGAACATGCATGCTCGCAAATGACCGCAACAACAGTCTCGACGCCCGGCGTTGCAGTCTCCAGGCCGTGCGGCATCTGCCTTGCGGCTGTGACACTAAGCTATAGCCAATGAGCAAGCGAAAAAGATGACGAATCTTAAGGGAGATGGGTGGTGAGCTAGGTAAATCGGCATGCATATCTAATGTAGTGCAAAAGTAAGCCAATTGCAACCTCCATCTGAAAAGTGGGGAGCCAGTTAACGTTACTGGTCACCACCTTGAAAGGTGTGTGTGTGTGTGGGGGGGGGGGCGGGTATGGCCCCTTCCCCCCTGTTCCTACGCCCGTGACAGTGGGTAGCATCGAGACTCCCCGGCCTATCAGAGCAAGGGTTTGGTTGCGCCCCTGACTAAAATCCCTCCTAATTTTCTAAAAATGCGCGGCGGCTTGAAAGAGATCAGCGAAAAAGACTATCGGTCTTCCGCTTTGCTAGACATCCATTGCTTGCGGCCGACAGCCATGCTCTTGCACTCTTTCAGGGGAATGAAATGTTCGCGACGATTTAAGGTACAAAGTACGTGACGTCATGAGTGCGATGGAGCTTCCAAATTGCTACCATTTAAGGGATTGGAAAATGTACAGCCTTGGTTGCGACGAATGTGGCGCAGAAAATAGGAAGGCGTTTGTTTGGCTCTGCATTGTCGTTACCGGGCATATTCCTGTGGAATTTGTTGCGATTGAGTCGGATGACCCCTTGCCGATTCCGATTCAAGTTCCATTGAATCGTGCTGTATTGCCTTGCGCCATTTGTGTGTACGTCTTATTGAATCGGTGGTGACTTACAAACTGCCTGGGGTGAGAATAGCGTTGTATCTTGCACGTAAATGATCTTCCCCGTGCGCTTTGCTCACATCTCATCATTCAGCGTGTGTATTACCTGTTTAGTGCTGACAAGTTTCAAGGTGTGAATATACTTCTTATGTAGAATATTTCATAACACTGGCTGCGATCACATAGTTGCCTTTATACATTCAATTGTTATATACTTTCCATGTCAGTGTTATGTTGACTAAATATTGCAGTGTTCACATGATCATTCTACATGTTTATAAACTTATTCCAAAAATTTAGATGGATGTGATTAGTATTAGCACTGAGCAATGTTTGCTGTGTGAATCCTGACCGACCAAGGCAAGGCCAAGGCATTTTTAAATGCCGGCTTGTGGGAACAATTTGCAGCAAAAGTCAAACCTGCTGTGATGCTCTGCATCCAGACCACAAGAAATGCATGTTGCATTAAACATTACTGTGTAACAGCAGTGTGGTACCAGTAATTTTACTGCATGAATGTTGGATGTCTAAGTGCTGGGGAGCTTGGTGTATGGCTGGCATCAGTTGTTATGAGTGGAGTCAATGGTTCAGGAACTTGCGATGTTACAAGCATTATTTTGTACAAAAATATTCTGATAGTATTTTGTGTTCATTGTTATAATTCATTTGTGGAAGACATTGTCAGTACAGCATGTAAGCTAGCACCAAAGACAGTGTATTGACATAGAAGTGTTCACATCAATGTGTAACATGATATTGTCACAGCACTCCAAAATTTGTCTGGTAGGTTGTGACGTGATGTAAATATAAATCATGCTAGCTAGAACTCTGGCTCTCCAGCAGTCCCAGGACACACATTAGCCATAATCTGTTAGCCCTGATAAATTATGAACTGCATACATTTAAATAGGCTTAGTTGGCATGAAGCTATCCCACTTCTGATAAATTATATGCAGTGTTCATGTTCCTGAATATAATTTTATGAACTGGCCTTTCAATTTCTGTCAGGGGCTCTGAGCTGTTCCATGTACAAATCGTGGTACTGCTAAGCAATGCATTTGATTTCTGAGTTGTGGGATGTGGAATTGAGGTGTATCCCATCATGCAAAATACATCCACATCACACTGCCAGTCAGTCAGTGCCAGTCTGTGGGCATGTAAAATTTTGTCAGTGGCCAGAGCTCCACATAAATGGCTTAGGTAGTTGCAGTGAATCAGGTGATAAGACACTCAGCAGGAACCCAGCCCCCTCCTTATTTTAATGGCAGGTATCATGCATGAAGACAGCAGGAACCCAGCCCACTCCTTGTTTTAATGGCACGTATCATGCATGAAGACAGCAGGAACCCAGCCCACTCCTTGTTTTAATGGCAGGTATCATGCATGAAGGGACCAGCCTGTGTAGTGATTGGACACAGGATGTCAGGCATGAAGTGTTGTTGTTGATGTGGATTGCCCTCATAGATAATTGAGGTACTTGTGTTGCCTTTGTTCAGCAGGTTTTTGTGAAATGTCTGTCGTCGAGGGGGAACTCAACAATTCAGAGGGTGCGTCTGAACAAAACATGGTCACCTCTGAAGAAAACATGGTCACCACTGAAGAAAACATGATCGCCTCTGAACAAAACATGGTTGCGTCTGAAGAGAACCTGCTCACCTCGGAACAAATTCTGGTCACTTATGAAGAAGCAGTGGAGGAAAAGGAAGCACCCCGATCAGTGAAGCAGGGATCGACTGAGGAAAAGAAGAAGCAATATCCGCAGAGATACAGACCTTTGTGGGAGCAACTGGACTTCTGTAAAGGCTGGTTAAAGGTGGGGATTTTTAATGACAAGAATTTCATGGAGCTTTCTCGCCTTATATTGTGTCGATTTGATTGAGGCATTGCTTTGTCCTTCTCATTGCTTTCAACAAAAAATGATGATTGTCATCAGCAGCTAAATGTCATTTGTTGTTGAATGGCTTGAACCCTCATTGAAGCTTATACATTGTTTTCTTCCACATGCTGTATATCGACAAAACTCCAGCAATGTCCCAGCAGAGCATATAGCATGCTCAACCAAATGCCAACCTACCACTGCCTCACGCAGGGAAATTGCTTGGGAGCACAAAGGCAAACAAATGCTAAGACTAATGCTCTAAATGCTCAGTGCACAAGTCTTGGACACAGATACATGACAGGGATGTGTGAACAGGGCAGTCACTGCCTCAGATGTGGTGGCTACAGCCACGCGTCGCGATGCCGTATACAAGATAATGCGTCGTAGAAATGACGAGTATTTATGCTACTTCCCCATGGCTTATTCACTGGGGCTGAAGCCACAGCCTCAGCTTCCCTCATGATGGGGATTGACTTGTTTTGCGTGTGATAATTGGGGCCAGTCGTCACATTAGCAGGCACAACATTGCTGGTGTAGGCAATGCCAACATGTCTGAAGTTACAAGTTCACTATGTGTCAAACAATAATTTTATAAAGAAATGCTTAAGAATGTTTGTTAGTACATTGCTGACTTCTTGGAAATTGTGAGGTACACAAAAGTGACCCACATAATCACACTCAGATGTGGTCAAAGAGGTTGCTTGTGATGCAGGATGCAGATTGGGATACAGATGTGATGCAAATGTGATGCAGATGCAAATCAGGAGTAGGTTGCTCGTGACGTAATGTTCGCTAGCCGGTGCTACCACAATATCAGGCGAGCGAGCATTTCGCCATAAACAGCCAATGACGCCTTACTTTAAGTCACATGCTGCTGTACATGCCTACGGACTTTCGGTGTGCCGCGCCTTCTTCTCTCCGTTTCCATGTCGTTAGTTTATATTTGCATTTCAGCCCTATCCAAAGAACCGACTCATGGCCTACTGCAAAGCCTGTGATCGAAGGCTGCACGCGAGGAAAAACGATCTGAAGAAACATTCACAATGTGAACGGCACAAAATGAACATGGGTTACCTGCAGGTATGTCTTGCAATACGCTGTCCAATATAAAGCCGTTGCACGTGTGTGATGAACTGGCTGTGCTTCTGCGCTGGCGCCGATTTCACCGTGCATTGTGGCCAGCGGTGCCGAAAGACCTTGACCCGGCGGTCTGGGGTGCTGCAGCAGGGCACGCCGGTCCGTCGCGCGAGCAACAAAGGGAGCCGCTCTTCGTTCCATCCCAGCCTGCTCGAGCACAAGGAGACCGCCGGTGGGTGCGGGGGCGGTCAGGTGGCGGCTGGGCCGGGGCGGGTGGCGGGGAAAGCTCGCGCGCGATGCAACACGCCGTGTGTGCCGGAGCTACAACTCCGGAAACAGAGGCTCCGTGTTGTCCAGTTCACGTTGCGTGGTCATGTTTACATCTGTTGCCAAGTGCCCACTCGGAGACGTGCCCTCGAAGGTATCTTTGTCTGTGTGTCTGCGGCGCTTGCGCACGCTGCCCAGTACCGTCCGTGTGGCCGACATCGGCGCACGCGGTGCACGCGGGCCCGCCGCCGGCCGTGTGCGGTGTGGTGACGCTGGCGCGCGCGGGGCGCAGGCTGGCTGAGCGGCGTGCCGGGAGAGCCGCACCGCGCCTGGTGCCGCCAGTGCGCCTGCCGCCTGACGCCGCAGCTGAAGGCGCTGCGCCTGCACGGCGAGAGTCGCAAGCACCGCTCCAACTCCGAGCGGCGTCCCACCTCGCCGCCGAGCGCCGAGGCCGACGAGCGGGGCGAGCGCAGCATGGACGAGACGGACGGTCGGGTCGACGAGCCGGTCAGCATGGGCCTGGCCACGCCCTCCGTCGGCGATCGCTCTGCCTCGCCGCTGCTCGAAAGCGACTTCTCGGTGGGTGCTGGGTGCGGCAGGCGGGGGAGCGCCGGCCCGGCGGTGGTGGAAAGACGGGTTGGGCGGGGCTGGGGACGGATGTGTACCCTTGGAGCGCGATATTCGTGAAAGGCCGTTGCGGGGGGATTTTCAAGCGGGTTTAAGCTTTCTTGCAGCTGCTCAAGTCTTGATAACAAACATGACGCTAATTGTAGGGCTTACGTTATATATTCCCATGCCCATTGGGTCCTGGCCGTGATAGGTGTGTTTGCCAGCAGCTCGTCCGTGGTCTTCGTAGCTCAGTTCTCCCATCCTCACTGGTGCGGCCGGGTCTGCGGCTGGCTGGCAGCGGCCGGGCCTGCCGTATGTTGTCCGTGGAGCAGCTGGCGGGGCCTGCGACGTCTCACCGGGCGTGCGGCTCTGATCGGCTCACCGAACGCCGCCGGCTCGGTCGGACCCGGGCTCTGCTGACCCCCTCCTCCCCGTCCGTGCAGGGCCGGGTGACGTACTCCATCGGCCTAGGGAACCGCAAGGTCGGCTTTCTGGGAGCGGGACAGATCGCTCAGGCCATCGCGCAGGGCATGCTGGAACAGGGTGAGGCCGCCGGGGCGATTTGGTATCGTCGCGGTAATCAGAACTCAGCGAGCGTAGTCTTGTCACCTCCTCGTCGCGCCTCTGGGCCAATTGCGAACCGCAGCAGAAGGCTGGAATATTATGTTAAGTGAGTCGTGCCAAATGGCGTGCGACATCATGTGGTGTTTTGTGATGGGCACATTTGTACGCTTCCTGCAATTGGGCAGCCCAGGCGCCCCGTTACGACGGTAATGTCCCGCTCCTCAGCCGCCTGTCATCCGCAGGGCTGCTGCTGCCGCATGACGTGATGGTGAGCGCGCCGAGCAACAGGAACCTGGCCCAGTGGCGGCGCTGGAAGTGTCACACCACTCACAGCAACGGTAAGAGCGCGCGGGCCCGCGTCGCGTCGCGCCGCGCCTCCAGCCGTCCGTTGCCGTCACTGGGTGCGACGGCCGCCGCCTCCTCGCGCCGCGTCGCCCTTAACGGGCCGCGCGGTCGCGTCTCAGACGTCTTGTCGTGCTCCCCAGCGGCGTTTGAAGTGGCGGTGGGTGGGCGTCCCGCGCGCGCGGCACCGTCGGCCTACGGTCGGGCCGCGGGTGTCCCTCCGGTCGATCCCCCCCATGTTCGAGCCGCGAGCGGCGTCGACGGGCGACGGTGGGCGGTCGTCCAGCTGACGCTGCGCGCGGGGTCCGCAGATGAGATCCTAGAGCATGCTGACGTCGTGTTCCTGGCGGTGAAGGCGCCGCTGCTGGTCGGCATGGTGGAGGCCCTGACGCCCGTGTCGGACGACAAGGCGCGCCTCATCATCTCGGTGATCCCGGGCGTGACGCGCGCTCGGGTAGCAGAGGTCAGTCGGCGGGGTGCAGGCTCTTGTCGCCTATGCCTGGCGTATAATGAGAACTTTTCAGGGCGTGGAGCGGGGATAGGAGCAGTCTTCATGTCCCGTATCAGTTCACGTCTCTGGACATAATAATGGCAGCATCACGTCGTGCAGTTACATGCAGTATGGCACAGAAAGGGTGTCCGCCCTGGCACGCGGGGCCATACCGCCGACCAGTCGGTTCGTCATGACATTGAGAATGATGTCGGGGGCTGGACTAAATGCTTGATGCGCATCAAGGACTCCCACACTGGTCTCCGGACGATCCCTCAAAATGGCGCCATGCGTATCGAGAAACCTTCCACCGTCGGGTCCTTTGGGTCGCTCAACGATGTTCCGTGCGACGTTAACGATTCTGATGCAGAACAAGCCGCCAGGTCGGAACGAACCCGCGCCTCGCCAGCTTCCTAGATAACCGGCTCTGGGAGGTGACAGGGTGCCACCCCCAGACCCATGTGTCACATGTGTCATCAGAGACACCCTCAGAGTCATCACAGACACCCTCACATCACGTAAAGACAAGGCTTCCGTGGGGAGGGTGGTGATGTGTTATAATGGTTGGAGATTTCATTCGGGTTGCAAGCAAAGGTGTAGTGTGAGAGAACTCGTATCAGCTATGTACGAACGCGCACTATGCGAACCGCAAACCTTGATTATCGTCCCACCCCGTGCCTTGAAAATATCATCGGCTTAGACACCAAGAACTAGAAAACCAGAAAAAATCCCACTGGTTCTGAACCAGATGCCCTTACAGAGAACATGCACCAGGCGGGGTTGTGAACCAGTCTTACTCTTAGCAGAGTTTATCATGACAGTGTTTCTATACGGACGCTTGCGAGACGTGTCCAAATAGCAGGCTGGTGAGGGATTACTGCATCGAGAGCCGAAAAAAATGCGAATATCTTAAGACATGCATTGTGGGCTATGAATTGTCACGTTTTCTGTCCAGATCGTTCACGCCGCACCTTTCAATGCATGAAGCAATTGGCCCAGTGTCACGTACAGTTTGATAAGCAGTTGTTATGAGTGTGGCGCCTCGGTACACGGGACGTGCTACAGCGAAGGCCTGGTCCGCTCCGACTGGTGTGGTGCCGTGGCCGATGGCGCCGCCTGCCGCCTGCCGCCTGACGAACCGCCCTGCACTGGCCTCCGCAGCTGCTGGCCAGCCGGGTCGTGCCGACCGAACAGAGCATCCCCAACCCGGAAGAACCGGCGCCGTCGCTGCACGTGGTGCGCTGCTCGCCCAACAAGATGATGTCCATCAGTGCCGGCTTCTGCGGTCAGTTAAGGGATAGTCATCTGTACACCAGGCTGTGCTGAGAATGCGCTGGTAGTGGGCCGGATAATGGGGAGTGGGAAAAGTGCCAGCGGCCAACATGGGTGTGATTTTGTGTGTGTGTGGGGGCGGGGGGGGGGGGGAAGAGTAAGGGACTGTTGGGGAAAGTGAGGGCCTGTGAAGGAAGAGTAAGGCATTGTGAGGGGAGAGCGGTGGCGAGAGTAAGGGACTATGTGACACTGTGTTGCTTGTGAAGAACTTCTGGCCTGACAGGATCTAGCCCACGCCGTTATCCTGACGATGGCATAGATGAGCTGCCCGGCCGCGTCTCTCACCCGCTATCTTGGCTGGTCATATGTCTAGCTCAGTCCCCGACGCGGCCGCGCTCCGCTGCTCACAACCTCGCCCACGTCCCCAGCCAACCTGCGTACTTATCGGTACGACACACGGGCATAGACGGACTCCCCGCGGACCGGGCCTAAACGGCCACGCACCCGATTCCCATTTTTTGTCATCCCATTTTGCATTTGGGAAGCATCACGGCAGGGTTTTTTGGCGTGATAACCCAGTATCGTGCCTTGGCCGTGATTGCCGCGGTGGGAGCCGGTCCAACGCCAAACTCAGCGCCCCTCCTCCGTCCCGCAGCGTACTGTATGGGTGACGACGTGCCGCACGCGCTCTACCTGGTGGTGGAGACCATGTTCTCGGCGCTGGGCACCTGCGTCCAGGTGGAAGAGAGCCTGATGGACGCGTACAGCACCATGGTCGGCAGCGGTGCCGCCTTCGTGAGTAGCCGCGCCCTCCGCTGGCGCTCTTACGGACAGGACCGCCACCGGCTGTGCTGCTGCTTTATAAAGACGCATTCTGGTACATCTGTACACGAACGACACCACATGCATGCGCTCGCGCTATGCCATGCCGCTGGCACGTGCTTGGCGAGACACCGAGCTGCTCAGGAGACTGTTGTGAGCTGCAGAACGACTGGCCATCATGAACTGTGCCTGAAGTGTATTCAGATGACTTCAGGCGGAGTTGGCACGGTGGTGTCAGCTGTCCGAGCGGGCGCGCAGCGTCCCCGGGGGCTCCGTCTGTGGACGTGTTGGCCAGCGCCCGCCCTCCCGCTCTGCCAGTGACGCGCTGCCCTCTCCCCGCGCAGACGTGCGCCTACATCGAGGCGATGGTGCAGGGTGGTGTGAACCTCAACATCGCCTGGGACGACGCGTTGAAGGTGGCCGCCGCCGTGGTACGTCACGCGCCCACCCGGCCGCGCCTCACGTGACGTCCCACTGCTGTGGCACGTCACGGGTCGGGAGGCCGCCGCAAAGAGCGCTGCTCGTGCGCATAGGCTTGTGTTTGATGTGGGGAGAATGCGTAGTGCACAGGAATGACGTCTTCTTTGTGCTATGGTGTAAGCTTTGTGGCGACTCTCATGATATCGGCTACAGTGACCATATTTAGCGTAAGTTTAAGAGAAAACACGTTGACTTGCGACTCATTTAAAGACGAGGAACACAAAATGTAACAAACGAGCGTCAGTATGTACGTGATAACAATCGACGTGTTTTATGTACGATGGACTGTGCACCGACCCTTACGAGGGTCAAAGTTCACCAGCGTAGAAGGGTTGGGCGAGACTGAAAGGCCTTAATAAGACTATTTCATGCCAGGCATGTCCTGAATGTCTTGACGTAACTGTCTTGCTATCACGACATGCCAGCGGAGATGCACCTCGTGGGCACCTGAGACTGCCTCGCTCCCACGGAGCCTGGCCTCTCAGAGTTGATGTCAGTTGAGACTGACATCACCCCTGACCTGGTGCTGGGAATACCAGCGTGTTCCGCTCCGCTGCTGACCCAGTGACGCCGGCCGCCGCCTGACAGGTGTCCGGGACGTCCAAGCTGCTGATGAGGACCTCAATCGACCCGTCCGCGCTGCGGAAGGCCATTTCCACACCAGGCGGCAGCACCATCGCGGGCCTGGCGGCACTGCAGCGCGGCGGCTTGGAGTAAGTTGTATATATGTGCTTCGCATCCATATCTTTCTTTTTCCCGTGCTCTTTGTCCCTGTGCCTACCCTCCGTCCTCCGTCCTTGCCTCTTTTTTGCTGTACCTTGTCACTCCCTCCCTCTCTTCCCTTTATATATTCTCTTCCTGTTTTCAATCATTGCAGTCATTGCAATGCAAACAGATCAGACCGGTTTTTTTCATGTTTCGAAATTGCCGGCCAGTATCGGGACTGATCATTGCCAGAAACCATGAGAGCAGGCTGGGCATGGCTCGCCCTGTACTGTGTTGAAGACCATGTGGTGGTGCTAGATAGAGCGGTATGGAAAAGAGACTGTGCATTTCTTTTTGATGGTACTGTATGTCGAGCTGCAGATGCGGCGCGCATCGCACGTTCATATGCCCGCTAGACCTTCCTAGCATGTAACAGTGAGCAACCAGTTGGTAACATTTGTTATTATTTTAGACGCCGTGTTTGTGTGCGCCACCCGGGGCGAGTACGTGGGATCTGACGGATTCCGTTGTGTGGGAACGCCGTAAGATCGTCACCGGTCGTGGTCTGCTTGTGTCGGGACGCTGCGCGATCTTCATCGGTCGTGGTCTGCTTGTGTCGGGACGCTGTGCGATCGTCACCAGTCGTGGTCTGCTTGTGTCGGGACGCTGTGCGATCTTCATCGGTCGTGGCCCGTTTGTGTCGGAACGCTGTGCGATCGTCACCGGTCGTGGCCCGCTTGTGTCGGACGCTGTGCGATCGTCACCAGTCGTGGTCTGCTTGTGTCGGGACGCTGTGCGATCTTCATCGGTCGTGGCCCGCTTGTGTCGGACGCTGTGCGATCGTCACCGGTCGTGGTCTACTTGTGTCGGGACGCTGCGCGATCTTCATCGGTCGTGGTCTGCTTGTGTCGGGACGCTGTGCGATCGTCACCAGCCGTGGTCCGCTTGTGTCGGAACGCTGTGCGATCGTTAACTGTCGTGGTCTGTTCGCAGCGAGGCGGTGGTGCGTGCGATGGACGTCGCCTGTCGGAAGACCACCGACGTCGGCAGCCACGTCTGAGTCCAGTCCGGGCTGCATCCAGACGTCTGGGTCCAATCCAGTCCAGAGCCCAGACGGCGCGCGCCCGCGCCGGTCCGGTGGACGGGGCTACGCCGGCGCGCGGGCCGTAGCGGTGCGCGACGGGGCGGAGCGGCCGCCACCGGCGCAACATGTCAGGCGCCATCTTTGCGGCATTACCGGGCACGGGATGTGCGCGGTGACTTCGAACTAGGGTGGTGGAACCCAGTTTCGAAGTAGAATTAATGTTCAATGGGTAATATCAGCGCCTTGTGCACGCTTATTACCATACCATTCAAGGTTGGAATAATAGCGTCCGTTGCGTCGCAGAACGCATCGAAAGTTGAACGATTTTTTATCCTTGAATGTTCGTCAGGTCACGTGATGCCATTATGACTTTCATATCCATCACTGTACATTGTCATGACATGCATTTGCCACTGTGCAAATGTACCTTTCTGTTTTGCAAATATTGGCGTTTAACGCGCTTAGCGAGCCGTGGAGGGCTCATTTTAGGGGGTTCTGGAAGTAGCAGCAAGACTCGACTCTGAACCGCTCGTGTGTGCCGATGTACTGATGGAGGCCCAGCCATGGGCGGCTGCTGCCCAACAACTGACTGGATCTTAGGAATAGACGGGCAACGGGCCTGCGGCAGTTTCAGTCGTTCGACATTATGGGCGTTATTTCCGTCGGTGTGTGGCAAGGTCGAGCCGGCGGGTCGTGGCGGCGGCTAGGGAGCAGGGCAGGCGTTCCGGTTTGCCCGCTCCTGCCCCGAAAGGTCCGACTTTCCGCGGTGAAGGTCGTCGGTTGATTCTGGGGCGGTATGGTCAGTGTCAGCTCTCGGTTATGGCCAGTGCCCACTCTCGGCCAGCAATAATAGTGTGACGCCTACAACATGCTCTGTATGTGGGAATTAAAAACCCTCAGGACTTGCTCGTTGGGAGCATAATATGTTCTGCGATGACCGAAGACATCAGCTGGCTGGGCTGGTAGTCCTAAATGACTATGAGATGTTTGGGTTAACAGCGCAACATGTAGAAGACAAATGAGAACGTATGCCCCTGCTCCGCGACAACGGAAGCCGACCGCATGCTTTGTGCACCGCCCAAGGGTGATAAAATGTAATAAGTCAAAGCTGCCGGAATGAGCTGACAGCTGGAAACAAACATGTGCGTAGATCCCGCCGGTGGATACGGCATCCCATGGGGTTCTTTGTCTATGGAATCCGTGGGTCTTTTTGAGCGGCAGACACAGAACAGCCACATTTTGGAAAATGTCGCTGTGGCCTCGGCACCATCAGCCATACTATGCCAATGTCTTCCGCCTTCATCCGTGACTGTCGGGGCCGCGCGTGCACCAACTACCACAAGCATTGCTATTGCACAACGCTGTACAACTTCACTTGAAATGGCGAAGATCAGTCATTATAATCCAGCTTGTGCTCCGAGAAATGATGTTGAATAAACAGATCACGAGTATGGGATTTGCTGGTAGTTCCAGTTTCCTCGTTGGCTGCCGTAATATTCTCAAAAAGGACGAATGTAAGGCTAAGATTTGTTTATTTTGCAGTTCGCCCATTGTCTGATATCTCTTGACCATCTCTAGGGCCGGTTTCGCTTTCAGCGCAACCGTGGCGAAATCAGGCCGGCGATCAGTCTAGTGTAGCTCCCCTTGGAGGGGGTGGTGGTTGTGGCGGTGGCTGGATATTTTTAGTGCTGTAAGACTTCGTGTTGTGTTAATTAAGTGGGAGTCAGGGTGATATTCTGCAACCTAGCAATACCATACTTTTGGCCACAACTGGCAGCAGGAAGGTGAGAGATTGATGTGGCTAGATAGATATTTTTGAATGTAATTAAATCCACAAAGTTGCATTCTATCTTTGTCTTTGGTATGCCAAAAAATGGCTCGAGTTGCATCAGTTTAAGTGGTTTACTATTTCACTGATAGTTTAATGAGTCCTCATGGTTATATCACATAATGTGCCATTATGTACGTGGATACTATTACATAGAGCAAACAAAAATTGGTAAAACAAAAAATTGGCGATATTAAGTCTTCACAGTCTAAATGTCACTCTGTGATGCATCATCATTGGCATGACCTTGTGAAATAAATAACATACTGAAATCTGTGCATGTGGGTGTGCAGAGGTGTAAAATAAGTTGATGAAAACAAAAATGAGGCAGTCTCTGTGGAGGCTGGTTTTGCTGTTTTGCTACTAATTTTCTGCAGTGTTTTGTTTTATGTAGGACCTATGGGAGGCAAGTGAGCTGTGGGAGGCCACACTGCCATTATCACTTTGACAGATACTAGTCCAGAGCAATGTGGTGGAGTGGATAAACAGGGCAACTCAACTTAAATCATTTGTTTGATATAGAACATTCCTGTTCTTTATATGTTTGAGCTTAGGAAACACCCCTAAATTTCTTTTTTGTTAAAAAATAAGCACACCAACTGCCTTAGCAGCAGGAAAAGTCAAATATTGCATTTGATGTCATGTTTCATCACCACAGCTGTCATGTAACAGCTGTTTGTCCCTCATACTGTTCAAAGGGCATGTGAAAGACCCTGCCTTAGGTTTCAAGCAAAACAGCTAGATATAAGATAAATTTGATACAAAATCTGGTATTTAACTGTCTTAGACAGATAGCCTTCAAGTTTGGAATGAAAATCACCTTTGGGGCATGATGCGAGTGCATTTAAGCATACCATTCAATCTCAAGAATTGTCCATGCCACCATAGACACAATGACAAACTCTCTGAAACCTCATAGATGCTGCTAGATACCCAGGTAGCAGGAATCAAATTGAGTAGTTAATGCAGAAAGAGTGATCTACTATGTCAGATGCCATTACAGTCATGGATAAGGAATGCGGGCACTTCATTTTTTTCTTCAAGCGATCTAAGCCAAGCATCTATCACTTGTGGGAGATGTGTTTTTACCTGCTGTCTAGCACCACCCATCAGCACACATAAGCTGTGATGTCACTGCCCCTGTCTTTGTCCTTGACCACATTGTGCCTCTGCCATGTTCACCCTGTAGCTGCCTGCCCCACTCCTGTGTGTTGCTCCCATTACCCAAACTGTCAGCCTTCCATAGCCCTCCTTGCATCATGCTGCTACTACCTTTCTTTACAAATTGTTTTTCATTTGCATTGTGCAGTTTCTTCACCACCTCAGCTTGTGACCAAGATATTTGGTTACATGATCATTTCATTCATTTTTAGAGGTATGATTTATACAGACATTTATGCAGATATGACTTACTTCATTAACCTAACTCTTTTTTGTTTTCATCCTTTTTTCCATTTTTGTTTGTCAGCACATCTGTGATAATTTAGGTCATAATTATGTTTAGGATTGTTGAGTCAGAATTGTTTTATGCATGATCATTTTTCAAAAAAAATTCTGCTATGCCATTACTATTTCAGTAAGCCATGATGTTTATGATGGCTCTGCACAGAGTAGCCTTGGAAAATCCTCTGTGCTGTGCTGTGTGAAACATTGTCCATGTTGTGCACTTCTTTGTGATCTTGTTGCCTGCAAGGTATCATGGAATATGATCTTAAACATCTTAAGATATGTAGTCTTGATAAATGCTTTTCAAGGTCATGCTCAAGTATTGCCATGTTTTGAAGTAAAAATCCATTTAATGCTCACAACAAATCATCACAAACAGGGAGATTAGCATATGCTAATGGTAACAATTTATGTTTGGTAACAACTGATATCCAAATATCTTTATAACATTGGTAGCAGATATTTGTATCTCCTTGCGATCTTGGTGCAGACGACCAGTTTCAAATTTGTCTGACTTCCATCAGCCCTTTCCTTGCCATCGCCCTAGGCCGCGATCTGTGCAGTGACGCGTCCGCGGGCCGCCAGCCGTCGCCGTCGCAGCTGACCCTGCCGACCGCGCGCATCGCTCGTGCGCCTGACGCCGCCGTCTCTGTGCGCCGCTTCAGATGGCGCCGGCGCAGGAGCTGCCGCGCTTCTCGGCGGCGCTACGCCAGTTCGCCGGCGTCAGCGCGCGCCTGCAGCCACCGACGCCCCCGGAGCCGCCCGACGCCGTGCTGGCCCGTCGCCTGCGCGCCGAGGCCGACGACCAGAAACGGTACGCCGCTCCGGGGCTCACTCGCTCTGTCTGGGTCACGCACGGGCAGAGGAGCGGGGTAGAGGTCTCAGCGCGCTGGGGAGATGGCGCGGGTCGGGGACGAGACGGGGCAGTGGGCGCTGGGCGTGCGGGCGGACACGGATCCGGGGGTCGTCCACACAGGAACGCACGTCTGACGAGTGCGGATCATCTCAGAATGCATTTCACAGCTCCATCATATGCTGTGGTATTTCCCGACTGTGGATGTATGTAATCACGTTTTAGGGCTCGTCAACTAAGGTGGTTATTTGCGCGACACAAAGTATCGCAACGTTCGTTGAGAAATATTGAAATGTCCGCTTAAGCACTGCGGAAGTACTGGTGTCTGTCTGTTCCTTCAACTCATTTGTAGTCGTTCGTGTCTACTGATAAAGATGATGCACTGCATCATATACTGTGTAGAAGCCTGGTTTATTCATGCATGTTTGTTTCTTCCTTGCATTTCAAAATATTATTGGCAACGTTGGAGAGGTAATGCTTCTCCTGTGATACCATTTGCACTCCCGCCAATGCGATTATGCGTTATAACCAGAGTAAACTATGATGTTCGCCTCATCGAGCCATGGGCCCAGTTAGCCCCCTTAGTCGTCCAGCGCACCGGTACGTACCCTGCGAGGCGCGGGCATCACGGCGCTGTATGGTCTGCCGTGCACGCCGGATGAATGCCGGTTACGCAGTGTGGACGCCTGAGCGTATTTTGTACATCATAGACGCCAGAGCGATCGGACAAGTGGTGGATCGAGACCTCTGCCTCTGAGTACAGTTGATGCGTGCTACGAACATGACCAGCGTTATAGGCTGGTTCGCTGCGGAATACGTTGGCACTTATTACGTTGTACCGAGCCCGTTCTTGAAAACAACGGCGTTAGTTTAATTTTTATCAAGCACAAAGTGAGAACGTGATGGGAAAATATGTTGCACATTGTCCAATGGACAACCGGTGGGATGGCTGGAGCTGCTGGGTTGAGAATTTATGGACAGATATCTGTAACATATGCTCATGTTAACTTCCGCACATGAACCAAAGGAGCCTCATTGCTTAGAGACCGAAAGCCTAAAGGCCCAGTGGGCATACCATCCACATTGCTCGAGCTGTACTTACACACGTGATCCATCATATTTTAACGATATTTTAACATTTTTTCGCCATCTTAGAATTCAGTCGAAAGTCTATCTCGCACTTTAGCACGAGACTGTCCTAATTCGTATTTGGAGTGCAGAGATAAATTAGCCAACCTCTGATCAGGAGTTTGAGATGTTTCAGCTGAGGCCATGTAGATAAGAGTCTAATAACGGTTTTCTTTTGGCTGCTCCATGCACAACATGTTATTGCAGTGACGTATTTTGCGCGGGCCACACTTCTATGTTTGTTTTGCTTTGCGCGAGATGAAACTGACATCGTTTCGATGCAGATCTCGCAGCAATCGAGCCTTCGGCCTTCTGGGCGGTGTAGCAATGTTGGTCGCGTTTTACCAATTGGTGTTAAATAAATATTTTTCGTCTGGCCTGGGGCGTCGAACGGGAGCCACCAGACGCCGGACCCCCGTGTTCGTGCGGGAGTCCGACTTCTTCATGCGCGACAACGCCACCGGCGACCTGGCGTGGAACTTCACGGAAGTGAAGCGGGTGAGCGGCCTGCAGAGGGAGTGGGACGCGCAGCGAAGCCGCACAGCACGCCTGGACCGCGAGCTGGAGCTGGCCCGGCCGCACATGCCGGCGCTGTCGGACTCGTGGCTGGAGGCACGGCGCGCCGTGTACGCCGCGCGCACGCGACGGCTGCTGGACACCTGCCGCCGTCACCAGGTGGGCATCCGGGTGGGGAACGTCACCAGTCGGCCGGCGCCCGCGCCGCTGGAGAGCATCAACCCGGCGCACTTCGTGGAGGCGCCGGCGCTGAACGCCACCATCTGCCTGGTGCCCAAGGTGGCCTCCACGTCGCTGCTCTCTACGATCCTGCGCGTGACGGGTGTGGGCGTGCCGGTGTTCGGCGACAACACGACCAGCCTGCACGCCATGGCCGCCGCCAAGCTGCGGCCGCCGGCGGCGACGCTGGCGCACCGGCTGCGCCACTCGGTGACGCTGCTGCTGGTGCGCCACCCGCTGCGCCGGCTCGTGTCCGCCTACCGCGACAAGGTGGAGCGCGCCTCCCCGCGGCCCAGTCTGCGCGTGCAGCGCGCCGGCATCCTGCGCCGTTACGAGCAGCTGCGTTTCGGCGGCGGCGGCGGCGGCGCCCGGGCGGCTCGTCCGCGGACCGGCGCTGCGGCGGCCGCGGCGCGGCGCCGGCGCGCCCGCCTGATGCAGCGGTACAGGCGGGACGTGGTGCGCCGGCGTGGCGTGCCCAGCTTTGCCGAGTTCCTCACGGCCGTGCTGCTGGGCGCGCAGCCTCTGCGCGACCCGCACTGGGAGCCGGTCTGGCGCCGCTGCGCGCCCTGCCACGTGGGGTACCAGATCATCGCGCAGTTGGAGACGGCCGCCGACGATCTGCCGTTCGTGTGGAACGCGCTCAAGCTGTACCCGTGGGCACGCATCCCGTGGCTGCACCGGACGCGGCCGGCCGGCGAGCCGCCCTTGCGCGAGCTGGCGGACCGGTACTTGCGGCCGCTGGAGCGCGAGCTGGTGGCCGCGCTGCGCGCCGAGTACAGGCTCGACTTCGACCTGTTCGGATACGATTGGCCGGGCCTGATGAGGATGTCGGGTCACTGTCCGCCGGCGGCGGCTGACTGTGACCTGCTGTGACCCGCTGCAGACCCGGGCTTCGGCACTCGGCAGGCGAGAGGCGTGACACAGCCGCTGGGACGGAGCAGACCCGGGGGTGGGCACTCGGCAGGCGAGAGGCGTGACACAGCCGCTGGGACGGAGCAGACCCGGGGGTCGGCACTCGGCAGGCGAGAGGCGTGACGCAGCCGCTGGGACGGAGCAGACCCGGGCGTCGGCACCCGGCAGGCGACAGGCGTGACGTAGCCGCTGAGACGGAGCAGACCCGGGCGCCGGCACTCGGCAGGCGAGAGGCGTGACGCAGCCGCTGGGACGGAGCAGACCCGGGCATCGGCACTCGGCAGGCGAGAGGCGTGACGCAGCCGCTGGGACGGAGCAGACCCGGGCGTCGGCACTCGGCAGGCGAGAGGCGTGACACAGCCGCTGGGACGGAGCAGACCCGGGCGTCGGCACTCGGCAGGCGAGAGACGTGACACAGCCGCTGGGACGGAGCAGACTCGGCGCCGTGGCCGTTATTCATTTGATAAGGGAGCGTAATGGTGCAATGGCAGATGTAAGGAACCGGTTGATGGCGGCGAAGAAAGGACGATGAACGATGGTATTTTCTCTTCGGTTCCAGAACTTAATCCGCCACTGAACAGGCAAGAACCCTCTAAGTGATATTTTGAGCAGGCAATAAAGCATTGACGACCGTGCGCCTCCGCTCATTTTCTCAGAGTGGAATGCTGGCACCGTGCCTCTGCTGCATGGTTTCGCGCGCGCGGAAACCGGCAAGGCTCCAAATAAATGGGCTTCGGTGAAGTAATTGACGCTCACATTGCTCACTCAGTGTGCAAGGTCTGTTACGGTGTACGACACGAATGTTACGATGTGTTATCGTGTCACCACATTGTCAACGCATCGTATTGGTGACATTATTTTACCGAATAAGTACCCTCGGCACCTGACACATCGTGAGGCGGATGTTTTCAACTACAGGTGAAGACATGTAGACAGATCAAGACATTAACATTACGCTAGTTTTGCTCAACGAAGACCTGGTCAGATGAATGTAAGGTGAATGTGAAACATGTTACTTACATATAGTGAATGTAAAATTTAGTCTGCAAAGAACTTTACTAGATACAAAATAGTAATAGCCGTATTCCTCGGGGAAAAACCAGGAGAATGGGGATATAGATGCGCGATATTTCGGCAGCATGCCTTACGAAAGAAGTAGCAGAAGTCTTGTGAACACGCAAGAACCCTTCAAGCAGCACTTTGAGAATTCCGTAAAGCTTTGACGGCCTTGCGCCCCCGCCTCCGCTGAAATGACTTGCTATTATTTTTGATAAAGGCGTGTTGCCGAAATGCCAACACATCTACGTCCTCATTCTTCTGTTGTTTCTCCAAGAAATAAGGTATTTTTACTTTCTCATGCGTGTGAGTAATAATGTTTGCAAATGCACTTAACAACTTCGTAAGTTTACGACCATACTAATTATCTGTGTTCAGACCATGCGTATTTACCTCATCACCTGTTTTAAAATTCGGAGGCGTACTGCGAAGCGTGTCCCTGTCCTCAAGAAAATCCAGATTCAGATATATAGCATCAGGACTCGGAGACAAGACCTCAAAGCCGTTGGTATATGCACGAGCGTGTGCATGCGCAAAATAATTGCACAACTTGTATTGAGTGGTCCCAAAGAAAATTGATGAGAAACGACCGAAATGGAAAGAATGGTCTCGTCAGTGACGACCGACAGTGTCCAGTAAGCACGAGATCGTGCTACCACCGGACCGGGTGCTACTTCTCAGGCGAAACAGATGACAAGTGGTGACGTGGCAGAGCTTATCATAGATATGCGTTGAACGTCTTCGGTGGCAATTTTCCCATTTGTGCTCAATCTGAAACTGGTCGCTCTTTGAAACAAGGTAGAGTATCAAATAATCTGCCTTAGCTTTATTATTGCATCGCTGGTTCTTCACGGGAGTGTTGTAACAGTCATGTGTGGACTCACCTGTTACACGATGTCTGTTGCGTTATTATTGAATACTGTGCAATTAAACTTAAATTAAGGTGTAACGTAATACTGAGGGCAGCATTATATGAAATATTACATTACCTTAATATTTTGATAATGATAATAAACGACAATATGAAAGAATCTTAATGATCAACATTATATGAAAAGTGATAGCAAATTATGAATATTTTAACGGTAATGATAGCAAAAATGACATTAACTAAACCATATTGCATTGAATGCAGTTGCATTCGTATAAGCTTAGTGCGTTGCACCTGGTAATACAACCGCGAGACTCTGGTGTCTTCGTGCGCAGCCTGGGGTGCGCGCGCGCCGCCAGCAGGTTTGGTCGATAACGGTGTTCTGGTAGCTTGTCCAAGCAATCGCCCGTAGGCTGCAGTTGCGGAAAGTTGCCTAACGCCAGGTGGATGATTTATCGATCCCTTTGTCGGACAGTGCGTTGATGGTAAGAGTCACGTGATATCCTTGAATAAACGCGTAAATTTCATAGATGTGCCGTATCTAGCGCGCCCGGTGTCTGCGTCACTTCACAAGGTTTGATCAGGTGAAGGGCGGCAATGTCGCACTCGGCATCTGAACCGAACTCGAGGACAATGTCCGAATCCGACTGACACTGCGGGGTCTGCTGTCAACCTGTGGCCAAAAGCGGGACCGAACAGAGAGGAGTGGCGTCGCACCGCTGAACAGGAAAACCCAGTCATTACGCTACAAGCATGAAGAAATCGGAGAACATGATGCGCGACCTGGAAGACTACTTCCGGATCCGCTTCGAGAACAAGATCGCAATCCGGCCACGGCGCGAGGACTGCCACCTGGCGGCCGCCACGCGGCTGCTGGCGCGCAAGCAGGAGCTGTCCGAGGTGGAGGGCGCGCTGGGGCGGCGCAAGACCTGGTACCAGCTGCGCATGCAGGAGATCTCCGACGAGCGCGCCATACTGGAGGAGCGCGAGAAGGGCCTCAAGACGTCACTGCTCAAGTTCGACAAGTTTCTCAAGGAGAACGACTCGAAGCGGCACCGGGCGCTGAAGAAGGTGGAGGAGGAGCAGGGCCTGCAGCTGTCCAAGGACCGTGAGATCGCCAAGCTCACCGAAGACCTGCAGGAGCTCAACGAATTCAAGGGGTTGACCCAGGAGACGGTGGACCGCAACAAGCTGTTTCAAGACTTCATGGAGAAGGCTGTAGAGGCGACGGAAGAGTACGAGGAGGTACATGACGTCATGAACCGGTACGACATCCTCTCCGTCACCAAGGAGTACCTTATGCGACGCGAGCAGGGGAACCAGGACCTGGTGGAGGATGCTAAGCTGGAACTCATTCAGTACTCGGAGGATCGTAACACGGAGATCCTGGGCCTGAACAACCGGCTGTCGGAGCTGCAGTCGCGGTATGACAAGGCGCAGCAGGCCGTCATCACGTGGGAGAACACGTGGACGCGCATCAAGAACACGGCCGCCAAGAAGACCCTGCTGCTCGGCCAGGTGAAGATGGCCATCCACAACCTGTACCAGCTGTGCAACCGGTACCGCCTGAGCGCCGAGGAGGTGACCGCCTGCTACGACCCCAACGCCCAGCTGGACCGCATACGCGAGGTGCTCGAGGACCTGGTCTTCGTCAGCGGCGAGTGCCGGCGCAACGAGCAGCAGCTGCAGCAGGAGACGGCCGCGCAGGCCAGCTACTAGCGCCGGCCACGGCGGCGCGTCGCGGCGGCCTCGCTCGCGCCCCGGGGCCGCCGGGGTAACCGACCGTGTCGCTGGAGGTCGGTCGGTGCGGTGGGGGGGGGGGGGGGGGGGGGCGGCCTGCCTGCGGCTCGACCCCCGCGGGGCAGCGTCGCTGGACGCAGCCAGGCAGCGACAGGTCCGGTCAGCGCCAGTGGAGCCGGCGGCTGCAGCGCTACGATAACGGATGCGCACTCATGGTTCTCGTCGCTAGTAATGATATCGTTGCTGCTTGTCTGTCCATGGACGGCAATTATCTTTGCAATATCATGTGCTAAGCAAGATTCCCTAAACACATTGCACACATATGGGTGGTGATAATGCAGCAGCAAGAACGTGACAAACCGTGCAATGTCTCGCTTGTTATAACACTGGTCAGATCCAGGCATGCCGCTGGTAGTCTTCGTATGCTCTCGTGAGCTTTCTTCTTGGATGCAGATCACTTGCTTTCCCTGATAGTGACACGTATGTAATTTATGAGGATAGTGTCTGCCTTGCACGGGATAACAATAAAACTGGCTGAATCTTGTTGTGCTAGTTGGGCGTTAGTAATTGCCTGGCAACAAGGAACAATGTTGTGCCTGAAATAAGCAAGAACGAACACGAATGCTATGGTGCAACAAATAATTCATAGCAGCGGTCGCCGGATGCAGAGGCAATAAGATGATGCGCTTACATGCCGGGCAGGCGTTGCATACTCAATACCTGTTGTGCTCTGCATTGGTGTAGGTGAAAGGGAGGTCGGTGGGGTGGGGGGAGGGGAGATAGAGATCTAGATGGATATTGGGATGGAGGTGGATATGGAAGTGGAGATAGAAATGGAGATCAAGATGGAGATGGGGATGGGAATAGAGATGGAGATGGGGGGAGATGAAAACTGAGATGGAGGCGGAGATGGAGATGGATATGGAGATGGAGATGGAGATGGAGATGGAGATGGAGATGGAGATGGAGATGGAGACGGAGATGGAGATGGATGGAGGGAGGGAGATGAAGATGGAAATGGAGATGTAGGTGGATATAGAGATAGAGATAGAGATGGAGATGGACAGAGATGGACTAAAAGAGGAGAAGGGGAGGGGAGGGGGAGGACCGGCCGTGTCGTTGCTCACGTGGCCAGCTCCCAGATGCCGGCGCGTACCCGGTCCGAGTTGTGACGGGCGGCCGATGTTGCAGTGCGACCGAGGCGCTATGGCACCAGCTGCAGCAAGTGGCCGGCGCCGGCTGCCGGCGACAGCTGAAGCAGCTGCAGCTGGCTGTGCTGGCGCTGCTGGGCGGCGAGGCGCCGCCGCGCGCCGTCGAGGAGGGCGCCGTCATGGCCGTCTCGCAGCTGGCCGGCGTCACGCAGCTGACGGAGCCGCTGCGGCAACAGCTGCGCGCCAGCTTCCCCGCCGTCAGCGCCGCCGGCGCCGAGCAGCTGCTGCAGGTACGGCCGGTGCGCCGCGGCGCCGCGTTTGCGATGTCCCTTTTGGGTGCTCCATACTTTGTAGGTCTTGGCCAGTGTGATGAGTCATTTCTGTGGGCCGCGTTACTGGAGTCTGTGTACGTGGACGACAGGACATAGCTGTGATCTGTCCGACTAGATGTACACCTCTGGGGCGACTCAACGGCTGCCGAGAGGAGATCGAGACGTCCCGCGGAGCTGGGCTCGCCCTCTCGTGAGCAAAGCATCTGACTGGGCTTGACTGTGTGTTTGTGTGACAGGCGGTGCGTGACGTGACGGCCGAGGTGGACCCCGCCGCGCTGGGCTTGACTGTGTGTCTGTGTGACAGGCGGTGCGTGATGTGACGGCCGAGGCGGACCCAGTCGCGCTGGGCTTGACTGTCTGTGTGACAGGCGGTGCGTGATGTGACGGCCGAGGCGGACCCCGCCGCGCTGGGCTTGACTGTGTGTCTGTGTGACAGGCGGTACGTGGTGTGACGGCCGAAGCAGATCTGGCCGCGCTGGGCTTGACTGTATGTCTGCGTGACAGGCAGTGCGTGATATGACTGTGTCTGCGTGACAGGCAGTGTGTGATATGACTGTGTGTCTGCGTGACAGGCAGTGTGTGATATGACTGCGTGTCTGCGTGACAGGCGGTGCGTGACGTGACGGCGGAGGCAGACCCCGCCGCGCTGGGCTTGACTGTGCGTCTGCGTGACAGGCGGTGCGTGATGTGACGGCCGAGGCGGACCTGGCCGAGCTGGGCTTGACTGTATGTCTGCGTGACAGGCGGTGCGTGATGTGACGGCCGAGGCGGACCTGGCCGAGCTGGGCTTGACTGTGTGTCTGCGTGACAGGCGGTGCGTGATGTGATTGCGCGTCTGTGTGACAGGCGGTGCGTGATGTGGCTGTGCGTCTGCGTGACAGGCGGTGCGTGATGTAACGGTCGAGGCGGACCCCGCCGCGCTGGGCTTGACTGTGTCTGTGTGACAGGCGGTGCGTGATGTGACGGCCAAGGCGAACCCAGTCGCGCTGGGCTTGACTGTGTCTGTGTGACAGGCGGCGCGTGACGTGACGGCGGAGGCAGACCTGGCCGAGCTGGGCTGGACTGTATGTCTGCGTGACAGGCGATGCGTGACGTGACGGCGGAGGCGGACCCGGCCGCGCTGGGCTTGACCGTGCGTCTGCATGACAGGCGGTGCGTGACGTGACGGCGGAGGCGGACCCGGCCGCGCTGGGCGCCCTGCTGGACTCGGCCGCCGCGCCCGGCCCCGCCGAGCCGTCCGACTCAGACGAGCCCGAGTTTGGCGCCTCGCTGAAGCTGGGCGCGCTCGAGCCGAGCCCGTGGCCCGCGGCGCCGCTCACCGACCTCAGCCGCCGCCAGGACACCGGCTCCTTCAGCATGCTCTACAACGGCGACAAGCCCGACACGAAGAAGGTGCGGCCCGGCCCGACTCGCCGGGGAGCGATGGTGAAGCGGATGCCGTGATGGCGCTATCGCTGTGGTAGCGTATAGAGAGGGGTGACAGGTGGATTGTGTGAAGTGGCAACTCTGCACATGAAATTTGCGGCAAACCGTAGTTCAATTGCTGCAACTGCGGATAACGGATGTTAGGGTGCGTTCTGACAGAACTGTTTTTAAGTCACTTTAGGCATGCTATGCGATTGTTGACATTTCCGGGGCATGTGGGGGGCACAAGAGGCGTGACATCTTCATGTGTCGCCCCGGGCGATGCACCTGAGGTCACGCACCGCCAGATCAACCCCAGCCACTCAGCTATCCTGCCGACCCCGTCTCCGAGCAAACGAGATGGAGGCACGGCTGTCGGACAACGGCGCGTGGCGGCGCCGGGGTACTGACCGCCGCGTGGCGCCTGTCGCCAGCCGTCGCCGCACGGCCCCGAGTGGCTGGCGGCCGAGCTGGCGCGCGCCGGCGGCTCCGACGGCTCCGACGACGCCCTGCCCGAGATCTGCGCCGGCGTCTACAGCCTGCTTGAATCCGACAAGGGCAACGACGACCTGCAGAACGAGGTGCGGGCGCCGGCGAGCGGCGGAACCGCGGCGGGCCGGCCGGGGCGCGCGCTCTCACGCGGCACCTGAACTGGCCTAGTATGGACACGTGTGGGGAAGGACGGGGAGCTAGTGGGCAGCGCAGCCCCCACCCCACCCCACCCCAAACGCCGGGCCATGCGGCTGTGACGATGACATGGGTTTGCACGGTAACATTAAGCCTCGTTTTGTCCCTATGTGATGGTGCCGCAGTACGCGGTGTGGACACACGCGCATTGCTTGTCCTGCGCCCGCCACTGACGCCGAACGCTGTCCGTCGTCGGGCGTCGGCCGGCGGCGTGTCTCAGCCGACGCCCACTCTGACCGGTCGCCGCCCTCTTGTGCAGCTGTTCGACCTGCTGGGCTTCGACCGGATCGAGCTGATCACGACCCTGCTGGAGCGGCGCGCCGAGGTGCTGGCGGCGCGGGTGGCGGCACCGCCGCGCAGCCTCTCGCCGCGCACCTTCCAGCAGCTCTCGGCGCTCGTCAACGGCGGTACGGTGGCAGCGCGCGCGACTGCAGCGCTCGCGCGGGCACGTCTGTATCGCTGCCAGGGCGGGGCGGTGCGATGAGTGCTGTATCGAAGCGGAGCTATGTTGAGCGCCGCCAGCTTAAGCCACATTGCCGACGCAACTGCGTCTTTGATCAAGGCTGCTGGCGTAACCAAAGCGTGACGTTGCCCACGTACCTGGACGTGGGCCGTGCGCTGGTCCATCCGCCAGCGTGTCGTCGCGTCGGCGTGCCTGACCGGGCCTCGCGCCGGGCCGCTGGTGACCGGCGCCGCTCCCCGCCAGGCCGCTCCGTCCAGCTGCCCGGCCAGACTGTGACCGTGCAGTCGCGCCAGGAGGTCGAGGCCCGCAAGGCGCTGCGCCGCGAGGAGAAGAAGATGCTGCGCGCTCGCGACCGTCAGACGGGCCAGCCGGCCGACCAAGAGGCGCCGGCCGTGCAGCCGGAGCTGGCGCGCGCGCACAGGTGCGTCACGCCCGGCTCCACGCCGCCGAGTGGACGCTTCTTGAGCGTCCCTCGGAGCGTCCCTCGGCCTGGAGTATGTAGAGGTCAAACTCCCTCGAAGTGTCGTGGCGGCTCCGCCAGACCGGCGTCCGAGCGTCGCGGGAGGTCGGGTGGCGTTTGTGCGTGCGTGAGTGCTCGTTTTCGCGGGGTGTGTGGTGTGTGCGGAGCGTGTTGGTTGGTCAGGAGAGCGGGTTTCAGTCTGCTGCGGTGCACGCCGGGGCCGGCGGTTGCCTCTGCGGCGTGCGTCACCCGTCTGTCGGCTGACCGGCCGCCGCCTCCGCCGCCAGGGAGCTGCAGCTGCTGCAGGCGATGAACGCGCCGCTGTTCTCTGAGCGGCCGCGCGCCGCGCCGGCGGCCGCCGAGCGCCTGCCGTTCGTGTTCGACGCCTTCAGTCAGGCGCGCCAGGCGTCGTCGTTCGTCGCCGGCAACAAGATCAGCCTGCCGCTGGGCTGCGAGTGGAGCGAGCACAAGCTGTACCAGGCCGTCGAGATCCCGGTGGCCGAGGCGGCGCCCACGAACGTCGGCGAGCAGCGCATCAGCGTGGCCAGCCTGGACGAGGTGCGGCGCGGCGAGGACGGCGTGGGGCCCACCGCTGGAGGCGCCAGGACCGTGTTGAATAGGCGGTGACGCTTGTGGTGTGGGAAAACGTTTTCTTGCGACGCGTGGTGTGCCGGTGTGCGTGCCGTGCTGCCGTGCTCGTGACTGGTGGGGCGTGGCGCGCCGACGAGCAGCCATCGCACCTCAGTCGGGCCTGTGCGGACCGCAGCTGCTGCGCCTCTCTGGCCTTGGGCCTCGTGCTGGTGAGAGCGACCTAACCGCCAGCCGGCGCGCGCCCTCAGATTGGACGGAAGGCGTTCGGTGGGATTTCGCAGCTGAACCGGATCCAGTCGGTGGTGTACGACACGGCCTACCACACCAACGAGAACCTGCTGATCTGCGCGCCCACCGGCGCCGGCAAGACCAACATCGCGATGCTGACGGTGGTGCATCAGATCCGCCAGCACATCGAGAAGGGCGTCATCATGCGGGACTCGTTCAAGGTCAGACCGGCGGCGGCGGCGGCGGCGAGGGCAGGGCGGGGGAGAGGGTGAGAACTGCCCAGTCGGCGACGGTGAAGTGGGGTAGCAAGCTGTCCGGTCAGCGACTTACAGTCGTTTCGTCCGTTTTCCTGTATGAAGTCTGGACACATCGGCGCGCTCAGTCGTGACGTAAGCTACCCTACTCGAAAACGTGCCGCGAGTGCACCGCCCTTCCGTCACCGGCCCGCCCTCAGGCAAAGCCCACCGTGTCCCATCCGGTCGTGCGTCCGCCCGGTCGGACGTCAGCTAGGTCCCGCTGTGTCCCGTCCGGTCGTGCCTCCGCCGGCCGGGCATCAGCGCCGCTCGCCGCTCGCCGGCAGATCGTGTACGTGGCACCGATGAAGGCGCTGGCGGCCGAGATGACGGCCAGCTTCGGTCGTCGGCTGGCGCCGCTCGGCGTCACCGTCCGCGAGTGCACCGGCGACATGCAGCTGACCAAGCAGGAGATCATGTCCACGCAGATGCTGGTCACCACGCCCGAGAAGTGGGACGTGCTCACCAGGAAGAGCACCGGTGAGCTGAGGCGCCGCCGCGAGAACGGGGCAGCGGTGGCGGTCTGGCGCCGGGCGGGGATGCGGGACGTCAGAGCTGAGAGTGGCGTGCTGGTCGCAGTCGTGCTCCTAATCCAGTCGATGATAAGGTGACGGGGAGATGCGCGTGGTGTTCAAGATCGTGCGGATCTCCCGTTCGGGTGGACAAAGCCGCCCTTTTCTTCCCCAGCTCTCTTTTTGGTTAGACGGCTCGCGTCGGGGAACTCTCAGGAAAGCCGCCTGTGAAGAGATCCCGGTGAAGCTGGATGCAGTGATAGGTCCAAAGTGGTCCCTCCCTGTCCCGGCTCTGTCTGCCGGCCGCGCTGGCCCGCGGCCGAGTTCTGTCGGTCGGCCGTGCTGACCCGCAACCCGGCTCTGACGATCTCAGGTGACGTGTCGCTGACACAGCTGGTGAAGCTACTCATCATCGACGAGGTGCACCTGCTGCACGGCGACCGCGGGCCAGTGGTCGAGGCCTTGGTGGCGCGCACTCTGCGCCAGGTGAGCGCGCATGCGTCACTGGCGCGCCCGGTCCCCATTGGTGGGAAAGGCGTCCTCGCGCAATGCTGCCGAACCTATGTTACTTAGGTGCGTTTGATTATTCGTACAGGCTTAATATTTTGTGTCACTCGCTGCTCAGTTTGCCAACAAGTGAGATTTAAAGAAAGTACGCCGGGGAAAAATGGGCGTAGAATGTGACCGGCTCGCAGCGACCGGAAAAGAGGGAGCTGAGAATGATACTCACCCTTCGCAGATGAGACCTGTAGGCAATGTGACCCGTGCTACTGCAGGAGGTATCGCTGACATGCCATTTCATGTTATGACATCATCATGACACGTTACATTTCAGGTGGAGACCTCGCAGAGCATGATCCGCATTGTGGGTCTGTCGGCAACTCTGCCCAACTACCTGGACGTGGCTCATTTTCTGCGGGTGAACCCAATGAAGGGACTGTTCTTCTTCGACGGCCGGTAAGTGTCCGCTCTGGTGTGCGGAAGAGGTCCCGGCTGGGCGTGTGCGGCTGACGTGTGGTGCCCACCCATACTGCGTCTGTTGCCCTCGCCTGGTCCTTATGTGGAAGCAGATTTCCCACCGAATCGCCCACCCCAACGATTCTCAAATTCTGTAGTTTGTACACACTTGCTGGCGCTTATGCCGTCGGTCTGGGTGACCCGGTGAGCACGTGAACACTAGTTGCCGGCTGACGACGTCGGTGCCGATTTGACTGCCGGGTTGTGATGGTGTTCCGTCGCAGCCGCGTCAGCCCGGCCCGGTCCAGTTCGCTCGGCCGCGCTGTCCCTGCCTGCGGCCTTGGCGGCGCCGGTGAGACGGACGGCGCTGACAGGCCCCGCCGCCGCCAGGTTCCGCCCCGTGCCGCTGGGCCAGTGTTTCATCGGCGTCAAGGCGCTCAACTCGATGCAGCAGATGAACGACATGGACACGGTGTGCTACGAGAAAGCGTTCGAGATGGTCAGCAAGGGACACCAGGTGCGTCGGCGTCGACCTCGTGCCCAAACTCCCACTCATCGTCGTCTCCTCGCTGGATGGCGCTTCGCTTCTGTGCGAGCTCTCCTTTGTGGTCTGTTGATGCGTTGCAGGCGATGTGTCGAAGTGTAGTCACCTGTTGTGTCTGTGTCCGTGCTAAGCGTTTGTCGTTTGACCGTGCATTTGGCAGGTGTCGTACACTTGCGCGGTTGTATGCTCGTTGAATGATAGCCGTCGCGGTTGGGGCAATGGTGCGAGCGGTATGTACGTGGTGCTGACAAGATTGCGCAAGTCACGGCGAGAAGGAATGAATCTTTACGGGATACAAATCGGCCACACGCGCGCGACACGCGTCTACCTGTTGTGTGGTGAAGACCGGTCATGCTGCCCTCGATGCAGTGAACTCCTCGTCATTGGTTTCACATGTGCAAAATTTATCGAGAAGGCCTTTTTCTGTTTCGGTCGAAATGCTCCATATCTTACTTGTTTTGATACACTTGACAATGGCTCTCCCGTGATGACTGTGGGTCCGCTGTTTTCATAGGCTGGCAGGGGTTTCAGCAGTTCACACGCCGCGTTGGTCGTTTAGCAGTTCTAGGCGCGAAATGACCATCGCAGTCAGCACACCCTGAAACCCCAATAGCGATCATCACAAGATCTGTGCATGGCGGCGGTTGATGATTTCCCTTGAATTTCTTTCCGCTGGTGGTAAGGTTTGTCCCCTGTAGATGAAGCCGTTTGTTCCCGACAGGCAGAGGTGCTCTTGCTCCATGGCTGCCGCTGTCCGTGGCTGTGAGCTGACCGGTTTCCTTGTGCTCTAGATGACGCTGTGCTCTCTGGCTGACACCGCCTCCTGCCGCCAGATAATGGTGTTTCTGTGTTGTGGATGATGCTGTGTTCTCTGGCTGACGCCGTGCTCGTGCCGCCAGGTGATGGTGTTCGTGCACGCCCGCAACGCCACGGTGCGCGTGGCGACGCGGCTGCGCGAGCTGGCTAAGCAGCGCGGCCAGCTGGGCTCGTTCCGCGCCGAGCAGTCCCCGCAGCTGGGCGCCGAGCAGAAGCACGTGCAGAAGAGCCGCAACCGGCAGCTGCGCGAGCTGTTCGACGACGGCTTCGCCATGCACCACGCCGGCATGCTGCGCCAGGACAGGTGAGGAGGCTGAGATGGGGCGCCGGTGGCGCGGTGGGAGAGGTGGACAGACAGACAGGCAGAGAGGCAGGCGCCAATGTGCGGATGGTGCACGGTGCCAAGATGATCTGCACTCAAAGGTGCCGGCGAACGCAGCGCATGTGCGCAGTCTTCATCGCATGTGTGTGTGAGTCGGTCGGTCGGTTGGTTGTTGAAGAGCCTGCGGTCAGCATTCATAATGAGCGTATGTCTCGCAGCTATTTCCTCATATTTGTGCAATTTACAACGCCGCGGAGCTCTTGCCAACGTGGCGTTTCATGCCAGGGACGAAGCCACGCTGTCCGGTGCGAGACGCTCGCGAAAGCGCGCACGCACGTGGCCCGTGATGGTAGGGGAGCGTTGCGTCGGTGTGACGCCCGGTCTGTGGTGGGCGGCAGGACGCTGGTGGAGCGGCTCTTCTCGCAGGGCATGATCCGAGTGCTCTGCTGCACGGCCACGCTGGCCTGGGGCGTCAACCTGCCGGCGCACGCCGTCATCATCAGGGTAGGTGGGGGACGCTCGGCGCCGGGTCACCCGGCGTCGGCCGCTGGCAGCGCTGTGGCGCGCGTGTTCCATTGGGAACGGGTGTGGCTAGGACTGAGTTGGTGCGCACGGGATGAAACGGGCACAGAGGACTGGACGGTGGGTTTGGGTCGAGAGAACTAGTGCAAGTCCACGCAACGGGAGTCGGGTTCATCTTCGGTCGGGTCGGACACTTTGTACTGAAATCAGTTACTATGCAACAGTGGCCAGACTGGGGATTGACGTTGCTGCCCGACCGTCGTGCGGCGCGGCGCTGGCCGCTCCCCCCCCCCCCCTCCCCCTCGGCTGACCGGCCGGTCCACGGCTGCCAGGGCACCGACATCTACGACGCCAAGCACGGCTCGTTCGTGGACCTGGGCGTGCTGGACGTGATGCAGATCTTCGGCCGCGCCGGCCGGCCGCAGTTCGACAAGTCGGGCCACGGCACCATCATCACCACGCAGGACAAGCTGCCCCACTACCTGTCGCTGCTCACCAACCAGTACCCGATCGAGAGCAGCTTCGTGGCGCTGCTCGCCGACAATCTGAACGCCGAGGTGGGTTCCGCGCGCCCGACGCCAGGGGCGGCGTGGCGCTGTGGCGGCGCGGTCGCCGGGGCCGGAGCCGTGCCGCTCGGACGTGACCGGGCTCTGGCCAGCGTCGTGGCCAGCTCAGATGGGCGTGACAGCGAGGCAGGGTCGTAGTCGTACGCCCTAGCTTGTAGTTGCTATGCCCTGGACCTGCACGCATTGCGTTTCTAGCGAGCTGGCGCCGACGGAGATTGGGTGTGATCGCTACTTTCCATGAGTTGGAGTCTTTGGGCACGACGACCGGGAATGACAGTGCAGGTGGACACAATATGAAAGCGGGTACATCAATTCCTCACTTCCACGGACGCGTCGTATTAGCACGATTAACCTATAACCGTCCTATAACCTATAACCTATAACCGTTAACCTATATAACCTATATAACCTATAACCTATAACCGTCCGCACCTATAACCGTCCCGCTAGTCGCTTCGAGCACAAGGCCGCGGTTGTCGGCCGCCGTCTGACCATCGTCTGACCGTGCGTGCAGGTGGCGCTGGGAACGGTGACCAACGTGGAGGAGGCCGTCAGCTGGCTACGCTACACCTATCTGTACGTGCGCATGAGCAGGAACCCGCTGGTGTACGGCATCAAGCCCGAGGAGGTGCAGGTGAGTCGGCTCCGGTGGGGTGTGGTGCGCGGCAGCCGCGCCGGCCGCCGCGTCGCCCGCTCCTGGCCGGAGCTGGAGGAGGCGTGGCCAGAACTGGGGCGGGGCGGGTGCTGTCATCGTGGGCAGGTTGGCGTGGTTGGGCGGAGCGAAGTGCTAGGCAGCCATGAATCGCGCTTACCGTGTCAGTGGCTTGCTTTCACGCCGCCTGTGTTGAGTTTTTGAAGAGATGTGTGGCATTAGTTTGATGTATCGTCTTTCTTAATTGGCTGTTACAGATTAATGGAGTTTTTGCGTTTACACGGCCCGCAAATTCTCCGATATCATGTCCCATGTATTGCCATGCACCACCATGTGATAAGCTGAAACTGCGAGAAAGTGGCGCAGATGTGAAAAGGTGATTTAGAGAACATAAAGAGAAGCATACAAACCGAGGGAACTACGATTGAGTTTGTGGCGCCATGTGTTTGGGGCCAGGGGGGGGGGGGGGGGGGGGCTGCACACGTGTTGATATGCGTACGTTTGATCGTGTGCGTGCGCGCGCGTGTTGTGACGCATTGCCGGCTGCCGGCAGGACGACCCTACGCTGGCCAGGAAGCGCCAGGAGCTGATCATGAGCCAGGCGACCAAGCTCGACAAGGCGCTGATGCTGCGCTACGACACGCGAAACACCTACCTCAACATCACGGGTAGGGCGGCCCGTCCCGTTGGCCCCTGCCGTGTGCGGGCGCTGGAGCGGCCCGTCCCCTGCCACCGCCTGTCCCACGTGCCCCTGCTGTGGCAGGCGCTGGAGCGGCCCGTCCCCTGCCACCGCCTGTCCCACGTGCCCCTGCCGTGGCTGGCGCTGGGGCGGCCCGTCCCCTGCCACCGCCTGTCCCACGTGCCCCCGCCGTGTGCGGGCGTTGGAGCGGCCCGTCCCCTGCCACCGCCTGTCCCACGTGCCCCTGCCGTGTGCGGGCGCTGGAGCGGCCCGTCCCCTGCCACCGCCTGTCCCACGTGCCCCTGCTGTGGCATGCGCTGGAGCGGCCCGTCCCCTGCCACCGCCTGTCCCACGTGCCCCTGCCGTGTGCGGGCGCTGGAGCGGCCCGTCCCCTGCCACCGCCTGTCCCACGTGCCCCTGCCGTGGCTGGCGCTGGGGCGGCCCGTCCCCTGCCACCGCCTGTCCCACGTGCCCCTGTCGTGGCAGGCGCTGGAGCGGCCCGTCCCCTGCCACCGCCTGTCCCACGTGCCCCTGCCGTGGCTGGCGCTGGGGCGGCCCGTCCCCTGCCACCGCCTGTCCCACGTGCCCCTGCCGTGGCAGGCGCTGGAGCGGCCCGTCCCCTGCCACCGCCTGTCCCACGTGCCCCTGCCGTGGCAGGCGCTGGGGCGGCCCGTCCCCTGCCACCGCCTGTCCCACGTGCCCCTGCCGTGGCAGGCGCTGGAGCGGCCCGTCCCCTGCCGCCACCTGTCCCGTGGGTACCTGCTGTGCCCGGTCGCTGGGGCGGCCCGTCCCCTGTTCCGGCTCGTACCGCGCCACCTGGCCGATCATGCGCGTGATCCAGAGCTGTGGCGCGGATGCCGTGGGAATGACGCGGCAGCTTTGTCGCTGTTGTGCTGAGAACTTTTCGGTGGGGAAGAGGTGGCGCGATTTTTGTATCGACCTCTGTGAATAATTTTCAGCTTAACAGTAAGCGTACAAATTGACCAACCTTCTCACTCAGACTCTAAGCCTCTGACTGCAGCCACTTGATAATGCAGCGCTAGTAGCGATATTCTCACAACCAGAAGGATCTGGGTACAAGGAAGCCAGGGACTAAAGCATCACAGTGCCGCCGGCATGCGTGAAGTCGTGCGCGGCTCGGGCAACATTGTTTGCTCTTGCCTCCTGTACCTGAGGACTGTCGCTTCCGCTGTCGGCCGCGTATTCGTCCGGATGGCACCGGACCGACCGAGCCGTCTGCCCACAGACCTGGGCAGGATCGCCAGCCACTACTACATCAAGTACGACACGGTGGAGGTCATCAACGAGCTTATCCAGCCGGCCATGGACGAGCGCGACATCCTGGCCATGATCTCGCGCTCGTCCGAGTTCGAGCAGATCAAGGTGGGCGTCGCCGGCGCGTGAGCAGGTCATGGTGGGCGCTGCCGGAGCCTGGACGGGCGGATGCTCAGTCGTGAGCTGGCGCCGGCCCGTGTCGGAGGAGGGAGGGGGGGGGGAGGGATCCGGTGCCAGTCCCGTTCACAGTCGGCCTGTGGGGGCCGGTCGCACGCCGGACCGTTCGGCGAAGGCGCGCACCGACCCGCGCTCTGTGCGGTCGCCTCTTACGACGCCAGCGATCGCACCCACCGCGGTGGTGCGTGACGGATCGGCCAGGGGCTGCCGCTGCTGCGCTCTGCGGCGGCCCGTCGGCCTAAGCAGGCCTCAGCAGCGGGCCGTCTGTCGTCCAGGTGCGCGACGATGAGCTGGACGAGCTGGACCGGCACATCCACGAGGACTGCGAGCAGCCGGTGCTGGGCGGCTCGGAGAACGTGCACGGCAAGGTCAACATCCTCATCCAGACGTTCATCTCGCGGGGGCGGCTCGACTCGTTCTCGCTCGTCTCCGACATGAACTACATCGTGCAGGTGCGTGCGGCGGCGTTCCTGACGCCCGGCGTTTTGAAGAGGCGCCGAGGTGGGGTGCACTCTGTTGGTTACGTGATTCGTGTGATTATGTGATTATCGCACCGGCCTTGCGCGCCACATCGCGGACATTTTACGCCAGTATTTGAAGCATGGGAATGAGGGCTTTTTGGAAAAGGTCACCGCGACACTTGCCCAGCTTCTGGACCTTAGGCCACGGGGCGGTGCCGTAAACTGCACCAGCACCTGCCAGAGCTGGCCTCTCTGGACGCGTCAGCACCGACCGACTGACCCCGCCGTCCTGCCGCCAGAACGCCAAGCGCATCACCCGCGCCATCTTCGAGATCTGCCTGCACCGTCACTGGCCGCTGATGTCAGGCCGCGTACTGACGCTGAGCCTGCAGCTGGAGCGGCAGCAGTGGGCCTCGGAGACGCCGCTGCGCCAGGGCGGCGGCGTGCTGGACGCGCTCATACTGGACAAGCTCGACTCGCGCCACCTCACGCCGGAGCTGGTCCGCGAGATGGACGTGCACGAGCTCGGTACGGCCCGGGGAAGACCGCCGCGGGACGGTGGGGGACGGGGGAGGGGAGAAACTGCCGCGGGGTGGAAGTGCGGATGGCGGTGGCGAGGCGCGCTGGATCGGGAGGGTCAGACAGCCTGAGGCGGGGACCGGTCGCCGGCCGCTGGAGCTCACCACGCCTGGTCAGGGAACTTCGCCGTCTACTGAGGCGGAGCTCGCACGCCCGTGACGTCACTGATCTGCCGAAAGAGTCGACATCATCCCTGTCAGTAATCGGCATGTACCCACTATGGCACACGGGGGGGGGGGGGGGCAGTCAGCTGCCCCTGCCTCGTTTGTGTACTGCTACGGCCGTCGTGCGCTAACGCCGCGGCCGCCGCCACCAGGCATGCTGATCCGCGACAAGAGGAAGGCGCCGCTGGTGCAGCGGGCGGCCGCCGAGGTGCCGGCCGTCACGCTGGACGCCAGCGTGCAGCCCATCACGCGGCGGGTGCTGCGCGTCCGGCTCACCATCACACCGGACTTCAGGTGAGGCCTCGCGACGGTGCGCTCAGCCATCGCGCTCGGTACGCGCTGTAGGGCCGGCCGCCGGCTGCTGCCTGTGCGCCGACCGTGTGCAGTGTGCGGTCATGCCGTGTGCAGTGTGCGGCTATGCCGTGTACAGTGTCCGGACAGGCCGTGTATAATGTGCGGTCAGGCCGTGTGCAGTGTGCTGTATAGTGTAAGGTCAGGCTGTGTACAGTGTCCGAACAGGCCGTGTACAGTATGCGGCCAGGCCGTGTACAGTGCGCGGCCAGGCCGTGTACAGTGTGCGGTCAGACCGTGTACAGTGTGCAGCCAGGTCGTGTACAGTGTGCAGTCAGGCCGCATACAGTGCACGGTCAGACCACTGGAGATGGTCAAACCGCATCTGTGTCCGTCCGAATGTTTGTGATTTGATCACTGATTGTCTAGAAAGGCCACGAACTGTCCGTCGCTGGCCCGTGAAGCACCGAGAAACCAGGCCGCGTGCCGTGTCCTCCCGTGCTGTCTTCTGTGCCACAAAGGCAGTGATGAGTTATATGCGGCGACGAGGTGGATGAAGCACTGGCGTCAGCTGACGTGATGACCAGGCCCCAGCGCGGCTGGTGACCGGCTACTGGGCCCTGTAACCCACAGGTGGAACGACCGCCTGCACGGGAAAACGTCCGAGAGCTTCCTGGTGTGGGTGGAAGACCCCGAGAGCAACTTCATGTACCACCACGAGTTCTTCATCCTGCTGAAGAAACAGGTGGGACTCGTCGCCTTTGTGCAGCCGTCATTTCCGGGGCTTTACCTCCCATATCGAAACAGTGAACCCCGGTCATGTTTGAATTGTGTTGCTATCAGACTGTTATCCTTTCCGAGACGGGTCTACGCCAACATTGGTGCCACTCGCCGCTGGAAGCGATATCGGGTATAGTGTTTGAATAGACTGCTTAGTGTGACGATTGTACTGGCTGAGCTGGTGTGTTTCTTCTGGTCTGAACACGACAGCCAGTGGTGCCCTGACCCGACCTGTTGTGTCTCTGCCGGTCTGAGCACAACAGTCGGTGGTGCCCTGACCCGAGCTGTTGTGTTTCTTCTGGTCTGAACACGACAGCCGGTGGCACGCTCTCCCGAGCTGTTATGTCTTCTAGTCTGAACACGACAGCCAGTGGTGCCCTGACCCGACCTGTTGTGTCTCTGCTGGTCTGAGCACAACAGCCGGTGGTGCCCTGACCCGAGCTGTTGTGTCTCTGCTAGTCTGATCACGACAGTCGATGATCCCCTGGCCCGAGCTGGTGTGTCTCCGCTGGTCTGAACACAACGGCCAGTCGTGAACCTCACCCGAGCTGCTCGCCTGGCCGGCAGGTGCTGCGCAGCGAGCCGCAGTCGCTGGTGTTCACCATCCCCATCTCCGAGCCGCTGCCGCCGCAGTACTACATCCGCGTGCTCAGCGAGCGCTGGCTGGGCTCGGAGGCGGTGCACGCGCTCTCCTTCCAGCACCTGATGCTGCCCGATCGGCACCCGCCGCACACAGGTGCGACACGGGCTCGCCCGTCCGCCGCCCTCCCGCTCTCCCTTCCCCGCCCGGCGTCACGGCTCGTGGAGGCGCGCTACGGCGCCACACGCGGGCGGTGAGGGCTGACTGCGCTCCGAAGTGGCTCTTACGCACTTGGAAGTGGCGATGCCGTGTTGCCTTTTGCTCAGTGAAAACGATCTGCGGTGTCGTCCGACGAAAACGTAGCGATAAAATGACCCGTTGAACTGACGGCGCGCTGGATTAGGTAACTCGCAGCGTACGTGCACACGCAACAACAGCTGTACAGTGTGTGGCTCTGAGCTGTGTGCACCCCCCGTCGAGTTATCGGCAGGCAGTCCGCTCTCCGTCCGCTCTCCGTCCGCTTGTCTGTGAGCGCAGTGTGACTTCGCCCTGTCGACCCCGCTGATATCTGCTGACCCCTGCCGACCCCGCTGACCTCAACTGACCCCTGCCGACCCCGCTGACCTCTGCTGACCCCGCTGACCTCTGCTGACCCTGCCGACCCCGCTGACCTCTGCTGACCCCGCTGACCTCTGCTGACCGCTGCCGACCGGCTCCGACAGATCTGCTGGACCTGCGGCCGCTGCCCGTGTCGGCGCTGCAGAACGTGCGCTTCCAGGCGCTGTACCCGTTCACGCACTTCAACCCGATCCAGACGCAGCTGTTCCACGCGCTCTACCACTCCGACTGCAACCTGCTGCTGGGCGCGCCCACCGGCTCCGGCAAGACGATCGTGGCCGAGATCGCCATGCTGCGCGTGTTTGGCAAGACACCGCGGCAGAAGGTGCGCCGCGGGCCGGGCGGCGCCGGCGGACCGGGCGGCCGGAGAGCCTCTGTTGAGGGGTGTAGCCGCCCGTCAGGCTTGCTTTTCGAATTAACGTGGTCGGTGTTTGGTTATGTTGAGTATTTTACGTTGTCGTGCGTGATGCAGGGGTTTTGACAAGCTTTCGGCGCTGTGTTTATTGTGGCGTTTGTCCTTTTATCGCCATCACCGTTTGGCAGGCAAGTGTTTCCTTCGTGGGGTATATACTACTGTAGGCGGACAAGTGGTATTTGCTTCGTACTCTCCAACCATTGGCTTTGCCCAGGAATCGCTTGTTTTTCTTACTTGAACCATGCCCTTGAGTCACAAAGGCGATGGCGACCGCCGGGAGCATCCCCGGCTGCGTCGCGGTGCAGCACCATCACTCAGCGCGCCCGCGCCGGCGCGCGCGGCGGTGGGTCGGGTCAGCGCTTGACTCAGCCGGACGGCGCGCCGCCAGGTGGTGTACATCGCGCCGATGAAGGCGCTGGTGCGCGAGCGGATGGCGGACTGGCGCGGCCGGCTGCAGGGCTCGCTGGGCCTGCGGCTGGTGGAGCTGACCGGCGACGTGACGCCGGACGCGCGCGCCATCCAGCAGGCCGACGTTATCGTCACCACGCCCGAGAAGTGGGACGGCATCAGCCGCAGCTGGCAGACGCGCGACTACGTGCGCGACGTGGCGCTCATCATCATCGATGAGATCCACATGCTCGGTGAGCGCGCTGGGTGGGCGTCTCGGGCGCGGCGAGGGGCGGCGGGGGGTCGGCGCGCTCGATGAGGGTCTGAGGTGGGACTGGTGAGTTTTGCATGATCAGCGAGGGCTGCGGTGGGAACTGGAGTGAGTCTGCGGCGAGAGGATGGCACTCCAGTGACCTTCGCACTCTCGATGAGGGGTTGTGGTGAGATCCACCCATCGTAACGGCTTACTGCTTCCTAAACACCAGCGCCACATGAAGCCACATGTGACCGTGGTCGAGTGCACGGCGTCCCTCCATGTGTGACGCCCCGCCCGGTGTTGCAGGCGAGGACCGAGGTCCCGTGCTGGAGGTAATCGTGTCCCGCACCAACTTCATCTCGTCGCACACCCAGCGCCAGCTGCGCATCGTCGGCCTCAGCACAGCCATGGCCAACGCCTCCGACCTGGCCTCGTGGCTCAGTAAGTGTGCCACGCACGGCCGCTGGCCCGATCAGCTGATGGTGGCGCAGCCCCGCGCAGCTCGCCGGTTTGCCACCAGGTGGCACTGGTGTCGGATGGACTCGTGCGGACGTGCCAAGGCTCACGATTTATCAGAGAAACAGTAGAGGTTCGGTGGAGGATCGCCGCCGTCACTGTGCCGATCCCTGGCCCGTCGGGCCCGAGCCGTGCTTCTCGGCGGCAGGGGCGCCTGCCGGCTACCGAGATGGACGCCGGCAACTGAACGGACCCGCCTGCGTTTCAGACATCACGGACGTCGGGCTGTACAACTTCCGACCGACCGTGCGACCGGTGCCGCTCGAGATCCACATCCAGGGCTTCCCTGGCAAGCACTACTGCCCGCGCATGGCCACCATGAACAGGCCCACCTTCAAGGGTAGGAGGCCCCCTCGTCGCGGCTTGTTCTCCTTTCGGCGGAGAAGTGCATTGTTTGTGCTGTTGACTCCGTACTGTAGTCTGCTAAGGATGGTATCATGCCGCCACGTGGCAGCTGGATGAAGGCCGTCTAGTGTGCCCAGAGAATAGGGAAGACTGTACATTGTCTTCCGTGCCTATGGTATGACCGATGTTGCCTAGCTGTCATTCGCCTGAACGGCGCATCGACTGTCTACTGAGCACTGAGAAAACTATCGCACAGCCTCCTTCATAGTGGGCCTGCGACGGACTCGCTGCTGTCGTTGGAGGCCGGCCCCAGCCGCTAGACCGTTATTCGTGCCGGAATGCGAGGGCTGCTCTCCACGTGCGAACGCGGCACTGCCGTGCTGTCGGTGCTTCCCGTGCGAAACAAGGGCCTCGCAGAACCCGAACGCACGTGTGCAGCCCGTCCCCGTCGTCCGGCGTCAGCGCTCGCCGTGTCAAGCTTACCCAGCCGTTGCCGCGCCCGCGCCTACCGTGGTGAAGTGTTCACTGCCCTGTGTCCACTGTCGGGCCCCTGTGAAGCATTGGGCTGTGTGTGCGTGCGGCAGCGATCCGGACGCACGCGCCGGACAAGCCGAGCCTGGTGTTCGTGTCGTCGCGGCGCCAGACCCGCCTGACAGCGCTCGACCTGATCGCCTTCCTGGCCGCCGAGGACGACCCCAAACAGTGGCTGCGGCTGGATGAGGCCACGCTGCAGGCGCTGCTCGAAGGTACGGGCTCGAGCGGCGCCGGCCAGGCCGGACCGGGTGCTGGGACCGCGGGGCTGCCGAGCGAGGTATGGTGGGGGGAAGGGGGGAGGGGACAGCCGGACGAGTGGACGCCGCGGCGTTGTCGCGTGGAGCATTGGTCTCGACACGGGTTGACCATGCTCTCTAATGTCGTGTCCTTGAAGTACGTGGCGACGGTTAGGTGTGCAAGCCAGTGACTGTTGCATTCCTGAAGGGCAAGCCATTTGTGCACTGAAGTATTGGCCTGGCACGCGTCTTGGTGCGACCGTCTCTGCCGTCGCCACGTGCGAGGGCGCTCCACAAACTAGCCGACGTATGGCAGGTGTGCGTGACAGCAACCTGCGGCTGACGCTGGCGTTCGGCATCGGCATCCACCACGCCGGCCTGGTGGAGCACGACCGCAAGCTGGTGGAGGAGCTGTTCGTCAACCAGAAGATACAGGTCAGAGGCGGCGGACTGCGCCTGAGGGCCGTTCGCAGGAGATGGCAGGGGGGCTGCGGGGGCTGCAGCGGTACGGCAGCGGGGGCTGTTCCACCGCGAGGGGGGCGTCGCACGAAGCGGTTGGGACGTGCTGGGAGCGGACGCGTTTTGAGTCCGGCTTTTGACACCGTTAGCTGTCGGTGTGGCTTGCGGTGCTAGAAGCGGGGGCCATTGCTGTGTCACCGATTGCTGGAAGCGGGGACCGTCACCGTGGTCCGGTTCTGCGTCAGTTTTGTGATCTCTCAGCCGTGCCAGTTGTCGGGAGTGTTCTCGGTGGTCCCCCGGGAGGTCTTCAGACGGCGGATCCCTCACCTGACCCCACGCTCTGCCCGCTGCTCTGCGTCGCCGCGGCTCCGGGTCGTGAGGTGGCGGCCGTCCCCGTGGCCCGGCACTGAGCCCCGCCGCCGCTCTCGCCCGCCAGGTGCTGATCGCCACAGCCACGCTGGCCTGGGGCGTCAACTTCCCCGCCCACCTGGTGGTGGTCAAGGGCACCGAGTACTTCGACGGCAAGCAGAAGCGCTACGTCGACTTCCCTATCACCGGTGAGTGGTGTGGCGGGCGAGCAAGACCGGTCGCGCGGCGCTGGGGGCGGCCCGGCCGCGCCACACGCACGCCGGGGCGACGCCGCGGCGGTAACACGCTAAGACGCCGACGGCCGCTGGACGGCTGTCCGCAGCCGCCAGAGCAAGACAGAGACAGTGCGAGGTTCGCGGGTCGCGTCACTTCTAGCGTACCCAGTCCCGCGAAAAGACTTCGCGGGTGTGTTGTCCCTGTGATTGCGAGTGTCCACGCTGTCGCCGGCTCGCCAGCCGGCCTGCGGGTGCGTCGGCTGTCTCCGATCGTCAACTGACGGCTCCGCTCTCTGCCGCCGCCTCAGACGTGCTGCAGATGATGGGCCGCGCCGGCCGGCCGCAGTACGACGACCACGGCGTTGCCGTCGTCCTCGTGCACGACGCCAAGAAGCACTTCTACAAGAGCTTCCTGTACGAGCCGTTCCCGGTCGAGAGCAGGTGAGAGGACGCTGAGGGGACGGGAGACGAGAGAGCGACGGCGATGGACGCAAGAGCGGCGTGGTCAGGAATGGTGGGCTGGGACGCCACTGTGGGCATGCGTGGTTGTTTGTGGTAAAGTGTGTGCAGTCTGTCCGTCACTGGTCAGGTCGTGGCCGTACTCGCCACGGCGCCTAGCCGGCCGAGATCAGTCATGTTCACTCATTTGCCGTTCTCTAACGGTTGATCAGTATTTGTACATGATGAATGCGTGAAAGAGGTTTTGTTTAGCTTGAAGGGAAATGCTATAATTTCCCTCACCAGTAATCGCCGCTTGTCCTCCTTTGTTTCGACGCCGCGCTGGTGGTCCTTGCGTATGGGCTCTCCCAGCCTGCGCCTGCGACGTACCCTGTCACGTGTGAGTGTCATTTGCGGCGTTTTGATCTCTCCGTCCTGTCGTATTCGCTGTCTCGACGTGCATTTCTTCTCCCTCCGCCGCGCCGTGTTGGCGCCGCTTGTTGGTGGCGCGGTGTGTTGAGCCGACCTTGCCGCCCAGCCTGCTGGAGGTGCTGCCGGACCACCTGAACGCCGAGATCGTGGCCGGCACCTTGCAGAGCAAGCAGGACGCCATCGACTACCTCACGTGGACCTTCTTCTTCCGCCGCGTGCTGCGCAACCCCACCTACTACGACCTGGAGTCGCTGGAAGGTGACGCCGTCAACAGGTGAGGGCCGGGATGACCGGCCCCCGGGGCGCGGCGCAATGGGGGGTCGAATGTGGGGCGTGCGGAGGCCGTGTCATCTGGGGACCGCCTTATCGCAAATTTTTTCCTGTATCGTATGACGTATTGCGACTAGTGTAAGTTTTTCAACCCTGCTTTGATAGCCGTTTGGTTCCGACAACGTGTCAAATTCATGCGGTAGTTGTTTGCTCTCTTACCAATGTGAGGTCGCTCGGGTCAGCTCGCGTAAGGCGGTGTTCTTCATGACATCTGGCAAACTAACGGTCGGCGTGGAGCGGCCAGTCGTGGCCGTGTGTCTCGCAGCTGTGAAGTGCCCGTGTGCAGCCGCCGCTGCCAGGCGTGCCCGTCCCGTGCCCTCAGGTACCTGTCGGAGGTGGTGGACAGGGCCGTCTCGACACTGGAGCTGAGCCACTGCGTCGAGGTGGACATGGTGAGTGAACCTAGCGCGGTGTGTGCCCAGGAGAGGGGGGGAGGGGAGAGGGCAGGTGGTGTCTGCCCGTCACGGTCGGGGATACCGCCGCCTCGGGGTCACGATCGGGCCGGTGCCGGCTCACACCAGCCGCGTACCCGGCAGCGTATCGTCCCCTGACTGAGAGGCCGCGGGCTCGGCGCTGCGGGACGACTTCGCCCGACCCGTGGCGGCAGCCAGTGCAGGGCCCTGGCCGACCTCAGTGCTGCCCGGCGCGCGCACTGTGTCTGAGCCGGCGGCCGTGTCTGCGCGCAGGACAACCGCGACCTGTACCCGACGGTGCTGGGCCGGATCGCCTCCTTCTACTACCTCTCGCACCGGACGATGGAGCTGTTCCACGCGCGCCTCAGCGCCGACACCTCGGACGCCGAGCTGCTGACCGTGCTGACCGACGCGCACGAGTACGACGAGATCCCGGTGCGGCACAACGAGGACAACACCAACAGGTGAGGGCGCCGGGGTGGGGATGGCCCATACTGCGGGTGGCGGCGTCGGACGCACGCGGGAGGTGGGCCGACGGGAACGCCGCGAATAGGGCCGTCCGTGGTGGGAGGGCGCGCCAAGAACGGGTCGGGTGGGTGGAGATGATGTGCTGCAAAGGTCACGTTGATTTTGTCTGGCTTATCTTTCGTTATGCCGTGAGGGCGAAGGCGCACCGGGTAGCCGCCAGACGTCACGTGTACGTCTTTTCTCAGAATATCGCGTCATGTATTATTTATATGTCATTTTCTAACCGACGCCACGCGTGGCGGCGGGTGCTGCCAAAGCCACGGGAATGTGTGGCTTTGTAAATGCAAATGGGCCGTCAGGTGCAGTCACATTACAGCAAAGACATGCACCGACGGGATTACACACACACACACACACCCGTTGACCACGATCGGGACCGCGCTCAGCTCAGAGAGGCTAGCGCGTGGAAAGGCGAGTGAGAGGGCCGGGCGTTCGGTCTTTATTTCTGCATCGCCGTGGTTCGTCACGCACATTGAAAACATCACTAGCGTGCGAGGGCAGTCGCAAACGCGTCTACCACATAATCTACAACGAATAGGAGACGTGCGCCGCGACAAGAAGACGCGGTCTTCCTCTGACTGCGGTCCCCCCCCCACGTCGCAGCGAGCTGGCCAAGACGTGCCCGCTGCCGGTGGACGCGCTCATGTACGACTCGCCGCACGTCAAGACGCACCTGCTCTTCCAAACGCACTTCGGCCGGCTGCCGCTGCCCGTGGCTGACTACGTGACCGACCAGAAGTCCGTGTTGGACCAGGCGATCCGGATCGGACAGGCGCTGCTGGATCTGGTGGCCGAGTCCGGCTGGCTGGCCACCGCGCTACGCGCCGTCCACCTCCAGCAGCAGGTCAGCAGGCGCCCTGCCCGCCGCCCGCCGCCGGCAGTGCGCCCCCGCCGGACGGGCGCGGGTTTGGTTGTTGGGCGGGGAGTGAGGATTGATTGATAGTTCGGCCCATGCTAAAACCACGATTCGTCGTCGGTCGTGAGGTTCTTGCGCCACGTCGCGTGGCTCTGGCGCCAGTCGCTCGCCTGTCGTGACACGTGCCTGGCGGTGCCCGCCGACGCGCGGGGTGTGGGCGGCCTGGCGCCGGGCCCGGCTGACAGTATCGGCGGCGGCTGCAGATGGTGCAGGCGCGCTGGCTGAGCGACTCGCCGCTGCTGACTCTGCCGCACGTGGAGAGCTCGTTGCTGGCTCAGTTCGGCACGCTGGATCAGCTGCCGCGGCTGGTAGAGGCGGCCGCCGGCGCCGGCGACGGCCAGCGTCGATTCAAAGCTGTCATCGACCGTCTGGCACGCCACCTGGACGGCTGGCAACTGCAGGAGGTGAGCGCGCTGCGCGGTGAGCCATTGCAACCCTGGAAGACAGGGGGCCGAGTTTTTTCCCAGAGCTGTTTCTCTGCCGCTATTGTCGATCCGTTTGGCGCCGTGACCCTGTCCGACCTGGGATGGTCGCTAGTCGGCCTGACGGCGGCACGTGTCGCCAGCTGACGGAGGCGGTGGGCCGCCTGCCCCGCCTGCGCGTCGGCCTGTCGGTGGAGGGCTGGTGGGAGGCGGAGGCGGCCGCCCGGAGGAGGCCGGTGCCCGTGCAGCAGCAGCCGGCCCAGCCCGCCTGGCTTCCGCTGCATGCCGATCAGGACTACACCCTGCAGGTGGAGCTGCGCCGGCTCAACGGCAGTCAAGGTCAGCAGCCGTGACCTTGACCGGGCTGCAGTCCGCGTCCACGCCGGGGCCGCGCTTTATAGCGCCCTTAGGTCATGGTGTTGTGGTGTGCTCAGGCGTCGCGTGGGGGCTCAACCGCATACCAGTGCTACTTGAAACAACAGGAAACTTGCCCTGATTTCGGACTCCCGAAAACGCTCTGTTGTTGGGATCTGTTGGTGAACGATTGCGCTAAGCTCTGTGTAATCGCGTTAAGGTTAGTTTGATGTGATATGCCTCGTTGGTGGTCGTGACGTCATCTCGCGCCGACGCGACCGTGACGTTACCTGACGCTGGCGACGGCGTCGCGCAGGGCGGCCGCTCCATGGCGTATGCACCGCGCTTCCCCAAGCCCAAGGACGAGGGCTGGGTGCTGGTGCTGGGCGAGCCGGACTCTGGCGAGCTGCTGGCGCTGAAGCGGGCGGCGGCCGGCCGCGGCCGCTGCTCGGCGCCGCTCGCCTTTCGCACGCCGGCGGCGCCCGGCCGCCACGTCTACACGCTGTACCTGCTGTCGGACAGCTACCTGGGCCTGGACCAGCAGTACGACCTGTACGTCGATGTCACGACCGCCTCCATCGCGGCTCAGGTGAACGCGGAGATGGCAGACGCATAGAGGGAAGGGGGAAGGGAGGGGGCGTGCACTGGCGGGAGAGGATTGCCGGTGGGCTGACCCGCTGGCGCGCGTCTTGCGGGGTGGTCGTCGGTGGCCGGCGGCGCTGTGGGGCAGGCAGGGTAGGGGGGGGGGGGGAAGGGGCTGACCCCGCCGGCGCGCGTCTTGCGGGGGTGGTCGTCGGTGGCCAGCGGCGCTGTGAGGCAGGCAGGCGGGGTAGGGGGGGGGGGGCTGACCCCGCTGGCGCGCGTCTTGCGGGGGGTGGTCGTCGGTGGCCAGCGGCGCTGTGAGACAGGCAGGCTGAGTAGGGGGGGGGGGGGCTGACCCCGCCGGCGCGCGTCTTGCGGGGTGGTCGTCGGTGGCCAGCGGCGCTGTGAGACAGGCAGGCGGGGTAGGGGGGGGGGGGGGCTGACCCCGCCGGCGCGCGTCTTGCGGGGGTGGTCGTCGGTGGCCGGCGGCGCTGTGAGGCAGGCAGACGGGGTAGGGGGGGGGGCTGACCCCGCCGGCGCGCGTCTTGCGGGGTGGTCGTCGGTGGCCGGCGGCGCCGTGAGGCAGGCGGGTGGGAATGGAGAGGGTGCTGGCGGCGGGCAGGCAGCCCACGCCATTGTTCGTCCAGGTTAGGGCGAGCGTCCCGCGAAGGAATCAGAGTTGTGATCGGAGGGGATCCGTGTACACCTCTGAGGGGTGTTGATCAGGGAGTCGTCCGGTCTCTCCGGTGTTACCATTGAAGCCTTAGTGATGCACCGTTGGAACGTCTAGATGAGATCACGGATGTTTGTTATGTGCATTTGAGTAATGCGATGCTTTTGCTTGCCCTGCGTTGGAGGCGATACGGTGATCTGTGCTGGGATCATTCTCCTTTGTTTTACATCACTTCAATCTGTAATGCTGTGGTCAACAGCAGCTGCTCAGTGAGAGATATTTGGTTCGATCACTTGACGAGATTGTTATGTCCACGTTGTCCCAGATGATGCATTTCTATTTTCAAATGTGTGTAAATACAACACGTATATACACCGTTCGTGGATTTCAATCCCGCTTCTTCACCTGACGCTGACAGAAAAAAACTCCTTGCATATTGGACGCGGATTGGGAGCATCCCAATTTAGCCACGCCGGGAAGTGTGTCGGCATCAGTGCATTTGACCCGTGCGTCACCCAGGGCGGAAATCACCGTTGGGCCGACCAAGTCGGCACGAGCCCTCAGAGCGGCGAAGTGAAGGAAGCGGAGGAAAGCCGCTCGCCACCGCCAGGGCCGGTGAGCCGTCCTTATACCACACAAAGACGCGTCCGCAGCCGTGCGCGTAATGGCCGCTTACAGACGCGCCTACCATAACTCCGAAAACACGAGCGCGCGCTGCGGCAAACGAGTGGAGACCAGGCTGCGTGTGCTGTCAGTTCACAGCCGGTTCACGGGGAGCGCACAGGACCAGCAGGACGCCGCGAGCTGACGCTTCGCATCCTCCCCAGTGGCTGTGGGCGGAGTGATTGCGTCGCCGAGCACAGGCGTGAACGCGCCTGGTGTTCTTCAGCCTGCTGGATTGTTCGCCCCACCGGTCAATGGTGTCCCGTCACGTCACGATGCGAGGACCATCCCGTCACGGACCGACACGTCACCGACCTGCGCCGTGACGGCGCCCAGCACTGTCTCCAGCCTGTCACACCCGCCACCGGTCCGATCCGAGCCCGCCGCGGAGGGCGTGGCCTCCAGCCTGTCACACCCGTCACCGGTCCCGATCCGAGCTCGCCGCGGGGGTAGCGGCCCCCAGCCTGTCACACCCGTCACCGGTCTGATCCGAGCCCGCCGCGGAGGGCGCGGCCTCTAGCCGCATGCAGACGTCAGCGGCCTTCTCGGCGCGGTTCTCCAGCTTGGCGATGCGGCTGCCGAACTGTATGGCGCGCTTCGGGAGGCGCGCGGCGGCGGCGGCGCCGCAGCGGGCCGCCAGCAGCCGCACGGGCAGTTTGTCGGCGCCGCGCCACCCGGGCGCCAGCTGGGCCTTCAGCCACACCGGCAGCGACGACAGCAGACTGACCACAGCCTCGTCCAGGAACGGCAGCCTGCCGGCCGGGCACGCCGAGTCAGCGGCGCCCGAAGACGGACACGGCAGGCGTACGATCCCGGGAAGCGCGCGAGGCCAAACGGCATCACTCCCGGCGTCAGATTAGACATAGATCAGGCGTCATTCGACGTTGGACACGCCTCCGGAATGCTTTGCAGAGGTTGGCAGGAGATCAGAACGGTGACAGTCGGTATCAGCAGTCAACCTTATACAAGGCCGGAGCGCTGCGAGCATCGGTGTCGTCAGCGGCGGGCTCGCCATCCCTCACCTGTCACCGTTCCCCATTCGTCCCCTAGCCGTTCTCCCCGCTCCCCGGCGTCCCCCACCCGCTCTCCTCAGCTGTGACCCATCCTCACCCGTCCTCACCGCTCCTCGGCGTCCCCCACGCGCCCTCCTCACCTCCCACCGCCCCACACGTCCTCCATCCGTTCTCCCCGCTCCGCGTCCCGTACCTGACCTCCTCGCCTCCCAGCGTCTCCCACCCGGTCTCGCCGCCGGCTGGCGTCCCCCACCTGGCCTCCCTGCCGTGGTCGCTGACGATGCGGTCGTCGCGGCCCAGATTACGCCGGCTGATGCCGTCCAGCTGCGTCTGCATCTCCGCCACCAGCCCCGGCCAGCCGCGCCGCTCGAACGCCGACCGGTGCCGGCCGTAGCCCGCCAGCTGTTCGTCCGCCCCCATGCCCAGCAGCACCACCTGTCGGCGCGGGCCCGAAGAAGTCGGCCAACACCGTCTGGCAGCGCGGCATCGGCAACTCCACGCCGCATGACATTGGCCATCTATTTAGATCAGAAGCATGCTAATTTTACGGATTGCCGGCGACAGCAATGGCGGCGAATCAAAGCATGAAAAAGACGCAAAGCTTCGAAGCAAGGAACATTTTCTGACTGGTTAAAACACACACCAGCACAGCCCAGAGCCCTTCGCGACATGACGTCGTCTCACAGTTGTGCAGCAAGCCAGAGCACATCACGTGTCAACACTGCGTGTCAGACAGCTGGCGTCACCATCGGCCAGCTGACGAGAGACGGCAGCGGCGCCCCGCTTTGGCGGCGGCGGCCGACTCACCCTGGCCTCCGACTGGTACCGCCGGCCGTCCTCGGGCAGCGTGCCGGCGCCGCGGGCCGCGAACCACACGGCGCAGCCAATGCTGTCGTCCAGCACGGTCTGCAGCGGACTCAGCAGGTGGCGCACCCTGGCGGCGCGCCACTGCGCCAGCTCGGCCGCCGTCACGTCCGCCTGCGGCACCGGTGCCGACGCTCGTAACCAACCGGCCGGTCCACTCGGCGGCGGCGCCGGCCCGGGTCATGCCGCCTGCACGGAGAGCGTGGCGATCGGGGACACTGTTCCGGGGCGTGACCGAGTCGCACGGGAGGCGAACGCGACAGTCGCGTGCTAACTGGACGATGGGAATAGAACTCGAGGTCTGTGGGACCGGTGGTGTGGGGAAAATGTTGAACAGTTGCCGAGCACTTCATAGTTTCCACGCAACGCACGTACCTCGACAAAGTTCCACTGTCTGCGCGGGTTGATGTTCCGCAGCTCGCGCCAGCCCTGGCGGCCGGTGAGGCGGTCGGGCACCTCGAAGTCGCGGCTCCCCGGGCCGCGGTCCGTGCGCACCGTGCGCTCGAACGCCACGTTCAGCAGGTCGATCGGCTCCGAGGCCGGCAGGCACCGGTCAGGCCAGCGCCGCCACCAGCATCGAGTCGACGCCGCCCGAGAAGAGCACCGCCAGCTTGGCATGCGGGCAGGGCGCGGTCACCCGGCGACCGGCCAGACAGGTGGCGCACGCGGGCGGCAGATTGGTCACCCGTCGCCGCACGGCCGCCAACATGGCCGCCTCGAACTGGTTGACGGCGGCGGCCATGCCGGGCAGCCGGCCGGCCGCGTCCAGGTCGCCGCCGGCGGCGGTCAGGGCCGCCTGCTCGGGCTCCGGCAGCGCGGCGTTCACGTCCAGTCGGAGCGGGCACGCGAGCGGCGCGTCCACCGCGTCCGCCAGCGGCGCCGGTATGCAGTCCACGTGGCGCCACGGGTGCAGACGCAGCTGCAGCGCGTCGCACGAGCGGCAGTCAGGCGGTACGTGCACGTGGAACACGCCGAGGCAGGGCACCTCCGTCAGGTCGGGCCGCTGGCGGGTGCCCACGGAAGTGAGCGTGAGCGCGCGGGGGAGCCGGTGCCCGTCTCCGATGTTCCAGAGCAGGCTGCGCCGACCCAGCGGGTCACGACCGAACCAGAGCCGGCGGCTGGACGGCTGCCACAGCACGAACGCGAAAGGACCGCGCACCAAGCCCAGGGTGGAGAGTACGGCCTCTGGGCCTGCCGACAGCAGCGATGCCAGGTGGCTGGTGTCAGAAACACCTTCTGGGATCTGTGGCATGGTGAGAGCATGTCTTAGTGATTACTCAATAACCACCAATGGTCCACAATGTTAAAACAAAAATGTGAGAACTAGTATGACACTTATATGAGCAGATCATCATGATATGGTATACTGTAATTATGGTATATACATAGTGAGCCACTGGCATAGTGACTAATAGTTTTAAATAACAGCTTCAAATGAAATATGAAGAGCACAGTAGGTCAGCACGAGTCCCGCATACCAGTCAGCCCATCAAAGACATTTCCATTCCATAGCAGCAGATCTCCTTGGTCAGTGACAGCTGGCTGCTGGGTGGGAGCAGCTCCCTGCATCCAGAGCACAGTGCCATGGGCCCAGTAGCAGAGGTCTGGGGTCAGCTGGGCAGAATGGTGGCCAGCTGTATCAGGACCTCGATGGCTGAGGAGCTCCAACACCAGCGGCTGAAAATGGAGCTGAGTGTCAGCTGCCATTCTTAAGCACATTGATGCCAGCAGCTGCGGCAACATTATGGAAGAGGACTGGAGTACAGCTAGTGTCAGTAAGATGTTAATGATACCAGTTGCACCAAATGGGTGCAGATTTCTTGAATAATGCAAGAACATAACATATGGTATCATTAGAATATTAGCAGCATAGGTATAAAACACAGGTAACTGCCAGGCATAAGATGAAGAGAATAAACATCAAACATCTATTAAAAGAATAGCAGTTTTGAAATATTCATTCTTTCCATGCATAGCTTATCAAATGCAACCTTTTATGGCCACTTGATGTTTACTTTTAAACTATACAGGGAATATTGAGTCCTGTGTAAAAATAACTGATATCATATTGACATAGTATGCTTTCCAATGCAAATTCAAGAAGTGTGTAAACAGGAAACTACTGTTCTATCTGAACAGACATGTAAACATTGCACATATTGGGAGGGCAAAAAGTTCAGCTAATTCTTTCAAATGCAAAAAATATTTCTGTCAAGCTTAAATATCCAGCTGTTTGTCAAACCAATATATGGGAAAGCTGTGGTTCTGACCCGACTCAAGCCTTCCCCCTGCTTACTACAATGTCATCCAGAGAACCTGACCGACGCCTGGTTTTACAGGTTGCAAACCTAACCAGCATTACCCACTTACATCTATTAATGATTTGGTAGATGTATCAATGACAAAACAAATGCCACACATTCTGGTTGACGTGGAGACAAGCGTCAAACACCTTTCCCACAATTATAATATACGCTTCGTACACTTCCAGGGTGTGATGCTTCCAGGGCGCCACAAATGCGCCTGCAGCGCCAAATTACACTTTTGCTTCAAGCTAGATACACGGACCCCAAAAGTACAGCCACGCACGATTCCGGAGTGCTTTGGCCGTCTGCTCTACAATTCCATCGGCATTAGCAAGTTAAAAAAGTTATGTGGCTGTAAAACCCCCTGAACATTCAGAGGGGTAAACAGACTTTTAACCATGCCTTTTTTCCGTGCAGCCCACGGATTTCGCTGGTATGTACGACTTGCTTCATGAACTGGTTTCCTGCAGTCGCAAGCCCTGCATCTCGTAGCCTCATTCGTACCATCTGTCTCATTTCCGCACCTCGCGAAGGCACGGCAACAGCCATTTGGACGGATGCGTCGGCCTGTGCAGTGCAATGTAAGATATGGTTTAGTTTACAAGAGAGGCCGGAAGCTCGTCCCTTAATGAAGCCCCCCTCCCTGCCGCACCAAGCCTCATGTAGGGAAAGCCATCGGAATCCAGAGGCCCGATAGTTTTTCCAGTGTCTTATTTCCGTAGAACAGCACGATTTTAACACGTTTCTATCCGGCCAAGTAGAACACCATCCATAACTCAAGGCTACAAGACCAGCAAGCTGACTGCGAAATTCTACAATGAAATCCGTATGCGGCTGCATCAAATGCCCATGAAGTTGGCGATTTATTCATCGAATCGTTCAGCGACGACTTCCGATTTCTCTGTAAAAGGTCTCAAAGTGAATCATGGCAAGAGAACATTGAAAACAACCTTTATTATGCAATATTATGTGACCGTCGAGGTCAAAGGCTGGGTCAAAAGGTAGGAACTCGATATCACCAAAAATTACCGGCCGATTTGCAAACTACAAGCATCAAAACACTCACAAGCAAGAGAACTACCGTCGGCCAAAAAACACTGATATTTCGAGGCGACCCTTCAAGGTCAAATGGGGGCCCAAAGGACTCAATAGCACCCAACAATTACCAGCTGATTTTAAACTTGCGAACATCAGAATACGTACTACACAAAGAACTAGCGTCCGTCAAAAGGTCCTGGCCTTTAAAGGTGACCGTTCAAGGTCAAACGCAGGCTCAAAGGATGAAAAACTTAATATCACCCAAATACAACCGGCCGATTTAAGACTAGAAAACACAAGAATAACCACAAGTACAAAGGCCAGCGTCCTTCAAATGTCCTGCCTTTTCAAGGACATCCTTTAACGTCAAACGCGGGCTCAAAGGACGGGAATTCCACTATCATCCAAAATTGCCGGCCGATTTTAAGCTTGCAAACATTAGAATATTCACTACACAACGAACTAGCGCCCGTCAAAAGCTCCTGACCTCTCAAAGCCATACTTAAAGGTGAAACGCAGGCTCTAAGAACGGAGAACTCAATATCGCCCAAAAACTGCTGGCCGATTTTAAACTTGCACACATAAGAATATTAAAGACAGAAAGATCTAGCGTTCGTCAAAAAGTCCTAACCTCTCAGGATCACCATTCAAGGTCAAACGCGGAGTCAAATGACGGGGAACTCAATAGCATCACAAACTATCGGTCGATTTTAAACTTGGAAACATCACAATATTCACAATTTAAAGATCTAGCGCCCGTCAAACCGTCCTGACCTCTTAAGCCCACTCTTTAAGTTCAAACGCAGACTCAAAGACGGGGAACTCAATATCACCCAAAAATTACCAGCCGATTTCAGCTTCCAAATATCCAGAATATTCGCCACAAAAAAGTCGATCCTAAGGTTCTGACCATTAAAGGCTACCTTTCAATGTCAAACACGGGCACAAAGAACGGGGAACTCAATGCAACCCAAAAATTACCGGACGTTTTTTTAACTTACAAACATAAGAATACTCATTACAGAAAGAGCTAGCGCACGTCAAAAAATTCTGACCTCTGAAGGTCACCCTTGAGGGCCAAACGTGGGCTCGAAGGACGGGGAACTCCATATCACCCAAAAATTAGAAGCCGATTTTAAACTTGCAAACATCAGGATATTCACAACAGAAAGAACTAGCGTCCGTGAAAAAGTCCTGACCTCTCAAGGTCAAACGCAGGCTCAAAGGACGGGGAGCCCCGTATCACCAAAAAATTACCGGCCGCTTTTTAACTTACAAACATAAGACTATTCACTATCAAACTATTTACAAGCGCACGAGCCAACGTCCGTCAAAATGTCCTGACCTTTCAAGGTCACCCTTGAAGATAAAACGCGCACTCAAAGGACGGAGAACTCAAGATTACTTACAAACTGTCATCTTATTTCGACTCGTTAAGCGTTAGAAGATTAGCATTGGTCAGATCGAACGTTTATCAAAATCATCCTTTTTAAGATCAACCTGCGTGGTGATATTCAGGTTGTCCTTTTGATGACTTTCCACTCAATATTTTGTGCTGATGTTTAAGGTTGATCGGCTGAGTTTAACGTTTGTCGTTGTAGAATTCTTTGAAATAGTTGTCTCTGACCGTGGGTAATTGTATGACATTTGAGAAGCATACCTTAAGAAAAGTGTGAATGTGTTGGTGACTGCCCACCATAGTTGCCCACCATAGGTGATATGGAGTTCCTCGTCATTTGAGCCCGCATTTGACCTAGAAGTGTGACCTTGAGAAGTCCGGACTTTTTACGGACCCTAGTTCTTTCTGTGTTAAATATTTAAATGTTTGAAAGTTAAAAACCGGCCGGTAATTTTTGGGTGATATAGAGTTTCACGTCCTTTGGGCCGCGTTTGACCTTGAAGGATGGCCTTCAGAGGTCAGGAGTTTTTGATGGACGCTAGCTCTTTCTGTGATCAATATTCCGATGTTGGTAAGTTAAAAATATGCCGGTAATTTTTGGGCGATATGGAGTTTCCCATCCCTTGAGCCCGTGTATGTCCTTGAATGGTGTAGTTTGAGAGGTCAGAACTTTAAGACGGACGGTAATTTTTTCGTTGGTGAATATTCTGATGTTGTAAGCTGAAAATCGGCCGGTAATTTTTGGGTGCTTTGAAGTTCCCCGTCATTTGGGCCGGCGTTTGACCTTGAAGGATCACTTTGATAGGTCAGAGCCTTTTGATGGACGCTGGTTCTTTCTGTGGGGAATATTCTGACATTTGCAAGTTGAAAATCAGCCGGTAATTTTCGGGTGATATCGAGTTCCCCGTCCCTTGACACAGCTTTTGACCTTGAAGGTCACATAATTTTGCAAAATAATGGTCATTTTTGGTGTTCTCATGGCACAATTGACCCTGTAACCGTTTCTCAGGGAAATCGGAACTCGTCTCTGAAAAAAATCGATGAATAAATTGCTAAATTCACGGACATTTCCGCAATAAACGTTGCTCTGACCTGCCCGGCTCCACTTCCTCTATTCTCTGCTAATTTCAATCAGAAACGCAATAGTGTCCATTTCCCCGTGATGATAGGTAATAATATCTGATCGGTGCAATTGCCGTGAGCTTAACGCACAGTCATAGACCTCTACAGTGCTCAATCAGCCAATCTCAATCTACGGCGGTTTGACCTGTGGAGCGCAACCCGACGGCCGGCGGTGCTGCGCAGTCTCCGTGCTGGATAGTGGTCCGGTCCCGCCCCACAAGATCGCCACACGCATCAGCATCGGACTGTAACGCCTGCTATCTGGTGGCGCGAAGACTAGGCGCGGCTGCTCTGCTGCTGCTGCCCTGGCGAGTAACCCACCAGTCTTTCTCCTGGCCGACTCGGCCCAGCAGCTTCGCAGCAGAGACCCTGACGTCCCTACCGCTAGCTGTGATCTTGGCGGTTTTCAGACATGCTAACACGTTGAGGTGTTGCATCGCTTGAGTCGCCCGGGCCTCGCCGCGCGCTTTCAAGCCTCACGGGACGTAATCAGTGTCGTACATCTCGTAGTTAGGGTCCGGATAAATCGCCAGACTCTGCTTGGTGACGAGGAACCCAAAACACCACCCGGCTCGTCCAGCCTGATGGCGATGACGCAAGCAAGTTCTCGAGGAGTCGCCCTGCCCTGGATCGTGCCACCCTGCCCTGGATCGTGCCGCCCTGCCCTGGATCGTGCCACCCTGCCCTGGATCGTGCCGCCCGGCCCTGGATCGTGCCGCTCTCCTCCGCCTGACATGCCGTGGCCCTGCTGCTGCAGGCCCCTGGTCTGACGCCTGGCTGGTGCCGCTCTCCTCCGCCCCAGACATGCCGTGGCCCTGCTGCTGCAGGCCCCTGGCCTGACGCCTGGCTGGTGCCGTGGCCATCGTCGGCCGCTCCTCGGCGGTCCGCTGAGACTTAGCAGCGCTGAAAAAATTAAACGTCAGGAAATACAAAAAAAAAAAAATAGTCAAGTCATCCAAAGAGCAAACAGATCATCGCTCGACACGGATTAAATAGTGTATGATAGTGAGAAGAGTGAATGTAACAAGGCCGACACTGCCTTCCAGGAAAAATGAGACCGGGAAACGCACACGGCGAGTGGACTTCTCTGACTGCCCGGCAAAACCACGTGGCCCAAAAGAAGGCCAGTGTTTCTTGAAGAGATCAAAACGCCGCATTTTGCCAGAACCCCTGGAAATTTCGACTGCGATCCAGCAAAACCGCCCAGGATCCAGTGCAAGCCTCTTGGCTCATCGGGCGGGACTGCGCCCGTGCTCCGCACCGGTATCGACAACACGCCCGATATCTACCCTTGTATTTTGGGAAGTGGTTGTGCGATCACGCCGTACATGGCACAAAGTTGCTTACGCCAGGCGAGCGTCGTAGATGAATGACAACTCATGTGAACGTTGTGTGTGTTTGCCGCAGGCATACGCATTGCCTGCGTGTTCCTCAGCCTACGGGGTCTTTCGGAGAGCATAAACGCCCGGTGCCTTGCCATCCCCAGCCTTTTTGAAGGGCTTCTGTGCTTTCGTACATGCGCTAGCATTTATCCGGGGAACATTTTGCTTATTTCAGGTGGCAGTGGAAAGCAGAGGGGACAACGGTTCACTTCTGAGCCTCGCGCCAGCTTTCTAAAGGCGCTCCTCTGGTCGTAGAAGTCCTCCAGCCGAAAATGAAGCTCGCACACTCCGAGGTCGTCAGGGTTCCGGTGGGTGTCACTGCGCCTCAAGACTACAATCCATCTGTCTCTCACACCCTGCCCATCGGCCTTGGGGAGGGCAGACATCGAGCGGTTGAAGGGGACGGAACCACCGGCTTTGGAGAGGACTGAAATCGCAGTCCGCTGCGCAGCTGTCATTATTCTTAAAATACTTGTCCGTGGGTACCAAGTCCAGGCATAGAGCGGTCTTTGACGCAGTCCACAAGTGGCGCATCTGTCAAAACCAGTACAACACCGTAAAAAACACCTCCAGAGCACATACAGTCACAACGAAACGCCGCATGCCACGACATGGTAACAATGCAGGGAACAGGCCAACAAGCCAAACAAGACCATCCGCAGTAAGGCCACAGCTCGAGTGACTTCACTGACACAGAGGATTGCGCGCGCCCTGATCAGCTATTGCGGCCCGACAGCGTGACGTCACTGAAACAGTACTGTTTGACGCCGCCCGAGGGATCGAGCTGCGCCACCACCTCCGCCTCGGTCAGCAGCAGCAGCAGACACGTGCAGCGCGACATCATGGTGTACAGCTTGCGCTGGTCCAGCACGTCCGTCATGTCCACATCATCCGCCGGCAGGACGAGCACCACCACAGGACACTCGAGCCCCTTCATGCGCAGCAGCCAGGTGATGCAGAAGAGCGAGCGCAATCGAGACTCCAGCAGCGCCTCCACGCCACGCACCGCCTGCGGCACCAGGCTGCCGGGCTGGTAGCACGCGCGCAGCTGCTCGTTCAGCGCGTCCACGTCCACGCTGTTGTCGTCGAAGAAGGGCATGACGCAGATGTCGCCCGGCAGGAAGCCCTTGGCGCCGGTGAGGTCGACCACGAGCGCGGCCACGGCGGTGGTGCAGTCCCCGAAGGCGGCCAGGTCCACCCAGAACACGGGCGGCCCGTCGACGGCATGCGCCACGCTCAGGTCCGCTGCGCAGTCACACAGCCGGCGGAACAAGTTGAACACGTTGCGCGTGCTGCGGTAGACGCTGGTGAGCCGCAGGTGCGGCTCGGGCGGGATGTGCACGCTCCGGAACACGGCCGGCACCGTGCGCTGGTTCTCGTCCACCGACACCCAGAAGTGGCCGACGGCGGCGGCGGTTGGCACCGGCCCGGGCGCCGCCTCGAGCGCCGGCTCGCAGAAGCCGCCGCCGCTCGCCACGCGCCGGATTGTGTCGCAGGAGCTGCAGCAACGGTCCACCTCCATCGGCTCGGCGTCGTCCGGTGACTCGGCGACGGGCGGCGCATGCTCGCCCCCATCACCGGACACACGGCCAGCGATGTCCACATCGCCACTGCCGCTGCCGTCGCCGCCCGCCGCGGCCGCAGCCGCCGCGGCGGCCGCCGCAGCTGCTGCTGCCGCCGCCGCCGCTGCCGCCGCCCGGCCGGCCGCGTTGCCGCGCACGTAGAGCGCCGCGATCTCGTCGACGATCTGCGCGCACAGCGGCGATATGAGCACGCTCTCCAGCTCGTCGACGAACACGTGCCGGAAGCCGGTGCGCTGCTGCCGGCACCAGCGGATAAACCAGTCGTTGCTGATGCTGATGCGCTGCGTCACCACGTGCTTGATGCCGAGCCTCTGCAGCCGCTGGATGACCTCAGTGCGAATGCCCGGCCAGTAGCAGAGAAACAGCGCCCGGCTCTCGGCACTCAGCTCGCCCTGCGGACACGGCAGCACGCCGCCGTCAGCCCCGCAGCCGGCCACGCTCGGGGCCGCGCGGCGTCCGGTCCGGGTGCTTCCCTAAGCCGGCACGCTTCTGAGTCCCACGGAGCGGCCCGCTTCGACAGGAAGTCATCACATCACCAGTAAGGCGTCTGACCCCATCAGGCTCTCACTCACGCCAGTCACCGTGAAAGGAAGCATGTGAAACACAAACTGAAGCTTCGGTGTCGCCGGATCATCAAACGAACACAGCCCTAGGCAACCGAGGTCACACCCTAAGTCACATATACCTCGAGCACGGTTCATTTACGTTTTTTTTTCGGAAATTGATTCAAGTCACAGAATCAGTTTGCTTTCGGCACGAATATCATTGTGGCCTGGGTGCCGCACGTCGTGAATATCGATCAACAGGCATGTCAACCAGAAAATAACTGCGGTAAATTTACTTCCCATCTCTGGGGAAGAATGCAGATATTTGCTCTGCCGCGCGTAGTTTCAGAGGAGCGAAACTCATCTGTCAGACCACAGCCAAGCCAATGGACATCTCCCGTCAAATTTAATTTTGCTCAAAAACATGTTCCGCTAGTTTTGACAGAGGATGCACTGAATGCCATCCATTTTTCCAAAAAAGCCGCAATTTTCTCCAGATCTGCAGAGCACGCCCGATTGCTTAGACAATTCCCTAGCGTTCCCTGGTTGACTTAGTGTCACGGACCGCTACCTCTGCCTCTTCCCGCCCAGCGTTAGGGATTGTATAAGTTTTGATTAATATCTCAAGTCTTCTAGTTCATGGTCCGTAAATGTAATGCATTGTGATCTGCATCTCTAAACACAGAACCAGAAACGAACCTCACGTCAGCAATGCTTTCGACACGCCTGAACCGGATTTATCCACAGAGTAGAGGCAATGTTTCACTGCTACAGGTACTGGTGTCAGCTTTTAATGCATGCACCCCGGCCGGCACTATCCGACGATGGCAGGTGCTTTATAATGTCAGCGTAGCATCGCCTCGCCCCGTTGATCAGTAAAAACGCAAGGGGGAGGGGGTACCCTCTAACCATCTCCTCCCTCCACCCATCCCTGAAGATCCACTTCCACGCGATGACCTTACATGGCACGCCACGCGTAAAAACGCATTTGCTCTCGCCCCCATCCATTTGCAGGACTTTCGCTCTGCGATGACCGCATATTTTGCAATGAATGTGCTATGCGACTCCTTGTTCGCACGCGCGTCAACGAGACACGGCCCAGCCCATGCACGGCAAAAGATCATTCCCTGGCAGCCCGGGGCACACAGCCCACACACAGCTCTGCCTGACCAAGATGCAGCGGCACAGCGGAAGCCGTGCACACGCCGCATTCGCCAGCAGCGCGACCGACCGTGTTGTACAGCATCTCGATCTTCTTGATCATGATGAGCGTCTTGCCGGTGCCGGCGGCGCCCTGTATGACCAGCGGGTGGACCGTGTCCACATGCAGCGGCTGCGGACGCGTGTGCAGCAGCCGGTGCTGCGTCTGTCGGCAGCAGCGCGCGGCTCAGCAACCAGCCCGACCAGCCCCAGAGCGGCCCGCAGCGGCATCTGGACACGCACCGGACAGCGGCTGCCGGCCCCAGCGGGCAGCGGCGCGGCGTGTCCACGTTACGCGGCGGGCATGGCTTCGTAGCGTTACTGCTCGCCGACCTGAATTAGTTCGTCTGGTTTACAGATACTTGCGGGTCAGTGACATCGGCATAATTGGGACGATTAGGAGAACGTTTCGCACCGTGGACTGCAGACGGCGTACCTCATCACTATACGTTCCCATGGACGTGGAGGGGGAGGGGGGGAGGGGCACGGCACGGCTAGGGGCGCGATGATGAAGGTGCGGTCATCAGTAATACGGTGGGTGCGGGTGCGCTTAGTACGGTGAAGTAAGTGCCGGTATGGGTGGTACCGCAAAGAAGCATGGGATATAGTAGTGCGGGTATGATAATGATATGGTACTGGTACAAGCCACACTGTGATGGCAGAGGGGGATGGGGTACGGATAGTGCGGCAATTGGTTTGCGAGTAAGAGTGTCATGGTGATGGGGGTGCGGGTACGAGTGGTGCCTCAAAGAAGTACGGGTGCAAGCAGCATGATAATGACTTAGTACGAGAACAGGCCCGCCAATGATGGGGGGGGGGGGGGGGGGGCAGGGTGCGAAGAGTACAGCAATAGGGAGTGTGGGTACTGGTAGTACGGTGATGGGGTGCAAGTGCATGTAGCGCGGTGATGACGGCAGGTAACTCACCGCGGAGAACAGTGAATTGCGGATAACTCACCACGGATAGGAGTGAATTGCGGGTTAATTCACCACGGATAGGAGTGAACTGCGGGTTAACTCACCACGGAGAGAGGTGAAATACAGGTTAACTTACCACGAAGAGGAGTGATTTAAGCGTTAACTCACCACGGAGAGAATTGAATTGCGGGTTAACTCGCCACGAAGAGCAATGAATGGCGGGCTACCTCACCGCGGAGAACAGTGAATTGCGGATAACTCACCACGGATAGGAGTGAATTGCGGGTTAACTCACCACGGATAGGAGTGAATTGCAGGTTAACTCACCACGGAGAGAGGTGAAATACAGTTTAACTTACCACGAAGAGGAGTGCTTTAAGCGTTAACTCACCACGGAGAGCTGTGAATTGCGGGTTAACTCGCCACGAAGAGTAATGAATTGCAGGGTTAACTCACCACGGATAGGAGTGAATCGCGGTTAACTCACCACGGATAGGAGTGAATTGCAGGTTAACTCACCACGGAGGTGAAATACAGGTTAACTTACCACGAAGAGGAGTGATTTAAGCGTTAACTCACCACGAAGAGCAGTGAATTGCGGGTTAACTCACCACGGAGAGCATGGCCACCGTGCGGTCCATGTCACGGCTCATGGCCACGTCCAGCTCACCGCCCAGCTCGCGCACCGAGGCGCCGCACGAAAGCAGCAGAAACCTGGCCACAGACGGCGGCGGGCGTCAGACAAGCAGGCGCGCACGCGCTGGGGCCGACAAGCCGACGTTATACCAAACCAGTGCAATACGATGATGTCAAACCACGCATCAGATGTCCTCCAAAGCGCCGTCTTAAAAAAAAACTAGGTTTATTTATCGAATTTTAAAGGCAGTAGCACGCGCGCGCATTGACGGTTTCAATCATGTCCTTATCTTTAATTTTTTAGAGCCCTAGCTTTGTAGTGAGGTACGTTGGCGAAGACAGTCATTCGTACGATACCCCAAGATGGCTTCTATGTGCTTTTGACTGACTGCTGCATTGAGTTGATAAAGCCTAAATAAGTAAATGCCTTGTGTGAAATAAGGTATATAATAATATAATAACAATGATAGCATGTAATATAACACAACTAATATAACATCATAAAAATAAAAATAAAATAAATAATACATCTCTTGATATATTCCTTGAAAACCTGCCACACAAACTAAGCACGTTAAAAGACTGTCCATTCCCCGGACCGTGCTGCCCAAACAAAAACAAACGAGTCAAAAGGTGGAATGTTGCCTGCATGCATGACACGACATACTACTGGGGAGTAGAATTACCGTCGAGAAATATATTCCTTGCCAAAATGCACCACTACGCACAGCGGGTTTCGGGAACAACAAGTATGGCTTTCGAATATCAACGCACTTTTTACGTTGGAGCAAAGCTACGCATCTATGCCCCAGGTCAAGGCATTCCGATTTTAGTATAGCTCCAGCGGCCCTGTCGCCACCTCAGTCAGCTGTTAGCTGGCAGCACGCTAGGAGACAAGCCGGCTTTGCCACTCCTTTTGACGGAAAGCTACATAGAGACCGTGGGTACCATACGGTCTGACCCCATGTTGTACTTACGGGCGTTTTTCTCTACGTAAGTATTCGTTTTTACGTTTTTAGAGTAAGTACAATGTTCGGCCACATTTGACCAAACTTGGGCGCAAGCACCACAAGACTAAAACTTGGAATAACCTTAGCACGGGATTTAATGAAAAATCGAGCCGACTCACCGTTTCCGAATGTTTCACAAACCGGCGCCCAAAACAATTTGGTAAAGCCTAAATATTAATGTTACTTGACTATTAATGTTACTAAAAAAATTAAGAGCAATCCATAACGCATAGGTTGCGGAATCGACATCTTCCTTCGAGCCATCTGGATGATCTCTTGGGTTTTGGTTACATATACATTGATGGAAGCCTTGAAGTATGTCCCAGGCATGACGCAAACTCTGAAGCTGGGCGCTGTACTTCGCTACAGAGGCGTTCCCCTGTGCCAACGGCCGTTCTCAACCCAAATCGACAGTCTATACCGCGAACCGAGACCGCGGTCATCGGGACAAAACAGTCCGATTCGTTACTTTCCGGCACGCTCCACCCAGAACACTGTGGGCAATATAAGCCTGCAAATCAGATCCAACTGGGGATTAACTGCCGTGCTTAACTTACACTGCTGCACGCCTCGGGAGAGAGCTGCATCCACATCGCGTGTAACGGTTTTGTTGAGTGATTCCCCAGGCGCCGCAGCCCTCGGAGCACACGCCGGCTGCGGCGGGGGCCTGGCCCGCTCCGAGAGCCGGGCGCGGCGGCCGGGGCGTACCTGTGCAGGAGTTTATTCCAGTCGGCCAGCGCCAGGTCCGGCGTGAAGGCCAGCCGCTGCACGAACCAGCGCTGGAACAGCTCGGCCGAGGCGAGCGTGTCGCAGAACAGGTGGAAGTCCTCCGCCTGCCAGCGCATGTTCGACTGGTTCGTCCGCACGTCCACCGAACGGCCGCACAGGAACGGCCACATAATGAAGCCCGGGATGAAGTCCTCGTCTGGCGGCGACAGAGCGGCGGCCTCAGTGGCGGGCAGGGGGCGCGCCGCGCGCGAGCGAACGGATCGCCAGCCGGCGGGGCTGGCAAAACGCCGTCCGATGTCGGCTTGTGCACCACCAGTGGTGTTGAAGGAAGCATGCATGTCACCTTTTTCGGTCCTTCTCACTCATGGTTAGAGCATAGGCGTCCAATCTGATTGGCAATACCAGTTTTCTCGAAATAATTTTAAAAGAGCTAGGAACCTCGATTCAAGTGACCGCTCCGGCTGGAGAAATCTCATTGGACTTCCTCCTCATGACTATGAAAGTAATGCGCTTCATTTGCCTTGCTTTTTCCAACGTGTGGGTTCCGTAATATTTGCAACATATTAATTGATCAAAAGGCCTGCGTACAACATGCTAATGAAGCTTTTTAAAGAGAAAACGACATGCAAAGCATAAGGCTGTTATCCCGAAGTACAACGAAACGTGATGCTATGGCATGATTTCTCCCTCTGGCGTTCATCGCGGTGGCTCTTTTCGAGGCGCACTTTGGTGTTGGCAAAACGGAGTATCGCATGGTCCATTATCACGCGGTCTGAACGGAATATCACATGGTTTTGGTCATAGTTTGACATTATAGGCAACGGAGAATCTGCGCTCGTATTTCCAATCAGCGTGCCGGCGTGGTTGCACAGGTTATTATTTCCCTCACGCGGGTACGGCCCGGACTACGACACTGGCCGCGGTTCGCCTCGTGCTGATTTTCTCTCGAATGTGACCAGGTTAATAAATAAGTAATAACAGGAGAATTGGCCACTCTTGCCAGCGTGCGTATTATACGACCGAATCCACGAACTTGACCCGGGACCTGCACCTCTCACATCCCGAAGTCACCGGTCCAAACAAAATGGCGCTCAAGATTCTTCATCATTGCAGCGCGATTTCACAAAAAATAGTACTGAACCTCGCTCCAGACTTCAAGTCTAGTAACGTTTTGGCGGCGATATAGCATGCCTGAAAAAAAACTATTTGAGCCGCTTAAATGCTCTTTCTTCACTTGTGCATAATTGCCGGATGTTTACCAAACCATGGGAACGGGAAAATGCGTTCCTGCAATAGTTCAGCGCTCCCTCAGTGTATACCATCTCCCCAAACAAGAAAAAAATGAGATGCTAGAATAAAAGCCAGTGCGTACCTTCCAACTAAAACAGACCCGCGATACAAACCGGTTAGAAACAAGCCCTGGCTTTCAACTCATCGACCCTGCCAGGCAGCACAGGGATAAGCCCAGCTGAAAGTCCACCGGACACAACCAGTTGAGTTTGGGCTCGTTCGTGTTGGTGCACCGGCTACAAAGGTCAACGAACCAGTCCTGCAAAGGCCATCACGACGACCAAAAGACAGGCTATCGACGCAACGACCTGCTGACGAGCCCCAGCCGGCGACACCAAGGGTGAGCTGTCCCGCACGGTCAGACGGCACGGACTGGTCGGCCGCGCTGCCGGCGACACCCAGGGTGAGCTGTCCCGCACGGTCAGACGGCACGGACTGGTCGGCCGCGCTGCCGGCGACGTCAGGGCCGCGCTCACCGATGACGTCACGGCCGCGCTCACCGGTGACGTCACGGCCGCGCTCACCGATGTTGAGTTGCTGAGCCAGCACCTCCCGGCGTCGCCACGAGGTCGCGCTCACCGATGTTGAGTTGCTGAGCCAGCACCTCCCGGCGTCGCCACGAGGCCGTGCTCACCGATGTTGAGCTGCTGGGCCAGCACCTCCCGGTGTCGCCACGAGGCCGTGCTCACCAATGTTGAGCTGCTGAGCCAGCACCTCCCGGTGTCGCCGCAGCTGGTTCAGAGCCGACCGTTTCTGGTCCTTCACTTCGCGGGCGTTGGAGGTCTTCAGCATCTCTGACTGGCTGTCCGACGTCGACTTCACCTCGACCAGGAGGACGTAGAACTTGCCTGCCATCACAGACAAGGCTGGGGGGTCGGGCGCGGTGCTGGCCATCAGCACATGAGCGTGCAAGCGACGCAAACGCCACAGCTATGAATGTCGGCCTACGCCTACGCCCTCTCCCACTCTGCAAGTGGTGTCTCTGGGCGTCCAATTAATTCACCACGAGCTGATGCCAGTGAAACGGGCGTCGTGGAAATTCACAGAATGCAGAATGCATGAAGACAAGTCGTTCAAGACCACGGCCCAAACGTCCGCGTATTCACAGCGGGACGGAGCTCTGCTAAGAACCATTCGTAACGAACACAGTACATCTGTCCTACACTGAGCAAAACGCCGGCCCGGCTGTGCCCGCTCCCTCTCAGCCGACCGCGTCGGCGCCCGGCCCGGAGCGGCGGGGGAGGGGGGGGGGGGGGGGCCTCACCGCCGTAGCGGGCCAGCAGCACGTAGTCGTGCTCGCGCGTGATGAGGCTGCTTCCCGACGCGTGCTTGGCCGACCTGCCCGCGTAGTGGCGGCCGTGGAAAAAGAGCAGCCCGAGGCTGGGCGCGCGCAGACCTCGCAGCAGCTCGAACACGACCCGCTCCGCCTCGGACGCCTGAGGGGGGCAGGGGGGGGGGGGGAGGTGAGCGCCGGCAGCGCGGACAGGGAGGGGGCGGCTCATGGTAGACCACAGCGCTGATAAACTTCTGAGGCCCAGCGGCTCGGCATCGTGACGTCTGTATCGCACCCGCGAAGAGCACCTCCCATAAGCAGATGTAGCGCCACCTGGGTGGGAGGCATGCGAGATCTCATTTGCGGAATGTGTTAGCCACAGTTTGACGGTAAGATCTAGCATTTGATCCGCATGTTGCGGATCATCGGTGCACGGCCCCGCGTCACGAGACCACCAACCTGTTGCTTTTCAGATGGGATGTACACACTGGGTAAGCTGTAGACAGCTGATTCGTTGGTGAGCAGAAGTGGAAACTCTCGCGCAACATAGCTGTAACGCAGGCACAGATGATCTAATGTTTTACGAATGCATCACACAGTGATGTCATTGGATAGAGAAAATCGGGCGACAGCGATATCGCAGACTTCTGCAATACTCTCCGGTGCAAACGCTTGCGAACTGAGACTGACTGATGGCACCACAGCACAAATCTCCCCCAGCACACGGTCCAGAGCGCCGAAGAGATCGCGGCTCTCTCGCTGCGACGCGGCGGCCAGAGCCGACGTCACTCACCGCATCGGCGAGGGGGAAGGTCAAGGGGCGAGGGGCGTCGGTGTCGACGGTGGGGCCGGCTCACCTATTGAGTATGGGCTCCAGCTGCTGCAGATGGCGGCCCACGTCGTCCACGGCCGGGAGATAGACGCCCACCTCGCGCACGGGCAGGTGCCAGCCGCGCCGGCCGGCCGGCCCGGGGGGCGGCGGCGCCGGCGCCGCCGCCGCCGTCGCCGCCCCGGCCGCCGCTGCCGTCGTCGCCGTTGCCGCCGCCTCCGCCATCAGCCGACCGGCCGGCCGCCACTGTCCGCATCTGCGGCGCGGCGATGCAGTTGCCGTCACCGGTCGCGCCCACTGGCGGCGCGGCTGGGTGCAAACACTGAGGATATCCACTGCACAGTGCGCGCCAACAGGAGTCATGCGCAGCGCTGCCGCCACCTAGGACGGACTCTGAAAACTACGCGTCTTTTGAACTATTCGACTTCGATGGGGTCCATGGCAAAAAAGGGTGACATAATGATAAAAGAGTGATATATAAAAGGGTTGTCAAGTGAAAAACGCACCCTGCGAGGCACCACAATAGCAGCCTGGGCACGAACTGCTTATATACCCCACCTTTGCATGGCATACAACACATGGGGGGCTCCAATCACAAGGGATAAAAAGAATCATAAATCACAAACAAGCTTGGAGCACAACAATCGCACCTCTAGACAATGTCTGTTTTCATCGCCATGCCCGGTGAATGCAAGGGAATTTCACCATTCAAAGTGAGTACAACCATTCCTTTTTCACTACAGTACAAGACGCTGATGCGGTTTTAAGTACATTAAGGGCAAATGTAGCATAACCAAACTGTCCATGTTGCAACGACAGCCACCTCAGAGCAAGTTTTTTTTTGGCACAACGTTTACCAATGCAGGGTAAGTCTACATTTTTTTGAGCAAAACTGCCGGAAAAAATTGAGCCCTCATAGATCATACTTGCTCCATCTCATCGGTGATTTTGTACGGGCCTGATTGAATTAGCTCTTGCAGCATAACTCCACCCATCCTTATGAATAAGCCATAAATAACCCGTGCATGATGAGTCCCTTTTATTACTTAGAATACTCCCATTGAGTTTATTGCCTATTAAGGAATGCCGTACTGTCGGAAGGCTCACCGTCCTGTTTTTTACGTAATGGAATGAGGTACGTACCGTCGCACACTCTCTTATGGAGCGCCAGCGCGACCGCTGCGGCTGCCAACTCAGCGCGAAAAAGCCATGACGCAACAGGGATTCGAACCCAACTCGATTCGGAAAAACGACTCCCACGCGTGGAGCTGACATAGGAGTCGAACACACTTTCATGAATATTTGGCTTTGGCTATCAAATTACCGCGACGGAGCCATGGCTAAACAGGAACTGGAACGCCAGCCCGGCACGTGGGAGCCAAAGGCGCCAACCGCTCAGCCGCCTGCGAGGTCCGACTCATAAACCACCAACAGCGAAACCCAAACATCGAAGGGTCTTTAACTGCGTCCAGTACACTCATGAGATTTATCAACAGAGCAGCAGGCACCTGAAATAGCTGACCTTGGGCGCTGGATGGACATGCGATAGCAGAATAGCGTGACAGCAGTATGCACAGCCAACTAGCGCTGCAGGCGCATGCAAGGAGGAACGATCGACACTAACAATTAGTATGTATAAATAACCTACCCGGCAGGACGACACCAGACCTCGCACCCAAGCCAAGTGGTCACAAAACCAAACAAACGTTTCCAAGTAGCCATGCACAGTGTTGCTGAGTCGCACGTTTTGAGCATTGCGCGCTGCGCCTGGCAGGAGCACAGGCAGGTGGGGAGAGGGAGGGGGGAGGAGGGAGGGCACAAAGGCACGTGGCCACTAAGGTCCCGAGGGGTCCAATGGGTTGGCCGGAGGTCGTGTTGAGGGCCAACGGCATACACGGCCAGGTCCTTGAATGACAGTCAGGGGTCTTTTGCGCCGGTAGCCCCCCCCCCCCCCTCCCCCTGTGGCCACGACGGCCGCGCTGTCAGTGAGAGACCACAAATATCTTACAATCCGCTCTGTGTCAGCATGGGGCCCATTTCCCAAGAACAGACAAAAACGCAGGGGTCTGCGAATGTCACTCAAAGGCACTTCGTATTACTGGGTTCCTCTAAAGCCAGTGGTCCCTGAAGTATCGATCAGGGGCCCAGAGGGCCCGACAAGAAACCATGGAACGACAAGGGACCCCCGAATCGGTCAGGGGTACATTTGCTGAACACGGACGAGGACATGATCCCAAACGTCGACGACAGGGACGATCCCCGAGATCCCGAATGAGCCTCTTGCGTTTGTCGGGGCCCTCTAACAATGAAAGAAAATATGAGAAGCAGAAAAAAACAGTGCAATGGTTCGCCACGAAACAGTGGAGGGCTCCTGTGTCACTCAGTGGTCCCAGCGCCGGGTGGAGGACGTTCGCCCCCCCCCCCCGTTCAGAGATGGGCGCGATGAGTTAAACTGTGCGGGGTATTAGATCCCCTGCAGCGGCACGGATCTTGATGCGTCAGTGAGTGTCACGCGTCGGTCCGGGGCCCACTGCTCCCACAGCCATCAGGCCGCCAGCCTGGCCAGCCGCGCGGATCTCACTGGGTACGCGGACCATGGGTGTCCGCGGCGCGCTCTCCGGCGCAGGCAGTAATGTTCCAGAGTCTTTGGGGTGCAGCCCCAGAGTTCACCCCTAACCCCAGGAGGTATCAGTGATTCAATGGTTTCCCACCAGGGAGTACGTCCAGCCCAACAGCGTCTCCGTCCGCCGCCCCGTCACACCTCGTCGGCTCGACGTCCAGGGCCTAACGCCCTTTCCTGTCGGAGTGCACATCCTCCAGTTCTGCGACTCTGCTCCAGAGCCGCCACCCTCTCCAGCGACGGTGCCGCGTCCTTCCTCCAGTCTTCATCGCCAAAACGCGGCATCAGAAAGCAAACTCAGTTGCTAACAAACACTTCAACGTACCAAAGACTTCATTCCCCGCCTGGTCTGTTGCCGAAGCTTACGGATGCGTTTGAGTTTGAGTTCCCGCGATGGCTGAAGCTCGGCCTGCTCTGTCGCGCGCAGGAAAGTGCTCGCTCGCCGTAGGGTTCGTCGAGGTCAAGGTCATCAGACCGTCCCTTTTCCGCGCCAGAATTGATCTTGATGGGCTTATTATCATGGGGGGGGGGGGGGGGCAGCGGTATCATCGAGCTGTATGCCATTTCATACGTTAGCATATACGTATTGTCATACGTTAAATACATATGGCACTGCATAATTTCCTTGCCCGCATCAGTCATTGTTGGAAGGATGCGTACCACGCAACCATATCCTTCAAAGTCCACGAGAACCTTTCAGCCACTTCGCCACTTTGCGAATGGCGAGGAGTCATCCTGGCCTTCTGCATGCCGAAAGGTGTCGGATTAAAGCTGTGGTCTCTTGTCAGAACGGAGTCGCTCTAGGGCACCTGCTCGTACAGCCAACCCATCAAGCAGATAACGCGATCGTCGCTTTCTCGTTGACGACGGTGACCAGAAGCGACCAACCCATGTTGTCTTGGTGGGTGCTGGAAGCTTGTCTGCAACAAGACGCCAACGCCCGGAGCTTTTCCAGCCTGTCTCCGAATATCAGCGCCAGCCAGGTGCCATCCAAACAACATGTTGCAGTTGCTCCATGGGATCACCGAGGTCATTTTCGCACAATTGGCAATCGCAGCTGTCGCCACAAGTACGGGTCTGGAATGTTCCAATATTCGCTGCCCGGCAAAACTTAACCTCTCCTGTGGTAGCACTGGCTATCCTGGTAGGAATTACACTGTCTTTACCACGGGTACCCAGATCCAGGGAACGACAGGGCCTTTACGGCCCAAGTTGGCGCCTGGCTTAATGACACATCGGTTGTTGCTTTGCAGCAATTTTCTGTCGTGAGCTGAACTGGAGTCCATACTGTCGCAACCGGCCTCGGTGGGATCTGCACAGAAGCCGCATACTTGATCCTTGATCAATTTGGATATATTTGGTCATAGCTGGCTGCAACAATCGTCAGGATTTGTGTCTGCACGGTTCCGTACTGATCCTCGAGGTCAGTGCCGAACTCGCAGTATAAGTCACCTGCCAACACGACGCCGTGTATGACCCCACCCAGCCTGCGAGGGTAAGGCATGCTATCCGCCTGGATTGCACTTGCACCCCGGCTGCTCACTTCTCCAAGCATGCGCACTTGCGCGCCCCGCGCTGCCTACCTTTGGTCCCGTGGGCTGCATCACGCTGCTGATGCTGACCCGGCCATCCCTATTCAGTGTGCCACCAATAGGGTGTCGAGAGCCACGAGCCGAGCAGCCTGTCACCGCTATCCACCTCAAGCACTATCACGATTTCATAGGATTTCCATGGAACAGATGTTAGATCCCGTCACGTACACCCAGCACTTACCCGTTCTCCGGCAGCTGTGTGTGGGATGAGATTGAAGCGTGATGCCCTCGCGCGGTCGCCGCGTCTGGCGCTTCTGGGAAGTGGTCAGTCGGACAACGGTGGCGGGAACATTTTGCCATCCCGTGCCCGTCTTTCCCGCAGCGGGCGCTCCGTCGTCCCAGCAGCAGGCGCTCCGTCTCCCTTGCACCAGGCGCTCCGTTTTCCCAGCAGCAGGCGCTCCGTCTCCCTTGCACCAGGCGCTCCGTTTTCCCCGCAGCAGGCCGTACGTCTTCCCCGCAGCAGGCACGCTGTCTTCCCGCAGTAGGCGCTCCGTCTTCCTTGCAGCTTCTTTGCAGCAGGCGCTCCGTCCTCCCCGCAGCGGGCGCCACGGTGGCCGCCGCTCTGCGCTGCGGAGGCCGCGCGTTGTGACAGCGAAGAGGCCAATATGGCCGACCTCACCGCAGCCAAGCAGCCCCGGACCGTCCCTGTAGCCCTGTTTGTTTCTGCAGGGCATATCTCAGAAAGTGCAGTTGAACCGGTTTCCAGTGTCATTGATGCAATAACTTCCTGCCGCTGGTGCAGCTGGCTCACAGCCCGTACAGCTGCATCGAGTTTTTTTGGCCAAGCTAAAAATAGGCACAGTAATAGTTTACCTCGAAGCAAAGACACTGCAGTCCGCGGGTGGGTCGGTTCACGACTGTCTGCATGAATTGGTCGCTATTTCTGCTTGATCTTGGCATGTCTAACTTGCCAGCCTGCTGACCCT